TTCTTTCCATTCTTTCCATTCTTTCCATTCTTTCCATTCTTTCCATTCTTTCCATTCTTTCCATTCTTTCCATTCTTTCCATTCTTTCCATTCTTATCATCCTTCCCGTTCTTTCCATCCTTTCCATCCTTTCCATCCTTTTCCATGATTGGTTACTGACTGTATGAGAAGTAACATGTCACAAATGTTGGCATTGAAATTAAAACAACGTACGTTGAGGAGCGCATTAGAATACAATTGGCTTCCAGTGATTCATAGATGCAAAATATTCATGTAAAAAGGTGTCTATTTTTCCGTTCCGACTCTTCTCCATATGACGACTTTTCTCTTTCCGCCTCTAGACTTATAAAGTCAGAGCATTAGAATCTCGTGCAACTACTAGCGATTTTCCATCCTGCCATCTTTTATTCATTGCTTCGCAACAGGGCTCAGCTTTTTTTCTTTGCCGCCCAACTCATACTATCACATTTTCACTTGTGCAAACCTCTTTCTGCTGTCGTTCAGATGACTTCAAATGACCTGATGCCCATGGTACTTTCCATGGAAGTTTCAAGTAAGGATGACAGCGAGTACAGGATTTTGGGTACATGGTTGTGTGAGGTATCTCATAATACGCGCGGGTACACTGGAACGATCAGCACTTTCCATGCCCCTTAGCTCACTGCCCGATCTTCCTGAAGATAAAACTTGGAATTTTGCCTACGTTGGTCGGGATACTTCGAGCGGCGAGCTTCAGATCGATCTACAGAAACGAAGTTTTATCGGCATTAAGGACATTTGGCATCCTTCGCTTGTTGATTGTCTCAAGTTGAGAAGAGTAAGACAACTCACCGCTACAACTTATGAGGCAGCTTACTGGAGCGCCGGAACGGCAAGCAGTTTGGAACCGAGGACCGTCATTGCAAAAGTCGCACGGTTCGAATGGGAAATACCTCGATTATCGATGGAAACTTCCATATACAAGATCCTTCAAAATACTGGTCTTGCTCCAGAGTTCGTCGGCCATGTCCACGAACATGGCCGTATTATAGGCTTCTTACTCACGAAGCTGGAAGGGCGTGAGGCAAGCATTGAGGATCTCCCATTGTGTCAGTCTGTGCTGAAACGCCTGCACGACGTTGGCATCCTTCATGGCGATGCCAACAAATACAATTTCATCGTTCATGGTGATACGGTACATTTGATTGATTTCGAGTCCAGCAAACTGTGTGATGTAGCGAGTGCATCCATGCATGCCGAGCTGGAAAGTCTACGTGAACAATTGAGAGAAGGAACAAGACGCGGAGCAGGTTTCATTCCGTTGCATCGGCTGAATTAGGGATGTAAGACATGCCCGGTCAGGTACAAGAGGATACTAAGTAGCATATGGTTCTTCATAGATATTCATACTTTTATGCACATTGCTTTCGCTGCTACTTGCTTTCTTTGACGAGCTGGGACAATACTGTTAGTATAAGACGAAGACCTTTATACAATCTATAAGCAAATCCTAAGATGTAGTACTTCAAGCTGAATCCAGAATTGAAATAGAGAAAGAAGAGAAAATGCTTTCTTATATTATAATAATACTTTATCAGTCCCTCTTTCGAGCTTACTAGAAGAACATAAAATTTGAGATTGTTTTTATGTTTGAATGTATCAAGAAACAGAGGTTGTAAATTCATTGTCGCCGAAATGGTTTTCCTTCATCTAACTTCGCGTACACCATATGATAAACAAAAAAGGTCTAGTCCACTCAATCGGTTACAGATATTGCTTCTGTGTTACAATTTGAGACTTGCAGAGTTCGCACAAAAACATTTCTTTTGGGAGGCTTCTTACTGAATAAAAACACGGCATTCGCAGAGCAAAGTAGTTATAAGGGCTAAGATGGTGAAATAGCGTGCTGAACGAATAGCTTTCGCGAGGCCAAAGGTGCCAGTTGATTGTCTTAAGATATTGTTGCTGTCGGACATGGACTCTTGACCAGACCGACATCCTTCCTTCTTCTGTCTTATGACAACCCTTCCTTCCTTGTCCTACCATCCTGTATCCTGTATTTAAGATCTCGCGTAGCGGGGGAGAATAATGGAACAACTTCGCATGGTCATAACGTCTTGACGCCTCGGCGTCTAAAAGAGGGCTTCAGGCCCAACGTATCAACTACAGTTGCTGATCTGCCTAATCCGCGAGTCACCTGCCCCCTAAATGGGAGGTCGCGGCCTGCTCGCTTGTCTATCACGTGACTAATGCCTAAGGCCTACTATATAGATTTCCCTTCGCGATTATACGCGAAGGTTGGAAGGGTTGGTTCAGCCCTTACAGATATATAATTAGAGTAATTATTACTTTTCTAATTTTTAGTTTTAGAGTAATCTAGAATTACTGAGAAATTACTTAGGATATATACTTTCATACTTCTCCCACACTCTAGACTACTTAGAGAGCAAAAAGTGGCGCCACGTTCAGCCTAAAGCAGAAAAGAAAAGTCATTGGATTTCCGCAGCAATCCAGTTCGTTAGTAGTCCTAGTCAGCGGATGGAATTAGTTAGGGCTGAAAACTGCCACGCGGCCTCCCGCGGTCGGCCCCGATCTAGACTTGCTCCGATTTGGTGCCTCCCCCCGATGACTGCCAGGACCTCTGGGTAGCTTCTCTGAAGAATGATCAAACGATGGTTGTTCCATGCTCGAGTAGGTTATCCCCACAACACAAATCAGAATAACTTAGGTGGTTACTCATAACTATAGTGCTGCAAGTCCTGTAGCATGGTTTACAATAGGAAGAAATCTTAGATAAGTTTGAATGATTTGTATATTGCAAAACTGAGATTCTCTAGCAAAAGTCACCTCTTCTACCAGCGCGACATACATCAAAAGACTAAGAGTGCTGAATGGGAGGCAACAGTGCGATCTTAGCGTCCCAAGTGACCGAGAAGGAGTCGGAGGTGGAAGAGGACTCGGTGGAGGACGACTCGGATGAGGACGACTCAGATGATGAAGTGGACCAGGAGGTAGAAGTTGAAGAAGCGGCCGAGGAAGCTGCGGACGATGCCGACGACGATGCAGACGACGATGCCGACGACGAGGAAGACGAGGTAGAGGACGCAGAAGAGGTCGAGGTGGAGCTAGAGGAAGACGAGCTGGACATGTAGGCACCACCGACCGAGTTGACTGCATCATCTGTCAACAGGTAGTTGTTGGCACAGTAAAAGAAAGCATAGCGCGCCACAGATGACTGAGACTCCAGCCAGGAGACCGCCTCCTCGAGGAAGCTGACGGTGGTCGAGGCGTCGGAGATGCCACTGGTGTCGGCATCGAGGCCGAACTCGGTGAGCCAGACCTCGGAGATGTCATAGTCGGCGGCCGTCTCGATCGCCTCTTCGACGAAGGTCTTGAGCTCGTCCACCGAGTCGCCGTACCAGTGCACCGCGAGGGCGGAGATGTTGCAGGACGAGCAGTCGCTCATGAAGCTCTTGAACCAGTCCAGACCCTCGCCACTGCTACTGGAAGAAGTCACCGCCGGGCTGACCAACTTGGCGCTGCCAGCGTAGGGAGTGATGTACTCGGCGTAGAGCGCGGCAGCCGTAGCAGCGGTCATATCCGCCTGCGACGACATGTCGGGCTCGTTGAAACCCAGGATATACGAACTGCCCGACGACAGCGCCGTCTCCACCGCATCCGTCCAGCCACTGACATAGTCCGAGCCAGAGCCCCAAAGCATGGGGACATACTCCACGTCCGACGGCATGTCGCCACCCACGGAGCTACCCCAGTTGTAAGACCACGACACCGTACCAGACGCGTCGTCAGCCAAAGTGCTCACCAGGGTCGCATCATTGTATGCAGCACCGAGTTTGCTGCTGCTGGAGCGCTTCTGAACGCTCGTCTTCCGGGTCTGAACCGGGAAAGCAACTGCCGAAGCAGCGAGCAGACCCGCGGACAGAAGATGAGTAAAGGAGGGCATCTTGCGGAGGCTGGAGGCGAGAAAGGATTGAAAAGATTGGATAGTTATGTTATCGCGACGTGCGGAAATGACTGTCTGGAGGCAAACGAATGGCCGAGGGCAGTAAAATGAAAGACTGTTGGGTGCACAGCACACAACGAGAACAAGGAATGGAATGGTAACGCAGGAGTTGACCAGCTAGCAGAGGAAAAGCCCGGTGAAGCAGGGGAAGGGGGTACGTTATTATATAGGCAGATGAGCCCTAACTCCAGAGTTGACCGTCGGTCCGCCCGGCGCAGCGGCCAACGAACCACACCACATGGGTGGATGCCTGGCTGAATGTCTACGATCTAGAATAACTTACAATTGTACCATCTTATGACCGCCCCGCTGCTGCGTAATGCGATGGTTGGACTTGTCGACTAGCCCTAAGCGACATGGTGGGGCGAGTGGTTGAAGGATGCTCCAAGGCCTCACTGACAGAGGACTAGATTCCGCAGTGACAGGCTGAAAGCAGCCATGCGACGGACGCAGACATGTTTAGCGAGTCTTCCGTTGTGGGTCTGTCACAACTCACCTATCGTAAGTCTAGATCCATGAGCTTCCATTCTTATCGTTGGGCGAAAATCACTTCTGAACGATAACGATTGGAGAATCCCGAGGGAACCCAAATTAGCCCCAAACAAAGATGAAACACTGACATACGTAAGCCTGTCAGTGCACCGGCCATGCGTTCTCGTTCTTGTTTTTGAACAATTCCAGAAAAATTCTATTCTCATTGGTTGCTTCGATATATATTGCCAAAAAGCAATTGTCTAGATCATTAGTGATGTTCTGTACAGTACGATGAATCCGAACAAGATCGAGAAAATCCCTCCCCCCCCCCTCCAGCCCCCACATCGCCTTCTTCTCTTCTATCCAACCACATTCCCTGTCTTCCAGTTAATCAACCAGCATAAGTGCGCACTAGCTTGCGCTGATTGTACTCCAACATAGTCCAACCATCAGTGTACTTGGCCTGTTCACCGGGCCGCACAAACTCCGGCAGTGTGTCCACCAGGACATGGCGATCGGGCTTCCCAAAGTACGCCACCGAATGCCGGCGAGGAAGCATCGCATCTCCCGCCTCTCCATTCGCATTCATGGTCTCCGGCACAGTGACCCGGTGGTTTGCCGACCGTAGCACCCCGTTCGTCCATCGCTGCAGACAGTCTCCAACGTTGACGATCACTTCGTAGACATTTTCCGACTCGACCGGAATGAACTGCCCTGAGTGGCGTTGATCCTCCACCTGCAATCCCCCCACGGCATCCTGAAGCAGCAGAGTCAGGGTTCCAAAGTCCGAATGCTCGCCGATGCGCTTGCCCGCCCGCATTGTGTGGCATGGAATCGCCGGGTAATGCAGCAGGCGGAGCTCGCTGGTGTTGGTCTGATGTTTGGCGATGAGATGGTCCGCCGACAGCCCAACTGCCGTGGTAATGGCGCGCACCAGGTCGGCATGGAGTTCATGGAATCGGTCATAGATGTCTTCCATGAAGGCACGAAAGCCCGGTAGATCGGTCTCCTCCACCCATCGATTCGGGAAGAGAGTATCGTTGGCTGCGCCTTGGTCGAAGGATTCCTGCATGAGCCATTGGGTGAGTTATCAACTGCGTTATCTTTTGTTCAGTTGTTGTTGTTGTTGTTGTGGTGGTGGTGAAAAGCTTACGCGATATTCCTGGTAGCCATCGGTTCGCCGTTGGTGGCCGTTTTCGTCCTCGGAGCCCTGCCATAGTGTTTCTTTGCCCACTGCACTCCATCCGCGATGGGGATTGGGCGCTGCAGGGTGCGCCGCTTGACTCTTAATGGAGTCGGGCAGCTCAAAGAACTGTCGGTTCTTCAGACACTCAGCTTTTCCTCTTGGATTCTTCACATCCGGGAGCCACTCACAAACTCAAACAACCGGTCAATCGTCTCCTGAGAGAGGGAGGTGTTACGGATCTTGGCAAATCCGTGCACTGAGAGCGTTTCACAGAGTTCCTCGCTGAAATGTTGACGGACTTGCGGATCGTCGCTGCAATAGCGTTTGAAGTCCAAGGTTTTGATCGACATGATGCGTAGAAGGTCCTTCAAAGAAGTAAGACTTAAGTCATGTACAATACATCAGGTTGGTTCCGAGGCGGATGGATTGGAAACCAAGTGGCTGGGTTTGCGTCGGGCAAGCTTTAAATAAAGGCAAACGCTGCCGTGTGTGACATGTCAACATGATAGGTGTGTACTGGCGGAGCACTATTATCTATTGACTGTATGAGCTCATCCACTTCTCGACGATGGTGTTGTTTGTGAGGCCAGATTCCTTTTTCCTGATTCGATTGGTCTATTCGCTCGCTTACGGCGTTGTTTGTTTGCTCCGCGTGTGATGGTGGATTTCCATTGGTAACCGCCAGAGATCAACTTGTAGGGATGAGTGATCACCGATTACTTTGCGCGGGGACTAGTATGAGCATCCCAGCAGCATGGATGGCTCTGAACCACTAAGAATTATGGTGAAAAGGATTCGAAAAGCGACACCTTCCGCCCTCTCCGCCTCGATCATCCCGAGCTTGTGTAGACCGCATCTTAAGATATTCAGTATGCGCTGCTGTTTTCGTTTCCCATTTGTAAGGGAAGCATCAAAGATCAGACAGTCTCCCACCTCGGGTGGGAGGAATGCATGTATGACTGGTAGCAATCACCACCATCTTCTCCGAGCGCGAACCCTTTCCTAGGTTTGTCTTGGTCGATTGTGATTGCCTCCTGCATCATCCCCCCGGACACTCGCTTCTTCTACGCCCTTGGACGCGCCCAAGCCTCTCGAGCCTCGTGATATTCCGACCATGCAATTTGTCCTTCCTCGACGAGTTCCACATCCGGTAACTCCCAGAAGTCCCCGGGCGTGTGCTCGTAGTCGAATGCGGTTGCAAGGCTCATTTTAAACGCCTCTTCGTCCTGAACCTTTGTCCCCTGCCAGCACCAGCCCCTGGGTTTTCCCCGCACAAAGCGATTCGAGTACAGAACGACCCCCGAGTCTTGAACCAGACGCTCTAGTAACTCCCGCATGGTGGGCAGCAGGTTGCTCTGGAACGCCTCGGGGACGTAATCTCTCCACAGCATGTGGGCCGTTGTGCCCTGGATCAATGACACGGGAAACCGAGTTAGCAGATACTCCCACAGCTGCGCCATCCGCAGGCCCCCGTCTCGTGCAGTACACTTGTATGCCGCATAGGGCAAGCTTCTGTCGCGGTAGAGCATAACGACGTGCATGTGCAGCACCGGCGGCTGGCGGATGAGCATGCGGCGCCAACTGGCATCTGTGCGGGTGTAGGCGGCCTGTTTGCGGGGGTTCCAGATCATGTCCAGGTATCTGAAGGTTAGGTTGCGGAATCCGCTCTTCTCTGCGAGCGCGACTCTACCGGGCAGGGGTGGTGGGCTGGGTGGGAAAACCAGTGGGAAGACTTCGGCTAGGAGGGGGTTAGGAACGGGCGGGCCGTGCATCCTGGGTCTGAAGAAGAGTTTCTCTTGGAGGCGACAAGACTGGGTGATTAGGGCTCTCCATTCGTGGCAGACGAGCTGAGCGGCGGTGAGAAGTGTGCGCATGTCGAGTTGGAGGAGGATTGACTCTAGGATTTCTGGAATCAGAAAGCATAATGGGGTGTGGTGTGATTCTGCTGTGGAAGCTGCGTAATTTGTATTCATGTTGCTGGATGATTGCATGGAGATCATGATAGACCTGGTGCGGAGACCTTGTGTGTTCGTGGAGGGTATCCCCCTTTTAGTACCAGTGCCTGTATCGCAAATAAACCGAGCAGAACGCAAAGTGGGAAATATATAGCGACCGCAGCACTTGTGCCAAACAGGGACTTTTGACACAGCCTCCTTTCTAGGCCCAATTCAATTAATAGTCACTTACAAACCTACAACAATCTAGTGTCTGATTAAGAAAGCTTAGCATAAATCTAGTGTAAGCAAGGGTTTGTTTAACGACTTGTTGAAGCCTGACTGGGATCCATGGCTCGTGGAGTCTACATGTAGTGCTGGATTATGGTTTTAAGCAAGAAGTAAGCTTTCACCCATATGGGCCTATGGCGCAATTGGTAGCGCGTACGACTCCAGATCGTAAGGTTGCCTGATCGAGCCGGGCTGGGCTCATATTCTTTTGTTTGTTTTTTGATTTGTCTTTGTTCTTTCTCCGCCTGCCGCCTGTAAGGACTGCCGTACAACATCCCCTTCGGATAATCCAATGCGCGCCGATGCCTCTTCACATCCCGCCTGCAACAAATCACGATAAGGGATAGTCCTGGCTGTAGAAAACCTCCAAGCAGAAGCACCTCCCCTTCCGCAGCATATGATCCATTGTCACCGAGCTTCTCGATCAGGGTCGTATAGTAGAGAGGGTTTTCCAAATATACCTGAGCAAGCCGGCGAGACTGTATACTATCTTCCAGTAAGGAGATTAGTTATTCTCACCAAGTTACCCATATATAACTAACCTTAAGCTCTAAATCTCAAGTACTAGTTGTTGACGCTCGACATAATTTCTACCACTATACTATCAAGTACATACGACCACAGGGTGTGGAAAATAGGGCTTCCCGTCCGCTCAGCCGTACACAAGCCACACGCCGGGAGGTTAGTAGTTGGGTGGGTGACCACCAGCGAATCCCTTCTGTTGTATGTTTTTTGTCCATTTCCTATTTTTACTGCAAAATATTCCAAACCATAACCCAGTTCATTCGGTAGCTTCTAATTATAACTACGCTGCCCAGCCGACGGGTTCTGGCCAGGTCGAGACCTCCCTCGTCGAGCCTTGCCACAAATCAGTCTACTTCCTGCCTACTGTCCCCTCTTTTACCTCATTTTTCTGTGCTGTTAACCACCATCCCTCTTCCCCCTAATTCCTGTTTCGTATTAAGCACAAGTTGATTATCACTAGAACTTGATTTAAAATGGACTAAGCCAGACAGCGGTAAGTATGTATATATAATACAAACCCTCCCGTTGCCTTACCAAGGGCTTATTGCCCTTCATAGTGGAACATTCGTTACGATTGTAACCGGCCACTACTCGGCCACGTAGACTGACAGATGTGCTCTCTGGGCTGGAGAATAAACCGTAGCAAGAATCAGTCGAGCAGAGTCGATCAGATTGGGAGTTTGCAGGTGAGGAGAAATAGGCAGATGTGTAGTATTCTTGTTTAGACCTTTCGATTGTTGTCCTCAGACATAAACCTAAGGGACCGACTATCTCCCCATTGGAGGGAAGTGGCAGCGGCACGAACAACTTGCACCGAGTAGCTGACCATATGATGCATAACAGTTATCATGACATGACTGGAGTTGCTATTGCTTTGATTACGAGATGTGGAAAGATTATTCCCCGGAGACGAAGTCCCCCCTCGGCGATTCAGCGCAGCGCGAGTTTAATTCCCCGACTCCGTGGGCACCAATTGTGCTACGCAGATTGATGAAGCGGCGAGATGAAGTTATATCCGGACTCAATGCGAGTGCTCACGGGTACTTTCCATTCAATTCTGCCGATGGCATGACATAGAGTGCACAGAAAGTCAAAAAAATCACATCAATCAACGCAAACAATCAACATGCCAAATCGAATCCAGTGCACGCAACTCCACCTCGTCTGCCTTTCCCAGACTGTTCCTCCTCAATGCATGGCAAGCGGCAGGAGCGGGCCTTGTTGGAAGAACAAGAAGATGTTTCCTCGACCGACAGATCAATCGTCCAGACTACGCCTCACTGTTGACGACTTCTTCATCACGCTTCTGAGGCTCATCGTAGTGAGTGTAGAAGAACCGCTTGTCGAGAGAGCGCTCATCGCGCTTCTCAGGCTCTTCATAGTGGGTATAGTAGAAACGCGGGTCCAGGGCGCCCTCCTCGCGTTTCGCGGGCTCAACGTAGTGAGTATAATAGAAACGCTTGTCGAGAGAGCCTTCATCGCGCTTCTCCGGAGCAGTGTAGCGGGTATAGTAGAAACGCTTGTCGAGGGCGCCCTCCTCGCGCTTCTCAGGCTCTTCATAGTGGGTATAGTAGAAACGCGGGTCCAGGGCGCCCTCCTCGCGTTTCGCGGGCTCAACGTAGTGAGTATAATAGAAACGCTTGTCGAGAGAGCCTTCATCGCGCTTCTCCGGAGCAGTGTAGCGGGTATAGTAGAAGCGTTTGTCCAGGTGTTCGGAAGCCGGCTCGACCTGGTCACTGTTTGAGACAGGAAGACCAAAGGTGAAGCCCGCGGCTCCGAAAAGAGCGACAAGAGAAGAGAACCTCATCTTGATATTAGCTATCAGCGGCTCGTTATAACAAAAGCGTGGCGAGACAAAAGCTGTGGAGGAATGAGAGATTGGCCTGAAGGGGATCAGCTAGAGCTCTATATATGCTCTTCAATAGCACGCCCCCATTGCATGATTCGCTGAGGGATTCCCACAATTACCAAGCAACTGCGGTGAGCCTTGGTCATTCTACTACCAGTCGGCTGTTCCGAGGAAAGTTGCTCGATCCCTGCGCGGTAAATACTTCGTGGCAATTTTCATCATTCTATACACGGGGCGTGGTGTCCGATCGGACACATGTCGAATCTTTGCTGCTCTTCATGCTACACATGATCTCGTATATGCCTCTCTCATGCAATGATGTTGAATCGAATGCCATGTCGCTTACGTGCTCGCCGGCGAGAGATTGTTGCGCCTGGGCCAGGACCAGTTCCTGCAGGCAGAGGGCACGAATGTCAACCGGGATTTGTACTTATGACTAGTGCTCAGACCACGACATCAGCTCAAGACCGGAGTAGGGCTGATATCAGGTCTCCCCACTACAGCAATGTTCCAGTAAGGTTGACCAGCAGGGTTCAATGATCCAGGAGTATTTGTTCCATGACACACCCAAGGAGCTACAGGATCTTGTAACAGCGTGACATGACCCAGAAGGACAGACATGAACTACACATCGTTGTTTTGGTTCCCACTAGATCTCGTATCACGCGGATCGCTGTGTTAAACCACTGTTTCCAATTGAACTGCAGGTGCGACGACTGTAATCAGCACATGAAATGTGGTGTATATACCTTCATGCTGGGTTCTCCCGGCTCAAGGGGTTTGTCACCACGACGCCTGCTTTGCATCAGCATCGTGGCTCCTCGGCCCCAAATACGATGATGCCATCCTTTCTCTTCTCACTTGCTTAGCCGCTAGTTGGTGATCAACCTCGCGGCATTGTTCTGTGTATAGTTCCGTCAGAGAAATAGCCCTACCCTCTCCTGCGTTGAGCATCTTGTGTACTAGAGGACCTTGTGCCTTCATTCAGCAGACGTGTTCGGCATGGGGTGCTTCAGATCCCTCAATTCAGGATTCAAATTTCGTGCCGTCCAGAGCAAAAGTTGCGATGATGATGAGGAGGATATCGAGTCTGAAGAGCTGCTTACAAAAAGAAGTCATCCGGAACGCCTTTCCAAGGCCTGGATCTACCTGACAATTGCCAATGCAATTATCTTGAGTAGCACTATTGCTATAGTCATTGGTGCGAGGAGCAGTTCCTGGAAGGCAGAGAAGAATGCTCTCCTGAGGCCAGTATCATGGTGGTGTAAGTCTCCACCCCCCCCCTAAACCGGGGTCCTCGCCTTTTTAACCAACGTTTCCACACCCAAGCGCCCGTCTTGGATGACATCGAGATCCCGAGTTATGAAACTACCATTAACGGGACCCTTTTCGCCCTTCCTGAAATCTCAATCGCCCGCGAGGAGCCCAGCGCCGCGAATGATGCCGCGTGGGCACGCTATGAAAATGTTCTGACCCACGTTATCACTCGCGACCAAGTCATCAAGCTGGGCAAGGATCCCGAAACCGTCGCACGCTTTGATAACGAGTACTGGGGGATGGGCGACGATGCTTACATGGCTCAGCTCGATGTGATGCATGTGAGTTACTCCCCTCTCCTCTCTGGATGTTTGCCGTCCTGCTATGAAAGGTAGGTCCATTGGGTCTTGATCTAACGCGGGCTTACAGCAAATTCATTGTCTAAATCTACTGCGCAAGTCCGCCTTCGCCGACTACCCTGGCTATGAGCCCGAGCTTGACGTCAAAGACAAGATGTGGTGGATTCACCTGGGCCATTGCACCGACATCCTATTGCAGAACATCAGATGCAATGCCAATACAGAGGTTTTAACCTTAGACTGGGTGGAAGATCGGGGTAATCCGTGGCCGGACTTCAGCATCAATCGCAAATGTCGAGATTTTGATGCCTTGCTGCACTGGCAACATGATAACGCTGTTGACGTGGACAAATATGATGCCATGCCAGTGCCCAAGAATGCATTTGTGTGGCCGTCCCCGTGGAAGAAGCAAGATTACGAACTCGGGGTGAAGCTGGGGGACCATCATTTTCAGGAAGGGGAAGTTCTCCGTGACCCCCACGAGCATCATGCCCATCAGGCACCGTGACTCTGCGGGCAGAACCAATTTGTGATAGCTACGAGACTCAGATCCATACAAGTCGTATGTTATTAGTGATCTACCATGGTTGTTTGTATGCATTGCGCGTAGAGCTAGAAGTTTGCCGTGTTCAAGTTGCTTTTTGTCTGGTTGGCAGGAACATAGCAGGAGCAGGATATATTGGGCGTCTGTGAATATACGTACTGATGGTAGTACTAGTAGATTAGCTATCTGGCTTATAGGTTTCTATCCTCCTAAAGTTCAATTGCCTCGTGCGCCTGGCAAGTCAGCTGCAGAGTGTTCGCGCATCATCAAGATTGAAATGGCAGCCCTATGCCAAGATATCCCTTATGCCTCTTACATGGCAAGCAAACATGCGTGAGTGAAATGATCAGCGACAGGGCTGTTCTCCGGTCTGACCCAACAAGGATTCCGTTCAAGGCCGCCCATGGCGCTATGAATGACCAGAATTGCTAGTCTTTGTGACCAAGACACTTTCTCCTAGCAGCATCACGCTCCACAGACACATTGATGAAATAGTCACCGCCGATCCCCTCCCATCTGCCGATCAAAGAGTCTCTCCGAGCTATATGAGCCAACCGTGCTGGCGCTATCACCTCGTAAACCCCGTCCATCTGAGCTTTTCTTTTTGTGCCAACTCTGCCTGGCACGCCGTGTCACTCAGAATGTCTATTCCTGATGCACTTACAGAGTCAGGCCTCCCGAACAATGTCGATGAACCGTTTCTCCCCTCCAAGCAGATAGACGATCCGAGGGAAAAGATACCACCACACATGCGTCGCCGCCTGCTCGTCTCATTGATCGCTATTCTCCTATCCTTCCAAATCGGAGGCCAGATGATCGGGGGCCCCATGGTGCGGGTGATCGAGATGATTGCTTGCAACAACTATTGGCGTCGGCAGGACCCAGCGCGACTACCCATGGCCGGCCATCTGCCAGAACACTTGTGCAAAGCAGCAGAGGTGCAGACCGAGGTTGCCACAGTGAAAGGCTATTCGGACTTGCTTGAGGGGCTACTCTGTTTGTCGTCGCCCGGGCTCCAAGTTATGCGCTGGTGCTGACCTCACCTACAGGCGCCATCTGCGCCATCCCTTACGGGCTGTTGGCCGATCGATATGGGCGCCGACGAGCCATCCGCCTCACTGTGCCTGGATATCTGTTGAATGCGGTCATCACCAACTCCGTCTTGTGGTTCTCTGATACCTTTCCCCTCCGGGCGATTTGGTTTGCCGCAGTCAGTTGGATCATCGGTGGCGGGCCAGTGGTAGCAGTCGTTGCAATCTGGGCCATGCTGGCCGATATCACAACCGACGCGCAGCGCGCAACACTATTCTTCCGCATCGGACTCGCCAATCAAGTGACAAGTTTTCTTGCCAGCCTGATCAGCGCCGGACTCATGGCCGTCGATCCTTGGATCCCCTTGCTGATCGGTTGCGGGGCTGTGACCATGGGCTTAGGGTGTGCGCTTTCACTTCCAGAGACCATGAATCTGTCGGTCAAGACAACAGCATCGCCAGAGCCGGGCTTGGGGCCGTTAGGGACCTCCGGTGATACATCATTCGTGGAGCCCGTATGCACATCACGCCCATGGCCAGCAACAATCACGCGTCTCGTGCAACCATACCTCTTTATCTGCCACCCCCGGTTGCTCTTGCTTCTATGCGCTCTGAGCACGGGCGAGCTCGCGCAGCGCTCCTCTTCGTTTCTCACACAGCACATCTCGACTCGCTTTGGCTGGACCTTAGCGCAAGCGCATTTCCTGGTCTCCTTCTACGCGGCGGTTACCATTCTCGTGTTTCTTGTTCTGCTTCCGTACCTGTCCAAGAGGATCTTGCGTCATCTTTCTCTTCCCATGATCGAGCTCCAGATTGCCCGTCTCAGCACTATCACTCTGCTCTTGGGGTCAATTGGGATTGGCACTTCGCCATCCGTCCTGGTCCTGGTTTCAAGCTTGTCGGTCTACGCTACCGGGGCCGGGTTTGCCCTGGCCATCCGGTCTCTCGTCACGGCACTGGTCAAACAAGAGGAGACCGCACGGCTCTATTCAGCGGTCGAGTTGGTCCAGTACGTGGGGACTATCCTGGGTAGTCTGTGCTTTACAAATGTTTTCCGGCTGGGAATCAACTCCGGTGGGTTAGGGTCGGGGTGGGTCTGGGTCTTGGGCAGTCTGCTTTACGCCTCGGTGGGCGTAGCGCTTGCATTTGTACGGGTATAGGCTTGCATGGGCCGTATTCAGACATTCAGAAACTCATGGAGGGATTTGTCGAGGGTAGCTTATCGTTCGGGTCTCATTGTGCATAACTACAAAAGCCGCCGTGACCTTGAGTGTTTACTAATTACTCACTGTTCTCTGAACTATGATTTGATATCACTCCACTTTCTAAATGCATCAGGTTCCCATCAAGACCGAGACCGAGAACTAACAGCCTCATAAGCCTCGAGAAGCACATGCCCACTTCATCGCCAGATCGTCCACGTATGCACCGCCATCCTCCCGCGGGGGATGCTTCCAGGTGCGTCTTCCCTCCCTCCGGCATGGTCAGCGTCGCAGCGCCCTTCTCCGGCCAGAGCGCGTACAGCCCTAATCCAAAGAGCCGCCAGAGATCCCACACCCCGAGCCCCAGCGCCCGGAATGGCCGGTGGGCAACGCTGGGGCACGTGTCCGGGGAGCGCATATGGTGTTCACGAAAGCGATACGCCAGCAGGCCGACGGGATTGTAACCGGTATTCGAAGCATGCTGGCCTCAGATTTCGGCCGCGGGGAGTGCGACGAGCATGGTATCATGGTTGCCGTAGAGGCCGTTGACCTTGGCGGCGTCGTAGCGGAAGAAGTCTGTGTCTCCAGCGCGGTATCCCAGCACTCGTTCTGCGCCTGGAGACACGCAGTGATCGGGACCCCGTCGTCCCCAAGGAGAGTTTCCAAACACTCCGATACCTCGCAGACCTCCTCTCACGCGGCCCGGTTGTCTTCCTGGCCGCTCCACACCATATCGTCGGCCGACCAGTGCAGCCGGGTCCCGGTCTCGAGCAGATCGCTGAAGACTTGCAGGTGCCACAGGGCACGGTAGACGCGATATTCTTCGATCCATGAGAATGGCCCCACATCGCGCAGCTGGCATGGCATCACGCACGGGATCCCGCGGATGGAGTGCAAGTACTGGGGTAGAGCGGCCTGCAGACGGGCGTGCAGGGTGATCAAGCAGATACACGCGAGTCGCTGGATGTTGGCGGCCACACCGACCATGGCACGCAGGACAGCTCGAGTCGCCGTGGAGAGCGAGAGGCTGTTATTCGAATGGAGGGAGAACCCTGTTCGACAAAGACAGTCAGCGGAGCCCTGGTAGGCCACAGAGCCCCCCCAGAGGTAGAACACATCAGAAAACGACGTTCAAAGTCATAGCCCTTGTCCGAATAAATTTCAAGGACATGTCTAACCAGATATATCGCTTCAAGATCTGCAGGGGCGTTGGGGTGCTCGCCGGTCATGAAGAGCCGATTCACTTCCGGTCCGCCGAGAATGAATCGTTCCAGACTGATCCAGTCCGTGCAGGTCTCAGTGTCCTCGGCTAGCACATCGCCAGGGAGCGTACCTACACAGCCCATTGTGATGATGGTTTGGTGATGAAGGTGTGTCAGGTAGGGATTTCACGAGAAGAACGTCAGCTGCAAATCTGTGTCCATTGCCTATGATGGACGGCAGAGTTGGAAATACTCTTATATAGATAAGGCTCTCTTGTATTCCACTCTTCCAAGTCAAAGAAACACGACACCATACAACATGATTGTGCGGATGAAAGCGATGCTGGGTGTTCTTTCAAGACATAACCAATAATCGCCTCGCCTGTTGACAGCCAGTTCTACATGAGACAAAGATTGCACCCTTTGTTTCTAGCTAGCGAGTCGCGCAAATTTGCAGTACCTTGGACTAATACAGTGTGTGGACAAGAGGTGTCATGGAAGATCCTGCATAGGTAGATATATTGCCGTGTGAGGCCGACTCGACTATGCACAGATTCCTCCTCTCCACTTTTCTCGAGCAACGTGATGGTCACTGGAGCTCAGCGATCTGCAGAAATTGCTTCCTTCAACGAGTATCTGGAGGCTGGTGACTTCATGTGCACCAATACCGAGTTCAAGGCCTGATGCACTTGTCGATGGGGTGATCGCGGTTGAATGACCTGTATTAGGTGGGACGAATCCGAGAGCGACTTTGGGAAGTGTTTGGGCAGAAGGGTTGAACAAGTTGAAACTGAAGACCGGAGAAAAATGCTGCGAGTTGACACAAACGGTATACACCTGGACGGCTCGTATAGTCGACTGATTCAAGGGCAAAACCGCGTCCCTCTCATGGAATGAAAGTTCGTAAGACCATGATGCAGGCAATGCTTCGGGTACGAGGGCTGACTTCAAGGCTTAGATCGCACATATATCGGAGAAGCAGAGTACTATGGACACCAGCAAGTCTCCAAGTTCGCCTGCGATTTCTTACTCGCGCCGAGATGGAGTCAGAACTGGAGCTGTTTCGTCAATAGTGCTGCAGCATGAAGTATCCATCGCGCCAGATCTGACTACCGGCTGATTGAGCGGGGAAAGCAAATCCCATCTCGAAATCTGGAAGATACCTGCTTTGCCAGAAGGGCTGATGGAGCGATGCGGGATTGGTCACCCGAGGCAATATACCTGGACGGCAGACGCAACTGCGTGACATTAACGGAAGGGAGGAAGCTATGATCATGTGCGAAGGTGAGTGTATTTAGACATCGGTGGAAATCTGCTTGGGAACAGAACTGTTGTCGGAGATGTTGTGTAGATCCATTGACTGAGACCTCCGCCTAAGGATCTCATTGAAGTATCAAGACAGCATCTATCCACGTCCATTGCATGAGATAACACCACCAAGCATTAGACAGGGATGCGATACAGTGTATATAATCTACATCTGGGGTGATAGTCGGGCTGCGCAATTGGGAGCAGTTGGTGGGTTGCGGGAAACAAAAAGGAACAAAAAGAAAAGCCGAACGCGGGGGTTGAACCCGCAACCTTGAGATTAAGAGTCTCACGCTCTGCCGATTGAGCTAGCCCGGCTGACTTGTTGAAACACTACTCTCCTTTCCGGTAACTGCGACGACGAAGTCAGGATCTTTCTGGGGCCCAGGATGCCAGAAGCTCAAGCCAGGCCGTACCCGCGTGAAAGAGCAAGAAAAGAGCGTCAAAAGCCGACCGTCTATTCGCCCCAAAGCCCCCGTAAAACCCGGAATCTTGTCCCTTGAATTAAGCTTCAGCAGACAAGGGAGAGCGACATCACCGATATAACTTGATCCAACACCAGACCACTGAATTAGAAGCCAGATAAGAAGTACGCCCTCCAACCCAGGGATTGACAGGAAGAATTCCACTGATCTTAACCTCCGGAAGCAAAGGTGCCGAAGGCTCGGATTTGGAATCCCCCGTTTCTGTGTGGACACCAGGGGTTGCTCCGGCCATTCCAGATTTACATCTGGCATGAGAATGCAGTGACAAGCATCATCTTTTCCCCCGGCCTCTGTTTCTTGGGCAGAGTCAATTCCTTTCTGGAGAGCAGAAAGGGGAGGGGGGGTGGGTTGCAGCCCTGCCTGTGAAGTTGCGGTCCAGTGGGTCAGATTCATGAAGATTTACCTACAGAGTTTGAGTTGGAAGTTTGTGAATTTTCGCAGGAATTTCTCAAGAATTTCTCAAGCAAGACAGGTGGACCTATTAAAAGAGTCCGGAAGATGACTCCGATAAGGGGGAAGCGGTGCCTCGCCCCAATAAAAGAAGACGCCGCCAACGTGTCATGGTTAGCGCATGAGTTTTCATTCACTTCCCGTCTCTTGTTCGCCCAAAACACATCCACCCCCCCCTCCCCTTCCAGTCAACCCGCTTATCAATGTTATGGCACTGTAGTTATCGCAGTGCCCTCTTACTCCAGCGCCATCCTGATCCCTGACTGAATCACTGACCCCCCACCCTCTCTTTCTTTCTCAATCTCTCTCTCTCTCTCTCTCTCTCTCTCTTTGTCTCGTTTTCGTTCTCGTCGGTGAGATCGATTCTTTGCCTGGCTTTGTTGGAAAAGTCATGGCCCAACAAGGATCCGACTTCACGTATACCTACCGCCCTATTGCCCCGAAGTCAACTCAGAGAAACAAGCGGGAAGCTCCCGACCCCCCGGAGCCCCAAGGGCCCAAGAAAGACAAAATAAAGAGATCGAGTACATCCTGCGTAGTGTGTAAGCAGAAGAGGGTACGAGTAAGTGCCTCATTCTCATTCAGCTCCTACCCACCCCTCATGCTGTGCAACCCCGTTCTGGCCCACCTCTTGCCCCGAAAGACATTCCACAAATGGGATTGAAGATCAGACCTTGTATATCCGTCCGCTGTGTATAATCCGAACTTTGACCCTCCTGCCAGCCTAATTTAAACAGAGGTGACAAACCGTCATCCATCCTGGGGCCAAGCCGAGGGTCGGTCCAGGATACGATAAGCGGAAAAGACGATCAGCAAGCATCCCTTGTCCCTGAACTAGCCACACGCGAGCAAGAACCACCATCCCCAGCACAACCCTCCCCCGCTCCCCCGTTGATATCTGATTTTCCTGCTTGATGCACCGCCTCGTGACACAAACTCCCCAATTGACCAAGAGACAAAAACAATAAACAGTGCAACTGGGAGCAAGTGGGCATTCCTTGCACGCACTGCCAGCTTCAACGACAAAACTGCATCGTCGACAAGTTCAGCGACAGACGTCGCAAGGAAACGGCGGAATACATTAGCGCCCAAGCCAGCTACTACCGCGGCTACCTCGAGCAGGTCATCCGGGTCTTTGGCGCCGACGACGAGGCAATCGTCCAGGCGGCCATCGAAATCATCCAAGCCAAGCTTCCCGACGAGGAGACCCGGGCCCGGCTGGACGCTCTGGTCCCCCCGGACGAGCAGCAACCGTCTCTCCTGCCGGAGGAGGAGGTGTTGCATGCGATTCTCCAAGCTGGAAAGGTGAAGGGCGAAAATGTTGCGGTTGGCTCGGGAAAGCTGGGGTTAGATTCTATTCCGGAACAGACTTGAAATCTGGAGCATCGGGCGATTTAAGCGAGTTGGGCGGCCTGGGCGGGCTCTTTCCCGAGTTCTATTTCTTCACCCCCGGGGAACGGAGTGAGCGAGAATGGTTCTGCTCTTGTTGCGTTGTGAGAGTAGAGGCTGCTGGTCAAGGCCAGGTGGGGGTTTCCATTCTTTGCTAGCCTGGTGTACTCGAGCTCGCTCTCTCTGTGTCAAGGTACGAGCGTAATGTTGAACGAGCCCTTGTTTCTCACCTGTGCCACCGGCTGTTTACTTCAGGGTGGGTGAACGCGAGGTGACCAGTCCAAGGAAGATAGAGCGCTATTGCGGGGGGTGGATAAGGTGCAGAGTAGTGAGAGCACGAGGGAATTGAAGCGGCAAACAGAGGAGCATGTTTGGGGGAGTTTTGAAGTCCAGAGCCAATCCATTCAGAAGCACTGGAACTGGGATCCAGCCCTAGGTATTGATCGAAATATTTGTTATGGTCGATAAACCAGGTTCCATTTGCCGTGAATGAAACCCGTTCCATACATCCACGACCCTTTGATCTTCCCAACAAAAAGATTGTTGCGCGCCCTTTAAGCCTGAATTCGCAGCTAACCAGTGCAGAAGCGCAGCATTTGTCTACCAATCCCCCCTACACGCAGTGAAAGAAGCGGCGAACGCCAATGTGGACAACAATCCATCTCTTCTCAATCCCGTCAACTCACTGTGTACACTCAGCCAGCCTCTAGTCAGTGGGCTGAACCCAGTCGTAGGTCCTCTCATGCAGCATCAGCGTGTCTGGTTGGTATCCGACGAGAGAGATCTCCGAGGAAAACTCATTCGAACCATTTGCCCGCTCGTGCGTGGTGCCTTCACTATTTGCTAGATACTGTAATTCCTTCCCGTAGCCCTGGCGCATAAGGTCTTCCACAATCGACACGATCTCATCGGTGGTCGACTCCGTCTCTTCGTCTCGATCGATGTAGAGGACCCGTAACTTGGCGAGGGATAGGGCGGACTTGATTGCTCTCTATTGTGCAGACGGATGAGAGGTTAGCCTGAGTTTTATTGATTTAATTTTTTTTTCCTTTTCAAGAAACACGGTCGTGCTGGAGAAGTGTGTGAAGGCAGTAGGAATGAGCAAAGGGAAGGGGGTTAGAAAGGATATCCTGACCGCGTCAACCTTTGCTTGTCGAATCCGTAGCTCCTCCAACAACGGAAATGTCCTTGCCAGACGATCGAGTAGTTCTACGCAAGCGCAGGGCGCGTATTCGTAGCAAGGCAGATTCAGAGCGAGTCCCCTCAGCGTAGCGCCATGCTGCCTGTCAAGCACCTCGAACAGAGCCCTGGAGGCGGTCAGTCGAGCAGGCTCTCGGCCCTTGATGGGGGTGATCTGGAGTGTTTCCAGACCGCTGAAGCCCTCCAAGAAGCCCCCCAAGGTATCGTCAGCGAAGTTAGTGGTGAGCCGGGTGGGCCGAAAGCCAGCTGCGAAGCCAGCATCCCAGAAATCCCGGACCGTGGGGACGATGATCCCCGGGTCGGCAAATTCCAGGGTGAGCGTGGTGAGCTTTTTTGGGCACATGGTCGCCCAGAAATTGGCCGGCGTGACCCCCAGGGCACCGAGTCCGCGCAGGTCCAGCAGGTGGAGATTCGAGGGAAGAGTCGTGGGCCAATGCTCGAATAGGGCGCCGAGGCTGATACCGGAAATGTTATCCGTCCAGATGGTGAGTTCCCTAAGGTTCGTCGCGCTTCTGATGGTGACTCCCAAGGATCCCATCACTTCCACGTCATCGATTTGCACGAGAGACAGAACCGTCAGATTCGCGGAGAGTCTCATGGTCAGCGGGGGCCGGAAGAAGGGCTTAGGGGTGCAGTCGGTGCCCATGCGAAGCTGCAGACGTCGGAGCATCGGCTGGAGGACGAGATTCGAGACCAGAAACTCGGTGAGAGCCACCGGCATATCCCACCTGTCTCAATTGGAAGAAAAGAACATTATCGCCTGGTCTCCAAGTACGAGAGCGGAGCGTGCTCACTTACACAAACTCTTCCAGATTCGGCATCCGAGCGATGCAGACACAGAGGATGGTGCTGAACATCCTGGCCGCCGGCGAAAGAAGCCGCAGGGGGGCAATGAAAGAGTCGATGGAGGCATAACTCGCGTACCAGGTCCCCGACACGATCACACGCCGCACGAATTCGAGCTTGTCAAAGTTGGGATGGACAAAGGTGTCCAGCTTCAACAGCATGTTGTCGTGGGGATCGATTTCTCCACGACTATGAAAGCGCAGAGTGTGATACAGCAGGGGAATCGCTTTCTCGTGGAGCGATCGCGATACTTGCGACAACGAGGCATGGTCTCTTTGCGTCATCTATCCGGTCATCAGTTCCTACAGGTAATTCGTACAACTGGGAGGCAGCAATCAGAAACAGGATCAGCTCACGAACGGCCATATGTTCTCTATGAACATGTTCAGGATAAATGCCATGATAAGGATGGTAAAATCGCGTAGGGGGACGTTACAGCGGGCATGATGTTCCTGGAAGATCCGACAACATATGGATCTGATGCTGTTTAATTGTGGAAAATACGCCGTGATGTCATCAATCATCAATGCACTCTTGAGTAAACACTTGTGTAATTTTTGGTTCATGGGCTAAATGCTCCTTCGAAGCTTTGGTCGATCAAACGTCGATCAACCCTGGGTCTACAGGATGCCTAACTGAGATATGAACCTAAAAGAGCCCTTTGAACCAGGAATATAGACCAGAATGCTGCTCTTTGCCCCCGTTTCCTACGGAATGACAGGAATGGATCGATCAAATGAGATCATATCCCCTCGCGAATCCACACAAATAAGGCTCCTCCCGGAATCTACAGCAGCGTGGCCTGCCATTGGCTCAACCCAACTACCTCTTTCTCTGGCACTTTGTTCTTCTCTTTGCTTGGAACGGGTTCGGATTCAAGATTCTTTCTCTCCAAACGAAAGAGGGTCTCATTCACTCATTCAACCCCCCTCAGTCCGACAACCCTACACAAAGCACTCCGACAGTCGGCCAAATCCCTCCCAAAACCATGCCCACTTAACTCGTCCACTATAATCCACCACATACCCATTTCCCTCTCCTCGAAGAGCCCACACATCCCCAGAATGCGAGACGCCTGCGTGTTGAATCGATCCTGCACCCCGTCTACAGTATTCTGATACCAGGGCCTCCTCGCCCGAGCCAGCCGTTCCACGCCATCGGATTTGCCGTCCACGCCCTGCGCTCCCCCCCCCCCCAGCCACAGCCATTGCGTCCTGTCGGGGCCGAGTCCGCAGCATACTCAACGCCATACACCGGATCCAAAAATTGTCACTTTGCTCGTCGCCGGGTTGACCCAGAACATATTATAAGACATCGTCTAGTCGAAGAAGGGACCCGTGGTGATGGCCGTCCAGTGCAGGGTGGTGCCGGTGGGCCGGGGTTGCTGCTGCTGCTGCTGCTGCTGAGCCATAAGATGCTTGAGGGCCTGTCGTGCCTGGAGCTTGGGCGCAAATATCTGCAGCTCGTGCGCGTATGCGTTGAAGGTGTCGCTGCTGAAGTCCCGGGACATGGATGGGTACGGTGGCTCTCGCGGCTTGCACGATGCGGTCCTGGTGGATGGCGGCGCTGGGGTGAAGGCATCGATAATGGCGTGTTTGTGCGTGAAGGCCTTTGTTAAGCAATGCGAGGGACTCGTAGGCTAGAGTCGATTTCCCTGAGACGGGGATGAGGTGGGTATGGCGTGCTGGAGAGATTAAGGTACGCAGTAGAGGGGTTCAGCTTCCCAGCTTGATGATGGCTGGAAATAGGTCTCTTACGCCGAGCACAATAACGTTGCGGATGCTGGTGGACATTTTGCAGTCGATCTTGAGATCTCTGTCTCGACAAGGTACACATGGCGATGCTTCATACTGGTATCTATCCCTCCACCATAGAGTTCGTGGAAGATCGGTGCAGTCTTTGCGTTGGGAGGAATTCACTTACTATACGAATTTAGACCGACTGCCCACCAGGATCAAGAGGATGTGTCAGACTCTCGAGACCGACCTTTCAACGATTACAACAACAATTTCGGAGAGAATCAATGGCATAAGTTGAAACGCAATTTGGGATCAGTCTACTCCCACGATGCCACTCTGTCGATGCCACTCTGTAGGCGAGAGGAATCCGTGATAGATCCTCAAAGTACTAAACTAACATCCTCCTTCGACAGAGAGACATGCCATCTCCGCATCTTAGGTGGAAGTATATTTATGCAAAGCTTGAACAAGCCATACCAGGACAATTTCTGCCCCGGGTTTAACCAGAGCTCGATCATCACACAGCTGTTACTGAACCACCTAATGCATCCTCTAGAGAGTCTCGCATGGCATGCTTTAATATGCCTTGTCCGCATCCGCGCCGCACTTGCTTCGTGGTCTCGAGCAGAGCAAAGGCTGAAAGCCACAGTAGCATGATCAATCTCTTATAAGCATTCATCTTTTGTATATAGCTCCGAGCAATAAACACAAGGGACAACAACCACTATATGACATTGTAGACAGTTCACACGCAAGGGCATTTTTCTCGTCATCATGAGTAATAATAAAGATCAAAACACAATCGTCATGTTTTCCCTCCCTACCGCCACCACCCAAGGTGTCATTAAACGCAGCCCTGTGGAGAGAACACCACACGACAAGCGCTGCACAGACCCTCTCCACTGAGCATAATCTTCATCCTTACAAACCGACTAAATTGAGCATGCGCATTCACCGAAAGTCCGAGTCAACACCGTTCTCCGCGTATACCTGTAAGCTGTACTTGGCGAAGTTGCTTTGTTTCCTCATGCGTTCCCCGTAGCGGGCGAGCAGCGGCGGCACCACACAAAACACCGTCGCAATCGCCGCCAGAATCGAGACCCCGATATTAGCGCCCAGCGCATCGAACATCGTGCTGCCAAACAGCGGAAAGGTGGCGGAAAGAAGCGAGCGGACGATCGACAAGGCGGCGAATCCGCTTGCCGCGTAGCTCAGATAAGAGTCGGCCATGTACTGCGAGACGACCACCTCCATCTCGTTGAGGGCGTACCCGGTGAAGAAGAGGGCGACCACCGGCACCGACCAGTGGATGTCTGCACCGGCCGGCGGAATGGTCCAAGCAAACCACCACAGCGAGACGGCAAGAACCGGCGCCCCAATGTAGATCCCGGTCAGCTTGTCCTCCGGCTTGATGGTGCGGCCCTCTTTTAGATGCCGCTGCGTGTTGCGGTAGTCCAGAATGCGGGTTGCAATGTTGGGAACAAACCCCAAGCCAAGTGCAAGGAAGGGAAGGCTCGACGTCTCAGTGTCAAAACCAAAGGCTTCAAAGATGGGTGGAAGAGCCTCGGTAAACAGATAGATGAGAGCTACACAAACAGAGAATACCATGGTGACGACGAAGACGATGGGCTCCGTGAAAAACAATCGGAGAGGGCGAAACAGTCCGATATGAGCAAAGGTGCGAAGGTCGGGCATAAAGTCAGGGTTGAGAGCCAGCAGCGATTCATTACCAGTCAATTTGCGCAGCGCTTGAACCTCCCGCGCCAGGATCAAAGAGGGTCGCGATTCCTTGATACACATGAGCATCAAGGCGAGAACACACGTGACGATCGCTCCAATGTTGAAAACCCATCTCCTAAAAGTGCTGGTGAGTAGCCGCCTCACAAGGTGAGGGCGAAGATTCAGGACACACATACCAACCATATCGATAGGTGATGTAGGAGCTCATGATAGGGCCCGTGCTAACCCCAAGGCAAGCCATGGCCACGTAGACCAGCATCACCCAAATGCGATCCTGTGAGTTGAAAAGGTCTTCAATGCTGCCTGTAATTACTATCGTGGGGATCGCAGACAGAAAGCCGGTGACTAATCGACCTATGACCAGAGCACTGGATGACGGACAGGCGCCGATCAGAAGACAAAATGCGCTATACAGCAAAGCACTGAGAATATAAAGTCGTTTCCGACCAAATGTTTCTGAGTATGGGGGGAAGACCACACCACCAAGACCTTGGCCTAACAGGTATCTAAGGCGCATTAGACTTGATGTATGGGCACAGAAAAGGGAGACTTACGTGGAGACATAAAGGAACAGCGTGAAGGTCTTGGAGGTTCCGAATTCAAGCTGGGCCGCTTGCGCTGTCGATGCCTGTGGGTGAATTAGCAAAAATTGATGGACGCAGGCTAGGTCAGTGAAATAGTGGTAGCTCACCCCGGATGTACTCATCGCAGTCCTATCATGTTTCGTTAGTTGACGCCGTGGAATTAACTTGGTACAGTAGGACTAGGAGGTAGGTATGCTCACGTGAAAAACTCCAAGAGGCCAATCACAGCGATGTCATACGCTTTGCGTGCTGGGCGCCAGTTGCGAGGATGTTTCCTGTTGGACTTGGCCCATCGCAAGTGGCCTCCGTCCGGCGTCAACTCCAGCCCATGCTCAGCTGCAAGACGATCTAAGTCAGTATAGTCGGCGATTTTCAATTCACCCATCGTGAGATCACTGATCACCCTGGGCCATCAAGCCGGTTTGCTGGGTTGATTTTAAAGGTCCGGCGAGAGAGCCCTAAACAAGGGATACATACCTCTTACACTGGGCCACAGGGGTGGTCCTTGGTGCCAGCCAGATCGACATTCACTCTAATCGATAATCGCTAGGAACCCGCGCGCCTACGGAGCTCTTCAGAAGACAGAACTGAGCACTCAACCACAGCAACGGATGAATGATAGCTCGAGAGCAAATGTCCAGGGATACCTGGATCCCTGAATTTGCGATCTCGGGTTGCCAACGAGCATCGGGCCCAGCACTAGAAGCAACCGTCAGTACAGGTGCTCCCAGTCGACAACACGCCCTGCACACGCCACCCATCTGAAGATCCTGTGCCAGTCCACATCAGCTTTGTCGTGTCAACCGAGGCAGGTGGATCGTCTGATGATGGTTGATGGTCACGGAGGACGAACATCAGTCGAAAGGGTCCTAGCTCCAGCTTTATTTAGAAGGCGCTGGGGTTCGGATTCACTAGAATCCCCTGTGGTTGGAATGTAGAAAAAGCGAGGAACGAGGAGCTGTCACTTGAAAGGTGACGAGAGGCGAAAGCAAGCTTTGAGTGCATCTGATGTTGGGTGGCTGTCGGAAAATAATTGGGCTTTTTGGGAAGAAATGATATCATGCCCCCTTCGGTGCATCTTCTTTAGGTATGGGATCATTGCGGAGGATGTAACATGCGACCAGGCAGTACTGACAAGGTGATAGGTCAGCCCTTTCTCACGCTTTACGAGTCCCAGCCGGGATCTGTAATGTTATTCGCAATCTCGCGTTTGATCAGCCTGAGACGAAGGGAGGACGATCCCCATTCCGCTTCGTCATCCCGCTAAGGCGCTAATCCTGTAGGGCGAGGTATCAGTCCAGCGATGGGCAACGCGCGAACAAATTAGCAGAAGGACGACTTATGTATCCGAAGAGCACAGCATATCGAAGAGGAGTTGAGGGTGAATCCAGTGGCGGTGGTTGGGGGGTAGAATGCATGCCTGAGGCATCACAGCCATCGCTGTTTTTGGCGGTCGTGCCGCTTTTGCATGGGCCACGCGTTTCAAGCGTTGGACGCGACCGATGATTTCAGTGTGCAAAAGCATCTCGCTCTTCCGGCTCTGTGAATTGATTCTCCATACCTTGTCACCGCAATTACCCCATGGACCAACGCTGGCTTGCACGCAAGGTGACTCAGAGCTATCCCACAGTTCTTAAGAACAATAGAGCGTATCCGCGCCTCCGTCCGGCGATGTGCCGCACGATTCGAGTGTCTCGCAAATAACAGTCAGCGAAAGAGCCTCCTGAGGGACTGGAGGCGGACTTACTCAAGATGCTGGCTTGCTGTTACCTGATCCTCAGAGCTGTACTAGCTGGTCGGAAAGACCTGGCCCTGCAGCTTCTCCGCTCGTTTCTCGAGGACGGGCACCAGATCGCTGCGATGCGCGTCGACAAGCTTCTTTTCACACACTATAAGCCGCTCTAAGCATATGAGCCATTTCTCTTTCCTAAGATCAAGCATGACCAGGAGTAGCACCAACCCCATTTAACGGACGATCGAACTCCCAGTACCACCTTGTCACCTCGCTAGCGAGCATGATGAACTTGTTTTGCCGTCGTCGCTCTCTCTCCATGTCCTGGGCTTGGAACAGCCATGATAGGTGCACGCTCCCTCATCAAGACGTAGTATACTTCTTGGCGAACAGTAATCCAGTACGCTGCCGTTGCAAGCGACTGCTCAAGGCGATGCGAGATCATTGACTCGATGAGCGTCTGAGTGATGGGCAAGGAATTGACTCGATGGTGGCGGTTTCTGCAAGGGGCCCTCATCTGCCATATCTTCCTCCATCTCTTCAGACTGGCGGAGAGATGCTCTCTTGCTCCCCAGGGTTAGGTTCATCCGGAAGCTTGACCAGGCCGGATGCAAATATTGCATCTCGTACGGTGGAGCAGTGCCTTGCTCGTCGAGGGAGCTCGAGTCGAAAGTGCCTAAGACGATCGCAGTGGTCGAACTGTATTGTTGTCAAGAATTGAGTTGTGATCGACTGTGGCAGGAACATATCCATGGACAGATCTCTCCAATGAGGTGCCTTTTTGAACAAGATTGGTGAAATTAGCGAGACGACGCCACATGTGTGGATCCAAAGATGTCAGATGTCATACTACCCCAACATTTGGAGCATGGTGTTGGAGCATTTTATGGTGTGGTGAAGAAGGCTCGGAGGACTCGACGGCGACGGATTGCCGGGTGAGGAGGAACCCGGCACTCTGTCACTTTTACCCCACAGTTGAAGTACTTTTGCTCTGAGTCCACGGTGTCTCTTCATGCCTCCTAGCATCTTCCCACGCTTCCAGTTCGGTGCTCTTCACTCAATCTTTTCTCTCTGCTCATCTCATACAAGCGATTGGGTCCTTTTGGAAAAGTTACTTGAGGCAAAGCCAGTGGGCAGGAAGGACTATGCCCATAAATCACAGCTTTTCGACTCGAACACGACGGAGTATAAGAAGTATATAGAATGTTAATCATTGTTTAGACGAACAGCAGTATTCGCATTGCTACATCACAAACCCTGTACTAGTGTTTAAATAGGTCAAATGCTCTCCCCCGCCCGCAATCAACGTCAATACCTATCGGTCCATCTGCATGAGATTCGCAAGGATCATTGAGCCTCCCCTGACGAATGTGGGGTCAAACAGAAGGTGATCGGTGCATTTGGTAAGCACAGGCTGACTTGACGCATACACGCATACCCCACCTGTCAATCTCAGCCTCACAACTCCACGCAACACAAACACAAAACAAACAACACTGCACACACAAACATGTCTATTGCAAAGCTAACTCAAAGCTTTCCTGGCTTTGAGCCCCAATCGTCATCAACGCGCCGATGAGCGGCTTCGCCACCAGCCCACTCGCGACCGCAGTGACACGCGCCGGAGGCCTCGGATACATCGGGTTCCTGACCGACCGTGCAGTCCTCGAGTCGCACCTCCAGATCGCGAGACAGGAATCAACCACCTTCAGCAGCCCCGATCCGGTAGTCTCTGGGCTGGCGCTGGGGTGGGCATATTCAACCAGGTCGAAAGCGCTGCTGATATCGTGGCAGCTGTCAGAGAGGGAGCAAGAACAAGATTGCAGGGTGGGGGCACTTTGATTTGAGAGACCACATAGTACTTTTAGTCATGTTGATCAAGCAGTTTTGTTCCTTTTAGCGCAAGATATCCGCCGCTGCATCCCGAGGGTTGGAATGATTCACACCTCCCACTGGAGAAGCGACTATTCACTCGAGTCAAGTCTATTTTTGTCACGTGTGGAAGAAATTCGAAATAGGGCCATGTGTCGGCCGCTTGATATTCGAAGAAGTAAGTAGCATTCCTGGTGGGGGTCCCGCCAACGAGCATGGAAGAACACGACGAGCCTAGCAGGATAGTTAATATACAGATCTTTAAGCCACTCGCGGAAGATTGTCTAGCATCTTGGTCCAAGTAGCGCATACCGCCAGCCTCTCTCCAAGGAACAGCCAGCGGCAAGAATGAGGCCCAGATCTTTCAGGCAGCCACCCTTGCTCTGCCCTAACATTCCACACCCACGCCTCCCCCGGATCGTCAGAATACAGTGCAGTACCTCTCTATCAGCTTCGATCCTCCTTGGAAACTACTTGACCACCCTAGGAGCTTCTCGCTTCCGCGCAGTCAGTAGTGCCATTGAAGTCCTCACATCCTCTCACACACCAACCAAGGACCAAAATGTTCCTCCCCGGCAACTTGAAACACCTCACCTCCGCCCTCCTCTGCGCCCTCCCAGCCCTAACCAGCGCCTCCCCCGAGCAAAAGCCCGCCTACAGCATCACCGCCCCAACCCGGGACGCGATCCTCACCCCCAACACGCCCAGCGTGATCTCCTGGGCCACCACCCAGCGCAGCAACACCCAGCTCTCTATCCACCTCGCAACCACCTCCAACAACACCAGCCTCTGCACCATCGCCACGAACATCAGCAACTCGGGCTCGATCTCCTGGTCGCCGCCCGCCCGCATTCCCTCGGGATCGGAGTACATTATCGTGCTTGATCCCGCCACCACTTCCAACACCATCAACACTACCTCCTCCTCCTCCTCATCCGACGACAACAACCCCGAAGAACCAAAGCACTACCAATCCAACCCCTTCACAATCACAGCCCCCAAGAGCACTCCGAGGAACAAAACCTCCACGACGGGGGGAAACTCCACCGAGATGGCGACAACATACTACCCAACCGAGAACCAGCGTCTCACCCGCGGGAAAACGGCGATTGTGACGTGGCCGGTGGCGCAGGACAAGAAGACCGCGCAGGTTAGTGTCTATCTGATGGAAGGGGGTGGCGGCGCGTCGAGCGCTTCCGACGAAGAAAAGAATGTATCGAGCGTGGCAAGACACGTTGCTAACTCGGGCAGTCTGGCGTGTGTGCTGCCTGGGAATCTGACGGTGGCGGATGATTATCGGTTTGCGATTGTGGAGGGGGAGGGGGAGGTGCAGTATTCGGCGAGGTTTCGCGTGGTGAGTGAGGATGAGGATGAGGATGTGGATGCGGTCAAGGAGAGTAAGGAGGAAGATGTGGGAGCTAGTGCGGATGAGTCTGGGGGTGTGGCTACCAATGCTACTTCTACGAGCAGTGGGTGGGCCAGTGGCTCGACGGAGGCGTTGAAGTCGGATTCGACCTGGATTGCTACGGCTGCTGGGTCCAGGGTCGTGGGGTGTGGAGGGTGGACTGCGCTGGGGATGATGGTGGTTTTGCTAGTGGTGTAGGGTTGGCGGAGTGTGGTCGTTTACAGTACGTGAAGTTCCATGTTTGATGAGCGTTGATGTTTCGTTAGTATTGCATTGTTTCATAATCTGGGGTTAGCGTCGAGGATCATCTGGGAGATTTGAAAGTACATTGGTCTATGTCTTGGGGCACTAGGCACACGCAAGTGTTGATCTGCACAGAACTTCCGCACTGTTCACGATCTAGAGGAGAAGACGTCTGTGAGGAAAGCCGATATAATCTCCTCCTGCCGCCCCAGGAAAGCTGCTGGACGAATCTAGTATGTTGATTGGTGAGCTGACTGAGTTTTGAGCATCCAAGTTACACCCTCCAACACCCACTCGCTCGAAGACGGTGTCCCCTTCGATCAAAGGTATCTCGTCTCGCTGACACGGACAATAGATTCGTAGCAGTGTACCATTTGGGGCCAAACCAGCAGGCAAAACCGATGGGGTTCGTGGATCTGGTCACGTCCGTCGTCCAGTCGACCTTTGGGGGGTGAGACAGACCCCTAGATTTCCTGCCAAGAGGCAAGCCAGGGTGTTTCGCAGGTTGGGCCATGCGATTCCTGTCGATAGGGTTGTGGCGGCCAAAGCTAGATCTGTCTCGTATCCCAATGCGATAAACCTGGAGTATCTCGTGCATCGAGCCATGTCACCTAACCCGTGCAGAAGAGGCCGGTGACGGTCTTTCGCGTTGTGCACAGAGATAACAAAGAGATGGACCAAGATATGATGCGTCCGACCTGAGGGATAGAGCTCCATCACACATCAGAACTGAGTGGTGACTGTGCTCACGGGCAAGCCGCAAGGCTGGCCAGTTTCACGAGATGATACTAAACCATGTCGAAGAAGTAACGGATCAAATCTCCACATTCGCTTCCATCTCCTAAAACCAAATATGACATGCGCGATCTCGACCAAGAAAGCGAGCTTTCCGCAGAAGCGTAGATTCGTATCCGAGGAGGTCAAGAGCCCCTTCAATTGCACCGAGCCTCATCTAATGAGCTTCGCCGAACTACCAGCAGCTTAGAGGTTCGGATAGCCTGTCTAGGTGGACCCATGTGGATCCATGTGGCGATGCGACTACACGAGACGGCCCGCATCATTCTCTCCTGGCAGCCAGGCGAGCGGTTGCTGTATCCGCAATTACGGCGCGCCTTTACGAGAATAGTCGATCTCGCTGCTCAGATTCATTGTTGAACCTCGTGAACGACATCTAGATCGCCTTCAGTATCTCAGTCGTGAGATCAGAGACTGTATAGCTGCATACGAACGACCAGGTCTAGATCAACAAGAATTGTCTATAAATCGCTCGATGCATCCTGGGCTTCATTGACTCTCTTGTTCATCAGCAACTCAGCTAATCCACCGACCAGACTAAAAGATAAGACTGTCTCAAGTTACCCTTGACAAAATCAATTCACACTTGCAACCAAAATGCAGTTGAAGAACATCCTCGCCGTCTTTGCCGCAGCCAACCTCGTCGCTGCCGTCCCCACTGCCGAGCCTGGCGACGATATTGATGTCGCCGGAGGTGAGGACGAGATTCATATCGTGGGAAGAACTAATCCTCCCCCACCTCCCCCAGCCAGCTTTTGGTGTAAGGGAGCGATTGTCGCCGGTGTTGCTGGCACTCAATGCGGGTTGACTTCTTGCATGAACATGGGTGGCCCTGGAGGCGGTGGGCAGTGTGGAAACCTCCAGTGTTCAACCGGCAAATATGTCGCTTTTCCAGCTCCGGTAGGTCGAGTGTGAATCCTAGATTCCGCAGATCCCAGTCCCTGAGGTACTGACAATGAGTTAGAGTCCCAACAACTGGAATTCGTACGTCGTCTGCTCGAAGTAAGACCCTGGGCATCGTTGGCTGGATCATGCCGAGCGCTTCTCCATGCTCACCGCTGGCATGTATAACATCGACGCATGCTGGGTCCTGAGGTCACTGTTATTTGGGGGGCTGTGAAGTTATGCTGGATCATCGCAGAGAAAAGCCCACATATTTCCGAAATGTAGCTAGTTATCATCAATCTTCTAATGTCAATTCATTGGTCTTCTTCATCATCTTCGAAAAGAAGAGCAGCGCAAGAGATTAATCTCCTTAATGTATGTAGTGCCAAGTGGACCGGGTCTTCCCTACGGTAGGGCTGGTTCTCGACTGGTCGATCCGTAGACCATTCCGCGGGAAGCTTCACTTGCCACCCTCGTGTCTCGCCGTTTGCGGCCATTTGCCCCACAACCAGCAATTGCAGTATGACCATTTGATGAGGAAGCCCGATTCTACGTAGTCACACTCCATGAAAGCGAGGTAGCAGTCGTTCATCCATGAGTCAAGCACAAATAGAATAAGACCTTCAAAGTCATGAATCTCGCGCATACAGCAATGTTGAAATATAAATTGAATGCTTCTGTTTCACCAGTTGACGGATCCTACACGACACCCAAGGTGAAGTTCCCACATACTACCCCGGTTTCGTGAAGATTCCTTCAGTCGATGAGTTGTGCTAAAGACTAATTCGCCGCACTGCTCTGATGGCCGAGTCTCCGACAAACTAAAATACCCACCAACAGCCGCAGATATCCGCCGCAAAGCTGATCCTGTTATTGCACCGTGCATGAGAGATACGAAGCAATTCAATCCTTCAGATTCATTCTCCTCATGATAGCTATATAGCTATGTGAACCTCACGCCCTCCGGGCAGAAAGCCCCCGGACCCTCCGGCTTTGCGTCGGGTTTTGAAACGAGTCTGGGGAAAATCCAATCGTGTAGAGGTTGGCACCTACACTCGACTCAGACTAGAGTGCTCCACCTTTTCCACTGTAGAACACGGGGTAGAGAGCCAAAAAGCTCGGTTAGCAGAGTCAATGGTGTTTGTTCTTCAAATGCCAGTCCCCGCAGTGAGATTTCTTCGGATATGAAATGATCCTCGTGGCATGGTGCGTTGTCTTGACCAATTGAGGGCGAATCGACCTCTGAATTCTGTCCTAGAGCCCTGTTCATTATAGTCTTCATCATGGACGTGGTTTACCTGTGGATCTATTAAGGTTCCTCACTCTTCTTGATCGAGAGGCGGGGTGAGGGGGTAACAGGACTAATGTGAACTGGTATCACTAGATGGATGACCGGGACTGTTTGGGTTGTATTTGAACCGGGGGTTGTGGTTCCAAACTCCTGGCAAAGTGGCCCTGACGGTTGTCAATGGATTTATGGGGCGATTATAGTAAGCCCTTGTTGTTTCTTACGTCTATTCTGCCACGCTGGGCTTACGGCTAATGTGCTGGGCGGAGTGTGGATTAGGGCTGAATGCTCAGGCACAGCGATCCATGAAACTCCTGCCCAGAAGTCCATTTCCTGCGCGAAAAGCTCTTCAGAGGACGGTAGGGTTGCTCAGTCTCTCCGGAGTGGTTCCGGGAAATGATAGAAAAAAACTCACAAGCATTAAAGTCATCACATTCAGATGAAAGTTGCACGATTCGACGGATCTTGAATTCGAAACAGAGTATGCTACACGATCCAGAAACAACACCGACCGCCATCACACACGATCACGACACAAACGCACGCCTACCACTTCAGTTTCTTCGGTATGAATTTACTAGCCTGGTTCTGTAGGAAACCCTTCTTCTCGGGCTCCGGTCCTGGCGACACTCCACTCACAGCCTCCGGTTCGTGAATCTCCTGAGTGTCCACGCCTGGCGCCTTTTCTGCGCTTTTGTGCTTCCGCTCCATGATCTCCACTGCCCAACTCATCGATGCCATCTTGGCAAACATCAACGGCGATACCTTGTTCTTGCCCTCAGCGGACGGGTCGGCCCCAGCGTCAAGCAGTAGCTCTACCGTTCTCTCCCACGATGCCTGGCCATCCAAGTCCGACAGCAACTCGGCTTGCCCCTGAGAGCGCAGCTCATGCGCTATCGCCCCAACAGTCTGCAAGAACAGGAGCAGCGGCGTGCGATGCTCGTCGTCCTTGGCGTTGACATCAGCGCCATGCTCGAGGAGCCGCTTCACCATGACCTCGCGGTCCATGCCGACGACCGCTACGTGAAGCGGTGTCTGGCCAATGCTGTCGCGGCTGGTCACGTCCGCGCCATGATTGAGAAGCGCATCCACGGTTCGCTCCGCATCTTTCACCTTGACGGCGATGTGGAGGGCGGTCTGCGCTGCGTTGATGGCGTGGTAGGTACCGAGAAGAGTCTTTGAAGCTTTGAAGGCCGCGAGACCCCGGGCGGCGAGTCCTATTCCGACGGTGGACTTGCGGTTGGGGTCCGCGCCACCCTTGAGGAGGGCTTCGACGATGGCCTCGAGTCCCAGGATTCCCGCCGCTTTATGAAGGGGCGTGATGCCGGAGCTGTTGGTGGCATTCGGGTCCGCGGAGTGAGCGAGCAACGTGGTCACCGTTTCGACGGATCGCCCGTCAATGGCATAATGGAGTGATGTATTGCCGCCGCCTCGGGTGAAGATGTTTGGCCTGGCCCCAGCCTTGAGCAGCTCCTTAACCATCTGCGGTCCCGCCTCGGAGCGTTCGGCGGCCGCAAAGTGCAGGGCCGTGCGACCGGGATGGAGGAGCCCCAGGGTGGTCGCATCAACGATCGCTCCGTTTTGCAACAGCCAGCGAACCATCTCGACCGCCTCAGAGTCCGCGGCGATGTGTATCGCGCTCCATCCGGAGGTGTCAGGCGCTGCGACGGCCGATGGAAGCGAAAAGTACGAATTCCACGACGTGGCGCGGTCCGCCAGCCAAGGAAGGTTAAGTCGGGCAGACACAAAGAGGAGGCTGGTGCTGGTGGAAAAGCCAGAGTCTAACAATTGTTGGTAGAGCACATGTGGTCAGTGCTGTCTCAGGTAGGCTCGAAGGTAGCATTGTTACTGTACTTACACTTGCCATGTGTCCACCGCTTGAGAAGATCATACGCCTTCATCCAATTTTGCAATGGCACCGACTCGGCCTCGAAGAACCGCTTCATGCCAGTTACATCACTTTCTTCCTGGATCTGACTTTCGCGAAGATGGTCTCCGAGGAACTCAATGGAATACTGAAGGAAGGGGTACCCCGAGAGGTACTTTTGCCGGGTCTTTGTCAGCTCGACTTCATCGATCTTCCAATCTTTATTCACAGGTGGCTTGGGCACTTCGTGGCGCTGGATTTCGTCGAATTGCAGATACGTCAAACAGACCGAAGCCATCTGTCGGTGGGCATCGGCCTTGCTCATCCCGAACCTGGGATAGTCCTTGGCCCCTTCCTCGCTGAATACATGGTTCAGGAAGTCCTTGACGGACTGATGACTCGGATACACAGCGTCACTGCGGACTGTGAAAAGCGTGCCCCAGCTGTTCTCGATACTGTGTCGCAACGCATGGAGATCCTCCTCGGAGGCGCTCCCCCCCGTATATTCCTTCCCATCCTGTAGCGTAAGAATCACATCCAATTCTCTCAGCGTCAACGGACGGCAGGCGAAGTAGACCCACATGAGGAGCGTTCGCAGTCTGCCAACCACATCCCGCGACTGTCGCTCCAGGATTGCGCTGTAAAAAGCCTCGACATCGGAGGGGATGTTATGGAGCCTTTCCTTGACCCGGGACTCGGTCCAAAGACCCTCCCATGTGGATAGGTCGTCCAAGACGAGCGACAGCCACATGAACATGCCCTTTGAGCTCTCCTTGAGCTGGTCCGTGATATCCTCACGGAGCCTGTCAGGGAACTTGCGATACTCTTGAATGCGCCGTACCCGTCTCTCGGCGACTTGCCCAATGTCCTCTTGGTTGCCATCGGGCATGTTCACCGTGAACTCGGGCAACATCTTGTCAGCGACAATTGCACTGCCTCGGTCTGAAATGATGCATCGGAAGATGAACTTTCGGCCCAGATCGTTGGCCTTCTTGTTGATTCGGGTGGACAAATCATTCATTATCCGGAGAATGGGAGCAATGAAATGTCCGCATTGATCCAATCCGTCAATGACAAAATACAACACTTCTAACGAGGGATCCGCAACGATGTCCTCGATGATTCTGAGCAGAACATCGCGTGACTGGAATTCATCGACTTCAACCGTGCTCCCGCTCGATGCTCCCTGCAGGTCTTCGAGGTTCTGAACATGTTGAAGTGCGTATTTGATCAGACCTCGGTTCAGTTGGAGCAGCTTGTATAGCAGGGTCCGCAGAACCCAGATCGGGGCTTTGCGGTGCTCGTTCTTATCGTCGCAGAAACAAGCCACTGCAATGGTTTTGCCCGGAGTCCCGACCTCTGGACTTAGGACCACGTCCTCTGTTAGTGCGGGCGACTGAGGGGTGGCGCTCGACCGCAGGTTGGACTGGATGGCCTTTGTCAGAAATTTTAACAGTACAGTCTTGCCGCTGCCGGGAATCCCGCGAATATATAGGGGGGTGATTGTCGGGGGACTTGTTTGGATCCAGCTCTGGAAGGCCGCACACTCGAAGATCCACTCGCAAGTGCCAGGAAAAGCGCGAGCGATGTCGTGTCGATCTCCAGAATCGCCTGCAACCAGGGCGTCAAGCAATTTCTCTTCGACTGTCTGCTTCTCTCCTGTGGGCCATTGAGTGCATGATTAGCGCCTTGTCCAGACCTTAGGTCGGCTTCCAATGCCAGGACATCTTACCCATATAAACGGAAGCTCCCGCAGCGATGGTCACTTGTTGAATGGCATCACTGTAGAACGACGCTTCCATGGAGCCATAGTTCTGGCCCAACTGAAGGCCGGAGTTCGTCGAGTTATTGAATGAGGCTGACGCCGGTGCTGGAGCCTGGAGTTGTACCGTTAGCACCAGGGGCTGGCAACCACCCATAGTCAACGGAAGCATATCACTCACCACTGTATCAACCATTATGCCACACCTGCTCCCCAAATATTATAGAAATTTTGGATTGTTCACACAGAGGCGTACTTTGGCAGATGCACGGCTGTACGCGATTCCACTGTTAAATAAGACCACTCACATGGAGTGCAGTGAGTAAGTGCTAGAAGCCGGGGTTGCATCTCCGCATCGGCTGGGAAATCCAACACTGCCTCGATTGGATGCCACCAGGGTGGTCGGCCTTCTCCTAGTCAATTTGAGTCCAGTTCAGCTGTCAGAAGACGTTCAGCCCTCCGCGCTGCAAAGTGTGATCATAGGTGCAGATCTCAGCTGCACCAATGAGGGGCCAATATGCAGCTCGCTTGCAGTCACCCAAACAAAGTATTCCCCGTCAGCAATCGATCAGCGCCCACTCCTCACCCCTCATCTTTGGCCGGTACAGTTCATCTACCTTTCTGCGAGAGCCAATTCAAGGCCGTGCCCCTCTCCCTTCAAACACGGCACCCGTTCGGAACAGGGTGGAAGCAGGCCGTCTGTACAGACTTTCAGCACACACCATTCATCTGATCTGAAACGGATACCGCCCGTTGATTGGACCAAATCACAAAGATGGTGATCAGGCCTCGTTTGGAATGGCTGCAGCTGCTGAGTCTGCGATTGTCGTCCCAGAGGCGCTGCCCGATGGCTCAGGATGAGACATCTCCTCTCAGAAGCTAGCACATAAAGTCGCTATGCCCCAGCAAGGAGGAACAGTTGTCATTTGAATATCATCACCAATCTGACCGGCATTTCTCTACCTATCCGTTGTTGGAAGCTTCGCAATACCCATGGAACTCAAAGTGATCCGGGATCCCGGGGACGCTCGCGTGGAGTAAGTTACACTGCATCTCATACAGTGCCTATTTGGAGGGGCGGAACGATGTACTCATCATGAAACCTGTTGAAGCATCGTTTTTGTTCATGGATGGCATGGGGAGCAGCCTGGCTGGACCTCGGCGGCCAAATCAATATTTTGGCCGGAAAAGCTCTTCGCGGCGAAGGTTTCCGAGGCGCGCGTCTTCTCTTTCGAATACGATTTCACCCTCGACACGTTCTGGAACGAAGAGGATCTGATCACCAGCCATTCCAATGAACTGATGGACCAGCTTATGGATCAACGCATCGAGCCGGAGAAGGTTCCTCAACCCCCACCTCCAGCCCGCACACGATGCATCTTGTTTGCTGATTATACGACCAGGCAAAACGAGCTGTGATTCTTGTAGCTCATTGCCTTGGCGGCTTGATTTGTGAAAATGTATGTTTGGGTCGCTGTAGCCTCGCACGACCACCCTTGGATGCAAGACTAACCAATGACACAGGCGCTGGTCCGCGGAGCTGAGCATGACGACCGCAAAAAGCTCGTCAGCTGTGTCAAAGGGCTCCTTCTCCTGGGCACCCCTCATTATCAGCCGAGTGTGTTGAGTGAAGCAAACAAGTACTTTCAGCTAGCGGGGGAAGAGGCCCCGGGCGAGTTTGGGCTTGAGGAACGGTCGCAGTGGGTGCTCAACATCCCGCGTGAGTTCGCTAAGCTCCGTACCGCCGGGCTGGAGATGGATCTTCAATGCTTCTACGAGGGGTCGCCCACCGATCTCGACGGCAAGGGGGTCAAGATCGTTGAGATGGCCTTGGCGCGGTGCCCCGATGGGCCTCCTGCAGAAAGGCTGGCAGCCAACCATGTCAAGATGAGTCAGTTTGAGAGCGAAGACGATCGTGATTTCGTCAAAGTACTGCGAGTGTTGAAGAGATGGGTGGCCAAGGTCCCGGCACCTGAAAAGGATGGAGGCACCACCGTGAACAATGTTTCCAACGCCTCGTTTGCCTCATCGAAGAACTCTGGATACCAACTGGGACAAAATGTTGGTACCCAGAGTGGGTTCGTCTTTGGAAGAGCGTAGTTGGTAGAAATATTACCGCGTATCTTTTTGAGTGACGAAATCTAGCTGAAGCTTCCTAAAATTATGAGATCGTGCATTTTGAATCCTATTATGTTGCCTTGATGCTTTGTAGTCTCGATGCGAATAAGCAAGATGGACTCCATCAGTGGTGCGACGCACCGGCCGGCGCAAGGCAATGCCATCTGTGCATCGATTCCCCACAACCAGTGGATGGAGGTGCCAACTAAGTCTGCGAAGAACCCAGTCAGATGTCGAACAGACCACTGAGAAGGCCGGGATGCAGCATGGCCCCACAGCCTAATTACCTAACGAATCGAGCGGAGGCGATGGCGCAGATCCACCAAAGTACGACAAGTGTATCACAGAACCAGCGCGGTCAGAACCATGACGAACATCGACCAACCCCTGCCACCGGATTTATCCGGAGGGGTGACACGCAGATGATTCGTACGTGGGAATCCGCTATTGGCGTTGCTGCTTGCTGTGGGCGCTACGGTGGCTAGCTGATGATTTCAGCTTCCCGGCGTGTCCGACTTCGTGCCCTTGGCTATGCCGGAAAAATAGGTCCCAGAGCAAGACACCACGGAGGACCTATTTGTGGGCAGAGCATTTCAGACTTGTCACGAGACGCGGGGTTCCTAATTGTTTGTAGCTAAACGAAAAGCCTGAGTCTGTGCGATCGACCGACTTATCAGGCGAGAACTTCCGCAACAGAGGCTTTAGTCGCGAGCTGGTCACTCTAAGCCTGGTGTACTTCGTTTGTCGAATCTTGTCTGGACGCAAGCCGGCCAAGAATGGCGATCGAACAAGCAAGCAGCACATCGGTGGAGGCATCTGACCTTGCCCAGCTCTGGCAAGGCGCCGTAGACGATTATGAGAAGAGAACCGGGAAGAATCTTAGGCTGGGGCAGTTCAAAAGTATGAACGATGTGATGACAGGCACGGAAGGCCTGACGACTAAATTCAAGGACTTTCGCGATGATAAATCCAAGTCGGCCAAAGTCCGAACCACGTTGAAGAACAACATGTGGATTATTCAGAAAGTCGTCAACACCGTCCAGACGGTCGGCACTGCGGTATCAGTGAGTGGGAGTTATCAATCTTCTTCGGTGTCTGTCACTCATGCAGGATAGGCGTTTCCTCCGGCTCTGCCAGCCAGTTTGATTTTCACGGCTTTTGGCCAAGTTATGCAGGTATGGACGTCGTTGGAATTCAATTCAAAAATGTTCGCTAATGGCTAGGTCGAACTGACTCGATCATAGTCATTCGCCGATACTTCTGCCGATTATGACAAGATCATGGGTTTCTTCGAATTCACACACCGTTTCTTCGATCGGCTCTCGATCATCGAGGAAAAGACACCCGCACTACCTCCATTTCAACGCTGTGTGACGCGCGTTTTCTCCAGCATTCTCAAGATCTGCGCCGTAGCACAGAAGTATGCGGCGGAGAAACGGTTTAGTATGTCCTCCCAACTCTTTTCTCGTCCGGTCTTTGAGCACTGATCAAGATTTGCCTACCAGAAAAATGGTTCGAGAACCTAGTGAAAGGCGCCGATGGCGATCTTACCGCAGCAAACAGCGAGATGGAAGAAGCCATCAACGAGCTAAGTCAAGCCGTCGGTCTAGCGACCCTGAGGACCATAGAGGTCCTCGACGAGGTGCTCAAAAGCATGAACGGACAGGTGGAGTTCCTCGTCGCAAATGCCACCTTACTCGATGAGCGGACCGAGGCAATTCAGTCTAACACCAACACTATCATGGAACAAAACCGGGATCTCGAGTCAAAGCAGGACGCAATGACGCAGCTGCAGAAGGAAACGCTGGAGATGGTGAGCGAGCAGTCGCGATTATTCAACAATGTTGTTGGTTACTTCGGCTCAGTTCAGATGAGCGAAAACTTTGGGGACAGCTTCAAGACCAGCGTCTTGAAGCTTGGGGTAGTGCGGCTGCGACTGGCGCGCTGGGGCCAATCGGTCGGCCTGGCCAACATTGATGATGTCCAGTCTCTCGAGGTATCGAAATTATCGCCCGACGACATCCCTCGGGTGTCCGAACTATTGGAAGGAATCCTCGACCAATTCGCTGATGCGGAGAGGATCTCTAAGCGCTTCCAGCTGCGTCACCGTAACACGACGGCCATTCTTGATCCTAGCAAGGACCTTGACAAGGTTGCCGCATCGCTGCACCAGAAGATGAACGACTTGTCGATAAGACGACAGGGCAAGTCAGAGGGAGCGCCCACATCAGAGTTGACGCTGTATGAAGAGAAGAATTTCACGCGGATGATTGAAGACATTGGTCAGCTAGTCAATGACCTAGTCGAGCTGTTCCCGGGAGTGGAAGACGCGCAACGCAAGCTTGCGGAGGAAGAGGTGTCAGAGATGAAGGGCATCAAGGGCGCACTGCCCATCTTGAAAGAGGTTGCTGCGGATCAAGATAATTTGTTGACTGAAACTGTGGTGAAGGTCATTCAACAAACATCGACGACGACATACACCAACTCAGTGGTTTTCACAGGGAGTAACTCGGGATTCCAAGTCGGGAACAACGCAGGGAGAATTAGCAACGTGCGATGGAACTGAGAGTGGAAGCTCGCAGATCAAAATAGAATGATGGTGATTATGTAGCGTTATGGTGATATGGGGTGCTGTGAGAGTGAACTTGCAGATGGTAGAAACTTAGTAGAAGGTAGAATCCCACGGACGCCTAGTACTCAGCATCTGGCTGCTGCGATATATGTATCGCTGTCAGCATTCAAGCTGTCTCGATGTCTCTCTTCATTGCTGAATCGGCTGGATCCTGAAACAATCAGATAATAGGGTCATGACAGATGGAGTGAGAATCTGACACATCGGCAAGCTTTTGACCTTTGAGCTGTATGCTCGTACAGTACAAGAATCCTACCATTCGACCACCTCTGATGAGATGGGTACTAAGTCTCAATACTTATTAATGGGAATATGACGAGAATTCTCCTCCACAGCCAGCACAAAGAAGGAGGCACGTGAAACGATGCTCGATTAATGCCTCAGTCATCAACAAACCCCAGCTCCCTATCATCCCGTGACTCGCCACCTTCTTGATTGCTCATCCCCAGATAAGAAACTCCAGACTCTCTCTCGCTCACCACTGCAACCATCTTATCTCTCTCACCTCACAAAAGATCGATTCTTGCCCCCACCTGCCGAGCTACACAAAATGACAGACACCCCAGATTCCGCTGCACCAGCACCACTTTTCAAAAAGCGCACCGCCAAAGCTCAAACCAACCTGCGCAAAAAACGCGCCGCCACGCCCCCCTCCGCCTCCGCCTCCTCCGCCTCCGACTCCGACTTCTCCTCCGACGAAACCAACGCCATCAAACGCCGCAAAAAGAACGCTGCCGGCGTCGTCACTGCATCCTCCACCTCCACCACCGCCCGCAGCGCACCCAGCGACTCCACCCACCCTCCAACCACCACCCCACTCACCCTCCCCGACACCAACGACGCGACCAAACAATCCAACTGGTACGATGAGCAGCCCGCCAACCTCCTGGGCAAAACCCGCACCCCGATTCCTCCCCAAACTGCCGTGGATGCCCAACCCGACGGCACCTACAAGGGCCTCGCGCACCAAACCCACAACACCTTCATCCGGAAGAATCCCGACGCGCCGAGCAAGAAGGCTGTCGGGCCCGTGCGGGCGCCCACGAACGTGCGCATGACGACTTTCACCGACTACGCGCCGGACGTGTGCAAGGACTACAAGCTGACGGGGTGGTGCGGGTTCGGCGATAATTGCAAGTTCCTGCACGATCGGTCGGATTACAAGGCCGGGTGGGAGTTGGATAAGGAGTGGGAGACGGTCACCAAGGGGAAGAAGGTCGTGGGGACGGTGGTGTCGGATCGGGCGCGTGGCAACGCCGGCAGGGAGCGGGGGAATGATGCGGAGGATGAGGAGGAGGAGGAGTTGGAGGATATCCCGTTTGCGTGCATTATCTGCCAGGGGCCGTACAAGGAGCCGGTGGTGACGAAGTGTGGGCATTATTTCTGCGAGCCGTGCGCGTTGAAGCGATATCGCAAGGATCCGAGCTGCGCGGCGTGTGGGGCGGCGACTAATGGGGTGTTCAACTCGGCGAAGAAGTTGAAGCGGTTGTTGGAGAGAAAGGCGGAGAAGCAGGCGCAGAGGAGGAGGGAGGCGGAGGAGAATGGGGAGGAGTTGAGTGAGGATGAGGAGGATGAGTAACTTACCGACTAAGGGCTGTGTATATATATATGTGTATAATCTCATAGAGCCATTAATTACTCTCTGGTTGTGAACTTGTCTCAGTTCATAGTACGTTAAGTATGTTCGCGGGAACAAACAAACATTGGCAATAATATTTCGTAGTAGTAGCTATTCACACTTCATGAACCCCACGGCATAGGCTACAGGAGATAACTTCCCCCAGTCTCCTCATGAATCACATCAAACAGCGGCTTGGCGCTGAAATACCCAGCCCCCGGTGTCCCCACCGTCTTGTACGTAAACGCAGCATCGGCATCATCGATCTTGATTGTCGCCCCGCCGCGCCCCGCCGCCGCCGCATCGGCCAGCAGCTGCGCATGACAGCACTTCTCCAGACTGACAAACCAAAAGACCGTCGCCTCGATGGTCTTTCCGACTGTCAACAGGCCATGATTTTGCAGCAGCGCTGCCTTTTTGTTCCCCAGTGCCGTGGCGATATTGTGTCCCTCATTCTCGGACAACACAACCCCGTTGAACTGCTTGTAGACGACGTGGTCCTATGCGTCTCACTTAGCATCCTTCTGGAGCGCGAAAGACAACAATAGGGTCCCTCACATTGTAAAACGCGCACGAGTCCTGCGTAATGATATCCAACGGCCGACCGAGCGCACAGAACGACCGTCCGTAAAGACTATGGCTGTGGGCGGCGCACAAGACGTCCGGCCGGGCAGCGTGGATGGCCGAGTGGATCATAAAGGCTGCGGCGTTGAGAAGTCGCACAGGTCCTCCATCGAGGATTTTCCCCTCGTGACTCACCTGGATGAGGTCGGAGGCTTTGATCTGCGAGAAGGCGACGCCGAAGGGATTGACCCAGAAGGTGGTCGGGTCGACGGGGTCGCGGAGGGTGATGTGGCCGGCTACGCCTGGATGGAGATCAGCCTGATGCATACACGCAAGAGAACAGAAAGGAGAAAGTGAAGGGTCAAGTAAGTTGGTGCGAGGGAGTTGATTATACCTACCTTCATCGTATCCATATTTCCCGAAGAGGCGGAAGGCAGCGGCCAGTCGGCCCTTGAGGTACTCGCGTTCTTGATACTTGTCCTCGAAGACAGGCGGCTTGGGGAACTGCGAGATCTCGTTCTTCACTGTTGCAGCTTCCATGCCGCTCTCCTGGGTGGATTGGCGGGTCTGGAGGGTGAGCTGCGTGGTGTTGCTGGTGGCTGTTTCCGTTGAGCTGGGAGGTGCCATGGTGGGTAAATTGGGTGGAGGGAAGACCGAGCGGACTGTGAGAGAGTATGGAGTTGGAAGTCAAGGGTCAGTAAGTAAATATAAGTGACTGCATTGCCACCCATTGGCATTGATTGGCAGCTCATGCATCCGCCTTTTGCTACTGCGGGGTAGCATAACCGATAATAACTTTGGGCTGGCTGCGACCGAGGTTATCAGACTGCCATCTCCGTATCGCATTTTATGTAAGCTTTGTATAAGTTAGAGCTACGTCAAGGCAGTAAATAGTTGCGCTTATCTTGCACAGGCTCGCAGACTTAGTGAAACATTGCTGTTATCTGCATATTGCTATACAACGAAAAGTGGCGTGCATATATCGGTGATAAGGGGGTCCCCCAATCATAGTATCTGCTACAATGGAAATAGGGGTCGGACTATATTTTGCGACCTGTTTATCAGCATCTGATACAATTCCTCATCATCGCCTGGGCTTCTGCTTCTGAGGCCCTGTTTGCGGTCAGCGACGCCAATGAAAGGCTTGAGATCAGCCTCGCAGATCAGACCAGATGGCGGTAGCTCTCCTGTCTGGAAATACTTCCGGATAGCCTTGTGGGTGCACAGGGAGGGAGCAGCCAAGGTCGAATGCTGCGTCTGTCAGTCTTTGCCTAAATTTTGACTTGCATTTGGCACTTACACCTTCCGAATCTTGCTGCAGCACTGTAGAGCCGGGGAATCTCTGCGACATCGTGTGCGCACTACACAGTCTTAGAAGGGGTCGAGACAGGGCCGAGGGACGCTCACCTGTGCAACGGCGTTACTGGGTCTAGAACGTTGTTGACAAAAAGTATCGGATGAGAGGTATTGCCTCCAATGGGTCCTATGTGATATTAGGCCCTGGTTCAATCAAAGACTCCTCCAGAGATCATACCTTGCAATTGCCATTTAGGTGTGATATTCCACCCCACGCATCCCATGCGAAGGCCAGCCCAGTAGTCTGCGAGGATGGTACTGTCCTCTTTCAAAGATTGCCAGTAGCGGTGAAATTGGGGTTGGTTGGTACTCTGCAGGTAGACTGCATCCGTACACAGCACCGCCGAACTGGCATATGCTTCATTCTGGCCCGGCACCTGGCAAACCGATGACCATGGCCCGGCTTGAACACATTGAGCAGAAGGACATGATGAAGCGCGAGCGCTGCTCTTCAGGTCTGCCACTGCCGACCCATCTCCCCGGGCCAATTCACTTGCATGCTGAGCAAGTGGTGGAAAGCCCTGGATGGGCTGATACATGGCGGTACGCAAAATGATCTTGAGATCAGTCCAGGTCACCAGTTCCGGACCTCGACTAGACGACGCCATTACAGGCAACGAGGCGTTGTATAAAGCGTCTTCCAGCTCTTGATAAGCTTGTTTGATGGCTGTCGCTCCGCCTGCTACATAAAAGGGGCATTGGTCTGCCCCCACTGCGTCGCAATATTGCGCAAAACGGTCGAAAATAGCATCGGCATCGGCGATGGGATTAGGCCCATCATCGAAATAGTATTTGTGTGCGTCGACCACGGCGTCCAGCACGACACGTTCTACGCGATCGGGAAAAAGTGTCGCGAATGTCGCGCCTAACACGGTTCCGTATGATCGACCCCAGTACAGCAACTTTTCCTGTCCTCGTCTCCATCTGGTTCGCGCCGCCAGGGTCTGGGCGCGATCGTAGCCGGTGCGCTGGTCCTGCTGGCGCTGTGCCTTGACACCTTGTTTCTCACGCCACTCCCCATGCCGCTCAATAATCTCCAGCATGTCTCGAGCGACCGGCGGTGTGTTCAGGTGCTCACCCAAGGCCTCATCCTCACCCTCAGACGGAGTAGACAAGACGGCCGCGCATCCCGTGTTGAGAGCGAGCGATCGTTCCCAGTTGCGTCGAAAAGCGCCGTCTGCACTTCCCAGCATGCCTTCAGCAGCAATCTGCAACTCCCAGTTCCTCTGTGCGGATATGTTGGGAAAGCAACTGAACCCCGGAGTAGTGTTGTTCACTCCGCGAGGATCGAAGCCAATCACGTCGAAGTACTTGTCGTCGCTCACGCTGTCTTCAGGTGGTTGACTACTGGGATCTGTCTCTGCGTCCATGGTGGTTTGCAACTTTCTGCCATCTATGAGTACCTCGGCGACACCAGAGCCACCAGGCCCTCCTACGTCCCGTGTAATGAATTAATTAGACACGCGATGATAGCTAGGTAGTAATCAGGATGAGTATACCAGGGTTTATCAGCACTGCACCGCCATAGCGTGGGTCCGTTACTGGCACTTTTGCCGGAAGGCGAGTGATGGCGATCGCAAAGCGCTGGCCGTGGCCGTCTGCGCGATGGTAGTCCATGGGCACCTCCAATCGGGCACACTGGAATCCATCGAAGCAGTCATGATATTCCAGACTGGCAGAAGGCGTGATCTGAGATTGAGTTAGTGCTGAATCTATCCTGGCAGAACGATACGCACATACTTGATCCCACGTAAAATCCGATTGCGCTGGCTGTGTCATAGTGTTATTCCACGCCGATCCCGGTAGCATCCACAAGGCATATCCAGCGACGCAAGCTAACGCCCCTTGAAGGCAATAGCGTAGGTATCGTGGTGCATTGGTCTTGGATGACAGGAGCCGCTGGTCCAGAAGGGCTGCAGATTTTAGACGTTCCATCGGTTTGCACAACCTTTCACCTTATGCTCATCTCTATCAAATTTGTCCTCCTGGACAGGAGGCTTCCGCTAGTTAAGTGCTCTTTGACCATAGTCGTAGGTGCAAACTTCATTCGATTTTCTATTGAGAGATGCAGCAAGCCACTATCTATCATCTGCAAGTTTGGGGGGGCGGGCCCACAAATGGAGAGCGAGAGATTTCCAATCATGACCAGGGATGGAAGAGATCAGCTGGGAGGATTCGGCCGAGGAGTCAGTCCCCCAGTCTCTAGCATCAGCCGCTTATGTCGAGTGGATGCCTGCTCGCCTCACCCATTCGCTAGGTTGATCCCTTACAGTTTAGTTTGTGATGGTGCAGAGAACTACCTAGTAAACTAGTAAGCTAGCTAGTACCAGTCCGAGTCGTCTAGTTAGCGTATCTGTGCTTCCCCCAATATGTAAATGTGTTGGCCAACTTTATCTCTCCGATGATAACCACTCGGGGTGGGTCAGGCCTGGGATATCTGCCGAAGTACGAAATCCCGTGTCCTTCAAGACGCTGACAGGCACCCTTGGTTGAGTTTGCTACACTGAGGTTTGTTGTCTTTTGTGGCTTTGCGCCGGTACTCATACATTTTATGCGTTCATCAAAGATGGGCATCTACTGCGAGTAGCCTTTTGGCAAAGATCAGTGCATCCGACTTCTCAATACCAAGTCCCAGCTGAGAAGAATCTTGATCATCTGCGGTTCGGCGTCAACTCCACCCTTACCACCGGCGGCGCTTCTTCCTTCTTTGCTGGTCAAGCTTATAACCCAGTCGGTCCATGCGGGCCGATAAAATCGATGAAGGCGGCATAATTCCCGAGAAACTGTTCCGGGACGGGAGCCCGTTCCCTGAACTCGGGGAGTACCGTGTTCCAGAGTTTGCTGATGCGGAGAAAGTCGCCGGGCAGGGTCCCCACCTTGTGCTCCAACTGCGTCAAATAGCTCGCGAAGTCTCGCACAGTCTGGTTCTCTGTCTAGCCTGCTCCATAGTATCTCTCCTCCGCAGTGCGCATGACCTTCTTGCCTGTCATGTGCTCCAGCAGAAAGGTGACAAAGTGGAGCCAGGTCACTTGCCCATGGACAGAAGCAAGGTGAGTGTACCATCTGTTTGTGATCCTTGCTGAAACATGCGAGAGGGCTTCATCAATTTTTCGACTGTCAAGGCAATAATAGTCGCACCACTGGCAGAAGTGGGTCTCCAACAGCGGAGTGAAGTTGTTCTATTCGAGGCGGTCGGCGCCATGGTAACGTTTCCACGGGAGCTCGAATGCGGGAGGGGACTCGAAGGATTGAGGCACGTCTAATAGGGAGGTCTCGGGGCTTGTCGATCGTGGTCGCTTGATGCCTCGCGTGAAATTCTTCTCATCGCTGTTGATGACAACTACAGGGGGGTCGTGCGACGCTGGTGGACAAGGGAGGATTGGGTCTGCGGCGGGCTATACGAGTTTTATGGCGGTCGCGAGCCAACCACTTTTGTTCTCGAGCTAATTGACTTCGAAGCTGAAGTAAGGCACGCTCTTTCTTCACCCTTTTCAGATCATCTTGTAGTCGCGGTCTAACGCCTCAGTCTGTGGCGCGCGGGGCACTGTGTGTGCCATAGTGGGTCGAGTACGTCGGTGGTAGGAAGTTATCTTGGATGAAAACGGGTTCGGGTCACTGAAATGAAGAAGCGAGCATTCTGCGAGAGAGTAGAAGAAGGAGAGAGCAAAGAGAGTCCAATGTTTTCCTCCCCCGGCGCCAGTCACGTGTTACGATCTACGAGGGCCTTGTCTGCGGGTGCGGTGCCTCCCTCAGCCAAAGGTGTGTTCTAAAGCGCACTAACCCCCTTTGGGCGGCTCTATGGGGGTGTAACCACTGGGCGATTAGAACACGTGACATCACAAAGAAATACGGGGGTGGTAGTAGATGTTCTTAGATCTAGTAGATTTGAAGTTACAGATAGGCTGCTATATAAATTTATTTCAGGGAGAAGATAGAACTCTGGTTTTTCGACTCTATTAGATCGTGAATTTAAATAGCTGCTGGTGTTCTAAATCGACAAGGGTACCTACCTAGCTTTCCAAGTTGCAAACGAATTAATGTTCATTCAAGGTTGAGTTGACAGCTTGTGTGGTAGACGCGGCAAGACTCGTCAACATGAAGACAACACATGCTGCTGTGACTATGGCTGTGGCTGTAGCCGTGGCTGTGGCTGCACCTCGCAACCTCGGCCTGACTTTCCTAGTGATTCACTTACAGTACAGTCCGTCCACTCCCACTCACACCCCGCACGCATTGCCCAAAACGGCCCACCTTATCAGCAACCAACTGCAAATGGATCCAATGATCGTCTATCGCTACTCCAACCTGCACAGTCACATCTCATCTCCAATTGGCAATGATCGCTTGACGTCCTGATGTTTGCAGCAGCAGCAACAGCAGCAACAGCAGCAGCAGCAGCATCGTCATCCCATCCTTGTCGATCTTTCACCACGATCCCCACGGTCGGATGGCTACCTAGTCATGACTCCTCAATCAGACACCAACCGCATTGGCTGAGGTCTTGGGCCTTGGCCTGATGCGGTGAATCATCCTCTCCCTCTCTTCGAGAGTTCAACTTTCTTCTTAGGTAATATCTCATTGTGAACTATCACAAACCCCACCCCGGAGTTCTTCTTCAGCTGGTGCAGTGCTGGTCAACAGCTGGAGGAGATAAACCCAACTTGATTTATACTCAAGTCACAGAGCAGCGTTCCGGAACCACTCGGACGTCGGGTTGTACGCCCCTTCCGAACTATCGTTTGACACTGATCCCTGATCCAACCTCATCGACTGTCAAGATGGTTCGTTGGCGATGGTTATCCCAATCCTCGGAAAACAGCGGGGAACTCCACCGTCCCGCATCCGACCTGGATTGGAAGACAGAGAATGTTGATATCACGGTAATCGAATCTACACCAGTCACCCAGGATAGCACCGGAGCGGCCAAAATCCAGGCTGCGGAAGCCGTGGGTGGTAGGAAAGGCAGGTATCTGCTGTATGCAGGGTATGTCGCGATCACTGTTGACACCTGATCACATACTGACGGCAACAGGCTGGCGATGATGATGGTCATTTAGTGAGTCTGGTCAATCGCATGGATGGTGCTTTACCTAACTGCCTTGCCAACACCGCAGCGAACTAGACAACGCAACAGTCGGAACGTATCGCAACTTTGCAACTTCGGACTTTGACGCATTATCGAAACTGGCCACCTTGAACACAGCTGCGAGCATCATCTCCGCCGTCACGAAACCGCCGATCGCCAAGATATCCGATGTTCTAGGTCGCGGGGAGGCATACATTTTCGCCGTGTCCTGTTACATCTTGTCTTACATACTTTGCGCCTCGTCCAAGTCCTTCGACACTTACGCGGGCGGCTATGTCCTTTACTCGGTTGGCCAGGCAGGCACTTCTCTCCTCAACGCCACAATTGTGTCGGATCTCTCTTCAATGCGATGGAGGGGCTTTGCATACAACATCCTGTATGTTCCCTTCCTCATCACCCCATGGGTGTCCGCTTTCATTGTAGACAGTGTCGTCAACGGAATTGGTTGGAGATGGGGCATCGGCATGTTTGCCATATTGATGCCCTTTGGTGCCACCTTCATTATCACCACCCTCCTCATCTTCCAGTGGCGGGCAAAGAAGTCAAGCCTGGTTTTGACGGAGCAACTGAGCATCTATGAGTTCTGCTCGCGCATCGATCTGGGCGGTCTCATTTTTTTGAGTGGGGGGTTCTCGTTAATCTTGATTCCTATCACCTTGGCAGCCACCGTTGCAGACAGGTGGAAGACGCCTTGGATAGACGCGCTCATCGCCGTGGGCGCGGTCATTTTGGCATGTCTCTATCCATACGAGAAGTACGTTGCGCGACATCCTGTCGTCCCGGTGCACTACTTTCGGAACCTGTCTGTCTTCATCCCGGTGGTTCTGGTATGTGTTGATAACATCAGCTTCGGGGCTACACATACCTACCTATATGTCTGGTCGATGGTTTCCCACAATTTCAACGCGCGCGATGCGCAGTTCCTGTACTATGTGAACGGGGTCATGCAAGCTTTGGTGGGCATGGCAACCGGTCTGGTCATGTATCGCCTGCGGTCCTACAAGTGGATCGGAGTGGCGGGGGCGGTCATTCGCATGGTCGGATACGGGGTGATGGTTCGACTGCGCACGAACAAGAGCTCAGTCGCAGAACTCGTCATCGTGCAGCTGGTCCAAGGCATCGGGAGTGGCATCATCGAGACAGTTTCTGTGGTGGCCGCTCAGATTGCAGTTTCTCATGCGGAGATGGCCCAGGTCACATCTCTGGTCATGCTTGCTGCCTACCTGGGCAATGGAATTGGCTCGTCTGTTGCTGGGGGGATCTATTCGGGAGAGCTTCGTCAACAGCTACGATTGCATCTTGGGCCTGATGTCAGCCAGACTGAGGTGAAGAAGCTGTACAACTCGATCACGGGTACGCTGCCAGCTTGGGGGTCACCGGAGCGGATGGCTATCGATAGAGCTGTAAGTACTGCTGCTACGAGGAAACGAACATTTTCGCTGACTACTGATAGTATTCTGATGTCATGGGGTTTGTCTTCCCAGAGTCTGCAATTGTGATTCCCATTGACCATGACAGGCTTATCACCATCGCGGCGCTAGCCTTCTCCGCCCCTGTCGTTGTGCTATCGTTGCTGCTGCCCAATAAGAAGCTCGGGTAGGATCACTCGCTGGTGTACAGGACTTTGGCTAACTTGGTTCCAGCGACGCACATAATCTGATGCAAGGAAAGCGAAGCGCCTTCTCTTCCGACACGCCATCATTGAACGAGGAGAGGACCCCGAAAGCATGTTGATAAATAGCCATGATACCATGAATGCTCATATTATACATTATATACAGTGCCAATCGTACCATCACCTGAGCCATCCTCATCAATTCCTTCACCTACACTCCCTCCCCACTCTATTTCCCTGGCGACCCCAGAAGACACACAAACTTTCTATCCGGGGTCTCGTCCAAGGCATTTTTAACCAAATTCCACACATTCAGATCATACGCCTCACCAATATGCCCCACAGGATCCAACGGACAGGTATCCTGCACCCACTCATTCGTCACGCCATCCTCATGCACAAATGCCGTCGTCGTCGGCGTGACCATCTCATCCGACTTCGACGCAATCACTGTCAAGCTGTTTCCGTCCTGCACGATCGGCGTCCCGTCATTCAACCGCTCCACCGCCGCGCCATCGGGCCCCAGCTCATCGCACGCCGGACAGCCCAGCGTGTCCAGCACCTCGCCGACAGCCTCGCGCGAGGCATTCCCAAACAAATACGCCAGGTTATACAGCCCGATGAACGTGGTGCCGCGCGTCGGAGGCGCGATCGCCACGATCTTGTCCACTAGCTCCGACACGCCGGCTTCGAATTTCGGCACGTACAGTGACTGGAACGCCCCCTCAGAGTGGCCGACCAGGTCAACCTTGGATGCGCCGGTTTCTGCCTGCACTTCGCGGATGTAGGCGGCGATCTCCGGCGCGGACTCGTTGATGCTTCGCAGCCCGCCGAGAAACGGGAATCCCGCGTACGCGCCGTAGGTTTGCGCGTAGGTGCAGTAACCCTGCGCTTGCAGCCAGCCTTGCAGGTAGTTCAGGTCCTCGTACCAGGTGGCGCCGAGGCCATGCAGGAGGACGACGGGGTTAGGGTGCGTTGTGCTGCGGCAGGCGAAGTCGTTGATGCTGTAGGCTAGAGCTGGGGTGGCCGCTATGGCGGCGGTAAGGAGGGTGGAGAGGTGCATTGTGCTGCCCTGGTGTATGTATAATAATCCTGAACGTGGACGAGGCTGAAACTCAAAGTTCCCTTACACACTTTGACGAAGATCAAAGGGGAATCAGCGCAATTTATCTCCTCTTCCAACACCCAACACCACGTCCCAGCTGAACTGAGTCCTGACAAGCCCCAATAATCAGCAAGTCAGGCCCCAGTGCACGACGGATGTATCCATTCCTACGCCATCCCTCGTGCGCGCTTATCACTCCGGAGAGTAATCTAATTCTCCTTGGACGAGAAACCTGATCGGGGACATGACCGTGGGCCCGATCGCCAGGGCCGATATACTCGATAGATCAACTATTGAAAATAGTGGAGGCGGGATAGTCGCGAGCTGCGGCTGTGATTGGGGCTTTGGCGGTTAGGTTGGCGGGTCCGGGTTAGCGACTACTACTGGACCTATCGATCACACCTCCACTGCGAAAGGATTTGTTTTTCCAGCTGAGGTTGGTTGCTTTTCTTTTTCTGTTTTTGTTCTTCATACGTGTACATCGTTGTTGGATAGGTGGCTGGCTGACTGGTTGGCTGAAGAGCTGTGTGATGGTATTTTGCATTCCGTACAGGAAGCATGTACTTTGTATCATCACCAACCTCGTTTAAGTTAAATCGTTTTCCTTTCAAGTTACTCATACAAACTGTGTGCGCGTATAGTGCGGGTGGAGAAGTACCTTAGGGACGGTACCTGCCAAGACACGTCGTATCCGCTGCTGCTCAAAAACAAAACAAAAACAAAAAAAAACGTGGTTAAGGGGCAACCAAGCGAGACTCGGTGGGCCCCAAGCAGTGGTTTTTCTTCCCTTGAGTTCGAGTGATGGAAAACGGGAAGCTGAGGGGTCCCCGAGACATGCTCTGGAAGCAAAATGCCGGTCAAAGATTTTGTCTCTTAGCCATAACTACTGGCTGGCAATGCGCTACATGGTTATCCCGTGTCATGAGGGGCGAGGGGCTCGCAGGATCGAATCTATCTGTCCTTCAGCCCTTCTCCACTTTCCTTTCTTTTTTTTTTTTTTTTGTCTACTATCAGTACGGAGTAGTTCCGTGCAGAGGATTGTGACGATATGGAGATCTTGGGGACCTTTCTCGTGCTTCCAGATACCAACGAAATCATTGTTGCAGTTCCCACCACGAATGCTAACTCCATACTTTTGAGGATCAAAGTCCCGCATACTGATGCAAGCTGCAGCTGTTGGTGTTTATCACAACGGTACTACTTGGACTACTTGTCGGTTACAATTTGGGACTCGCTGTGATTGAAACTTAGTTTAAAGGTCTAATAAATTATGTACCATGTAGTGTACAAGATGCGCGGATCAGTGTAGACGATACCACGAAAGGAATATGAACACGGGCAATGCAACACGGATCTATTGAGGGGAATCTATGTGTAGACGGAGCCAGAACAATATGAGAAGAGAAAAGTGTAAGGATGCTGACGAGTCAGACTGCTTAGCAGCCGCTGTCAGTGAGGGAGCGAAGAAAGAACGGAGCAAAGATAGGCCATCTGCGAGCGACGAGACGGCTTACTCGGCCTTCTTGGAGGCCTTCGTACGCAGCTTCATCAGCGCGTACACCAGAGCGTACGAGCTAATGGCAAACAAGGCCACGATAGCGGCATCGCGCCATCCGTAATAGTAGTGCTTCAGGTTAATGGTCACCAGGTAGTCGCTGCCCTGAGTGTACTCGCAAACCCGGCAGCCGGAGGTGGCATCCGGATCAACCAAATTCATGCGAGCGCCCATTCCTTTCATGTAATCTGCGAGATATTCCTTGCAAGTGGTGCCGTTAGGAGGGTCAAAGAGCGCGAATTCGGATTCCTTGCATTTGACCGGAGCATCCCAGGTCGTGAACACCAAGAGACTGCCAATCAGATAGTTGAAAGGATTCATCCAATAGATCCAGTAACGCCAGAAAGCCTGGATCTGCGAATACGGCACCAACACACCACAGAAAGATGCGAGAGTACCAATGATCAGAGGGTTGATCAATGATGCGAAGATCGCGTTCGGGGCGTAAGCGGAGATGAACTGGCCGATACCGGTGTACACAAACTCGTACATCAACATCACGAAGAAAACCGCTCCCGATTTGTTCGAGTCGGAGGGGAAGCCAACAGTATAGTACCAGCAAACGAAGTAGAGTACTGCACAAATGCACAGATACGGAATCTCCGAAATGATCAAGCCAGTGACAAAGGCAACCCATGAATACATCTTCGATTTCTTCTCGCGTGCGTCGTAGATATCGCGGCGTTCAAGGAACAGAGGCTGAAGTTGGTTGATCACACCAGGCGCCACGAAAATGAAGTTGAAGATGGTAAAGAGGCGGAGCTGTAATGCTCCAACGTGATCGTTGATCATCCAGAAGGAAAACCCGTTGAACAAAGCAGAACCGACGTGAAGAGCAAGCTTGTTGTTAACATAGTCTGTATTCCGATAGACTGCGACACAAGATCTCTTGGTGACAATGAGGATTTGTTTCCACAGAGGCATAGCAAACTCGTGACCATCATCGACGGTACCCGGGGGTTTCGAGGCGGCGTCACTGACAATGGCATCAAGCTCAGAGACCGCTTTGGTGTGTTCAGGAGACTCGCGCCAGATTTGGCTCCAATCATGACCTTGGGACAGGGTTCCAGAAACGACATCAATCATGTGTTCGGCGGGGTTAGTTTCAGGCGGGCAAGGGGCTCCATAGCGAGCGAAGTAGTCCTTCACAGTTTGACCATTGTCACCAATATCACCGAAGTAGACCATCTTTCCACCCTTGGCCAAGAGCAAAAGGGTATCAAATTCGGCAAACAACTGGGCAGAAGGCTGGTGGATAGTCACCAAGACAGCCTGGCCGACATCGGCAAGCTTTCGAAGAAAACGGACCGTGTTGTAAGCTGATTGACCATCAAGCCCTGAAGTTGGTTCGTCGAGGAAAATGAGAATACTGGGCTTCGAGACAAGTTCAACGCCGATAGTCACACGCTTGCGCTGCTCCACACTCAAACCAGCACCAACGCGACCGATCAAGGTATCAGCAATGTCGTGTAGTTCCAAAAGGTTGATGATAGTGTCAACATATTTCAGCTTCTCCTCCGCTGGGACTTCACGGGGTTGGCGAAGCAAAGCGGAAAATTCCAAGGCCTCGCGGACAGTAGCGAAAGGTTCGTGAACATCGAGTTGTTCACAGTAACCCGCCGAGCGTTGGAAAGAAACAGACAGGGGGCGCCCATCAACCATAATAGAACCATGAATAGTACCCTCGGTCTTGCGCTGTGCCAGCACATCCAGAAGCGTGGTCTTACCAGCACCAGATGAACCCATGAGAGCGCCAAGCATACCCGGCTTCACCCAGCCATAGACATTGTCGAGCAAAACCCGATCACCGGATGGCGTCTTGACTGTGTACTTCAAATCCTTCCAGGTGAATACCGAAGTGTTTCGCACCAAGTCCTTGTGAATGTCTTCCTCACTTTGGGAGTTTTCATCGCTGGGTGTTTTGCCCTTTTCAAGGGCCTGTGCTTCCTCATCGCGGTGTGCATGTTGGTGATGATCATGGAGCCTCTCGCGCGGAATCAGGAGAGAGGCGCCACTTTCACCAGGAGCCTTCCACTTGGTGGTTGCGATAATGGTGGCCGCGGCGAAAAGAGCCCACCAAGCCCAAAGGATGCCGAAGTTTCGCCACACGTGGCTGTGACTGTACGACAAGGAAGCGAGATATGCATCGCCTGTCACATAAGTCTCGCCAGGCACGGCACCACCAACACCGGCGCAAGACTGGTGACCAGTGCCGTCGTAGCCAGCACCGCTGGGGACCAGATTGGTGCTAACGCATGGAATAATTTTGCCGTGAAATTCGTTCGAAAGGAGTGCATCGAATCCGTAGGCTAGGGGGTTGATCCAATAGATCCAGCCAAACCAAGGGTGCATCTGAGGCTTCTTGATCATGTAACCAGTATACATGATCAAGGCGGAGATCAGGAAGCCGGAGACTTTGGAAGCTCCATCGAATGTACTAAAGACGGCACCGCAAGCGCGGAACAACGCGGTCATCGCCTATATCAGAGGGAGTTAGCAAATAATCTAGACACTTTCCGAGTTCATCATGACATACCATTGTAGCGGCGAAAACCAGGATCCAGTAAGTAAAGAAAGCACCGGCCGACATGGTGAGACCGACCATGAAGTAAACAACGAGGGAGAAAACCGAGATCTGGAACAGGAGGACAGGGATATCGGCGGCGATTTGAGCAATGCAGAAGGCCGCTGGGTGGAAGTATGCAAAGCCTTTATGCTTCACCAACACAGGCCGACCGTTGAAAGATTCAGTGACTTCTGCCATGGCAAGGAGACTGTTGTAGAGGAGCGAGAAGAAGAGAGCACCCGACTTGACGAAGAGACCACCAGAATTATTGGGAGCATTGTAGAACAAGGATCCGGCAATGAGGGCTTGAGCCAGGGTAGAGACCTGCTTGATGATGAAGGTGGCCTTGTCACCCCACAGGATTTGGTACTGCCGCGTCACACATGTCCTGACCTGAGTAATAAAGTCCACGGTCAAAGGGCTTGACTTTGGAAGCTTCTTGCTCTTCTCCTGAGCCACGGAAGTCTTGAAGTCCTCGGTACGCTCGCGAGCAATCTCAGTGTCAGGGTAGTTGTTCTCAGCAGTCATCAGAGTGTAGATGGGTGACTTTTCGTATTCGGCAAGGACCATCTCCGCATTGCGAGGGAAGCGGTTCTCATACCCCGGTCTAATCTTGCGTTCGGTGGGAACGGTGATACCAGTGAGATAATCAGCCACGTTCGAACCCTCACGGCAAACAAAGCCGAGGTTTTCCATGAATGGGCGTGCTTGTTCCATGGGGCCATAGTAAATCTCTTTGCCCTCGTCGAGAACAAGTACTTTGTCGAAAAGATCATAAATCCCGTTTCCAGCCTGATAGAGGGTGACGATGGTAGACAGGCCAAGCACGTCCGTCATGGCGCGGATGGCCTTGGTCCACTCCAGGGCAGTACTAGCATCCAAACCACGGGTACTATTATCCCAACAGAAAACTGAACCGCGAGTTGCGAGGCATTCGATGATCGAGACACGCTTGCGCTCACCACCCGAGACACCTCGGACATATTCATTGCCGACCTTGGTGTCGTTGGTGTGAGTGATGCCCATGGATTTCAGCAAGAATTCTTTAGCTTCCTGGCGATAGACCTCGGCTGATTCCACACCCTTCGGAAGAGTGAAAGGAACCTTGAGGCGAGTCGCGAAATCCATCGTTTGACCCACGGTCAGGGTCGGGAAGAAGATTTCTTCCTCAGTGTTGATCACGATCTGACCGCGGTAGTTACCGGCCTCCTTGGCCGTCAGTGAGCCGTAGCGGACTTCCCCTTCAATCGAGTTATAACCGAGGCGACGATTGGCGAGCATCTTGAGGAGGGTAGTGCAGCCGGAACCAGGGCGTCCGAGAACGAGAAGCATCTCGCCTGGCTTGACGCATCCATGACTCTTTTGAAGGATTTGTTGCAAAGGAGGCTTGTTGCGGGATTCCTTGATATGCTGGGGGATGTTGAACTGCGACAGGAAATTTTCGTTGACGGCGGCTTCGGCGTTGACGACTTCAACGGTCAGGTCTTTCCAGGTGACACCGAGTTGACGAGGCTTGAGCCCGGATTGCAGATCACGTTCGTGCTGTAGCTTCACTTGGGGCATCAATGACCAATTGTCAGCGCGGCTGACCTTGGGGTCGCGGGAAGCGATGGCGGGGTCATCGTTGAGGACCGTCGTTGTACTGTCAGTATCGTCCCTGCTTCCAATCATCCCGCGGGATGTGGAGTAGGCTGCCTTTTCCTCCATGGTGAGAGAGGCGAGACAGCAATGATTGAAGTCTCGTAATCACCCGATGGAGAGGGTTTGCAGAGAGAATGTGCCGGCGCCATGAGGGGTGAGAAAGCTCCTATATACTCGGCACGCATCGACCATCCGAGAAAAGAGGCAGTGGGTCGGGGGGCCACTGAGCCTTGAGTCTGATACTGGGCCGGGTGTGGATATTCGGGGGGCCTGGGCGAGCTTCCGATGAAGGAATCTGGGCTCCACCCGGCTATTCTGCCTCGCTGTGATAGCCGCTTAGTCAGAGGCCATCCGGCCCCGACTGCCAACGCTGAGCCAACGCTGAGATCATTTTTGGATTGATAAGCATTCGAAGACGGTGAAGAAAAGGTATGACAACTACCACAGTAGTCCCGATCGGAGACTGCATGATGGTGGAAGAGGAGAAGTGGGGATCTGTGGATTGAAAGGAACGAAAGGAAGATCCTGCGAGCCCACGTGAAAATCTCTGAGTCCCCGACGCGGATTTCCGTCGAAGACAAATTGCCGCTGACAAAGCTGGCATCTGCCCATGGAAGTATTGATGACTCAGCGGATAAACGTGCTGCTGCTTCCGAGGCGATCAAAACGAGACTTTCCCCCCAGCACAAAACCACGGTCTATCGCAAGCTTCGCTTCCAAAGGGAAAATCTGAGATTAATCCTCGGGTCCAATCAACGCTCTATTTACGGTTCTTGATTTTTTCCTGCGACGATGTCAACACAACTTTTGTCTGTTTGACCCTTACGCCGCAGATCTAGAGGCTGAACGGCCCGGCAATCGCCTAGTAAGTTACTGATCTGGTGGTTTCTTCTTCATCCACCATTGCTGACGCGATTGTCGCTTGGCAAAAGGTTGACATGCTTTGTCTTTGCCGTGTGTTGTATGATCTATCAGATTTTGTTCATGTAGTTGGGCTCCGATGCAGCCTTCCGTAGTGAACATTAGTTACGGACATGGCATATTCGATGAGGTGCAATCAAACAGGTCACTTCTTTTGCTTCCGACTGTTGGCAAGCTCCTCTCACCGTTTCAATGATTCGCAGGCAGCTACATAAACCTTGCGAGTTTCCACGGAGTTTACACAGGGATTTCCATGGAGTTTGTGCCTGCTCGGTGACTCAAATTCGGGGATTGAATCACGAAGCTCGTACTCGGAAGCCCGTAAAAGCCGAAGCCGGGCCAGAACTCTCCACTCGGGGTTGTCCTGAACTTCCAGCGGGTTCTAGCCTTCTCACTTGTCTCACTGGGCCTTTACCGGTTGCAGAAGCTCTTGCGACCCCACTTTTTTGAGGTTATTTGCCCTCCTTGGTCTCAGGGTTGTCAAGATTATTAGTTGCGGGCAATCATCACTCTACAATCCAGCAATCGACTTTGGCAGTTCTTATCAGATAAGGGACTTGGTTCCTGAGGCCGCAAAGTTGTCGGACCCTGTTGCAGAGAGGCAGATCGGTGCGGTCATGGCTTTTCGCCACTCGAGATCGTACAATCAAAACGATTTGCCTGAAATGGCTCGCAATGATTGAGCATATCAATGCAAACTGTGGTAACTGTGGATATTCACATTTCTTCTATTACGTGTATTACATGTACCGAGGTGCCAGACCATCCCCGCTGCGACTGTCCACAGCCCGGGTTTCCTGGTTCCGCAGTGCAAGCTACAACTCAGAAGGAAGATGACCACACTTCCAGGCTTACGTCAAAGACTCTTCCCCTCCTCTAGGTTACCTGTTTGAACTCTTGGCTAAGCACGTAACCGGTCAGCAAGACGATTTCTCTCCGAGCCGAGGGCAGCACTTAACCATTTTCTCTCCAGCTGGTCGAGGTGTTGCCGGTTCTGAGTCTGGAGGATTGGAGATCTCAACTGCTCGGTCCACGCTGCGTCATGTGACCGGGTCTTCTCGTCTGCACCCGCTGCACCAGGAGTCTTCCGACTACAATGTCTTCTATTGATGACGTCGTCAGGCCGACCGCGCAGACGGGCTCCAGACTCCTTCCGCAAGGGGACCTACTCGGCCAGAAACCCACGCGGTTTGGGGGTTGGAATTTGGCCTTCTTTGCGGGCTGGAACTGCAATGGAGTATGTCCGCACCAGGGACGGTGGGCCCGGTGCAGTACGGGGAAGCTGGCGCAAGGTGTTGCCGACTTGACACGACATGGACATACACTGGCGGTGACTTTGGTTGATGCCAAAGATAAGTGTCTCAACTGGAATGCCAGCGGTCGTTATTCTTATATATTACACGGATCGAATTCCCCCAGTCATGTGAATGTTTCCTCCCACCCGATGCGGGTGCTGTGGAGACCCTAAGACGTGCAGCAGCAGCGTATCTGGGGGGGTTTGTACACTGCGGAGGAGACTTCTCCGTCTTCGCCACGACCATCCCACCCCGGTTTTGTCTACCTGCGCATTGAGGAATGATAACCAGGAACCTCGGGCGTGGACAGTGCTATAGTGTCTCGAGTCGTGCAAGGGCCTCTAGATGAGGTCATCGCTTGGACGCAATAGGATTGTTGGTGAGACGGGGTGGTGTCGTGGTTGAGACGTGTTCGAGAGGCATCGACCAGTAGATGTAATTTTTTGGCAATGCTAGAGGACGGTTGCCACACCCATGTGGATGATTACGGGCGGGTTCAGCGGCATCCTCAATGCCTTTCTTGGACCATGAAACCGAACCAAAGGTCAGAAGCAAGATTCATTCCGGACGCCAATAAAACACAAGCAAAAGAACTGATGAATTGCCAACAACAAATCATATCACATAACGGAACCCCTTCTGCAGCCTCCTCGCCGCCGCAACGTCAATCCCCTCCACCTCGGCCGTCCGCTGCAAACGGGCCAGCTCCTGATCTGTCAGCACCGCATCCTCGTCCTCCAGCCTCGCCAGCCTCTGATTCAGGAACCGCAGATGACAGTACATGAACACCGCCATGATGCCGCCCAGTGCCTGCATCCCCACGCATACGCCCATCGCCAGCCGGTAATAGGGCGCGTCCTGCTCGCGATACGTGAAGGCCGTCCAGATGCTGGCGGAGTTGCCGATGGAGTTGATGAAGGCGTAGGCGGCGGCGCGCTTGGCGGGCGGGCGGGGGATGGCGTTGGCGATCCAGGAGTAGAGGGTGCCGTTCTGCGCGAACACAAAATTCATCAGGAACATGGAGAAGTAGCGCGGGCCGAAGCGGTCGGTCGTCATGAAGATGATGAACCCGACCATGGTGACGGGGATCGGGTACACGAAGAACCAGAAGCGGCTGCCGAAGCGGTCGGACAGGTAGGAGTGGAAGAGGCTGTAGAAGACCATGAAGATGTACGGGGGCGCGACCAGCAGCAACGAGATGATCTTGCTGTACCCCAGGGTCTCGGCCAGGGTGGGGAAGTAATACTGGAATCCGGCGCCGGCCGTGATGCACATGTAGGCGATAGCGAGCACGTAGGTCTTGACGTCGGTGAAGGCCAGCTTGAGGCCCTGGAGCTGCGACATGCTGCCGCCTTCGTCGATGTCGGCCTCGGCGGCTTCGATGGCGAGGCGTCGGTTGGCGACGTGTTTCATCTCGGGCGAGAGCAGTTTCCAGGTCTCCGGGAAGTCCGGCAGGAGCAGGCAGATGGCGATGCCAATCGCGACAGTGATGCTGCCTTCGATGATGTAGAGCCATTGCCAGGCGGCTAGACCGCGGTGACCCTGCAGACCCTCCAGGATCCCGGCGGCAATGAGGTTGCCAAAGGCGCCGCTCACCAGCGAGCCGGAGTAGAAGATGCTCATCCGGAAGGCCAGCTCGTTCTTGGTGTACCACTTGGACAGGTAGAACAGGATCCCGGCGAAGAATGGCGCCTCGACGAGCCCCAGAATGAAGCGGCAGGCGACGATGCCCCCGTAGCTGGACACTTGGCTGGTGAGGGCCGAGACGAGTCCCCACGCTGTGGTGAAGAAGCCCAGGTAGAGTGACGGGCGACCCATGTAATTGAGGAGTAGGTTGGACGGGACTTGCATGAGAATGTATGCGACGAAGAGGATCGACAGGCCGGTCTGGTATTGGGAGTCATTGAGGGACAGATCTTGCTCAAGGCCTTGGAGCTTGGCGGCGGCGTAGTTGTTGCTATGGCTGTTAGCTGCGCCTCTTTAATAATTTAATATAAAAAAAAAAGAATGCGTTGGGCTTACCGATCGATATAGTTCATGAGATAGACGAGGATGACCAGTGGCATGATGAGACTGTCGATGCGGCGTCGAAGCTTCTTTTCCATGACCTTCTCCTCCTCCGTCAGCTGGGCCATGTGGACGACCTCGTCATGGGAGACGTCGATCTTTTCGTCCATGGCTTCATGATCAGTCATGTACTTTTCGGTCATGATCGAGACGAGGGGTCGAGGGTCGAGGGTTGAAAGAGCTGGATGAATGGAGAGAGGGCGTATTAGTCGCTGACTGCACAGAGGATTGAGGCAAGGAGGGTTAGTTAGCTATATATATACCGTATTGATGTACTCGGTAGAAGCATGCAAGACGTGGGGGGGTTGAGTTATGCTTGAGCTTAAAGCGGGGGAAGCCTTGATTCCTGATTGCGGGGGGGGAGAGGAATGTCTGGGGATGATCTGGGGGTCTCGGGGTCTGGGGGTCTGGGGTATGACCCCACTTCTACTGCATTATCGGAGACTGTCCGAGACTCTCTCCCTCTGAACCACTTACTTCAGACTATACTATCGCAGTCTGTTTGTTCCATCTGCTTGGCACACGGCATAATCTGTTCTTCACTAGTAGTAGGCTAATAGTCTTGGTACTGAAACAGAGCAAGCCACCATTTAGGCAAAACCCCTTCGACCACTGAGAACAGTCGGCCGACGTCAAGTAACCTTTGGATCGACGCATCCTGTCAACATCAGCCGATCATCATGCAATCATTCTTCAGGCCTCGGCTCGCATCATCTCCGACATTGCTTTGCAGAGGATACATGATCTCGGGGGATTAGCTATTGCTTGGTGAATGCCTAGGGTATAGCTTCTCGCAACCGATTAATCACTCAATCAGTCCCATCAAGGTCAATACCACGGGGACACTATACATACTACCTGGCAATGTGAATTGGAATTTGATGCTTCAATAGACATGGCAACAGAGGTTCTTGCTATGGTGCTGTGGATGACAGCTGCCAATTCAGGTGAGAATATATAAGAATATATATCTTTGTAGCCTGAGAGTACTAAGTAAGTTATGCTTGGTACACAATTGCTCAATTGTAAGCCGAGAGAGTGATGTCCTAGAGGTACCTAAATTCTATATTAGAGGCTACAAGAGTCGACCACTCTGTGTCAGTGACAATACACGAAGAGAGTCGGTGATGATAGTATCTGCCTGATGTCTGAGGCAGAAGTTTAGTGCCTGAATCAGGCTCCTAACCAGGAGGTGACGCTAAACCCTTTTCGGCCCGCCCACCAACCGCTCAGCCTCGGCGGCAGGAAACCCAGCTTTTGGCTTCCACTCTCTTGTGTCTCATTCTAACCTTTTGAAATGCGAATCCCCCCCCTCTCCCCAATTCAAAAGTGTTCCAGGTTGGCACCATGGTTTCTCAGTTTCTCGTGGAGATAACTTAAAACCTTCCCGCAATCCACACCCCAATCTCGAAGCCAGCCACACGTCCTTTCCCGTACGGTCCCAGACTTTCCCACTGGTGGTGGCGAAACACGCTACCGACCGTCGAAACCCACTCCGAGACCACACCCACTTTGCCAGCCCGCTATCGTCGCTGACCTGACTCGTCATTGGTCTCGTCGCGCCCTCGGGCGCGCTGGTGCCGATGTAAGCGAAGGGGAAAAAAGAGGGGACAAATCTCGGACATGTTCGTCCAGATCTTGTTGGTGTCCAGCGTGTCGTATCGTTCGTTGGCTCTCTTACCCTGAAGCTCGACCTCGCCCTCACCCAAGAGTCATTGCTCCCGCGATGGTCAACCACGATCCGCAGCCTGTTCTGGTCCCCAGCCAGTACCGACCCAAGCCAGTCCTCACCTCGAATCAGCTTGCGCGTCAATTGCGGTCCTGCAAGGTCTGCCGGTACCGTAAGGTCAAGGTGCGTCCCGAACCGGCTCTGCTGGCTGGGTGGTGGTGGTGCCCCATATGGCATCCCAATTGAGGAAGCCAACCCATTGGATGGAATTGTCCTCATCCGCCGGAGGAGAACCACGCAGCTGGGAGCTGGTCTCTTTAGAGTACCCCTGGGGCCGGTCCCCACGCACGCGAGTCCGGCGCCTCTAATGCTTGATGATGATAGTGCGATCGCGTTAAACCCTGTCATGCATGCTGTGCTCATGGGTATCCCTCCCAGTGCACTTACGATACCGGTCCTGAGGATAGTCTCCAGCCCATTAGCCAAGCGGACGAGATCCGTAACCTCCGCAACGAAATCCGTCAGCTGACGGCTCAACTCAATGCCCGTGGTACGTTGGCCTTTGTCGGACAAGGAGGGCTGCAATAAGATGATTGTTGATGGTGTGCTGACGCTGATGTGTGTCCCTTTCTGAATAGATCAACGAAACCGAAACCGTCGCCGCCTAGCGCAGCTCCAAGGCTTGGTTGATACAATCCGCACCGCCCCATCCGAAGTCGTTGATGGCATCATCAGCAGTATTCGGACAACTAATCGGGTGGTCACGCATGGCTCGGGAATGGTCTCTGGGGATCGGACACAAAGTGAGTCATAACCTGGATGATGGGCGGGAGATCGAAAGTACCGCGGCACATGGACTGATAAGTGCCTGCGTGGCTGGCAGACAATGCTATCGTAGCTCTTCAGCGCTATCGGTCGGATGATAGTGACGAAGAAGCGGGAGAGAATATCGATGCACGGGCCGGGGGTCGTGATAATAGCCGAAGTTCATCCGAGGACAGTGAGGACTCGAGCTATGGCTCCATATGTCAGATGAATACCACAAAGCCGATGCTCGAGGTGTTCATTGAGCGTTTTGTGGATGCGTTCAGTCCAGAGGTTGACGCTAAAGCAGGCCATGCGGGTGCACTGCGACGCGCAGCAGAGATCCGCATGTTCTCACCGATTCTGATGGACGCGTTTCAATCCGTATCGGTGGCTTTCTTCGGCCGATCCGTTCAAAACAAGGAAATCGAAGCTGCAGGTTTCAACCTGTATCCGCGGGTACTTCGTAGTTTGCAGCAAGCATTGCAGGACCCCGAGCGTAGCAAGGCCGAGTCAACCCTGGTCACGGTCATTCTACTGATGGCGTTTGAGGCATGCTCTGCATTTAAATCCCGCATCTGGTTGCATGTGGCTAATCCGATTTCTATAGAGTGTGGAGCGTACGACACAGGTGTCGCTAATTGCCCACGTCAACGGTGCACTACGATTAATCGAGCATCGTGGCCCCGAGAACCACGTGCATGGAGTAGAACATCTACTATATACAGAGCTTCGTCCATACTGGGTATGTACTCTTCTCCGACACCGTGAAATAAAATCTTACTCATTCATTGTCCAGGTATCTGCGGCTCTGGTCAGCCGCACCCCGTCTTTTCTTGCCTCAGAGGATTGGATTAATCTTCCGTGGTCAGCAAAAACTACCAAGAAGGATATCTTGCATTATCTTTTGGACCTTGCGGTCGAGATCCCAGCACTGCTGTTTCAATTCGATGATCTCCAAGCCACACTCGGCTCGCAGATGGCGAGTGCGCATGAGATCAAGGTCAAACAAGCCACCCTGTGGAATGGTGTTGCTGACTTGACCAACCGCTTCCGCCAGTGGAAACTCGAGTGGGTCGACCACTATCCGGACGGCCCGCCGAGGGAGGTCGAGCCACTGCCAAATGGCGACTTCCCCGTCTTCCAATGTCGGGACCTTCGCACTGGGGCCATTATCACCCCAACTAAATTCTCCTACCCCAATCTCCGCCTGGCCCAGACTATGTGTCTATACTACAGTACCCGATTGATCTTGTCCACGGCGGACTGCCGACCGACAGACCGCGTCGGCCCCGCGGAACAGTATGCCTTGGGGTGCGGTATCTGCCGAACCTTGGAATGGTACATCTTGACCGCCCCTGGTAACATGATTAATCGCCTCGCCTTCCCTGTCCGCGTGGCTTGGGAGGCCTTCCCAGACGGAGGTCCAGAGCGCTTGTTCATGTATAACGTGCTGAAGCTGGTGGAGAAACGGCATTCTCTTGGGCTTTGGGGGAGCGGAATGTCCGAGCTTTCTCCTCGAGCTGGGTCTCCTCCGGCTTCCTAAATGTTTAAGGAGAGAGTAGCAGTCGCGATCGCTGGACGAAAGTTACTGCACTTTAAGGAGTTTGCTGAACCGACTCTCACGAATTGATGATTTAAACTTTACATGATACAGTCTAAGAGCGACCTGTTGTATTATCCCAATGTCTCGGTATACTCATGAAACTCATCACTCGCAGGAACCTGCATATACACTGCTCGCATCTGCCTGAACGCTGAATCTCCTTATCCTGGCCACTGTCATCAGTAATGATACGTTAATCGGGGCGCCGGAGCGAGGGTCTACTCCATTCAAACACGAGCTTTTCGCTCATCCGTCGCGCATCATCGGTAGATCCTGTAAATTCATACTGCTCGAATGATTCCGCTATCTCGACCGCGATATATATACCTGGCGTATAGGCAAGAGGCGCAGTAATTGTCCTCCGAAATAGGGCTGAATCTCCAAATCTCCCAACAGCCACTTGATCTGATGCCATAGATCCACTCATGATGCTTGACGCCATGGAACAGTCCACCGGACTGGCAATTATCAAAGGACATGAGATGATCCGAGACGAAAAGTCCCTGATAACTCTATCGGGTGACAATTTGACCGCATTGGGGATAGAGTCAGATTAGTTTTCGTCAACCATATCGCACCAATTGCGCAGGAAACTACGCATCAACCATTGGGAATCTCCGGGGCGGCCAACAGGTACAGGGCTACATGGTTATGAAGAACCGTGTAGGGCAATAAAACAAATATCTCGACAATACTTCTACTGCAACAAGCGTCTGTAAATATGTTGGCTTGGGGTATGGCAAAGGGCTGATGGATCAAGCTTAATGCCTTTAATGTTTCAGTTCAAAACGAGCTTGTCAGGGCAGCGGTGGAGGCCGCAATGGCGCCGGGCTCCACTTGCCTCCTGAGCCAAACCCTTAGTCTGTGCCTGGTGATTTTTGCTCGATGCCTTTCAGATCCAGGACTGCCATGTGGTTGTGCTTAAATTCGGCGATCTGCACTGTTTCCTGATGCTCATCCATTCTCTCATTCAGTCCTTCATCCACAATTCCTGCTTGCAGTCCTTCTTTCTTGGCGGCCGGTTCGCTTCAATTACTCTCGTTCTTTAGTCTATTCGCTGCCATCCATCACGATGCGCTCTGTCTACGCTGTCGCTCCTCTGGCTTTGGCCCTCCGCGCTGCAGCCACCACCAAGGATGCTTGGGCTTTCGGCCACGGTTTCTACACTGGACCTCCCTCCAACAGCGCTCACATCACCAAGGCGACTTGGTCGGTTATCGCCCCCGGCGTACCTGAGAATACTACTGTCGAGGACACGAGCGACGAAGTCTGGGTTTCGCTCTGGATTGGTCTTCAGGCGACTGCTGGCTCGGATAGCTCCTACCTCTACCAGCCCCTGCTCAATTGGTCGCCGGATCAGGAGTCTCAGTACGTATACATGCTTTCGAGTCATCGGTGTCGGAATGTGATCCCTGACTATGACTAGGGGTTGCCCCGCTACCGTTGAAGAGTGGTGTGTTGCTGCTAGCACCTACACACCCAGTAAGTCTTGACCCGATCGATTGATCGACAAAGGCGTGGCTAATTCTACTTAGGCGGTCAGCTCGGCCAGGCCTACGTGACTGTTCCTAAGGATAGCCAAGTGGACTTTGAGGGTGAGTGAAACCCGCGGCAGCCTTCAATCCCGGTGTCAAAACTGACTAGCATGTTGCAATAGTCACTGTTACCGACAGCAAGGTCACCCAGGTCGTCAGCATCGACGGCAAGGTCGTTTCCAAGGAGACTGACAGTAAGTACTCGCACCCTGCTTGCGCATTACCAGGGCCGGTGCATATACTAACGTCGACCAGAGCTTGACAGCAACTTGCTTTACCTCTACTCCGGTGACGAATGCTACACTGGATCTGGTACCTGCGGTACCCAGCCTGGGTACAGTAAGTCTTGATTTGCCGAGGATTTCACTTGAGCTGGGTGACTGACCCATTTCTGCACAGGCTGGAACAACATCACCATCCACCTAAGTGAAGCCGACACCAAGTTCGGTGAGACTCTGTACCTGTACAGCGGCTCTAGCTCTAATGGACTCACCACCTCTGACGGGGGTAAGACCTGGCACACCGATGCCATCAAGATCGCCAGCGACACCTTCGAGGATGTCGAGTAACCCGTCGGTCGCATTGTTTCTACGGCCGGTATTATGCGCCCTGTGATGAGCTAGAATAAAGGAGTCGGTTTCTGCTAGTGATGCGCGACTACTTGTTCTTGGCCATCACTTTTCTGGAACCCCTTGGCCGGTCGCGTATGCTCATGCACTAGGGACATCTTGTATATACTGGACCATAGCCATTGTGAAAATATTATCGCATATATGCAATGGGTTTCAAACACACCTCACTGCAAGATGAAGTGGAAATAGTCTTGCCCTTTGGCTATCTGATGATCATGCCGGTGTTTGATATGGTTATCTGATACATCCATTTGACCCTCTTGCACCATATAATGTGTTGATGGCAGGACGGGAAATATGTCATATACTAGAAGATGACCAACAATGGATATGTCATGACAAAGACTCCCCTTGAATCGAACACAAGAGGGTTGTTATAATGATCCGCGCGATGGTCCGGACTCCACCCGCCGATCCTCCTTTTTCTTCGGACCACTTCCGATTTTAAAAGTATTCCACGACGCATGTCAAACAAATGGAAGCGTGAAAGCTGAGCATCAACTGATCTCTTCACCAGGAAGAGCTAAGTACGTCTCCACATAAGCGAGTGTCTCTTGGAAGACGATCTAACAAGCTTAGACACAGTAAACGGACAGTACTTCCTTTAGACTGCCGCACTGAACTACTCCGATTGGTGTATACCGAACATGTCCATGGAGACAGATCGCAGCGCGACAAATAGATCTTCCTAACCCTCAAGCCTTGATCGACATCCCAGCCAGGGAAGCCCCTACCCATCGCATCGCATCTCCTCTCGCGATCCCAATCAGCTCTACCGAGCCCCAGCGCCAGCAGAATGATTGGCCCGTCCATATACCACCATATCCCAGATCCGGTGTATCCGAAAGAATCCCCTCGATCTGCACAGTCCCCTTGATCAAGATGCAGGTACGCAATACACAGGATGCGACGCGTCAAAAAGTAGTCCCTGACTTGTCTTCACCCCCTCAGCCGGGTTGAGGGGGGAGACGGTGGTCATAAAACCCTCCTATCCTCGCTGGGAACCAGACGAGCAAAACTACCTTCCAACATCAACTTCACTCCTGAATCTCTAACTCAGCGGCGAAAAGCAAACCGACACAATGCAATCCAAAACCCTCCTCGCATCCCTCCTCGGCCTCGCCGCGGGCGTCACCGCCGTAACAACAGCCAACTCCACCTCGACCTCCATCGCGGCGGCCGTGCAGCTCCGTCTCGTTGACCTGGACCTCGGGTATCAGAAGACGTACTTTGAGCTCGAGCGCGCCGCAGCGGGGGGTTCTGGCGCTCCTACCGCTGACGTGAGCATATTCCAACTAAGTTACCCTGCCTGTGACGATTTTTTTTTTTTTTTTTTTTTTTCGAGCATGAACCAAGAAAGAAATCCACCATACCCTAACATGGGATCTAGACCGTGATCACCACATACAACACGACCGTCGCCGCCGAGAAGCAGGACGTGGAATCCAAGGCCCAGCCCACCATGGCTCTACCTGAAGCGGTGCAACTCGCGCTTTGCAATGCTTATCACTCGGTGCGTTTGATATGATTGCTTACCCAGAGAGACAGTGTCGATGCTTCCTTACGTCGGTTCTTCTTTGAGCGAATTCTGCCGGAAGAGTAATGGGTCAACAAACTGTGACATGGGTGCTGATGTGGTCCCTTTGGTATACTGTAGCTCGTCCTGAACGGCAACACCCTGAACAATGCCTGGGCTGAACATGCCGGACTGTTCGATAAGACGCAGAAGAATACGCTGCAGGAGCTGTTCACGACGGTGAATGATGAGACCAGTGTATGTCTGTAATTCTCGCTGGGGGTTTGCCCTTTTGGGACTAAAAGGCTAATGATGGGTGCGAAAAACAGCGGTTCTTTGCGGATGTGGCTCAGAAGGTCTTGCCGGTTTGCGCGGCGGTGGTGCAGGCGGATAATGCGGCGCTTTATCAGTCGTTGAATCGGGCTGTTGTGGCCTTGGATCCGTCGGCTTGATCGAGGGTTGAGCTGTCAGCAAAAGGGGATAGAGGGGGATTTGAGGGATGGGTAATGTTTAATGGGGAGGTCGGGCGGTTGAAGGTGGTTTGATGGATTCAAGTTGGGTTTGACATTATCTTAGCGGGTATGGGGGGACTCTTTGAGCCACCTTGTGCAGAGTTCCTTCTAGAACAGAGATTCAAGTATGTACACAAGTCAACAATCATAATGTTAGGCTCCGGGCCTAGTAGTCCAGTGTCTGTTTGATAGCATCGTATATTCCTGTAACAAGGTCAATGGATAATGTGATTGATGTAGCACAGGGGAGGGGGCCACTCACTCGTGACGTCGGGAATAATGAACTTTTCATAGATCAAGCCTGTATGTGTACTCCAGCCTCCTACCCGCTTGACCGGGGCTTCTAAGCGCAAGAAGGCGCGCTCCTGGATTGTCGCCGCCACCTCTGAGCCCACGCTGTAGTTGACCATGCTCTCGTGCACCACGACGGCGCGACCCGTCTTCTTCACACTATCCAACACTGTCTGGCGGTCCCACGGGTAGATGGTGCGCAGATCAATCAGCTCGATACTCGCGCCCAGCGCCCTCTCCGCCGACTCGATAGCCGCGGCACAGAGGTACATAGGCTGGCCGTAGGAGACAACCGTGAGATCGTTGCCGGGTTTCACCACCTCGGCCTCACTGAGGGGGATGGTATAGTACTCATTGGGCACCTGCTCCACCGCCGCCCGGTACAACACCTTGGGCTCCATGAACAGTACCGGGTTATTGTGTTCGAAGATTGCCGAAAGCAGAAGTCCCTTCGCCTGGGACGGGGATCGCGGCATGACCACCTGTATGCCGGGGATATGTGCGAACAATGCCTCGGGGGACTGCGAATGATACCTAGCAGACCGGACACAAGTCCAGAACATTAGCACCAATCCCTTTCTCTTTGCACGTTCCTTCCCCACCGAGTCAGGAAAAGTCAACAACACTCACAAAGCCCCATGGCCCACCGCACCACACGGCATCCGGATCACCAAGCCGCCAATATCCACATTCGTTGCCCCCTCCCGGTACCGGAACTTGGCTGCCTCGTTCACGATCTGGTCGAAGGCGGGGAAGACGTAGTCGGCGAACTGGATCTCGGCCACCGGCTTCATCCCCTGGGCGGCGGCGCCGATCGCGAACCCCACGATCCCTTGTTCCGTCAAGGGGGTGTTGAAGACCCGCTCCGACCCGAATTCGGTTTGCAGATCCATCGAGCAGCGGAAGACGCCGCCAAAGGCGACGTCCTCGCCGAAGAGCATGACTTGGTTGGATTTGGCGAGTGCGGTGCGCAGGGCAGAGTTGATGGCCTGGTAGAGGTTCATGGATTTCGAGGAGGTCGAGGCGGGAAGGTCGAGTTTGTCGGGGAGGGTCGAGGCCGTGTGATGCAGGAGAGGAGTGGATTTGTAGTCGATGGGGAGGTTGAGACGCGACGAGGGAGATGCGGCGGCGGTGGAATAGGTTCGTCCATGGATCTGCGGGTGGAAGAGTCGGGACGATATGCGTCGGGATGCCATGACTGTGATTGGGGGGAGGCGGAGGAGGTTTAAGAGAGAAGATGGCCTCGAGGAGAAGGGATGGGAGAGGAGGAAGGAATCGTGAAGGACTTCCTTGTTCTTACTCTCCTCTTTTAAAATCCCCAATCCTCCGATGCGTTCATGCGGGGAATGTTACCCCATCCCCCGCGAATAACCGCCCTGCGTTGATGGCCTTGTTGCCTCATAGCCTTATCATTGAGAAGTCTTATCGCTGAGGAGCCTCAGGCCGAAATTAGTGCCTGGTCCAGGCACACTCCCGGTCGCATTGCTCTCCCTCCTCTCTCTCTCTCTCTCTCTCTCATTCAACTGCAACTATTGACAAAAAAAAAAGGCGACATTATTTTCCTCAATCATCGTGTCTGAAGAAGTCACATTAAGATTTCCTCTAACCTGACTTCTATTTCGTTTTTACTCAACACAAGACCCGGTGAGAACGAATAGTCGTCGATCATCCCCTGTCAGCTCGAATCGCAAGCCGCGGCTCGCCGATCTTTGCTATCTGACATGCTCATACTGGAATTAGGCGCAACCCAATCTAGTCATAGAGGAAACACTCATTGCGTTGTTTTTCATATATACACAAACAGGGGGTATCATAGTAACAAGGCCCAACTAATATTAACAGTCACAGAATCAAGGAAACCCCGAAACCTCTCCAAAACAGCCCACTGGGCCAAGTGAAACGGCGACGATGCTCTAGACCGACTCTTAATCCGTCTCAGTGTCGCTGAAAGCCACCATCTGATATTCAGACGATCGGTAGCGCCATCGATCGAACCTTGGATCGAGACCACAGCACTTGCAGAACCCCAGGAAGAGACCCATGCCGCTCATCACGAAAGCTATTCCCAAGATCCAGTAATGCATGTTGAATAGTCGCTCCACGGCACTACCCTGTTCCCTCTCCAACAGTTCCGTCACGTCCAAGACGTTACCGCTGGAATCTAGGCCTGCTAGACAAAACAAGAGACTCTCTAAATCCTCCAGAATCTCAATCTCAGTCTCAAACCCAGTCTTGTCATATTATGCCACCACCCGAAAAGCAGCATCCTCAAGCTTATCTAATAACTAGATCTCCAGTTACCATGCAACTACTTCAGTAGCCCTATTTCAGCTAATATAGATATGGTTATCGACTAACTTAGTATCTAGAGCAGTTTATGGCCTTCCGACCTATTTACCCTTGAATACATGGTATAATACTATACAGCCGAATCTAAAGAATACCAAGGTTCTAAAATAGATATTATATAAGACTTGCCTATTAGAGCTAAATTTAGTAAAGATAGTATTATAGCCCTAGTCTACCAAGACCTAGCTGTTGTTATCTAACTACTACAGATTTCCTAGCGAAACAGCTTTTATTTACTAGGGGTGGTAGTATATAGCCTAAAGAATCACTTCGTGAGTATTAATATTAAGAGAAATCTGTATACCATGGCTTTTCTTATCAGGATCTCATATTAAGTATACTGTATTATTGAAAAGAGTTAGTATATTGTTAGCGTGCCAGTGTGCGTCATGTTGCCATGTGAAATTGGTCGCCTCCCCATTTGACAGGTCTCAGAAATCGTTGAGCTTGCCCCCGAGCGTCCACAACACCACCCCGCTGTCCTTGTCGATGCAGCTTACAGTATGTGTATGTCGTGCTAAAATATTGTAATTTCCGTGGTCGTCTTTGTCGACACTGTTGATGTGGAAGTAGTCGAAGGCCGATGATCGCGTCGCCCCTGCCTTGCCCAACGTTTCATACGTGCTGTTGATCGGATAGTGCTTGGATGCACGCCATTCGAAGATCAATTCGCCCGTGGCGATGTCGATTTCCTGGAACACCCCGTCGTAGATCCATCCCAACTCTGGACCCCCGATCGAGGTCAAATCGGCCAGCACTGGGTCATAGATTGTGACGAGGGCGGTTCCTTGGGGGGTGATGTTGAATTCATGAAGATCGCCGCCGTAACTTCCGATGGGGGTGATCACATATCGTTGAGTGTATGTGGAATCCAGCTGTGGCAGGTCAGCCTTGCGGGGCGAAATCGGGAGGAGTCTTTGCCAACACCACCTACCATGTACCATGCTCCATATCCTCTAGCCTCAACCTCATCGCCTTCCCAGTATGTGAGATAGTCGGTGTCTTGGTACCGCTGGACCTTGAAGTCCTGGGTTATCTCCCAGTTATGCTTCATCCACACTAATTCTCCTCGAGAGTCGAGTATCATGGGGCCCGGCTGGACGACCGAGTCCCCTCGAGGGGCCAGGAAGGTGAATTGCGGATCGCTTCCAGCTCCCCCTTCGGAGATTTGCACCACTGGAGATTCATAGTCGAAGGAGACATAATCCTGGGATGGTCCGAATCCATACAGTCCCAGGTCGTACCAGCTCAGATCCGTCCTGAGATGCAGCCGTCGCAGCTGTGGTACGGCGAAGATGTAGAAAAGATACAACAGACTCACAAATGCACCTATCATGGCAATGTATAGGCCAGGCGGCCTTGACCGCACGCGATGGATGCATGGTAGAGTGCGAGTCCCCGAGGACATTGGAACATCGCGATCAAAATAGACACACCGAGGGGACACTGAGAGTGAAATAGGGGGGAAGACAGAAGGAACAGGTCGAGGTTGTGATTAGATTATAACGATTAGATTATAAGAATGACGATAAAACTGGGGAGAGGGGGTGGGGGAGGGGGGCATTCCGGAATCGACCCAGAGTCACGATATCTATAAACCCCCGTGAGCACCCACCTCTCGCTGCAGGTCAATCGTCATCGCGGCTAAAATAACAGCAGCTGCCCCCGCACATCCCATTAAGGTCGTATATCTAAAGATACACATATAGACATTCTGTCCATCTAAGAATGATTTGCTCGATTACAAGCCGAGTGGGGCTTGATGTCCATGGGGAGAGTTTCTATTCCGATTGGTTGTGGTTGATTTAATTAGTTCACAAAGCAGAACTACTGAGGTAGTACTGGGTACTCAGTAGGTAGTAGATACCTCATAGGATGTATTAGAGGTGCGGTGACCGTTGCGCCTATCCCACACCCTAGTCATATTCCCACGCAGAGAGAGAAAAAGAAAGAGAAAAAAAAAAGAGAGAGAAGAAAGTGGAAAAGAAAGAGAAAGACCGCAGGGGAATATGATCCCATAAGCGCCTCAACCCATGCGATTGAATCCCAAATTCCTAATTACATGTGTTCTGTTTTATGTACTCCATGGTATGGGACGAGAAGTTATCAGTGGGCGTGGATTCAAGTTAATCTAGTGGAGATTGAACCGAGTCGAGGTTGGGGAAGGGTTAGTTGCCCCGAGCCCTTTCTATCATTAGCTTAGATCGTCCAAAGTATGTGTGTGTGTGTGTGTGTCAGAGAGGGAGGTGCGATGGGGACAACGGGCACAATGGGAACCAACAGACAAGGAAAGAAAGAAGTCTTACGATGCGCCCTAATGGTAATGAATCCAATCATCTCAAGCAGTGGCCTTGACCACCTTGAACGATTTCCAATCGCCATTCTGGCAGTTGCCTGTGGTAGTCTCATGGGTGCCGGAGATAGCCCACGAGGGACCCGCGCAATCGGCTTCCTTATACACGAGGACGGCAAAGTTGGTCGCCACCACATCCACCCAGACACTGACATAGTCCGACGAGCTAGTGCTTTGGCAGGACATGGCGGCTGTGTCTCCGGTCGACCAGGTAGTGCTGCCCGCGCAGTCAGACTCGGTGTAGAAGTCGACCTCCCATGCACGGCAAAGGGGAATGAGAGGGAGAAGGAGGGTAAGAAGCTTCATAATGGGCGGAGGATTTTGGGAATGACGAAGGTCAGGACCGCAAGACAGGTGCAAATGAAGGGGAAGCGAAGAATGACAGGTTTGGGTTTGCCGTCTGGTTCGGTTCTTGCGAAGGTCAAGGCCCCCCCCCCTATTTATACGAAGATACTCTAAATGTACGGAATATCGATCGAACCGAACCCAGCTAAGTAGTAGTCAACTGACACTAGCCTTTTTCCTGATTCCACCTTTCTACCTAGGTAGGATACAGGACATTCGCTGTATGGATATCAGGTATGTTGTTGTTTTCGCCGCTAAAAGTTACAGAGTGGGGATCTGTTGTTATGCTCGGAAAAACTCCCATGATGGTGGTGGATGCATAAAACCACTAAAGTTAGGGCCTACATGCTCGCGCGGCGGACATAGAGAAGCCTCCCCGCAAATATTCCTTCCGGCTTCAACCCTAGCCAATCATTGTCAGACAGGACAAAGCGATTTTGAGGCCATGGCCGGGCGTTCTCATGCCCGATCGCCGAGAGAGCGGAGCCCACCCAATCAATTTCGACTCGCATTTCTGATAGAGAGTAGGCTAGTTTCCGAGAGAGATAAAGAACTCACTCGGTGTGTGCGTACTTCGGCGATAGTTGCTCACCAGCGCATGGTGGGTACTGTGTGTGTGTGTTGGTACATACTCGATCAGCAGGTGACTGTACCCAAGCCGATCTAACCTAGTTAACAGATAAGTTATTCCTTCCATTGACATCGGACCCTTGAAAATACAGCGATAAATGGAAGAAAATCTTGACTCAGAGGCACATATACCACTACCCAAACCTCGCAGTTAAGAGGTTGGCATCCTTTCATGGATGCAGCCATTGATTCTCGGTCGTTGCCCGCTTGGAAATCTTATAGGAAAGAGGGTAATAGGGGGCGAGGGATAATGGAAAGGAACGAGAAATTGGATGTCCCCCGGGTCTCCTGACTCCACACCAGAGCTGCTTACTGGATACTGCTGGAAAACTCCTCATGGACGAGTTAAACCCCGAGATAGGAATCTCGATAGAGGTGGACTCAAGCTTGCGTATGCATATTTTAGAGGCGCCTTGGCAAACGCGTAGGACGACGCTAACTGCGATTTAGCGAGCCTGAGAGGAAAAGCCCCACAGGTTTACCACTCCACAACTACTACTAAGGACGTACTAAATGCCTCGGGCACAAAACAAGACAGAAGTAATCATCAACAGGATCGGCGAAGCCGTAGAGTAGTTGTATCTTCAATTCACATCCTCGCGTGAATTTTGGACCGCAGTAAGGGCAAGTCTTGTTTCGCGGACATCTCCGGTTCAAAATCAAGTTCATGTATGTACAGTACAGGTAGTATCTTGTATCCAAGCTCTTTCAGACCGGACGCAACGCTTTCCCAAAAGGGGATTAGATTTCAGGCTGATTGGAGATGTATAAGTAAGAGATGGGAAGACACAATGCTCTCCTCTCCCCTTGAAGTCTCCTTTGGTAACTCTCTTTCTTTCCCCTGACACTCCTGCCTTCTCCTCAATCCTTCAAAGCTAAAGAGCTTCTCCTCCGTTCTATATCCTTTTCAATTATATCTTTCACCATGCAGCTCTTCGGGTTCCTCAGCGTCATGGCGGCGATCTCGACCGCATCTGCCTACCAGATCCGGGCCTACTCCGACACCAGCTGCGACACTCTCGTCTGGGAAGCCAACTACGAGGAACTCGATCGCTGTGTCACCTTCAAGGTGGGATCGAGTGTGCGCGCTCTCCGCTTGCCGACCACCGGCTACGAGGTCGAGGCTTTCCACCTGACAAAGTGCGACACCTCGCTCCTCTACGGACACACTACCACCGAGGCGCCCACCGGCTGTATGATCATGACGAATGATGTGTCTGTCGGATCCTTCAGGGTCAAGTCTGTCTAAGCTTAATGGTACATTATTTCCAGCACAGAAAGTACTAGGGACTCTGGGTGCTAATACGGTCTTTGGCAGTATAGGCAGGGTTGGATCCCGCGAGTTGTTGTGCTATGTCCTCACGCCAAATCATGGTTACAATGAGACATGGACAGTCCCCGTTAGCACCTTACGATTAAGGGATATTCGGTGGATATATTTGAGAGACGAGCTTGCCGTGGGGAAGGTCAATGCGTTTTGTCCGGGAGTTTCATGATTTGTTTGATACCTTTCCATATGTCAGAGGATCGGCCTGTTGTTCTGTTTATCCCTGTGCCCAAGCTAGTAACCACCACATTGAAGTGGCAAAGGTCACCTTCACCAATAAGAGAGGCATTGAGTCTTATCTAGACGCTGAAGCGGTAGGATATGGTAGACACGAGAGCAAGTATGTACCTATACAGGCTTGTGCCTTGTCGCCCAGTGTCTAAGAGCAGCAGCCCTGAGCTCAAAAGTCGAATCATATTTATTGCCGAATTCAACAAGCAGAATTCCCTCCTCAAGCGGATCACCTGGCAAGACTTCGTCTATATACCGCGTGGAGACACAGTTCAAGCCCACACTCACTGACCCCTTCGTAAACCCACTCATCACATACTCAGTACTCATTTAACCGGACATTGTCATGCCACTACACAGACATCGTCCGATACCACCTGCGCTTAGACGGGTCTGTCTGGGACGGTGGGGGACGCATGAGGTGGACCGCAGTTTCCACGGGCAAAGGTCATCTCATAACCAGCGCCGAATATTGAAAAAACAAAGATAAGGGCGTTGACCTAAGCAAGCGTGGACTTTGGGTTGAACCTGACGGCTAAGGATAGGATAACCATAGATCATGACCCCAGTTCACAAAATGTCAGACAGGAGATAAAATTGTTACGGCTCAGAAATCTACCTACGGCCAGGGGAATGTGGACCACACAATAACTGCATTGCCTTGAACCGTGCTTGCTTAGTGGTTTGGATCTCGAAAGTGGGGTCTGGATACGAATTACAATTGAGATTTCTGGACCTAGGAATTGGGGACGTGGCGGCTAAGGCGGGAGCCATGATACTCGAATTCAGCGGGAACTTCGGTTTGGTTGAAGTACAGCAGTGAATTGATCTAAATCCAGGGGTATTAGGGACTTGACTACTTTACAAGTTGAAAGGGTGAGGAAGATACGTAGGAGCAGGCGTTATGAAAGATAAACATGGTGGATGATTCCGAGCGATCCACATCGCGGACGAGGGAAGTGTTCTTTGATTGGCATACATCCCAGCATTATTCGGTCAATAGCATGATGAATAAGGCATCAGGCAAATCCGAGACCGCGCGATCCTTCTGCCTTTTTCCCCGATATTTCATCAGCAGCATCAGTAGTGAGCACACTGGGAGTTTCTTTTATCGTTTCGGTAGGACACACTCACAGCTCAAGCTGCATTGACACAGACAGCAGTGTCCTCTCTGCAAACGCAACAAATTCACGCGACCTTTCAAATGGGAAGACGACCAACTTTGCCTGGCAACATGATGCACGCTGGCACCCCAACAATACACTCACTCTTTTCAATAATATAGTACACTCGATAAAAGACCCCGATAAGGAAAGCCATGGTATACTAATATATCTAGATATTAATACCTGCGAAGTAATCCTTCTGGCTGTATACTATTATTCTTAGTAGATAAAAGCTGTATTATAGAGTAATCTATAACTCCTAAACAACAATAGCCGTGTCTTAGTAGACTAGAACTATAATACTACTTTTACTAAGTTTAGTTCTGATAGACAAGTACTGTATAATATCTACTTTAATACTATAGTATTCTTTAGATTTGGTCGCGCTGTATTATACTAGGTTTTAAAGTTAATTAGCTTAGAAGGCTGTAAACTACTCCAGATACCAAGATAATTAGTAATTAAATCTATACTAGCTGGAATAGAGCGATAGAGGTTGCTGTATAATAACTAGAGATCTGGCTCTTAGACAAGCTTGATAATACTACTTTAAAGATAATGATATAATATAAGAAAACTAGGTTTAAGACAGAAATCGATATTCTAGAGAACTTAAATAATCTCCTGTTTCGCTTAGCTGTTCTTAATACCAATGGCAATATCTTGGACGTCACGGAGCTATTGCAGAGAGAGCGGGGCAGTGCCATGGAACGGCTGCTCAACATGCATTATTGGATCTTGGGCGTCGCGTTCGTCATGTTCCTTGGGTTCTGCAGGTGCTGCGGCCTGGATCCCAGACTCCGTCGCTGGCGCTATCGGTCGTCCGAGTACCAGATGGTGGCTTTCAGCGATACTGACACGGATTGGCAATCAGTCTAAGGGGTCGATCAATTCGACCGATGTCAGCGAACAACAGTCATGGGCGCCATGGCTATTGAAAGGTATTTCTTGGATTTTTTGTAAATATTAGCTGAGGCCTTGATACACGATACCCTTGCTTATGTATATATGGAGTAAAAGAATGCGAAGTTTTGTGTCTTGACTGACTTGATCACCTACTTCAGCATAGAGATAGCATGGTAGAGAATGGCGAGCTGTGATATTGAACAGCTTGAGGCGGAGTTGACAGGAGATGATCGGCGACTAATAGCTTCAGACGAGTCTGTCTGCATCGGAAAGAGCTGGCCGTTGGGCGATATGATCTGTTCCGCCTGACTGAATAAGTACTGCCTTAGGGGCCAAATTTTGGTCTCGAGCAGTTGCGTAAGCCAGAGCTACCAGTACCTTCTTTCGATCTGGACTGATCGTAGTGCCAGCGTAGAAAAAATATCTCACGATGTTTATACCCTTGAATAGCGGCCATGACTTTAGAATCTGAGGATAGCTGGAATATCTGGGGTCCGAGATCATTGTCAGATGCCGGAGAGCTTTCTTACTCTTATGTAGCCTGTGTGCTTTATGATCTCGGCCTAGTAGTATGGGCTCATGTGGCTGATTGGCTACAATAATTTGGGTCACAATGTGATAGCCTTGCTGGGCGGCTAAGTCTACGCGTGCCATGGAGTCAGTTATCCCCTGACTTGGATTGCGCTACTTCCCGCATTCCGCTGATCTTTTCTACGCTTATGTTCTTTTATTGTCATCAACTATCTTTACATGTCTATCATGATCTTCGTCGAAATAATATAATATGCTGCTCCAAGAAACTCTCTCTATTAATTTCTTCTTCTATTTTATTACTGAGTATCTTAAAGTTTTCTACTTAGTTACCACGACTGCTGCCGATTCACCGCCCTGGGAAATTCGAGAACTGCCCTGTGCGACCGAGCGCCCCCCTGTACTCAATAGTCATATCACAAAGCAAGGAATATATACAAGGCCATTATTTCGAGTACAATTAGATCAATGGCGTGGAGTCACTTGAAAAGTATTGTCTGGGAGGTTATTATTCTATTCTAATTGGGGATATGCTTCGCGGTCGATACTGCATTGTTGACAAGCTGGGATTTGGAGGTTATTTGACTATCTGGCTGGCTCTGGATACTTGCCAGCATCGTTACGTTGCCGTCATAGTCGGCATAGCAGGTTCAAATTCGAATGAGATTAATATCCTTCGAGCTCTTGCACACCCAGGACATTATTCTATTCCTACTCCCTTGGATCAATTTGAACTGGATGGACCCAATGGAATATATTTATGCTATACTATAACACTAGCGCGATGTAATCTTCGGGAGGTGTCTTTTAGTCGCCTTTTTCCTCTCAAAATTACGCGGGCGTTGTCAGGTGGTCTCACGCTCGCTATTGCTTACATGCATCCACAGGGTTATGTTCATGGAGGTGAGTGATAGCAACTGTTCGGCTTTTTGGATTACTTCTGATGAGTTCCTTTATCAGACATTCATCTACGCAATGTCCTAGTGAGAGTACCGTCCAACTTTGATAAACTTTCGGTCGAACAAACTTATGAAGAGTATGGAGAGCCTCAGACAGTCTCTGTTGCACGATGTGATGGCATGCCGCTTCCACTAAATATCCCGGCGAAGGCAGTAGCAGGCGTTATCGTACGTGTCAGCTGTTGAAATCAATAACTAGTGGTACTGGCTTCCGCGACGGACGTTGGCATGGATGGTTCCCAATGCTTATAACACGCGGCCAAAGTCAAGCAATATCCATCTGAATGGGGCTCATCTCCACACAAGCAGGCCCAGAACCGCTGTGATTCGAGGCCAGGGAATCGGCTCCAGTATGCCAAGATTATCACCCAGTCTACGGCAGTTTCCAAATTAACCGCTGGCCCGCAGCGTGGCGGTGTTCTCGCATCGAGTCTATCCGCCCGCCCAATTAGCTCTTACACTGACGCTGTCAGACCGAAAACCCGACTGTCGGAATTATATACTTCATTGGGCTTGGTTATCAGATCTGTGTCGCTTGCGACGACTATTTTGGAGTAATTACTGTCCAAAACATATGACGACTGTGCATTCAACGACCGCTGGTCACAGTTTCCTCCCACCCGCTTGCGCGTCGTCCACCCTTGACGCCCCAGATAGCGGTTGATCCTTCAGCAGATGCGCTATTGGCCGCCGAGTCGTCGTAGGGTCCACGAACCATCGATTGACTTGCACAGATTAATGTTCGATTTCAAAGGGCCGCTAACGTGGACAAGAGGCGGAATGAATTGTGATCAACGCGGTCAGGAATTCAGGAGTCACTCCATGTTCTTAAATTTAGACCTTAGAAGATCAATAATCTTTGAACCTGGCCAGCCTCACTTGGGAGTCGGAACAGAATCCCTGTTACTCTACAACTGGAACCAGCATTTGCCCCACAACAATCCTTCCCGAACGGGATTCGCAAAGAAGCTTTGATGTTTGGAGTGTTTTTTTTTTCGGCGAGAATTGAGCCGGCGAATCCCATCGATTCAGCCCAACTGGTGGGCGAATCCTCCATCCCCACGTATTGGGATCAGGATCACACATCATGCACCCCGGATCTGGACTGTCTCGCTTGGCTGCTGATGGTGATCGACAACCATGAACCATCGACAGCCTCCCGGGAAGAAAACCTTTTGAGGGGGGACAGTCCCTGCTAGACCCACTCAGTCGGCCGCCATGCCAAGGATGAGACGTTGCCCACTTTAATGTTCTCGAAGGGTGATTGCGCTCTCAGACCCGGGCTCGCGTATGCACTTGTTGCGTCCAGCCCACCTTTTCCTTTGTTTCTGTTTTTCTCCCCCCCCCCCCCCCCTTCTTCCCACCGTCAGGGTCACTGGTCGACGATGGCGGAGAAATTCGCACTAAAGGTAATTGAGCGGAGGCTAAGCCCAATTTAGTAGAGCGATCCCTAAGACGACGTCAATACATACAATTCTATACGCATATGCATCCCACTGTACGATTTGCGCTCGACGAGGCGCATTCGCTCAAAAACTCCATGAACGCAACGTGACGTATAGCATAGCCAATTATTAGCCAAGGTCAAGAGGGGGGGGGGGAGGAGGGGGGAGGGGCTGGTGCCGGACTCCGAAGCTTTTCCGACGCAATGCGGACTAGCGCCAATGAAGATATCGAGAGCACGGCCACTTTATCTACAATACCGAGCCACAACGGAGGAGTTGATTCGCTCTCCGAGAATAACTAGGTACCTAACTATCGGAGGCCTCAGCAACGAGCGATATCTCCTCAAATCGTGCCCCAATGACGCCGCTTTCGAACCCCCAGGCAGCAACGATCTCGGCAACAGCAGCAACCACGAACCCTAAGCTTGCAGGACCAGTTGAGGCAGGATAGGGGATGGCTGATAGCAGCGAGTTTGTCCTCCATTGCGATCCGTCCAAGCGATGAGTTGCCAAGGGGTAACTAATTGGTGTCCCAATGGATAATCGCCTCAGAGCGGAGCGACCGGTTCTCTTGGCTGGCAGGTCGGCGGCTTCTTGCGCTACCTGCGGATTGAGATTAATAACTTGGGCAGATCGCCACGCCGTGCCTGAACGCTAGTCGCTCGTGATGATGCATTGACGGTCAATCAGTTGTCCTGCTCGCAGGCTGGTCAAGTCGAGTCTCAGGCGATGCGTAGCTAACGGGCAAGCATTCTCCGACCTCCCTCGACATTACACATGCTGCATCGGAAATGGACGCTGGACTCGGCTAGTTTGTGATTCCATCATCGATGATATGGCACTGACAGGTGAAGCGTGGATGCGACCGTGCGATAGTAATCGGACGTCCACCGCATAGGCTCATCAATTGACGGATGTGACGCCCCCGCTCATGCCTTTTCAGTCATAAACAAGAGAGACATCCATTACATTCTCTGGTCTGGAGGCAACACCGCTATTTCTCCTTCCATCAAATCCAAGAATGTTGTTCACTCCTCCACTAACTAACACCCGCTGCAGTTAAGATCCCCCTGCCACTGAGGAAAGCGACCGTGAATAGCACAAACCCCTCCCATCACGCCCACTGCCGCTTTCGGCCGTACTTCGCAATGTCTCCACCACTGCAGCCGCCGTGCTTGCATCCAAGAGCCCGTCCCGTCGCGGGACTCGGGGGTCCCGCAACAGGGCCAGCGCTGCGTCTATCGTGTCGGGGTTGGTACTCTTGAGACAGACCACGTACAGTCCGGCGATGAGGTGCGTGGCGAGGGTGAAGGGACGTTGCGTGCCATCGCCGGGCGGAGGGCTATCCCGATTGGGGCTCGATGCGTTCAGAAGAACGGCCATATCGGCCAACGCAGCGTCCAGCACCGCAATCGCGGTTGGGATGTCGCCCGCCGCCGACACACTCCGCGGGGTTTGCATTTTCTCTAACAGACCGCTGCGGAACAGCTGCGCCTGGATCCGGAGGAGCAACATGTGCGGTGCGAGCTTCGGGTCATCGCACAGAGGCACTGTGGCGGTGAAGTGGATGAATGTCTGAAAGGCCGCGTCGAGCGAGTGGGGTGTGCTTGTGCGGGAGGTAGACGTGCAGATGCCGCAGGAGCCGGGCCTGCAGGCGGACGAGGAGTGTTTCGGTGGGATTGACATCGTCCAATCGCCATCTTTGTTGCGGTGCTGGCGGGAACTTGAGCTCTACGGACGACGCATCGTCGCTCTGAGCACCAGCGGACGAGCTTCGTAGTAGATGCTCGCTTGAACGTCCAAGCGCGCCAGGAGTGCACGCAGGTGCGGCAGGAGATCCGCCGCAATGCCCCCGCCGCCCGGCGGATGGGGAGGCTGTTGCCGGTACTGCTGGAACAAGGTCAACGCCTGATCGAGATGGCGGCTGGGGGTGTCGACCTATCCGATCAGCGATTCAAAGGCGTAGAAGAGCACCCCGCAGAGCAGGACGACTTCGTAAGACGCCTGTGGGGACGAGAGATGGATGCGCAGCTGCCGGTGGGAGCGGGCGATCAGCTGCAGGCTCCGCAGCGAGGACTGTCGTTGCGAAGCAGTGCTAGTGCCGGCGTCTGCTCCTTCCGGGGGAATATTATGGTAGTACTCCTGGTAGAGCGCACTCAGGGTGACGAGCGCATTGCGGATGACGGGCTGGATGTGGCATCGCTGCAGGATGATGCGCGTCCACAGGGTCGGATCGGAGAAGCTGGCGAGCGACTCGGCGGCTTGACCGCAGTAGAAGTGGAGCAGTTGGCGGTCAGCTTGGCTACCGGGAACTTTGAAGGGGATGCTGTACGCTGTGATCGCCCGGTTGAATGGAACTTCCTGGGGCTGGCTGGACGCTGCTGCGTATCCCTTACAGGGGCGATGGGCGCGCTCGCATCGTTGGCAGCGGGATTTGGTTTTGTCGCATTGGACACGACGGGATCTACGTTTTGGTGAGTACATGACAAGAGAGAGAGAGAGAGAGAGAGAGGTACTTGCAAGTCAGGCAGCCAGAGCGTACTTTGGGGGCGCCTTGTGTGACCGTGTCATGGTGGTTGGCAGGTGAGGTTGAGGCCGCCGTTGACGAGACGTTGACGCTAAATTCTGTAGTTCGGCACTAACTGAAATATACGATAAGCCTTGGCGGATAGAGATGCAAAAATGAAATTCTATCTCTATAAACTGGATAACTATACTGGTATGTATAGAATCTATCTATATCACAATTTGACACAATAACTACTACGACTACGACTACTACTACCACCACCACTACTACTACTTTGGTTTACTCAGTTGGTCAGAGTATAGATGAAACAATTGCAATTGAGATATATTTTTTTATAACTTCGATGATATCACACTTCAAGGAAAGACAGGGAAAAGTACTGTCAATGATCTTGCTTTTGCTTGCCTGACCTACGGTTGACCGAAAAGGTAAAAGCGGCGGCACTCCAGGCTCCATACAATCAGGTTCTCCATGAGTTCTGACCAATCAACGATTGTCCCTGCATCCACGGGGGTCAGAATGGGAATTCTAGCCAATCACCGACTGGATGGGTCTCTGCTGACTCAGTCCAGTGCCCCTCCCCCGCGTGTCTGTGATTGTGATCAGATCCCCAAGTTGTAAAGCATTGATGCCTTTGCTTCTTCTTCATCATCATCATCTTCTTCTTCGTCCTTGTTACACTGCTTCTCAGGTACCATCAAGTCATGTCTTCCCTTTCCTCGTCTAGTTCCCACTCGCCGGAGCCCGACAGAATGCTCAGGCCCGAGAAGCGGAGGCTGCTCTCTCCAGAGGACGAAACCATAGATCCGGAAAACCACCAGATTCACAAGCAACCATCCCGATGGCGATTGAGGATCCAACGCGCCCTCATCACGGTCTTCCTTTCTGGCATGACAATCCTATCGCTGCTCCTGTTCTTCTTTCTTGGCCGCATTATCTCCGGCCATCCGCAGGAGCCCATCAGTGACACAAGGCCCTCCCTCCGCAGTCCAATCAAGAATGTTGTGGTGGTCGTACAGGAAAACCTGTCTTTTGACACTTTTGCCGGCGGACTGAGCTACAATCCCGACATCGATGGCCTCCTCCGCACCCAATACTGCAATCCAGCCAATATCTCCGATCCAGCCTCCCTTCCGGTGTGCGCGAAGCCCACCGCCCAGGACGTCGCCTCCGATGATCCCGACCACAGTATCGCCGGAGGCAACCTACAGATCTACGGCACGTACGATCCTGACCCCGACCTTGACCGTCCCACCATGCAGGGGTTCGTGACAGAGCAGATTCGCGCCTACGGGCTGGACGGGGACCTCGGTCGTGCAGGCGAGGTCATCAACTACTACTCCCCGGAACGCGTGCCCATCCTCAACGCATTGGCGGAGAATTTCGTTCTCTTCGATCGTTGGTTCGCTTCGGTGCCTGGTCCAACGAACCCCAACCGGGCCTACCTGACATCGGGCACCTCACACGGCCACGGGTCCAACGACCCCGACTTCGATACATCCTCCTTGCCGCAAGTTTCTATCTTCGAGCAGCTGACTGCCGCCAACATCAGCTGGATTAACTATTCCAACACCACGGGCTTTCTCCCCGATGCGCTCTTCTATACCTGGACGAAGATCTCAGGCCACGGGGTCTCGAACGTGAAGCCGATTGATCAGTTCTACAAGGATGCAAAGGCGGGCACCCTGCCGCAGTTCACCTGGATCAACCCGGAATGCTGCTCGTATACCTCCTTTCACCCACCGTCGCCCATTCATCTGGGCGAGGGGTTTCTGAAGAGCCTCTACGAGGTGCTGCGGGCGTCCCCGCAGTGGAACGAGACCCTCTTCATCGTCACGTTCGACGAGCATGGTGGGTTTGCGGACCACGTCCCCCCTCCGGAGAACGTACCGGCTGGGGACGACCTGACATATACCGAAACAGCTCGGGATGGCACCCAGACGACCTTCCGGTTTGATCGGCTAGGAGTCCGCGTGCCGACGCTGCTGATCTCGCCCTGGGTGGACAAGGGAGCGGTCCAGCACGGACCGACAGACCAACCGAATGACTTCACCCACACCTCCATCCTGAAGTATGTGGCGGAACTGTGGGACTTACCCTTGTTGACCCCCCGCGTAGCCTGGTCCCCCAGTTTCGGGGGCTTGCTTCGGGATTCCATGCGGTCGGACACCCCGCAAAGATTACCGGAGCCGTGAGCGGGCGCTAGTACTGGCGAGTCATCTTTTGGTTCCTCTCCTCAATGGAAATAAGACCAAGCTCAAATCTAATTAGTTATATATATCGATGCTATGCTAAGCGTGCTAGGCTATGGTCTCACGGATGGCTTGCGCCGCTAATATAGTGAGTAGGGGACGGTGAGTGCAGTGCCTAGAAACCCCCCCACTTCTTCCGCTTGGACCGCACGGACCGAGACCGCGACCGCTGCGTGATGGCGGAGTTGCACGTATTCACTCGGTCGATGTCGTACGGGTTGGCCTCGTACTGCCGAGGCGAGGGTCCGTCTGTGGACACGGAGAGCCCGCGCTCCAGATCTAACTCCTGGTCTATCGCTGTGACATCCAGTCCATCCGCGACCGCCTCCGCCTCTTCTTCCTCCGCCTCCGCCTCCTTCTCTGGATGGTGCAGTGTCTTCTCGGCCAGTTTGCGCATAAACGCATCCGCCTCAGCCGAATACTTACACTTCCGTCGAATGGCCGCCCCATACTTGTAGAAGATGAAGGGGAACGGCAAGCACGCCAGCGACAAAAACGCCGGGATACAGGAAGCCCAGTGGATGCCCAGGTTATGGTACATGTAGGTGGTGAACAAGGGGAAGCCCGCGCCGAAGCAGCTCCGGATGATGGAATTGGCCGCCAGCACGGACGCCGCATAAATGGTGTACGAGTCAATCAGATACGACATGATGTTCAAGAAGACCAGCACCATTCCAAAGCCAAAAGGCGCCGCCGCAATGATGCACACGATCCAATGCACCGAGGGCCCGTTGGTCCACGCGAACCAGAACAAGCCGATCGGGATCGTGATCCCCCCAATCATCGTCGGGGGCAGCCGGGTCTCCGGGGGCGCAAAGCCCTTGTATTGCGCGTGCAGGCGCTTGTAGCGCTTGTTGTCGTACATGTTGTAGACCACCGCCGACATCATGCCCACCATAACCCCCAGGAACGGCAGCGAGCCGATCCCTTCGCTCCACCCGCGGATCTCCTGGAAGACAATGGGGAATGCGTCGAAGAGCATGTACAGCGTACCGTAGACGATGGCCATGTACAGGGACAGCAGCAGCACGATGGGCTCCGCGAAGAGCAGCACCCACGGACGCAGCAGCGCCGCGCCGAAGGCGTTGGCCACGGACACCCGCCCCCGCTCCCGGTCCAGCTTGCTGATGTACGTCTTGCCGGTCACCTTGCACAGCCGGTCGGCTCGCGCGCGGAGCAGTAAGGGTGCGTAGGTTTCGGGGATCATGAGGCACTGAATGAGCCAGATGAGGCCTGAGAAGGCGGCCAGGAGCCCCTGCACCCATTTCCAGCCCGCACTTTCGCCCAGGAAGCCGCCGATGATGGGGCCGATGGTAGGTCCTGTTGATTGGTGTTAGCGTTGTCCTTGTCTCTTTTTTTTTTTTTTTTTTTTTTTTTTTTTTTTTTTGCATTGGTTAGTGGTGTTTACCCAAGAACGGTGCGCCCGCGAACAGACTCATCGCCAGCCCCCGCTCCTCCGCGGGGAAGATATCCGCAATGAGACCGCCCGCGTTGGTGAGGGGCGACGAGCCAAACGAGCCCGCAAAAAACCGAAGGATGACGAGTGTCCACGAGTTGCGCGACCCGGTCGCGGCGGCGCAGAACACCGCGAGACCCAGGTACGAGATGGCGAAGACCTTCTGCCGGCCGATTAATTCACTCAGCGGCGCCCACACCAGCGGGCCCACCGCAGACCCCAGCACGAACAGCGAGACGCCGAGCGTTGCGACCTCGGTGCCGATCCCGAAGGACTCGATGATTTGGTCGATACTCCCCGCATACGCCGACGAGGCCATGGACACGCCGAAGGTGGCAAAGGCGGCGATGATGGTAAAGGCCCATTTCCGGGGCTTCGAGATGAGCATCGGGTTGCGCGGATCGTCGTGGATCCACTCCACGATGTAGGGGTCATCGGACGTGCCGGCCCCGCTGTAGGGGTAGTGGATGATGTTGTCGGTGATGGCGCCGGAGTCGAGTAGAACACGCCAGTAGGGGATGCGGGCTGGTCGGGAAGATGTTTGGTCTTTTAGAGACTCAGTAGTGGCAGAGGAGGCCATGATGGTGATGATGATGATACTGCTCGTGCCGAGTCCGACGGGAAGAGGGGCGGCCGCGGCGCTTGGCGCATTGCTTGGTGGAATCGGAACCCGAGGATTTCTGTTTTTGGTTGAGGTCCAGGGAAAAGGATTCCCGAGTTTATATGCGGTGGGGTTGAGGCTATTGTTTACGAGGATCCTTGACCCGATGGTGCTATCGGAAAGAAGAAAATTCTTTCATCTTGCGTTACGATGATAAGTGGTTCAACCCACCCCGGGGGGATCTTGCTTCTATCATTTCTGCTGTGATTCCCGGTCAGACCATGCGTGCAGAATCAGTTTCTGACATTTCGTCAAGCACTAAGCGGAGCAGCGAGTCAAGAATGCAGTCGCATTGGCTGCCACCGCCCCACTGAAGGGCCGGCCCACCCTCCGTCGGCTGTGCCTTTCGGCATCCCGACTCCCAGCACGATGGTTCGAACCGAGGTATCCCAAGCGGGCTGTATTGTGTTTGGGTGGTGTATGGGCATGAGCTGGGTCCAGTTGCCGGTGTGATGGGATTTCGTCTGAGTGGTTTCTAGCGGAAGGTGATGGAGCTGGGCGCTGAAGCTTGTCTTTATCGTTGCGATGAGGGTCTACATTAGGGCTGCAGTGGGTGACGTCATATATTCTTGTGTTCTTTGCTCTCTTTCTGCAAATCTCTTGGGTGGAAGGTCTGGATGCATATTCACAGCCGGACAATTCCATCATGGGCCTGCTGAATGTTTGGGTGAATACTGCACTCTGTGCATCAGTATGTCACTTCGTCAATCCACGTTGTTCACTAATACTGAGTAGTATTCACAATAAAGAGGGAGTTAGGTTAAGAATGACTTCCACCCCTGCTGTCATCAGTGCTATAGGTGTGTTCACTTCACCTGCCAGTGCAGTGCCGCCAACATCTCTCGACTCTTTTTTCTTCTCTCCACCATCAACATAACCACCCTCTACCCCACCTCCACCTCGGCACTTATCCTGATATACAGTATCCACCTGTTTCCGTCCTTCATCCTTCCTTCAAATAGTCTGAAAGAGCCTCACAGCTTGGCAATTCCTCAAATGGACATCTATTTTGTGCATCAACCGAGCTATCTCGACCTCAGACCCTGGCTGGACCATCTACATACCTGCCTCAAGGGGTACAAATACGTCCTGTTTTCACACTGCAGCAGATAACCGGGTTTTCATAGACTGATGTCGCGAAACGAGATGCGCCCGATAGAGTTGTCCCACCGCCGCACCAGTGCAAACGGGTGGTGGTGTTCGCCTGCCCCGAAACGAGTAAGTGGCACGCTATCCTACCGTCGATGATGAGAACCATGAGCGGACCTTTGCAGACCGAGAACTGAGAGGCTTGGAAACGCGGTCGGTGTATGTTGAGCATTGAGAAGATAAGTATTTACACGACATCTTGGATGGCGATACTGTCAGAGCCTTTGCTGAGGGCCCTTCAGGGCCTGGATTCTCCCACACCATTGTGGGATAGTCGTCTTTCACACACATCCTCCAGCAAAATTCAGGTGAAGGCTTCGACATTTCTGACCGAAAGACCGCTTGAGTCTTTCAGAGGCCTCTCCGCTGATGCCAGAACCAGGGGGAAAGTTCGTCAACTTCAGCAAGAAGAGAACTGACAACTAACGAATTGATGAAGAGGGCTGCAGATCCTTCATAAGAAGGCCTGGGTTGAACGGCTATACTCAGAGGTGGTTAAGATTTCTGGATTGGGTTCGGGAATCAGTGTCTGAAGTATGGGTCCCTAAGAGAGGTACAAAACTGGCTGCATCTCAGGAATAGATGATCAAAGGGGAGGCGCATGACTACCGGGAATGTTCGTTTTGTGAGTGGAATCAGCATGAACCAGAGTAACGGGCTCTTCGACTACACGATGGGAAACTGAGTAAAGCTGAAGCAGCGATATCAGTAGCAATAGACCGATTGACCTCCCTGAGCGAATTCTGCAACTCGCTGCTCCACCATTGACTAACTAGTTCTAAATTAGTCAAGGACATGTTTGGAATTATATGTAGAATCGATAATATGGGCATAATTAAGCTTTAAACGTGCAATATACCATTATGGTCAAGGACCTACAAAACGTCATTTGAGATAGAAACATCATAATCTATTACCTTTGATTATACTATCATTTGGATTATACTATCATGAACTCACTCTGTCGTCTACCTACGAGGTTCTAAAGATAATCTTCTGCTCTGGTTGTATCTATGATATGTAAGTAAGACTTTGGAAGCTGGAAAGATACAAAAGCCAACCTGCTTCTAGTAAATATACATCTATTGTTTACAGACTATCATATTCTGGACTTTAGAGTAAAGCAGAGTAGCGATTACAAGATAAAGGGAACGCAACAGACGACTGGAGGCAAAGACAGTAGATCTGCATAGCCGTTCTGGCTTGCCGAGTTCTCAAGAGGAGTTCTTTTGAATCTTTACCAGGTACTGAAACCAGACTATTCGCCGAATGTCCCCATTATGAAAATCATCTATTGTAACACTGGTACCCCCTAGAGCCACCAACGTCAGCCTAGAACCAGCCATTGCACAGTCATCTGGAAGACTTACTTAGGACCCTCCCACCCGACACACTTCCAACAATCCAAGAAGTGTGTCGGATCATACCTTTCTTTCACCCTTAGCAAAGCCGGATAATTTGCCCCAAAAAAAGTCTGCTCCCATTCGGGCTCCAGGTATGACCCTTCGTTCACATAGCACCCACCCCCGGGCGTCAGATCCTTCAGCGGCTGCACGGTATCCAGCCACCGTTCCCCAAGCGCGGTCTGGTTCGCCGAGGAGCGCACGTCGAACCAACCCCCCGTCATGAGTACATGCCACAGCGCGGAGCGCCATGCGGGGTGCACACTGGTCGTGTTCCCGTTCTGCACATTCACGGGTGTGGTCATGATGACCTGCGTCAGGGCGTACTCCTCGGAGATCAAGCTGTTACTGAGCCGGACCCCCTCGAGCACCGCAGTCACCAGATCTGTGACGCTTCCCGACGACTCAAAGAGATCGCGGGGGATCAAACGGCTGGCGACGGCTTCGTAGATACCCCCTGGCGTCAATCTCGTCGCGATCGCCTCAGTCAAGGTGAGGAAATCGGTGTATTGCGCATACGTCGTATAGTTACTCTCAGAGACCTGGATCATCTCGGGATGGGAGTTCACGGCCGTCACAAACTCCCGCGTCAACGCCGGCAACGCCGTCTCATTCTCCGACGGCAAGACCAGGTACAGCTCGACCTGACTGGGCCAGTAATATGCATGGCCGGAGACATTTTGGGAGGACCAGAGGGGCTGGGCGGTGACGTGCTGCGTGAGCATCCACTCCAGGGCGCGGTAGTTGTCCCCCGTCGCCGCGGAGTGGTTCATCGTCGTCGTGACAAAGCGGGCCTTCAAGGCGTAGACGTTGATCTTCACGGCGGGGTAGAGGTGAAATTTGTAACTGGTCAGAATGGCAAACGTGCCGCCCCCACCGCCGCGCATCGCCCAGAAGAGCTCCGGGTCGGAGCAGGCGTTGATGGTGCGCAGTTGACCCTCGGCGGTGACGACCTCGAATTCGACCGCGTTGTCGACCAACAGACCACGCGAGGGCCCAAACACCCCATGGCCGCCGCCTTGTCCGAACCCGCCCGCCAATCCCACTGACCCCTCATTGCCCCCCGTCACGGCCATGCCATATCCCTGGAAATACGCGTACACGTCGGACGCCTGCGCGCCCGCGCCGATCTCCCCGATGTGTTGGTGCGCTCCGGCAGGACAGTCCGAAGGGGTGAAGTGGGCGTGGTAGCTCATCTTCTTCAGGTGGTGTGTCCAAATCGCCAGAGTGTCGGGGCGCGTCGACCGCCCGAAGTAGTCGTGGCCGGTGTTCTTGATGCTGACGCGGAGGCGATGCTTGCGCGCGAACTGCACCGCCATGGCCACCTGTTGGGCCGAGTGTGCGTCAACATACAGGGCCGACAGTCGCCCCAGACGGCACTGGTCGGACTGCACCGTGTACGCGTCGAGCGGGTTCAGCGCGCAGCTCTCGATCCCGCACGTCTCCCAGTTGAGGCCTGTGGTCGCACCGTAGACCTCGGTTCGGGGCTGGTTGAGGAGGTAGGTCTTTTCGGCGAGGGTACAGGAGGCGGGGTCGTAGGAGAGCGAATCGTAGAAGCAGCTTGCCGCAAAGGGGACGGTGCGGTGGAGGTTCCCAGACAGGCTTCTGTTAAACTGGGCCCATTCGTCGTTGAATGGCCAGCAGGATTGTCCCGCGTGACAGTTGTACTCGACAGAAGAGCTGGTGTTTCGCAAGGTTATCCTCGCGGCTATGAGGGGAGGGAAACCCAGCACCCAGAGAGCGGACGTGGCCTGGATGACCGAAAGAAATGGTATTTGAACCATGCTGTTCGAGGAAGAAGCCCGGTAAGTTGTGTCGGGGTCCCTGGGATAGGAGGATGGACGTACTTCAGAGGAATATTTATATCCCGGCAAACTCATGGAAGGATGCATATCAGTCCGCAGCCGAGCTGAGGTCGACCAAAGCCCTCAACTGAGCCTCGCGATTGTGGCCCTTTCAATAGGCATCAATGGTTGTTGGTACGCTGAGTCTATGTCGATCAACGCTGGCTGATTGGTCGGACATCTGGGTTTCCAGTTTTGGCATAGTGGGAATCAGCACTATAGATGTGGATACTAAGTATAGTAGTATACACAGTATAATCTTGCACTTCCCCACACTATCTGGCTAGCGCAGTTGGTGGCCCATAATAGGGTACCCTGAGCTATACGCACAACATCGGAGACTGCACAGTGGTGTTAAAACGGAAATAAAAAAAAATAGAAAAAAAAAAAATAGTACTCGTGCCCCGTCGTCTGCTTCTTTCATGTACGCCTGCATTCTCTGGAAGTCTGTCATCTCTGCAGGGATTCGGCATATGATACGATACTGTATATGGATCTACCTTGTACATGCAAACACAGGGTGTGGAGAACAGGGTAATGTCCACAGCGGCATCGCCGTACCGCCCTGTCGTGGAGGTCACGATCACCACCTCGCAAGGTTTCAAGCCGACCTCCAAAACTCCACCAGAAAACAAATACATAAGCAGGAAACCTCGTTCGAACGGTACTGACACTCCAGCGGGAACCATCCATGCATGGCCTACGTCTCATTACACCCAACTCGTCCCTGAGTTTCTGCCGCAGGATCCCGTAAAGGAATGAGAGTCAGAGACAGCCGCGTGCTTGTTGCGCTCGTGAAAGATGTTGTCGCAGAACACAAGCTGGCCTGGTGTGAGGGCCCACGGCATCCGGTCGGACTTCGTGTCTTGAGTGAATAGCTGTGTTCTCTGGGGTCATGGGCAGACAGAGCGGGTAAGGGCGGGCCATTGTAAACTAGGCTAGAGCTTTTAACGCGTCTAAGAGTATGTATTGCCAGGACGGCTGCTGGGTAACTATCTATGAAATTTATCTCCTGTCTATGAGTGACAGGTGTTCTGTCTTGTGTGATCTCTTATGCAATTTTACCCATGACTCTAATTGTAGATAGAACTGGATCTGTCGGTTGAGGATCAGGATATCAACCCGCATCTCCCCACGCCTAACCTGTACCGAGCGCGTCGCTGAAAACAGAAAGACGATGCTTAGGAGAAACTATGGAAAAAGTCAAACGTGATTCTCGCTTTGCCCAATTCAATGGTAATACATGATGACTGTAAAGGAGACGACCTATATAGTGGCTGGAAACTGAGATTCAAAACTCTTGGTTGGTAATGCGAAACAAGATAGAAGACCAGCTTGCTTATGTCTTTGATATATATTACTCCAGTAAATACACTATAGTTTCAAATCCTCCAAATAGATGAATTTCCAATATCATTAGTATAATAGAAGCTGAGATTATTAAGTAAAACTTATAGAATAGACTTGGATAAGTAATATACTTATTAGAGGTTAGTGCTAAAAGCCTTTATTTCTTTAATCTTTTTTACTTATAATATCGGTTTCTATTACTATATAATGCGAAACAGGGTGAAAGACTAGCTTACTTATGTCTTCGATATATATCGCCCTGGGAAATATAACATGAGTGAAATCCTCAACACAGGCAATATTCAGTATCATAAGCATGATGGAGGGTGAGGTTCTAAGCAAAACTATATAATGAACTCAAACAAGGAATAAACTTGTCGGAGATCAGTGCCAGTACATGTTATTGTATGTGTTTTATGTGTTTTTTTTTTCTACTTCTCTCGCTGGCTAACATCAATCTGTGTTTGATATCAGGTTATATTAAGTTAACAAGAATATTTCCATCAGACGAAGTCACTTGAAAATCGCGTACTGTTCACTGGCACTCGCACGTGATGTGAGGCAGCTGACTTGACAACATAAGCAATGATTCAGTCTCAAACCCTCTGATCCTCATCATGTTCATACTTTTCACTTCTGCTCCATACTAAGTAGCTTCTTTCCAGGCCGATTCAGGACGCAGGGTGATAATAAAAAAAAAGTGACGGAGAGTAATTAGAGGCCAGGGCGGCCATCTTACAAGTCAAGTAATGTGTCTTCCTCCAGTCGATAAAGACTAAGCGCGTACAGCTCGAAGGGGGTCTGAGACTCAGAGATTTCTTCTCAACTCGGAACAAGCTGTGAAGCTGATGTTTTGACATAAGGTGACTTTCATTATGATGAATTACGTGATTCTGAAAAAGAGGAACGGTGCTGAAACGAAGAGAATGAAGGTATAGAACCTGAGGATGAAGAGGTGAGTACACGAGCTGCCACACCCGGCGACACAGGGCAAAAGAGGTGCAATGTGGCCTTTTGAATTGTCGACTGATATGAAAGGCTCAAGTTCAGGTATAAAGATTATCCCGTATAAAAAGATCCTGGTGTTTGGAGAAGTGAACATGATCGTGATCCTCTTTTCCTGATTAAAAGTTTCATGTTACAGCATTGAACCTACATCGACAGGGACCTGGGCGAAACGCCACCTCCGTACTATATAGAAACGGCAAAAGACTTCTGCTAAAGCCGGAAGAAAGCCGGAAAGAAGACCACAAGATTTTGGACGGTGTATACGGCTCTGGAGTGGTTTTGAGCAGGCGTGGACTCTCCTTGCTGTGGTCAGCTCTGGACCATTGGCTCCTGAAATTGAATCTCTTAAGCGGGCAAATCGCAGACATACGCTTGATGGTAAGAATACAACTTCAATCTGTTGTTATTGACTTTTGACGATCTGTGGTTTTTCAGCGAATCGAATCATCTCACTGTTTTGCATTATCGTCCGATCCCCAACATCCGTCTCATGTCCTTGCGGCGGCTTCTGATTTTGATCCGCGAAGAAGCCAAGCTCTAGATCTTAAAGACGAAACAGTCTGGTTGATGTACAAAAGAGACCCTTCTATTGATTTCAAAAGCACTGAAAAAAGACAGAATTCGTGACACTTTGCCGCTACTTGATGCAGCCCTCACTCTGACGGACGAGGAACTCGAAATCTTTTTCGTCACTTACTCTGATGAATAAGGCTGAATGGGATCAAAACCATTGACGATGCACTTGATAAGATGTTGGGGACAGAAGAAAGGGAAGACTGAAATAGATGGAAAAGCTATTTACTCACTGTTTAGCCTCATTGTACCTAATTTACATGCACTGCTCTGAACCTATATCGCTCGTAGTGATTTTGGTAGAACCTCATATCAAGAAGAAGATTCTTTCGATGACCATACTCGATAGGCAAATACTGAGTAAGAGACAAATTTTTAGTTCATCCTATTCAGACCATGGTATCACTATCGAGGGTTATTTCAGCCGGCTAACACCCAGCCACCCCTCGCTCGTTCCTACCTTACGCCGCGAAACTCATCCGATTTTAGCACTTGTAGGCCCTCGGCCCGAGCCTCGAACCTTTTGATTCGCTCAAAGGTAGCTGGAGTAGTGCGTTTAGCGGTTGGGTTCAGTCAGCTGGTGCAATCTGCGACCTCATGCATTACCCGATTGGGACTAGAGCGGAGGACATTTGTGACAGCCTCACCCCGTAGAGCATCTGGCAATCCTTTTCGTTCAGCAATCGATCATGCATCTGTTGTCGATCGGGACCTAAGATCGCCCGGAAAGTCAACTTATGGCGCGAACTGTGAGTGACGTGTCACCCACAATCTGCAGGAAAGAGTCATGCTCGCGAACCACCGATTGCTCCCTTGGGCTGTCTTGCGCCGCAGGGCATCCAACGAGGCTACGGCCCCCACTGGATCACTGCGAGCAAATATTTATTATTGGTGGAGGAGGGTGTGATAGCTACCTTATGCACGTCGTCATTTTCTATCACCCGCCTCTTTACACCCCCACTTAATGGTGCTTTGGCTGTCAAACATCTACCTTTTACCTATCCGGGTTCTCCCCACCCCGCCCCACGGCTTACGCTGGAACTTACCTCGACAATATAATCTGGTCTATTCTGTTCTTACCCTTCGAAGCAATTGCATTTCACAAAAGCTCTCGACTCAATTCTTAGACAAGCACCAGACAATCGTGATGGACATCCACTCGACGAGCTCGGATTCAAACGTGGAAGCTGAAGTTAACAACACTCCCATTGATCTCACTCTATGGGAGAATTTTATCAAGAATGAGAGTGTCACGGCTCAGGAGGTCAAAAGCTATGTAAGACTTTCTTCGGGTAGACTACAGGGTACAACTGACATGGAAATCCAGATTCATCAGCATGATCTTACGAAAGTCGAGCCATATGAGCCAGGAAAAAATGAAATCCAACCATGCAAAACATCCAAGGCGGAGGAAGGCTCTGATGATGCAGGTTATCATCCAGGTTACCTGTCCTTTGGTGACGATGGGACTACTGCCACCATTACGACGAGGGGCCAGCATGTGCAGATAAGTCGGTACCTTGGCTACGGCCCTTCGGGCTTTGTCTCCATGGATCATAAATCTATGGATGAGCCATATCTGGGCTTTTTCCGAAGACACACGGTTTTGGGGATGATCGAAGATGAAATAGGCTTTGGGTCCGGTGTCTTGGTAGGTGAAAATGACTACGAACCATCTAAGGCCTCTTGGATCCGTAACAAGTGGCCCCGGATCGTGACCAAGGGAGAAGATCGGTTAATGGTTCAAAGCTACTATGTGAAGAATGGGGTGGTTATCCAGGACACCGTTATCTATAATCGGAGCAACAAGAACTTAGAAGTAACGCCTAGCGTCAATTTCGATATTCTCACTCGCCAGCTAGAGTATCTTGATGCCTCCAACAGCTTCAACGAGGACAACGAGACGAGTGAATGGGATGGTACACAGGGCGCGGCAAGCTACACAAACTCCGCCGGGCCTGGCGGATATGGATTCGTTCAAATACACCGAACCCCATCAAAAGGGCGAGCAGATTCAGATGTACCATATCCAGACGCTGTTGCGTCGGTTTGGGGTTTTTTTAAAAATGGAAAAGTGCAGACGAAGCAGAGCTTTCAACAAGCTCAACCCTTCACGCTCGAGCCGAATATGAAGTCCCGCTTGATCACTGGCTATAAACTGGTTCTCTTATCTGCCAGTGTCTCGGACTGGAAGTCTTTGACGATATCCGCAGCGGACGTTGATATGAACAGCTTCTTGCGTAAGACACAGCCCAAAGAAAGGGTAGAGAGCGTGATGCTTCAGGACCCGTCGACGACATCCGGATTTTCCATATCTCGGATTGTTGAGCACATCTTGACCGTTTGTGCAATACCAATAACCCGCGGTTATGTTTGGGAGAGCGGTAATCCAGCCAAGGAAGAGGTTGAAGCAATTGCATTGACAAATGGCGAGATGTCATTCCACGAAGTCTCCGCGAGGGAAAGCTTGTAAGTGCCAGTTTATCCTTACCTCTTTGAAAGCCTGTCTCTGAAAATGTCCCTCAGCTTCGCGTTTAAACTTTTGCTAGAAGTTGCGAAGACCTTGAAAGACGGAGATCCACTGAAAGATGGAGATTCACTGAAAGCTCGAATCAAAAGAGTGTGTGAGGGACATCTGAAATGGGTTTTCACGTTCGCGAAGCTTCAAGAAACCAAATTCGCCGGGAAATACTGGGCCAATGGGGAGATAATAAAGAGCCTGCTTCCTGATGACGAGCCCACCAACACGCCTTTCCAGATTCTTAAGCTATACGAGTATCACAAGACTTTTGACTCATGTGATGAATCATGTGATCATAAAAAGATCATGAGTTACCTCAATGGATTCTCACCCATGGGCTGGATCAAGTCTCTCGACAAGGCAAATGTGCGCAAAGCGTACGCATGGCGTCACGTATGTCGCGCTGGCATTAATCATTTCCGGTTAGATGACCACATTTGGATTTACAACTGTCTGTCCGCTATTAGTGACATAGAGAACTGGAGTGATGCACGAGGAAAAAAGAACCCACGCAAGAATGGCGACGAAGAGGAACGCGAACGCTACCGTCTCATGGAAATGTACGATCCTACACGGGTGAAGCACGAATTCATCAAGCGATTCACAACAACCTATGAAAACAAGCAGCGTATGATCGCCGTAATGAGGTCACCGAGAGAGAGTCGATTTCAGTTCCACTCCAAGGATACTGCCCTTTTCTATCCCTTGGTGGATCGTGTATTTTTGCCTAGCAACTCAGCTTGGAAAGCCACCCTGGAAGCCCAAAAAAGGTTCCTGTCCAACACCGATCCTAACTTCGACAACCTCTTGTATCATGGGCTGTGCATGCTTATGGCAAAAGAGGGGGTCTCTATGTTACAGAAAGACCAAGAGAAAAGCTTCAAACAGGCCGCGAGCTTTCTGACTGAGAATCTGCTGGGAAATGGGCTTTTTCCGACCAACGTGGAAGATCGCTGGGGAAGCCGCAGTCACCACTGCTTTCAGATATCTTTTGAGATACCCTATATCCTCTGGAGTCTGCGGGACTATTCCCCTCAAGCAAAGGAGGCACAGCCCTCAACCGACACCAGTCCCTCGACAGGAAATCCACTTGCCGAAAACCTTGACCCCCTTGACGGAATAATTCCCTCCAACCGCCCGATTGACGAAAAAAGCGTCATCAGCGTTACAGAAGAATGGCTCTATAACCGCCCCACTTTCTTCGATTGGAAACCATCCACGGAAATCCTTCGCGGAGCGGGATTGACGCAGGGGAAATCACACAACCCACTGCCAGTCCGAGATATGAAGGATAACCCCTACCACTTGTTTTTTTTGAGGATTGATGAGCATCGCGAGGAGGTAGAGAATGACACCGAGAAGGAAAGTGCGGAAGTGATCAATAGAGCCTTTTCGGACTGGGAAAAGCGTCGTCAAAAGTCCGACGACTCATACGAGCCACTGGAACCGGAGCAAGGTCAGCGTAGGTCTTTTTTGCTTCTCGACGTAGCAAGGAAGAAAGGGTCCGAAAGGATGAAGTCCGAAATCAAGACCAATGCCAAGGGAACAAATAATATCGGTGTGGGATGGGAGCAGTTAACTCAAACTCGACGTGAGGAAGAGGTAAAGAAGCGCCTGCTGTGGTTCGAGCGTCCTTTAACAGACTACAGCCTCATGTGCTATCTATCTGCCCCTGAAGCAGAGCAGAGTGCCATCTCTACATTTTTCCAGCGTCATACGACATCCCTGAACTTCTTTGAAGACACCACAAATCAAGTAATGAACACTTGGGAAACCGAATTCCATTGCAAGTTTCTGCAAATTATCGACCACAAGAATTCGACCGATGGAAAAGGCTCAGCTGACAGTAAGCTGAATGGTCAGAGTGATCGTGAAAAACAGAAAGGTTGTGAGAATTCAAATGATCATAAAGACTCAAGGCATCCTGAGGAATTGAACGACTTTCGGGAGCTTTGCCCGATGCTCACATCTTCGGCATATGCCCCATTCATAATCGAAGACAAGGCACTTGTTCGGGCATCTGCGAGTTTCAGAGTAACTGGAGACTTTTTCGATAAGTTCTGGACTTTCTACATTGTCGAGAATTTCCCAGGGACACAGCCCGAGCATCTGCTCTACTTTCTTGGAAAGGACAGCAAGCAACTCAAGCGAGCATTGGCCTATTCACCGCCAAAGGCATGGCAGCAGAGAAACGTCCTAGAGCCTATGCTCATGCGCCGGATTTTGGGTGAAGTCAACCGAAGCACCAGAGACATTCTGGGCTTCTTGGAGGATCGTATCGAGAAAGACAAAAAGAATCTTGCCTCTCGCGTCTCCGACAAATACTTTGTATCTCTAAGCACATGGGCTCTCTTACACAAGACACTTGACATGTTAAAGGCCGATTTGGAGAGTATATCAACGCATATCGATGACTGGAATTCCAGAGAGCGAGATCGAAAGGGTGAAAGACCCCGGTGGACCAAAAGCGATGAGCACAAGTATCGCCACTCTATCACCGCCATTGACATTCTCAACCAAAGAGCGCTCCGAGTCCTTGTCGGAAACAAGGCCAGAATCGAGTCACTCGAGAAATCTTTGAATTTCCATGAGAACCGCACCAAGAATCGATACGATGAAGAAATGAACCTTCGAAACTATCAGCAAAACCAGAACATCAAGTACTTCACCTATTCCACTGTATTCTTCCTGCCTCTCGGGTTTGGGACAAGCATATACAGTATGTCTGCTCCGCCCCCGCCGGGCGTCATTTGGAAAATGGTGGCTTGTGCTGTGATCGCGTTTGTCGTTCTGATACTTGCTGTTCGTCTATCCCCTTACATCTTGGGGTCTGGAAAGGCACAAATCCTGAAGTCGGTTGAGTCGGCCTTGACTCCGTCACTGTCCACCGCAGTCAAAGAGTCAGAGATTAAGCCACCTGATAATCATAAGGAAGAAGCCCGCCCGGAAAGCAACAGAGAAGGTAACAGAGACTCGCCTCGGCATGAACATTCAAGAAGGTTTTCCAGAGTCTTTGCATTTATGAAACAAAGAACCAAAAAGACGCAAGCAGATGATCCAGAAAATATCCCTCCATCCCACACTAGACAGGAAGAGACTTAGAATACAGCAGAGACGGTTCCGATCACCATGTGAGAGGCGCAGTCAAGACTGTTTTCTTTTCGCATCATAGCATTTGGGAGACCTCAGTTTCCGGTCTCCTCGAGAAGAATCACTGTGTATCTACCGTGACTGATGTTTTGTATTGGACAATCTTATTCGTGGCCTCACTCATCTCAGTGACATCGTGTGGTGGATGCGCATTGTACTAGTTTCTCAAGTTTTTTCTCAACGCTTGAACAAGTGTATACACCCATCAAAGCATGACAACGTATGCTGGAAGTGTCTCGATATACAGCAGCTTGTAGCGGTCACTCGGCAGAGAGGAGAATACCCTATCAACTTGATATCTTCAGAGCGGCAGTCACTATCTATAGGATCTAATACATAAGTAGGCCCTCTACTCATTCCCCAGTTACCCCCCGCTGCTGACCTTGACCTTTCCCGGCGGCCCCGAGTAGTGGTTCCTCCTCTCAAATAATAAGTATAGATTTCCAGAAAAGTAACATAGACTAGTGCAACGCGCAATTTGCGGCGATTCCTATCGTGTTCTCATTTCCGACTATGCACACATATTGCAATCCACCTTCGCCAGAGATGGAAAGCCCGACAATTGGTCATGTAGCTGGGTTAATCCCCCACTTGGGCCCCCAACTTCCGTGAGACTCAATTCTCTAAGCGTATGTCGCGATCGTTCAAGAATCTGCATCAAGTCCGACCCCCGGATACAGGTACAGCAGAGCGAAACCCTTTCCAGCACGCCCGACAGAGCGTCCGACTTTGCGACATGGGCATAGAACTCGATTGCCAGCTCCTTCGGCGCGAGACTAAGATAAAGCTTTCTTAAGTTTGGCGTATGCAGAAGCATATTCAAAAGAAAAGAATAATTGTACGGGGTGAGTTTATGCTCGAGATGGAGGTTCGTGAGCGCGCCCCACCCCGCGCGAAAGCTGGGACTGAGGAAGAGTGTTTTCGGCAGCCTCTGAGTATTCATGATATCAGCCGTGTAATCCATCCCCCGTCCATACCAGAACAGCTTCACGGGTAGAGCGGCATCGGCGATGATTTCCAGCAGGATGCTTGCGGCGTCATCGGGGTGGAACTGTTGGTCGTCGGACACGTCCAGACTGTCCTCCCCGGGCGCGGGATGATTGCCGAGTGGTGAAATGACGAAGGAGCGACAGTTGATCAGCTTATCTACCAGATCATTGCGCAATTGGCGAATGGTGGGGATGGTGAGGGGGTTGAGAATGTGACCCGCGGCGCTGCGCTGCCACTCGAGATTGCGCCCTAGGAACGGCTCGGGCGCCATTACCACTAAGCGCTGCACTTGCTGTCGCATGATTTCGTTGTTGGCAATCGCGTGGATTTGATTCAGGCTTCCTTTAGAAAAGTCGAGGTGGATCTCGGAGTAGCGCTGGGCGAGGCGGTGGATGGTTCGGTGGTATGTGTGGCGACATGTTCCCAGTAATGAGGCTAGGTCGTGGGTGTCGAGCTCGTCGCAGATGAGCTCCAGGAGCTCTAATGGCAGCTTGTCTAACATGCAATGCATCGCGATGTAGTGGGTGCAGCAGTCAAGTGGAGGTGAACAGAGGAAAGGAAGAGTCTGTTGTCGTCATGCATTTATGTGATGCGAGGCGCGGCCTCAAAGGTCCCTGGCGTACCTTGGTGGCACTCCCCAAGTTCAACCCCCAGCATGTCGCAGATCGTTCCCACCGTCTCACCCGACGGTTTCCCCATACTAAATCTTTGAACCAGTTGAAGAGTCGCTTAGGGAATTGTCAAGGTTGTTCAATTCCCTGCACAGCCAAGTATAAGCGAGTATACTAATTAGCACGCGTCCACGTGCAGCCAGTCCTAAGTGCTCTACCACTTTGAAAAAAGATCATCCTAATTCGAAGAGATAACATGTGCATTCCGAAAAGCAGGATCGATTATTGCCCATAAGATGAAGCAGATGACGATGAGAAAGAGGACGAGAAAGATTCACTTTGCCAACATAGACCATAAATGAGTTCAAGGCCGCAAAAATACTGCCTGTCGAACATTCCTCCTATCAGGACTACGGAAGACCATTGCGGCCACTTGGCAAATGGGAAATCTACTGGCCAAACCATACACGGGAGAATGAAATATATATATACTCTTCAATCACACCTAATAACGAAGAATAATGAAAAGTATACGCTAAATCGAAATTCTCATACAATAATATTTTTAGTCTGTAACAACTCTTAATATCCTAAGATAAGAAGAGGAGTGAATTAATTATATGATACGAAGACTTTTTAGAGAAGAAGACTAAGGATTGACTCAGAGAGCCTGCAGGCGGGAGGGTCCGGAGGGGGAAGGGACTTGAGGGGACCGGGTTACTAGGCGGTTACAACTGCAGTGAAAATACTTATAGTAGTGAGAGAAATTCCATTTGTCGAGTGGCTGCAATGGTCTTCCGTATATATCATCTTGGTCCGTGCATACGAGGCTCGCCGACCCACTGCTTCCCTTGGGTCAATCAACAGCTAAACCGGCATTGATCTCGAGAAGGGGTTGACTCTTCAGTCTGTATCCGCCAAGTGCCGAAAAGGGGTCGCAGTCTTGCTGGTGATAAGATGCGCCACCACCTTTCGCCTCGCGAATCAGTGGCAGACAATGCCTGCCGGCAGAGAACTCATCCGGAGGAGCCTGGAGATATCCTTCTACCAAAGCGTGTAACTTCGCTGACCAGCCGTGTCGCAGACAATAGCTGAGTAGAACTAGATGCTCTTGATCTTCCGTCAGAGTAGATAACGAATCAGTTATCCATGTAGAAGTACATAGACAGTCTCTCGATGAATAGTCCGCATCACGCTGCAGTATCATGCGTGGCTGTCGGTCTGTGAGGAAGTCAGCTGGTCAAGATGTTGTCTTGGCCAGCGATTTTTGTAAGCGTATTGCAGATACTGCAAAACTTCAGGAACAGCCGCAGTTGGATTTTCCCTGGGACTGGATCTCGGGCCGGGTCGTAATCGACTACTCCGTACCCATTAATCCAAGCAAATGAGTCCCTGTTATGATCTCTGCAGATGCCGATGCCCCGAGCTTTGCATTAGACTCGGACCTCGGGGCCATCGGCACAGCAACGACCCCACTTTGCTGAATCCTCAAAAATCCCCAAAAATAGAAGATGGCGCCACGTGTGTCTTTGTGAGATCATCCATATACCTGTCACCGCCGGTTTTTTTTGGCGTCCGGAAAAGCCAGTTTAAGCACTGATGCCCCTGATTGTACGATTCACCTACCCCGCAACTTACGATGCATAGAATCGAACCCTCGCAGGACCCTCTGTACGCTTCCGGGGGCAAGGGTTGCATGCGATATCTCTTCTGCCACGGCGGTCATTCTCGGCTACCCCTGCCCGAGGAGGCTTCAGTGGAGGCCCGAGTCTTGGTCTTCAACGAACATGGCAAGATGTAAGCTGGAATTTCTATACCTACATGTACATATTCACAAGCTTCCATTCCACGTATCCCCCCATAATAACTGATGCGATAATAGTATATTGGACCACAGCGGAGATGAACCCACTTCTCGATTCTGCTTCACCGACCGCGCCCTGACTTCCGTTGACGACCGGCAAGATGTTTTCGTGCCAGCTAGACCTTTCGTAGAGACCCTCTTGAAGAATGTCTCCATTCCCACCTTGTTATTCGCGGAGATCCCACGGTGGGTCTTGTACTCCTTTGTCCTTGGTCGGGGTAAGGCTCATGCAGAGGCTAAACGTTCCCTCCCAATTACTGTAGCCACCAAGTCCTGCCGGATGACACGGAGCAAATTAGTCAAGTCCTTTATGTGTACGTCCTCTTCTCCTCTTCTCTGTCTTGCCTCCTCCTCCTCCTCCTCCTCCTCTTCCTCCTTTCGCTTCTTCTTCTTCTGCTGCTTCTTCTTCTTTCATCCTTCATCCGGGTCATCCATCTACATCCCCCCATCCCATTGCTAACCCCACTACCACCAGAGTACTCATCACCCTGGGCCGAACCAACCTCCCCCAGGCCACCTTCCAGGACTATGAATACCTTAAAGTCATGCTCCACGCCTTTGTCCCGCACTTCACGGTCGCCATCTCGCGCATCAGCGACGCCTACCTCCCGGGCGATGCGCGCAATGTCTGCCAGGAAGTCGCGAGCCTGATGATGACCTCTGCGTCTGCCGCTGAGGAGACCACGCAAGCCCTGCGCAGCTTTCTGGCTTTGTACGCCAAGCGCTATCTGCATGAGACGCTTGCTGAGGAAGAGATTCTAAGGAGATGTTTGTTGCATATGTTGAAGATGCCGTTTGAGATGGAGTCGTCGGTGAGGTATGGGCTTATTGTCAATTAAATTTGTTTGTGCGTTGAGGGTTCTGGATGTGGCCGCGGCCGAGGGGCCGAGGGAAACGGGGGTTGGAGGGGCGGTTCGAGATGAGTTGGGTACTTTCTACAGAGGCTGCGCGCGGTTACGACTGAGGGACACGAGATGCTACACAATTAACCACTTAACACATGCATAAGAAAATCGATTACTTCATCTCTCTAGTATGACATGGCTAAAGAAACATCACCCCAAGAAGACCCATCCACGTCCCCACAATCTGCAACACCGACCACTGTGCGCGCACAGAGGCAGCACCCGTGTACAACGCTCCCACTGCGCTGCTGCTGCTGCTGCTACTGCTGCTTGAAGGCACGACGGACGTGCTCATTCCACTGTACTGACTGCTCGCTGGGGAGGGGATGAGACGTGCCGACGAGGCAGACGGAACACGGCCGCTGTCAAAGCCTGAGAGGCCGGTGGGGTTGGTGTGGACCACAGTGACAGTCGACTGGTGGACGGCAACATCTGTCTTGGTCATGGTGATGGTGCTGACGTAGCCGGTGCAGGTTCCGTCGGCGGAGCAGGAGTCGACGGTGATGGTGGTCGTGTAAGCCGCTCCTGCAGCTGCGTTGGACGGGTTGGATGCGTCTCCGGCGGCGGCGGCAGCAGCTTCAGCTGCAGCGGTGGTCTGGGGGGCAGTGACGGCGTCGGCGCCTTCAACTGGGGTTGAGGTCTGGGTGGAGGCGATGGGGAAGACGGTCGTGGACACTACCACGGTCTCTGTTGTGAGGTAGGTTCCCTGCGTCGCGTGACAGGTAGCGTCGCCGGCAGCGCAAGCGCTGACGGTTGCGACTCGGGTGCTGAGGACGGTGGAGGTCGTCAAGGATGGGGCATTTTCGCCAGCTGGCTGGGTAGGCTGGTTGGCCACAGGGTAGACGGTGGTTCCGATAACCAGAGTCTCGGTGATCGGTTGAGCGGTCTTCGCTCGGGCAGGACAGTCGGTCACCGAGGAGGGGCAGGCGGTGATTGTGGTCGTGCGCGTGGTCAGAATGGTCGAAGTGGTGAGCTCAGAGCCACCTACTGCATTTACACCCCCTTCCCCGGCCGCAGAAGCAGAGATGGCGGCCGGTTGGGTGGTGACAGTTGCGTGCGCACCTGTTGCCTCGGCGACGGGGCAGATGGTAGTATAGGCTGCAACGGTCTCAGTGGTCAAGTAGGTCGTTCTGGATCGGGCCGGGCAGTCGGTCACGGAAGACGGGCATGCTGTGATTGTTGCCGTGCGAGTCGTGAAGACGGTAGAAGTCGTGAATTCCGGACCACCTGCTGCACTCACACCGATGGCGCTTGTAGCAGGGACAGTGACGGTGGCATCCCTGGTGGTGGCGGCTCCAGGAGCGCCAGTCGCATCCGCAACAGGACAGATGGTAGTGTAGGCCACAATGGTCTCCGTGGTCAGATAGGTGGTCTTGGATCGGGCCGGGCAGTTGGTCACGGAAGAGGGACACGCAGTGATAGTCGCCGTGCGAGTCGTGAAGACGGTGGAGGTGGTAAGCTCAGAGCCACCATTGCCCTGCTGGCCATTGTCCCCGCCAACCGCAGGCAACGAAGAAATGGTAGGTGCTGCAGTCACAGGACAGATGGTAGTCGACACCACCACAGTCTCGGTCGTCACAAATGTCGTTTTCGCGCTGGCAGGGCAGTTGGGAACTGTGGTGGGGCATGCTGTGATGGTCGCGGTCCGCGTGCTGAGGACTGTCGAAGTGGTAAACTCGGGACCCGTGGAGGCAGATGCAGTCGTAGTGCGCTGAGGCACCCCGCTCGATATCGCAGCCGAGGTCTGAGTCGCCAGTGTAGTGACGGTAGCCCTTGAGCTCGCAGTAGCAGTCGGAGACTGTGCCACCGGGGTGGTTTGAACAGGCCGGGAGGAAGAGATAGCGGGGATAGCGGCACTCGAGCTGGCACCCAACGAGGAGCAGCTGCGGTGGGGCAGAGGGCGAGAGACATAAGTCCAGTGATGGTGCGAGCTCACGGAATGACTGGGAACAGGTCTGGACGAGGGAATCACGGAGCTGGCTGCAGGCGAGATTCTCACAGCAGAAGAGGATGGAGTCAACGAACTGACTACCGGGGTTGGCCTGATAGGCGAAGATGAAGGAATAGCAATTGAGGTGGCGGGGGTAGCGCGTGAAGAAGGAATGGCAGAGGACGAGCGAGCACTGCAGGGTCTGCGGCTGGGCAAGGGCCTGGAACTATAAGTCCAGGGATGATGATGATGAGTGACTGTAGCCACGGGGGTAGAAACGAGCGCAATCGTGGTGGGCTGAGTGTCAACAGTCAAGGCGAGGGTCTGCAAGAACAATGCGGCGAGGAGCCATCCTCGTGCCAGCAAATGCGCCATCGTGAATTGACTAAGTCTCTCCAACACACAGAGTATTAAGGAAGGAATATAGTGGGTAAAAATAACGAATGATATTACAAGAGAGTGAGAAGTTGTGAAGAGAATCAAGGCATTGGAAGTGAAAGAGTGACAGGAAGCTGGGTGTGGGTGGGAAAAACCAGACGAAACGGGCAGAGCAGGTAGTGGAAGGGATAGCCGTATTTACGGCATTTGCAGAAGGGAGTCGAGATAGAACTCCTCGTGCACGAGGGGGAAGCAGGATTCCGGTGCCTGAATGTGGCTTTCGTATTTTTCCAGACTATCGATTTTATGTTCGTGTTGAGGTGAAAACAGCCGACGGAGAGGCCGACGGGAAGAAAGTTAGGAGTCACTAAGGAGTATTTAGGGCATCTTCCCACCTGCCCTTCACCAGAGAGTCAATCCCCCTCGTTTTGCCAGAACAGCACCAAAATGGCTCTGAAACTTATTCCTCTTGTTGCTGGCCTCTTGCTGGGCCAGGTGTCGGCCGTTGCTCCACTCCAATCGAGCTCTGCGGCGGCCAGCAGCAGCCCGGTTCAAGCTCGAACTCAGGCCAGTGTCTACTGCCACACAAAATTGGGAACAAGCTCCATCTCTGGCGTCTTGCCCACCTCAACCATCACTCGAACTCGTCATGACCCTACGCCCGTGATCATCACCTCAACGACTCAAGCCACCGTGACAGAAACCCCTGCCGTGGTGACAGTCACCGAGACTGACTATGTGACGACGATCATCACAACCACCGCCGCGACGGTCACGGATACTTTCTCCACTACCTCCACTGACTTTGCTACCTCAACGGTGGTGGTGACTCCCCAGACTGTGACCAGTACCGTCGCGGTAACAGTCTCAACGACGACCACCGTCACCTCCACCATCGCCCCCTACGCGGGCTTCACTCCCCTGGCGGACACTCTGCCCACCGTGCAACCGGCCAAACGCTCGCTCCTTGAAAGTGAGGAGGAGGAGGGGGATTGCGCTGCCTGGCTGGATGACTATCAGTATCCTCAGGCAGTTGAATGTCACGAGAAGATCGTGGTGAAGTCGACCAGCGTGGCGACGGTGACTGCAGTGCCCATCACCACGACTTTGGCTGGTTCGACGACCACCGCCACGGTGACCAGCACGATCTTTAGCAGCTCGGTGGTGGTTCCCAGCGATGTCTCGACCACTCTCAGCTTCAGCACCACCTCAACAATCACCGAGACTGCCACGGCTCCTGCTGTGACCGCCACCACCACGACCACCAACACCGTCTCGGTGACCACCAGCACCACGTTCCAGGGTGCATGCGCCACCAACAATGTTGCATCTCTGCCGCTGTCCTCGGACTACGGGAACTTTGTGGGACAGTATATCTATCTCATTTCTTTCACCAACGTTCCTGGTGAAAGCATCAGCGTTGGCAACACTGCTTCGGCCTACGACTGCTGCGTTAGCTGTCAGGAGTCCAGTACCTGTGCCATGTCGTACTTCAACCAGCTCTCGTCCTCACTGGCCTACTGTTATCTGATCCACACTACAACATGCAGCAGTGCCACGACCTATGCCACGGCTCGCATTCACGGCTCTGCAGCCACAATCCAGATGTCCAACGGCCCTTGTGGACGCGTTGTCGGTTTGCAGGATTAAAAGATGATGTATATTAGCTAGACCCGATAAAGTTCAAGGTTTTTTGTCTCACACAAATATGGTGCGTATGAGGTAGAAATTGTAGTCAGCAGGACCCTCCCTGCCTTGATGCCTTCAGGCAGCCCGAGGCGTGTGGTAGTAGTCAGCAAGTGACATCTCCCCCCCCCTAACCTTTTCCAACCTCCTGCAGTGAAGAAGACAAAGATGGATTTCAATGACATAAGTCCTGCTCATAAACAAACAATGTAAGAAAGAATAGATGCACGATGCTCGGCCTCCTCCCAGGGCATCTGCCAACTCGCCAGTTGCTATCAGGTCAGTTGGACTGATGGACCAATGACAATGGCCTTGGAGAGGCTCAGCGTAGACAAATTACAGCTAGCAGCTGTTGGGAATTACATACTAAAAGCTGTATTGATTAGATTCAATGAAAGAAACATTGAAGAAGAAACTATCATCGTTAGAACATCCTCGTCTTGAATACATAAACTCGTTGACATATCACCTCTTGCAGCCCACTTGTTGCTAGTGGATCTCATGTCGCCAATTTCAGAACATGATCCCTACGTGAGAATTCGATTGAAAGTATCCTGCGTATGTTTCCAAACGATCTCGGGTAATCCCTTCTCTCGGAGTTGAGTCATCAGAGATTGATTGGTCGCATCCTTGCCATCATGGTTGACGATATAGGCACCCTGGCCGGAATTCTTGGGGGCGAAGTTCGGTGAAGTCGATAGCCATGTGTGCCATTCTCCACTCTCCTCAGCCGAAATCGAGATGGGCTTCATCAAGAACCCCAGGATTGTGCCCGCCACAGATCCCATACTATTTTTCAAGAGTGGTGTGGCCACTATACCCGGAAACACATGAAGGAAGCTAACGGAAGGATGTTCCGATGCAAGGACCTCAAATGCTAGCGAGGTCATGGAGGCCGGGTAGCCGGTACTGGCAGAAAGGGAAAATTGCTTCCTTAGATCCAAGTTATCTTCCTCGATCATGACTTCTTTACCACCAGCCAGAATGCTGATCACACGGGGGTAGTGTGCAGCTTCAAGCAGAGGTAGTAGGTTCTCAACGAATCTCATGCGAGAGTAGTATCGTAGCATGTGGTTGACATCGATTCCGGCAGCCGTCTCTGTGTTTTGGTAGGAGTATCAGCCTATGTTCTGTGGGTGTAAAATCTACCCTCGGGCCTGTAATCTATCCTCGGGCCTGTGAGACCGCTTCTTCTTACCATTCTTGCTGACTGCAAGAGCTCCAGCCGAGAGAAACAAGAGGTCCAGCGCTTTGAACTGAGTTTTCAGTTCTTTGCAGGCTTCGTCCACTCTGCGAAGGTCGGAAATGTCGACAGCCTTGAACCCGTAAGACCCATTTGGATTGGCCTTTGTCATCGCTTCAAGGACTTGAGCACCAGCGGCTTCGTTGCGACCGACAATGTAAATAGTGGGTTTCTCAACTGCGCCGGCCAATTTGATGGCAGTATGTTTACCGATTCCACTGGTGCCACCGACGAACAGGGCCACTGTTTCCGGCCGTGCGGACTTCAAAGCCGCATTCCACTCCCGGACTTGCATCAATGTCTGAGCCATCTTGGCTATACCGATGGTAGTTTCTGTTCGTGGGTCAAAATGCTCGTGTTTCGCATGAAAGTTGGAAGATGGATGTCTTAAAATGTGAAGGTCAAGAGAGCGGTGGTTTTACTGCCGTCGCTATCCAGGAAATGATTATTCAGCTTTTATCTGTTCCGCGAAGAAACTGTATCCAGTGTGTATCCACCAGTAAACCCTCAAGTGTCGGGTCGTCGGAAGGAGTTAGCTTAACTCCGCCTTGCTTTTGTGGTGAGAATGGAGAGATCAGCATAACTGATAACTTCACAAATGATTATACTCATATCTAATCACCCATTATCCCATTCCCGCTGGGTTACCTCAGGGTGCCCAGCCTGGCCCGATCTTGGTTGTATTAGTCCATTTAACGCCCAGATTTCGCGTGACTTTGAGTGCGGTGATAGACTTGCGTCTAGTTCATTCATTTGGGTCATATCGCACCTTTACTGCGTTTAAGATAAGGCAAGATTACAGAAATCAGCTCAAGAGCCAAGATCTCCACCTAACCCACCCCAGAGGCGGCGACAGCAATTCCATAATATATCTTCTATTTCTGACATGGGGCGCCTCGGAAACGCACGAGAATAGTAGACAGTGGTCATTGATGCCACTTTTGGGATATGTCCCAATTGAGCGTGAAGACCAAGGGCACCTACGGAAATGGGCTAACCATAGAGACCTTTTTAGAAAGTTCTCGTTGCTGAAAATCCCCTGCAATACTCTATGAAGAAAATAACCACTTTGAGCTATGGCTGTAGAATACTGTCTTTCAGAGTTCAAGTTAAGGGGATCATCCGGCCCTTCGCTGCCCACCCTGTCCACATCACTGACTAGAGGATGAGGTTTTTGTAGAGCTGTTTGCTTCTCAATATCGCTAGTTTGATGACATCGTTAGCAGCCGAGTGAACTTTTCTCTGGATTTGTACGTTTACACAATGCTATGAAAGCATCACTCCAAGTTCTTAATCTTTCTTTCCAGATCGAGATATCTATACCAAGCTGTTTCAGTACAATTTCGTCGAAATGTCTCGGCCGGATGTTGCTCTGTAACCCAATAATGACATGCCAAGACTCACCGCCCAGCAGGTAGTAAATTACTAGAGGAGCGGGGGACTTTCCCGCGCGAGTGGATACCTATTGGTCGGAGATAACTATAGCTTAAGGACCGAGGAATTACCCACTTCGACGTGGAGATTATCAGAAGCAGATCTGTTTCCTGACCCTAAAAGATAGTCTGAGAGACCTCACCAGATCGCGGGCTGGGTTTCGAGCCGCCACTTGAAACTCGCCAAAAAATCAATCAACTCTAGTACGTACATTGATCACGATACATGTGGCTTTAAGGAGGCATTCAAAGGCGGGCAGGGGGAGGGTGAGGAACCTTTTGTCTCCGTCGGAAATGAAAGACTGAAGTCGGGTGCAAGTCTGCAATGCTGTCGTTTCCAAACTCCACATTCATGCGGACCGACAAAAAGGAGACTATTTCATAGATATGCTATCTTGGGCCTCCTTTGAGCGTGAAGTTTGCCTCGTTCACTTGTTCAGCGAAATGATCTGAGAGTTGGGCTTATATGATAGCTACCTCCGATTGCAGCGCTGAAGTAAATGAGATTTTTCTAGACTATGCTTTCTCGGTAAACGGTATGCTTAGCATGATCCTAAGAAGCCGGCGGCCCGCAAACGCGGACCGGGCTATTTAAGGGCCGAGGTCTCGTTCGTTAGGGCTATTTAAGGGCTGGCATTCCAATCGCGACATTTTGCTCCCACCTGACATCAATGCGGAACGCTTGATAACCTGGCCGCTTGACGTGATCCTCAGTCTGGATGGTAATCTTGCCCGGGTGAAACCCATGGTATCTATACCTAAAATTAGAGGGATGGCGAACTACATGCCAGCCACTGTAAGAATACGGAGTACAAAATTATCCAGCGGATATAGGAAAGGTAACAAACCACATCACCCGACGGAGGAATATACTGTCAGTATTTGCCATTCTGTTGATAATATCTAGAGCAGGAAGCTATTTTTGCCGATTTTTCCGTCCAGAAGCAACGCTACACGATTAAGATACAGATTAAGTGACATCCTGCCATAGCAGCTAGCTTCGTTGACAGAACGAGGAATCCTCCTAATATAGAAGGGAGCTATCAGCTCAGAGAGGATCCAAGAATTTTGAAAGGGGTCAGGGATCAACTTGAATGTACTCCAGCAAGCTCCGAGTGGGGGGGCGGGGGGAAAAGGTCCGAGAAAATGTATGCATACAGTAGTTATCTGATCACCTCGGAGCGGATAGCCTGGTTAGGCCAGCCGAACTTTCCAGAAACGATTATTATTGTTAAGGCCTTGAGCGGGAGCCAACAAGCGCCTTTCAAATGTTTTAGGGAATTGCGGACGGAGTACAGACAGAAACCCACCAAGGAATGACGCAGCCCTGGACTTTCTTTGGGCATTGAAGAGAGTCATGTATCATAACTCTTACGAACACAACATGGTTTTCACGCTGGAAGTCCACTGAGCGGTTCAATCTGTTCTAGATATGCAAGAAATCTTCTTGGTCAGATTTTCCCTTTTTCTCCAAAGACCAAGCGATTCTAGATCTTGGCATAATCAGGCGACGGCTTTTGGGAAACTTGATAGCTATTCTGGCGTGAGGTTTTGCCTAAAACCAAATAAGGTACCCTTATTAACTCCTCAAAACTGTTACTAGCAGGCTATAAAGTGTCTGTGCTCAAGATTCAAGCTGAGCCTGTACTATTCTTAATGGTATTGTAATATGAAAGCTTCCTACCAATCACAAATCAAAAGCTGGCTATCGATTGTAAAATAATTTTCCCCACCGTAGATATATAAACGCCCAATTATCCCCAATGGAGATTTTCTCTTTCCATCGACGCAAGTCTTTTTTTCTTTTACAATTGAGAGACCTTTCATATTAAGATACACTTGTACCAGACATCGGCAATGGCAAGTGGCGAGCATTTTGAACCTTACGAGCGACTCGCTCCGGCATTACTGCGAAGCGAGCTCCAGGGCAAAGTTGCGATTGTGACTGGAGGTGGTTATGGAATCGGCCGCAGCATCGCTCAGTCATTCGCAGAAGCGGGCGTTGCTCGGATTATTTTGATTGGACGAACTGAAGCCAAACTCAAGGCCAGTGGCAATGAATTATCCCTCTCATTTCCCGAACTCGAAGTTGTCCCTATGGTTGCAGACATTACCTCTAAAGAGGATGTACGGCGCATTTTCGACTCTTGCACCAATTATGCCCCCGACATTCTGATCAATAATGCGGGCTATCTATCCACGCCGGAAGAGTTCCTCGATGCCGATTTGGACGATGACTGGAACTCTTTTATGGTCAATGTTTACGGAACCATGCTCTTCACGCAAGCCTTTCTGCGCCATCGCAAGGCCTATGTTGAAGCAGCTGAAAAGGCAGGGAAGACGTCCTCGCCCGCAGTTATCGTCAACGTGAACAGTATAGCCGCCTTTTTCAGCATGCCGAAATTCTCCTCCTATTGCTCCAACAAGCTCGCTCTGGCCCGTTGGACAGAATCACTCTCTCTCGAGATTCCTGAGAAGTTCGCCCGTTTCGTCTCTGTTCATCCAGGCGCTGTGGACTCCAGCATGGGCATCAAATCTGGCGTGATTGATCAGATCAAAGCTGGGACTGTCCAGCTTAACTTGACAAACCCCAAGTTAACCGGTGACTTTATCGTCTGGTTAACAAGTAAAGAGGCAGAATTTCTGAATGGGCGTTTCGTAACTGTCAATACCGATGTCGATTTTCTGCTCTCGAAGAAAAAGGAGATCGTTGAGAAGGGGTTATATTTGATAAACCTTTCACAATGAAAGGTTTCCGAGCTATTTAGGAAACTTCGTGCATCTTGATCATCTTCATTTCGCATGGTAAATATTTCTTTGTGTTTTTCCTAACGCACTATTCACCCTATGAGAACTGTTGTTGTTGTTCATATTTAGGTTGGCAGACAACCGCTGCCCATTCTCATGAATATGTTGACCTTGCCCTGGCTTTATCTACAAAAGATGTTATAAAATTAGCCAGCCAACTGTTCGTTGGTAACTTGTCAGTTATATTTACAAAATATTCAATAACTGTATGATTTAGTGATGTAAGCACGTGTTCCGGCTTTAACATAATTAAGGTGGTTGAGGATGTTGAGGATTTTGACGGGAGCATGCGGGGCCGCCGCCTTGCTGGCCACCTCCCTGGCTTTAGAACCACCAAAAAGTGCTATATACATTAATTCTTGTTGTTTTCTTGACATTTCAACCAGTCATGTCCCTCCCTCTTACATATACTTAGCGTGGCTTAATCTGACCGTTAGCCACTCTAATCTAATAACATATATCTAATGATTTAATTCGTCTTTGTGAAGTTAGAGATAGACTAGACAAACCATAGCTATTTCTACTTTAATGACAGGGGTGGTTAATCCGGAAGTATATCAATTGCATATACCCGCCCAAAGGGGGTTAGTGCACTTTGCAACACCCACCTTTGGTTGAGGGAGGCACCTGTAGAGAAGGCCCTCGTTTTGTACAGTTATGCACAGAGAGCTACAGCGACGTGACGCGCAGGGTTGCTGCCTCAGGCACATATATCCCAGTTCCCTTCCGGAGACGGAACCTGCTTCTCCGTTCACACCGCGACCGTCAGTGCAGGCCTATTCCTGCTTAAGCAAGCCTCACCAGGCGACTTTCGGTGCAACTCTTCTGGTGGGAGCCAATCAGCAGCAGAACAAGCGCACGATGGCACTCACAGGAGTCTTGCAGAGATGGCGTTAATTAGCGGCTGCTGGTACCCGCCCGTCAAGCCTCTCATCACCAGAAATGCCACAACGTGCCGCCTACTATAGTAGATTCAACAGAGGACCCATGTCATCTAGGGTGAAGACACTCGGAAAATGCAGGAATTGTGCTAGTGTCTGACCAATATATGTGCTCGTCTGCATGCGGCTTGTCGGCAACGCCCTTCATGATCAAGCTATATATTCTCGCCTCCCCTTGAGAACACAACCCGACACTATTTCGAGAGTGAACCACCCGACAGAACATAATACAAAACATCATCACGATGCACCGGAGTACCATCGCCCTTCTCGGCCTTGTGTCTGGCATCGGCGGCCTCCCGAGTGCCCAGTCAACCCGACGCTCTGAAACCCGCCTGCAGTTCAGTAGCAATGGCACATTTCAGTTATCTGTACTCGAGGATCTGCATTACGGCGAAGGTAAGCTGCGATCGTCTGCACACTGTCCGTCGCTGACGGCCCCCGAGCGGAGGCGACCACCTGGGGACCCGTCCAGGACGTGAAAAGCACTGCCGTCATCAACACCGTTCTCGATCACGAAAGTCCGGATCTAGTCATCCTGAACGGCGATCTGATCACCGGCGAGAACACCTTCCTGTCCAACGCGACCGACTACCTTGACGAGATAGTCGCCCCCCTCGTGTCGCGCCAATTGCTGTGGGCGTCGACCTATGGCAACCACGACAGCGACTACAACCTCTCGCGCAGCGCCATCCTGGAGCGCGAGCAGAACTACCCCAACAGCTTAACCCAAAGCATGGTGGCCGGGAAGCTGGCCGGGGTATCCAACTACTACCTCCCGGTGTACCCGTCGAACGCGTCTGCGACCACGCCAGCGCTGATCCTGTGGTTCTTCGACAGCCGCGGGGGGAACTACTACCAGGAACTGGAGAATGGGAGCGAAGTGCCACAGCCGTGCTGGGTGGATGAGTCGGTGAGTTCATGCCCCGCCCTGTTCCAAAACACCATATGCTCGAACTCACCACCACGGGCAGGTCGTCGAATGGTTCACGCAAACCAGCGCCCAACTCACAGCCGAGTACGGCAAAGTGGTCCCCTCGATCGCGTTCTACCATATCCCCGTCAACGCGATGCTCGCGTTCCAGAATCAGGGGGTCGACGCCAATCATGAGCCCGGCATCAACGCCGACGTTCCCCTCGATCAGCAGGGCGAGGCCAGCGGACAGGGCGAGGTCTCTGGCACGGTCTTCAGCTATTCCGGGCAGGATATTCCGTTCATGGAGGCGCTGCTGAACACCAAGGGTCTCCTGGCGACGTTCAGCGGGCATGACCATGGCGATGACTGGTAAGTACAGTACTATTCTCCCTTCTTCCTCCCGGTAGCATAATACCTCGGATTCAGGACTAAACCTAATGCAGGTGCTTCAAATGGGACACCCAACTTCCCGGGATGAACCTGACGGGCAACGGACTCAACCTGTGCTTCGGGCGCCACACCGGCTACGGGGGGTACGGGTCGTGGACGCGAGGCTCGCGCCAGATCCTGCTGGACGAGAAGACCCTGGACACGCTGATGCAGACGTGGGTTCGGTTGGAGGATGGATCGGTGTCTGGGCGAGTCAGCCTCAACGCGACGTACGGGGAGGATTGGTATCCGGCTGTCGCTGCCACTTATACGTAGACTGTACGACGGAAGGTACTCACTAATAGGAGGTAAAGAGCGTAGTTCACTTTTGGGAATGTGATGGCGTTTATGACATGCAAGCAAGCACACTAATTGCTAGGTTTGCCGATCACCTCCCCGAATGCGTCAACGCACGGGTGCTCCATGCATCCAAGCGTACACATACATTGCTTAACAGGACAAGCAGTGGCGTAACCCCCGCCGATCTTGGTCCGAGACAACCACGGGTCTAAATCAGGTCGCGACGTCACTGCCGACAGGGGTTGAGTATTTAGTCATCATCGCTCGTCATTCCACGGAACCTGATTCTACTGTGTATTCCACCTCGATTTATAATCAAGTCGAGTCATTAGTTAATCGTATTCTCTATAGTAACCGCTGTGCGGGGTAATAAATAAGTATAGTACACACGAAAGTTAAAAACCCCCAGCAAGTGGAACAAAGGAAAGTCGTCATCCGGGTTTCCCGTTTCATATCCGCCTAGCAATAACCAAAAGACACCCATACAAACGCCCTATCTATACAGAATCCCGATTGCCGATTACCCCAGAATAATTCCCTGAATGAGTCGTGACAGATCATGAATATGTGCTTGTGTTTTTTTTTCATACTGGGAGGCTGTTTACTCCCTCAGAGTCCGATTATTAAGTCCATCCCCGGTGACTTCCGGCTCAGGGACCTTTTCACCTTCCATTCGGCGACCGTAGTTGGACTTGGGGCCGTGGACGTCGTCGTGCGTGTGGGAGACAATCAGGATAACGGCACTATTGTAACGGACATTAGTGATGCTGCAAAGGGAATGCTTCAAATCGGGAAAGGGGGGGGGACATACCTGGCGACGGTGGCTACCCAGCCGGGCCACGCGAGAACCACCGAGGCAATAGCTTTGGGGTTCTTGCGGTACACTACCTCGATGATTAGTGACGGATTTCTCATACTTCGAGGGGCAAGACACGTACCGAAAGCAGGCTTTTTGGACGACTCGGACCAAAACTCGCGGGCGCCGGCCGCATCCGTGCCGGTGACCTTGACGCTGCTTGTCGCGGTGATGATCTTGATTAACCACGCATGTCAATATCTCCCTTCCCTAGACAAAAAGAAGGGGTGCGGGTGTGCATACCGTCATGGTCAACGCGGAGCTCAACATCATGATCGCAACCACCACGCCGCAGATCTTCCACGCCAGGCGGACGGAATTGCTCTCGTGTCGTTCGGGCCAGAAAAGATCGAAGAAAAAAGCGGCCCCGAAGATGGTGGCGACGGCAACGCCCACGAAAATGTTGTAGGATGCGGCGCCGATGAAGTCGTTATTGTGGACGGAGACGCCCGGATGATGGCTTTCGATGTAGTTCTGTTGGTCGACGTAGTCTAGTTGCGATGAAGAGTGGGTGGTTAGATAGGATAGATTTGCGTGATAGTGGGAGGTAACTTGAGGACTCACCAGACAACGCAGCCGTCCCCGTTGACTCGGAGCACACACACAGGATCATGGCCAGCTGGTAGACGATCATTTTCGTGCGGCGGAGATGGTAGATGCGGTTGAACATGTTGGAGCTCTTGAATTTGCTCCATTGGATCTCTTTGAGATCCAAACCCCAAATGACCGTCATTTTGTGGTGGATGTGTGAATGAGTGGATGACTGGAAGGGGGAGAGAAACGAAGAGATGGAGAGATAATGAGGATGGACAGATCAGGGGGAAGAATGTATGGAATGCAGAGCACCAGAATAACGGATTAAAATGAAGTATTAAAGAAAGGACGAAGGGACGGGTAAGCGGAGCCATGGACAGCAACAGGGTCCGCCGGGATCGGCTACCTGTGACGTCAGTTCACATCTTTCTTCTCTCCTCCACGTCACTTCACTCATAGGTCCTCCTCACCACCCAATGGTTCACGGATGTGGATTGGTAAATGCTGCCTATGAATGAGTAGGGAGACTAGTTACACCCATGATATCAGCGGGACTCCTCCTTCACTACCCTCTGCCTCTTTGGGTAAGAGATGATGCCGAAGTAGTTCTCGATCGACCATGTCCAATCGCATTCTTCTCGGACCGTCTTGTGCACCGTCTTTCAAAATCGACGGAGTCCGTGCTGGTGGTGAAGAAACTCTCTGCATCTGCAGTGACAACATGGCAGAAGGAATGCATGGTTCTTGAAGATAAGGGCCTAGACCCACATCGTCTGCATGTATACGGAGTAGTCTACCCTGGGGGCCTGGAGGCTACAGCACTCTTAACAACTGTCAGGCCCCGATTCAGGCGACTATTATACTTCCATCCACTCGGGCTATGAACAAGAAGGTTCAAATGACATTGCAATCACCTCCACCCGTCATTGCTCCTTTTCCTCAAGTCCTCGCCGGCATTACATGCCTCTTCGAACCGACTCGCCACTCACTCGGACTGGTCAGGTGGGGCTCCTCCTGTTCCTGAGAAATCAGAGGCGACAACGCACCACGGAACGAGTTAACAAGTGTTCATCCAGAAAGCATTTGTCAATACGAACCACAATTGACTGGGTTTTGTTGCTTGCGCAACCGGGTGGATCGAGGGCCAGGCTTCTTGGTCCGATCGCAACGATCGGGTTCCACTGTGCTTGCGATTTTCGCTGAGTGCGGTCTTCTTGGGTTCTCACTCTGGATGGTTCATCATCATTACGAGGTGTGGTGTCAGTCAGTGTATGCAGGACTCTTGTAGCTCTCGCAGGGGATTCCAGGAACTACACGCGCATGAACACCTCGATCGACGGCTGCAGATGGTCCACATCAATTGACTAACTTAAGTCAGTGTAAATTCTTGATTATGCAGGATGATGCACCCAATTGCTTGCTGGCTCTTTTCAATGAAAGAAGATAGACAAAACCATAGTCTAAGAACAAAAACGCCATGCTAAGATCCACCGATAGCCCCCAAGCCCCCCAGAACCCGTTGAACGCCAGACCCAACCCGCAAAATCAAACAGAAACCGTCTCCGGAACTTCGACCGTAACAACCGCCAGCCCCTTCATCACATCCACCACCACCTCCTCCAACAAACACGTCTCTCGATCCGCAACCGCATAAAGCGGCAACTCAGGCTCCCGCCAGGGCTTCGGTGAATAGAGCAAAATATTCTTCAGCGCCGCCGCCGCCAAGGCCTGCGTGCGGGCTGCGTCCAACAAGCCCACCCCCTCCGCCCGGCTGCGCATACACACCGTCTCCATTTCGATCCTCTGGAAGCTCCCAGACCCCCCATTTTGGATGGCATCCGCCAATAATGCCCAGGTCAACGGGTTGTACAACACCCCTTCATGGGACCAGATCAGCCCGGCCGACTTGAGCCGCGCCTGCACCTGCAGCTCGCAATTGGTGACCCCTACGCTCCGCTCATCCCTCATGTACGCTGACGCCCCCATCCCGGACTGCGGCTGCACCACCTCATCCGTGGCAGAATAGATGGAGGTCGTCGGCACGTAGGCTGAGTCTCCTCCATCCGCCCGCAACGTCTTGATGAAGTTCGCATTGCGCGTTTGACACCACACGGCCGGCGTGCCGGGCTGCGTCCCGCTGAACGGACAGAGCGCCCACGCGCCCACCGTCCCCGCGAAATCGGCCGCCAGGGCGATGAAATTGCTCACGTGCGACCGCGTGCTGGGCCAGTATTTGAGCGCCCACTGCGTCGTCAGGCAGCCCTGCGACCAGCCGATCACCGCCAGGGGGGTGTTGTCGCACCGCGCAGAGAGGTAATGAATGGCGTAGGCGACGTATTCGGCGTTGCGGGCGGAGGCGTCGCACATCCGGCCGGGGATGTTCAGCCACACCGGATCCCCGAATGAGCTGGCGCGCAGCATCTTGGTGAGGTTCGGGGCATAGGCCTCACCGCCGTAGGTGCCTGTGCCCGGGACGAGGAGCACGGGGGTTTTGCCGTTGCGCCCGTACTGGAAGTCGGCGGGAATGTAGATGGCGCCGCGTAGGGTGGTTTCGGAGAAGGAGTAGGGCGCGTCGGTCTCCGAGACGCGGGGGTAGATGCTTGTTGTAAGGTCCGGGTGTTGGTTGTCGTATGAGTTAATGTTGGCCTCCTGCTGCTGCTGCTGCTCCCCCCCAAGTCCGAACATATTGTTGGCGAGGATGGAGCTGCGCGCGCGTAGGGAGTGGCTATACCCTGACAGGTGTTTGTAGTAGGTGTCAAAGAAAGGGATTTGAGCGAAACTCATGGTGATTGACCCCGGGGGTTCAGTGTCTGATTGTGACTTCCCAGATGAGGCACTTTGTGGTTCTCTCCAGTTGGCGCGGAGAAAAGGGTGTCATCGCCTCCATGTGCTCCTCGACTTTATATTTTGAGGACTCGGAGGCATGACAGCTGGTCAAAGGGTACACGAGGGTGAAAAAGTCAAATTCTTGCAACAAGAATCAAGGCTTTCGCTGACAATCGCCAAATTCGCAAGTCTAAACCGAGCATTGTTCTCAGAATGGAGTGCGCGGCGTCGGCAAATCTTACCTGTGGCGGAGATGCCGAAGCAGACGAAGCCACACAGCGTATCTTTGGACTCTACTGGTCTCCACTTCAGCTCTCTTCGGCTGGCCAACTCCGAACTATTTCTGTGGCTGAATGATTTCTTAGCTGAATCAAGTCAAGCGGGCTTCATGGCGGCCCAGTCAGCTGGGTTCAGCTTCGCCCTTCTCTCGCGATTGTGGCTGACTGCTGCTCGCTTCAAGGAGCCATCGTCGAGCGGTGTGTCCTCTCGTTTGGTGTAGTCTTTTGTGTTCTGCTCGGCTCGTTCATGCCTAACATCCTTGGTTTCAATCGCGCCTCATCTGGCTTCCGGGTATGGATCGCGAGCCCTCCTTTCTCGTCAGGGCACCTTCGCCAAGCGTTTCCCAGAACTTGTTCTCGAGTTTAAAAAGTCTCGACCCTAGCTAGTGAGGTCGCAATTGCCACTCTCTTGGGCTCGACCTCAGGCTCAATCTCATAATGGACGCGGGATAGGAGGCCGAAGTCGCGGATCTAGCCCCTCGGGCGTTGACACTATCACTGGAGAAGATTTTCTCGTCTGAACAGACTAAAAAGTGTCGTTGACGAGAATTGAGGCTGTGGAATCTGAATCTACCAGCCAACAGTTAGTTTTGTCTTTGACAACCAAGAGTAAGTGGGTCAAGCATGCAAGCGGTCCATCGCTTTCGGCCGGAGTATCCTGTTGGACTGGTGACCGTCTTTTAGAAACTGTAAACACCAAAACGACTTCTTCAGTCCGCACGAGGCTGAAAATAGCGTGGCCGGAGTAGTGTTGACATTTCAGAAAGTTGACCTAGATTCAAGCGTTCCAACGAGGATTGTGTCGTGCTCTAGAAATCCCAATAGCGAGACGTTGCGGCAGGCGTCCGTTCCCCAAATCACACGAGATTCCATGCTCTTTGAGGCAATTCCCGGTGTAGGGGACCCTTTGTGATTATTGCAACACTATCAGGCATGAAGTGAGAATGTATACAATCATAAACAAGCATTGGGTGTTCGGTAGATCGGGCAAATGCTATTGGTTGCCACGGGACCAAGGCTCGTATTACGGAATATCGCCATCGTCATCACCTGTTCGACCTCATCCTCATTCTTCCAACTCGCTAAGAGAGCCAGCAATGTTTCCAACAGCAAACTTGATTTCAGCGTGAACATCACACTTGTAAGGAAAGTGCAGTCACCGACCATGCGAATCGTCATCGTAGGCGCGGGCATCTCGGGGCTTACGGCGTATCTCACCCTGCATAAACACCTCCCCAAACCCCCACACCCAGCGCCAGCCACAGACCATGAATACACCATTTACGAACCCTATAACACTTCCCCGGATACTACATCGCACGAACGCCCGCAAGACACCACCAACCCCTCGACTCTAACCGTAGGCGGCGGCCTAGGCGTCGGTCCCAACGGCCTGCACGTTCTCCACCGGTTAGACCCCCAGCTACTACAGGACATCGTCCGCAGTGGATACATGGTCGACCACAGCAACCTGAAAAATAAGCACGGACACCTCCTACTCAAGCTCCCCGCCTCCGGCGCATCCGGAAACCCTGAAAGACCGCGCATGCACATGCTCGCGATCGGCCGCCACTCGCTCTGGAGTCGCTTGCGATGCGCGGTGCCAGACTCCGTGCTCATCAACAAACGTGTCTCCCGGGTCGTTTCTCTCGCAGACGGACAGAACGTCGTCTATTTCGACGACAACAGTGACCCCGTGCACGCAGACCTGGTGATCGGCGCAGATGGGCTGAAGAGCACGGTCAAGCGTGCACTGTTTCCTGAGGCAGAGACGGATCCGTATCCCCCGCATTACGAGTAAGCTACCCTCCCCCACTCCTTGCGTACCTTGCGCCCGGGGCCTATTGAGGTGTGATAACCGATCCGAATAGAGGCCTCGTCGGCATTGGCGGCTTCATCCCCTCCGATACGGTAAACGAGCTGGTTGAGCCAGGCTCCATGAATTTCATCTTCGGTGGAAACGGGTTCTTCGGCTACTTTTACGCGGAGAGCGCCTGCACAGACCCAAACCGCGCCTCGCCGTGCCATGTTTCCGCCCCGGGGAGTCTCCTAGCTTGGTGGTCTACCTACGCCCTGGACACGGGTCCACCGAGCCCCAAAAGCATCGATCCGGACGACGTGACGAGACAGTTGCGCGACCGCTACGCCAGCTGGACTGATCCCGTGGTCCAGAAGATTCTGCCTCGGATCCGCGTGCAAACCGTGTGGCCGACCTGGACCTCCCCGCCGCTGCCGGTCTGGGAGCGCGACGGGGTCGTGCTCGTCGGCGACGCGGCGCATGCCTTGCCGCCGACGTCGGGGCAGGGGTCGTCGCAGGCGTTGGAGGATGTTGAGGCGTTGGCGCTGTTGCTGACGCATCAGTTGCGGCGGGTTTATGCTGGAGGTGGAAAGCATGGCACGGGTGTGGACGGGGAGAAGTGGGCTGTCAGGATCGCGGCGAAGCAGTATGAGGCGATGCGGAGGCCGAGGGTGGAGGGGATTCTTGCATATGCGAAGAATATGCAGGATCGGAAGCGGGATATGGGGCTGGTGAGGGAGTATGTGATGTATGCGTTTATGTGGGTGTTGGGTAAGTTCTCTAGCTTGCTATGATTGGGGAATCCAGAGGGCTGATGATAGGGTAACAGGGTTCTTTCCGAAGGTCTTCAGGAAACAGCAGGAGCAGCTTTATGAGTTTGATCTTCCTGGTGATGTTCAGCGGACTATAGCAGATGAGGGGAAGATGAAAGAGTAATGGGACACCTTCATGACGGGGGATGGCGAGCGTAGGAGAATGATGAACAACAAGGCGATGGGAAAAGCTATCTAGCGCAGCAGGCAAGGCAATGGACTCTACTCTATTCATTCGAGATGTAGCCCTTTGTGAGACCTTCTCAGTATAGGTGACCGTACCGGTTTGACAAACATGACTGAGATTCTGAAATGCTTGAGACTTTCAAGTTATTCATCCCCCACATCTGTCCTTCAGCGCCGGATCTCAGTGGCCAAATACCTGCAGCAGGTTGCAATCACTGACTCAGTAGCCAAGACCGAACATGGGAGTTGGCAACATCAGTGAAAATATCAGACCATCTGCATCACATCCATTCGACTGCGAGATGATCCCAGCCAGTTTTCCACCATAGGTACCCGGCCCACCACGGTCTCCTGGACAGGTATCTCTCCCAGCTTCCGAGCCAGCACAGATCATCCGGTCGGGAATTTGACCAGCATGAATCTGGTTACAGGATTCCCGGTTCAATAGAAGCCACACATTCAGCCCGTGAGCACGGCGACATCGAAATCATAGGTGTCAGGGTTGAACCGAGGATTCCGGTAACCTTAAGATGACTCTCATTGGAGTCTTTATGCTCGAATCACTCTAAGTGTGTGTTGTACTTTGCTCCCAATTTGCGCCCATGGTATGAGAGGACTGATCACACGAGGTTGAAGGATTTGCACTGAGAAAAGGGATCAACGCGATGAGATTCCAATTCAACGACACGGGAGATCTATTGGCTCCGCAGAAGTGATATACATGTGTGTCAACCAATATTGTATGCAAGCTGTCAGCGATACTAGCACCAACGAGAGAGGTATCAACGACTGGACTTGTTCATAAGACAGAGTGAGTCGTCATGATTGTGGAGATATGTTATGCTTCGTCATGTTTCCCTTGGCGTCAACTACTTCAATGCATGAAGCTATTAACTCGGGATCGGGCATAAGATATATTTATACTGTATTGTGATGAGATTGCACTCAAATAACAGGTCCTTTGCCTCTGCATATGCTCGCACTATCATAATTGTGTGGCTCGCAACTATTAGCAGCATCAGATGCCAGCACTGTTTTGTCTGTAGAACTCCTTGTTGAACGTGTCGTAGATTTTACCAAAGCAATGGAACTGTAAGATCTGTGATCCGAACCATGCTCCATTGTGAGAAGTGAGAGTAGAGTTCTCGTTACAGAATACGTCCTGTAGCCTTAACCGAAGCAGTCGGGCCAACAATCTTTGTAAGTATGTCAGCTCGCGTCAATTGGTTCAAAATCGACATTGTAGCTTTGGCGTAGTATGGCACTAGACAATGTGGTGCGGGTAGACGCGGGACAAAATAAAAAAGAAATGACCTACGCAGGGCTCGAACCTGCAATCTCTTGATTCGTAGTCAAGCGCCTTACCATTGGGCCAGCAGGCCAGCTGTTAATAACTGGCCCGAAAGTAAGCAATATAATCCCACATCAATTCTCCAGAGCTGCCCGCCCGCCCAACGTGGTTAGGGCTCGTGTGGTACACTACAAGCTAACATCAATAGCTTCTTTGTTTAAAGCAAGCAGCCACTCCTCAACTATTCAAAACACTGATTCGCTTGTTATGCATTCATTCTTAGAGAGAATTCCTGCGCGTTGACACTCTCATCTCAAGAATTACGGACTGACGTCCAGATTCGTAGACAGATATTGCGTCAACTTTATACATCAAAACCGCGGAAGCGAACAAAAGATCCTGTACCATACAAGCTGGCAACCTCGTCTGCACCATCTTCATCGAGACTATCGAAAACACCAGAGCAGAGCCCGGTATCAACTGAGTCACACTCAATCAAGGACAGTTTCAACCATACATCCTGTCTCTATACAATCAATGTGTACACCATCCACCAACGTGAGCCAGAAAAAAGACTACTATTTCGCAGCAAGCGCATTGCCCCCTTTTTTCGCCCTCCAGCCTGCACAAAGTAGCAGGCAAGTACCGTGCCTGTTCCAGTTACCTGCCCATGCGGGGTAGCCATGGATCCGGGGTCGATGGCTGATCATGCAACAACACCAGCCCAAAGATTCCAGTTGTGACTGGCTCACTGCAGGAAGCGGGGTAAACACACCCCCTTCAAAGAAAACAAATCATTCGACTCGTGTTTGATGACTGGCCCTCCTCTTTGTCGCACACGGACTACCCTCCATCACGGAATTACGCAGGGAGTCAAAGGAGCGCTTCGGCTTCAGAGCGAATCCTTAGCTGCCGACAGTAGATCTGGGGTAGTGGCCCACTTCCCTCCGACGCCGGTGAACATTATTCCTGGCTTATTTTGCTTAGTTCCGACTTCAGAGCACGGGACAAGTGGATGATGTTTGTTTCGCGGTCTAAATACACTTGACGTGGGATTTTGGGCATAGAAGTGGACGGGGACACACTGCAGGCATGGGAACAGATAAATGGACTGCGTGGATGGGCGACGATCAGACCACCGCTGCCTCCAGTCAGTGATTGTGATATAAGCCAGCCACTGACGCATCGAAGTGGAATTTGAGGGATGGGGCGTCTGGAGTATCATATTGAGTACTGTCGTGTGTCTGTGTCTGTGTTTGAATCCTTGCCCTATATTGCCTGTTTGCGACGCTCACCAGCATCCCTGTCGTGTGCGCCGCGTGCACACTGGCTGGAGCCATGCCAGTGGAAGCAACCCAAAGACATGGATTACGATTACGGAATTTGATCCTCTCCAGCGCTGGCTGACAATTCTGATCGGGCAGTGCCCCCCTGGGGTTGGTTCATCTGTCTGATTCTGATTCATCGATTTATGATTGTGACACGCTAGTTGTAGTAGCCAGGTCCTCCTGAAGTACTGTACTCCTTCCCCTATATCATGGCTTGAAAAAAACAAACGCCTGTGAAACGCCCCTAGGTCATCAGATGGAAGATCCTGTCCTCACTCGTATACCCCTCGTTGAAAGATTGATTGGTTGAAAGAAGAATGTGACCGGCGAGATCAAAAGTACGAAGTCTCGCTGTCTCAAACAGCTGGACTCGATCTGCTGGAGCTCTTTATTGCTCAAAGGCTGCGCGAGAGTAGCAGAACGTCTACTTTAAGTGCCGCATGTAGCGTAGAGTAAGATAGACGGCGCCCATTGTTGTGTATGCTGCGCCGCCCGCGGCAATCCAGACCGGTTGGTGAACGGCAAATGAGGTCTGAACGAGCTGGGCTCTTGTTCGTCGTTTTTCTAGACAGAAGAGTCAGTTGCTTCGAATCTCTGCGAGCGCTACCTCTTAGCTAATCCTACCTGTGTTGAGAAAGCGGTTGCGTAGCGTCGCCAGCTGCTGTCGAGAGTAGGCACCGAGGGTTGATCCGGCGGACGAGAGTCCCTGGATGATCTGAGGGGCTGACATGCTTGGAAGTGGTTGTGAGTGTGTTGGAGTTTGGGATGGGACAAAGGAAGGCTCAGCCGAGGTGTAAGAGGACAGGCAGAGGCAGAGACTTATTCCCCGTGGAGTGTCGATGTCGGACCTGGTGAAGGGTGACACAAGGTTTATATGTCCTCGTCTCGTCAACCAGAATGCGGGGTAGTCAGAAGAATCAGCGGCTTGTGCAGCGTAAACAGCTGGACCACTATCTACCACACTTCACTGGGATGACCTGGTCTGTTGAATGGAAGGAGTGGTTATTGGTTGGCATCGATGGTCCTGGTCGACGCGGGCGCTGATGTCGCTTCCGGGACCGACCATCGGCTGGGCTCCTCTCCTCCTTTACAAACCACAGGTGCCATATTGAGCGACCGGACTTATCCCAGGCACTGATCCCATAGGGTCGTGAGATGGACTGATTGATGCTGGTGTGGCGTTGTCGTTTCCAAGGGTGTCGCAGGCCGAGCTGGGGTGCCGCTGATTCGTAGACGGGCTTCTTGCTTTCGCCGCGATGGTCGGTCTATTTATGCAGATGAGGGCATGCAGAGAGCCTGGTTGGGGGTAGTGGCAATGAGATTTGCGTGGTAAACTTGGTACGTGCTACATTGTGTGTCAATTTTGAGACATTTTGATCGATGGAAGTGGTTGGATTCCGTATACTGCGCTGGGAGGCACCTGGAGATGCTTAAGGTCCACGTGGTTCATGAGAATCATCTAACTATATTATCTTGATGATATCTCTTGAGTGGTACTTCTCTCTCTGAGGGTAAAACAAGGAACTGGTGAAGGAAAATGACCATGCAAGCCCCGCCACCTTGATTGTATTCATAATTATATGAAGTTATACCGCTTCTTGACAAAAGCCCTTACAAGTCTGCCGAGATGAGAATGCTCTCACATCAATAGCTTCATCGCATCCAACTTTTCTTGGCTACGGAGTCCCATAACATAGGTCAGATATTGAGGCATTTGCTAACTCGTTGCCAAATAAGGAGTGCTGTGCAAAACAATGTGTGGTGGGAGATACAGCGACCTTATGTAAGCAACACTTACCCAAGACTCATGGTAAAGCATACTGGCAGAGTCAGTAAGAGCACCATTTGACAGCCAGTGAAAAGTAACTTGAAAGCCGAATAAGTTGCCCCAGCAAGTATGACTTTGCATAGATCTTTCCTCACTTATATATCATTGACAGAATACGGCACAAGCTCACAATGGGCTCATCGCCGAACTGCCCGTCACAGTTGACTGACACTAGCTGATACATTGTATGCTCTTTCACAAAGAAGACATATATCTTGTCTATCCTGAGCCCCTACGCTATAAGCCTGGTACATCTTAAGTCGCTTCGTCTATTGCGATAGATCGAGTCACGTATGTCAACGCTCTCGATAGGACAATCATCACGTGGTCGCAATCTTATCCGACGGGCGGAAGAAACAAATTGTCTCCACGTCTTTTCGCAGGCAGCCCATCGAGAATGGCGACCGCAGCCAATGGGCGGACTCACACCAGAATTACAGGTACTGCAGACTATGACGATCCGGTCTTCTGGGATAACAAGTTCTCTAGTGGTCGTGATGTCGGCGAATGGCTGAACTCGGGCGAACCGCTCATCGACGCGGTGCTGTCGCATCTGGAGCGCCGCCCCGCGCTCGATGAGCCTGCCCCCCGTGCGCTGCACCTCGGACCAGGCATCTCAAAACTGGGATCAAAATTGTGCGATGAATTCATCAAACGTGGCTGGTCTGGTAGCCAAATACTGGTGAGTCAAGGGTGATCTTGCATGTTTGCGACACGATCGACTCACAAAGCTGTCGCAACAGAACGTCGATTTCTCCTCCGAAGCCGTCCGTATCGGTCGCGACACAGAAGCAACTAAGGAAAAGTCTCAGGCGATGCACTGGCTGCAGGTCAACCTTCGATCGTGGGATGATGTCTCCAAGACCCTTCCATACGGGCCGTTCGATGTGATGCTAGACAAGAGCACCAGTGATGCGATCGCGACGTCCGAACCTTTGACGTTTCCTCCTGCTTCTGAGGCATCGAACATATGTCCCACGATTCAGCAACTTGTGAAGGAACAAGGAGAGATAACACTGTCGCCGGTGGAGGTCTTGGCTTTGCATCTCATACCTCTGACGCGGAAAGGCGCGATCTGGGCCACACTGTCGTATTCTACCGCGCGTTTCGATAATTTGCCTTACTTGGCTCAGTACTGGAGTCTGGTATCTCGAAAGCCCCTGAAGGCCCCGAAAGGCGAGACCTCATCCTTTGCTCATACCCCGGACGTCTTTCATTGGCTTTATATACTGGAACGAATATGATTAATTCAATGGATATGCTTGGTTTACATTCTGTCATGATGTCGTATGTCGCGTTCTCGTACAATACTTCCATGCTTAATTGTTTGCCTTTGCCAGTTCCTTCTTCTCGGCCTCGTCCAGCAAGCCCAGACTCTCTCTACGAGTGGGAGCTTTCGGGTCAAAAAAGGGCTTCTCCGCTAGGGACGTAACTCGGGTGCCATGTCTGGGCTCAGTGCCTTCGTAATCCCAGCTGGCATTGTGGATAGTGATCCTGCAACCTGTTAGCTTATATTTTGGCGCACTACTTGCAGGGCTACTGACCGGTTGTCCCAAAGAACACTCGTTCTGGGGCTCCACTTGAACCTCACTTGGATGTCGATGTTCTTCTCATACACATCACAGAGGTAACCGAGAATGAGGTCGCTCTCAGCCTTATCAAGCCCCACAATCCGGTCGGTCATTGCTCGGTTCACCCAGAGCGCCTTCCAGCCCGTCGCAGGGTGGACCCGAACCAGCGGGTGCTCACGTTCGACATACTTAGGACCTTGCTCCGGGTTCTTGCGGTCAAGGTAAGGGTGTGCAGATCGGTAGATGGCTGTTCTGCCGTCGATTATTTTGCGGAAGGCGGGCGACAGCTTTTCGTACGCCGCATAGCCACTGGCCCACAGGGTGTCTCCACCGATACTGGGGACCGTGTCGTTATGCAGATGGGTCACTCCGGCGGGCTGCCGCTCGTGCACGAGATCAGTGTGCCAGCGGGAGGCACCTCCGGGATTGCGGAAGTTCGCCGGGCGCTCTGTTGCTTGAAGAGCAGGCCAAATGACTGTGACACCTGAAACGCCAGGAACCTGCGGTACTTGAGGCTTCAAGGCACACGCAGACCACTATTAGCTGCCGCTCCGTGGCCACGAGAGACTAAGATGCTTACATGGACCTCAATTTCACCAAACCATTCGCCCAAGGCCTTTTGCTGTTGGGGCGAGATGTCCTGGTCTCGGAAGAAGACGACACTGCGCTCTGCGATCAGCAGGCCCAGCTCATCTTTCTGCTGGTCAGTGAGGTCCTTCAATTGCAGTCCGACTATCTCCGTTCCGATATGCTTGGTCAAGTGGATTACTTCCTTGGCAGCGGAGAGGAGGGCTTTCTTCTCCGGATCCGCGCGGCTGCCCGGGTCCACGTGTGGCCTATCATAGTCACGGATGCTGTAGACATCGTCCAGATACAAGGGACGAGATGGCCGATAAGGATAGCCGTCCGAGAGGTCAATCCCTGCTTTCTCGAGGCGTTCCTGGGTTGCTGGAGGAAGCGGGAGCGTTTGCTTCAAGGGTTCCGCCACATCGACAATTCGGGGGTCAATCGGAGCAGGCGCCATGGATACGAATGTCTTAAAAGTAGTTACTGAGATCGAGACTGCACTACAAGCTGCAGTTACAGCATTGTCTCCCTTTTATCTAGGTCATACAGCTGATACCCCTCTCCACGCCTTACCATGCAATACCCGGAGTATGATCACATCATCAATACACGGCATTGCGCCTTTGCATCCCACTTCTCCTACGAACCTGATTTCTATGAGCCTGTGGTCCAGAACCCCTCTTTTAATTCCTTCCCCTCAGTTCCATCCCTCCTTATCTCTTCCCAGTCGAGCGTATCAACATGCACAGATCTCCACCCCAGAGCCAGCTTAGGATTCACCATGCAGGGAGACGATGGCCTCATCGTGCGGCATTTGTAACACTTGCAGTATTTCCTCATGGTTGGCCAATATCTGGATCATATAAATGGAATCTCACGTTGGAGCGATAATCGGCCTTCGCTTAATTGCCGCTTTTAAGTCCAGAGAGTGGGTGCGACTATTACACCTTATGCGTCTGACATAGCGTGAGCGATATGGGCCCACGAATCGCTCTCTTAATGTCACTGAGAACGACCAGAGCGACAAACTGGACGTAAGACCACATCTTCGCTCTCGAAAGCACAGACAATAGCAACATGACCCGCCAGATCCAGCACGTCGCTGTTATCGGGGCCGGCATCAGCGGCGTCACATCGGCAGGCCATCTGCTCGCTGCAGGCATCAACATCACTGTCTTCGAGCGCAACCATGCTGCAGGCGGTGTGTGGTATGTGTGCTTCATCGCTCCAGTCGGCATTGGGCTGTGCTAATCGGAGACATAGGCTCTATGATGAGCGAAAGCCGCTTGAACCGAATTATCCGTCCACGAAGCCTTCCATATCCGAGAGACATAGGGAAGGCGACCAGTTTGCTGAGCAGTTACTCCTCTTGGAGCATGCTCCTCCTGGGTGAGTTAGGCCACAAGCGTCGATAATGCATCAATGCTTACTGTGGTAGACCCTGTTATGTCGGCCTGAAAAACAATGTCGAGACGACGTTGATGCGGGTGAAGCTGAACGCGTGGCCTGAGGGCACACCGGAGTTCGTCAGTCACAAGGTGATGAAGGAATACATACAGGATACCTCTCGGAAGGCTGGAGCTGATGGGGTCACAATCTATGGTGCCCGGGTGACCAGTGTACGTAAGGATGGGCACAAGTGGCATGTTACTTGGACGACTCTTCAAGAGGAAGAAAAGTTGGACAGCCTGAGGGAATACGAAGAAACAGCTGTGAGTAATGTGAATGGTGCCGTGGGGGATGGACACTGATTTGCGAGATCAGACATTCGACGCGGTCATTGTGGCCTCTGGTCACTACCATGCGCCCCGCGTGCCGGACATTCCGGGGCTTTCAGAAACAAAGACAAGATGGCCCGCGCGGATTATCCACTCCAAAGGCTACAGAAGACCCGACGCATACAAAGACAAGGTAGGGGATTTCCCAGAGCCTGTCGCGACGAACATTTTCTGATAGTTACCGCAGAACGTCTTACTCATTGGAGGAGGGGTATCATCCACGGACGTTGCAAAGGAGCTCGGACCATTTGCTCGACGGGTCTACCAAAGCACGCGAAACGGCTTGTTTGATTTGCCCTCCAGCGTTCTCCCTGATAATGCGGTGAGGGTTGGCGAGGTGGAAAGCTTCGAGATCACTAGCAAGGACGAGATCGTATCCGACGATCAACCACTCCCGCTAAACATCCATCTCAAGTCCGGACAAAAGCTCTGCGAGATAGACCATGTGATTATCTGCACCGGGTACCATATCACCTTGCCTTTTTTGTCGGAGCTCCATGACGACGCGACACCGGCCGATCAGGCTGACGAGACGATCCTGGTCACCGATGGAACACAGGTGCACAACCTTCACAAGGACATCTTCTACATCCCAGATCCCACTCTGGCATTCGTGGGCGTGCCGTACTACACCGCGACGTTTACTCTGTTCGAGTTCCAGGCTATTGTCGTCGCGAACGTGTTCGCAGGCATAGCCGAGGTGCCACCTACGGAGGACATGCGGGAGGAGTATGCGGAGAAGATCCGGACGAAAGGCAGCGGCAAGACTTTTCATTCACTCAAGGACATGGAAGAGATCTACGTGGAAGATTTGATGAGCTGGATTAATGGGTATAGAGAAAGGCGCGGTCTCCCTGCCATTGGCGGCCATACTGAGACCTGGCATGCGGCCAAAGCGATCCAGCGAGAACGAGTCAAGGGTCTAATTGGTGGGGGTAGCTCGAGACGTGATAGTGGTGTTGGCGAGCAGTGGGTTTCCTGTCACTAATTCTGAGCTTTCGCGGTAGATTAGAGAGAATACAACGCAGTGTGCACAGAGCAAAGATTGGGTAGCGTTCAATGCCAAGCAGTGGTCAAGACGCATCATCTGCATGGTCGATGACGAGCGTCGACGGCCACTCGGACCATTCCCCACAACTAAGGGTCCCCGCATGATGAGTAAAGGTATGAGACTCTTACCTTCGAGAGTGAATGACGCAAGTGGGATGAAAGTACTCTGTATTCTGCATTCCCATCGGAGGATCGCATGCATGCACCCATTGCCCACTGCTTCCGATAGTCATGTGAGCTCATAAAGATCAGCAGGAATCTCAAGCAAGAGATTTTCACTTCGCTCTCCTTAACCACTGCAAGCAATGTTCAACAGACATTTAATGCAATGGCTCCATTTACCAGCTACAACAGAGGAGCGCATCGTCCACGCAGGCCCTATCACGCAACAACCACCCAAGCGCAAATGGGTCAGCTACATCTGGGATACCTTCGACAAGTTCCCGGAGGAGCTCTTATTTTTTCTAGATATGCTTCGCTAGCTGTAGCCCGACTTGCTTGTCTGAACAGTCCCAGAGGCTTGGGAGTTTGACGCTAGAACCAGCAAATTCAGCAAGATAGAAACGGGGAAGAAGGCAGATTAGGAGGGAGAGCGGAAGAATCTTGACAATTCATTCCGCAATTTGTACCGAGCTCCTGATTAGAAGGTGGCACAATCCAGGGAGGGGCGGGGCATGGAAGGAGGAGTATGCTACGCTTGACTAGGGGTCTGTCGGGAAGGTGTAAAGTCGTTGACATTCAAGGGTGAGAGGTGACTGTGGAATTGTCTGCGGACGTGTTGGGCTGAATTGTTGGACGTACAAGTTAATCTACAATGAAAAAGTTGCGGAGTACCTGGGCACGAAGGACAAGACTAAAGCTGCTGGTTCCTGGTTGAGTTGACAGTGCTATTGGTCAATAACCCGGCAGATAATATTATTCAAGCTGCCTCATTGTTGTACATCTTCCGCCCTCTGACAATTCCCACATCACAAAGTTGCATGCGGAGATTCCCAGCCAGTCCCATCCCTTGATTCATGCTCATCATTCAATAACAAAACAATTGTCTCGCGCAGTCTGACGACCACTGCCCTTGTCGAAGGAATGGATTGATGTCTCGAGGTAAAATCCCGAGAGAGCGCTTAGAAAGAGCCGGAGACACCGGTAGGGGCAGCACCAGAGCCACCGAAAGAGCCAGTGGGAGCAGCACCAGAGCCACCGAAAGAGCCAGTGGGAGCAGCACCCTGACCACCGAACGAACCAGAAGGAGAAGCACCCTGGCCGCCGAAGGAACCAGAGGGAGAGGGGCCCTGACCACCGAAGGAGCCAGAGGGAGAAGCGCCACTAGGGAACCCAGAAGGCGAAGCACCCTGAGCGCCAAAGCCGGAGGAGCCACCGCTGCTGAAGCCCGAGGGAGAAGCGCCCTGGCCGCCGACGGAGCCCGAGGGGAAGGAGCCGCCAACAGTGCCAGAGGGCGAAGAGCCATCGGAGCCGTCGCTGCCACCGAAGTCGGAGGATCCGCCCTCCTGAGAGGAGCCCTTGGAGGAGGAGCCCTGAGAAGCGCCCTGGGAAGAACCCTGCTGGGAAGAACCCTGGTTCTGTTCGAACTGGCGGCGCTGGACGTCCTTCTCAGAGCCCGAGGAAGCATTGTCAGAGGACTGGTCTTGCTCTTGACCACCCTGCTGACCCTGCTGGCCCTGTTGGCTTTGCTGACCCTGGTGACCCTGGTGAGGGGAGCCGGAAGGAGAAGCACCCTGAGGAGCTCCAGAAGGCGAAGCACCGCCGGGGAAGCCGGAGGGGGAAGCACCTCCAGGGAAACCAGAGGGCGAGGCACCACCCTGGCCACCGAAGCCGCCAGAGGGCTGGGCGCCGCTAGGGAACCCAGAGGGAGAGGCGCCACCCTGGCCACCGAAGCCGCCAGAGGGTTGAGCACCGCCAGGGAGGCCGGAGGGAGAGGCGCCACCTTGACCACCAAAGCCACCAGAGGGTTGAGCACCGCTGGGGAAACCGGAGGGAATAGTGCCACCGAAGGAACCGGAAGGCGAAGCACCACCGAAGTCACCAGTGGGAGCCGCACCGCCTTCAGTGGCGGAGGCAGGGATCTCGAGCTGACGCTTCTGGTGCTCCTCCGGACCACCCGTAGGAGCAGCACCGGAGAAGGTCACAGAGGGGAAACCTTGACCGTTGGGGAAACCGCCCTGTTCTCCGAAGCCGCCAGGGCCACCGGAGGGAGCAGGGCCGGCAGAGCCAGAAGGCTGGACTCCAGTCTGGGTAGGAGGCTGCTGCTGCTGCTCACCAAAGACGGGCAGGGCGGAGGTGTATCCCAGGATACAGGCAATGGCAAATGCGGAGAGCTTCATTTTGAGGATTGGTGTGTAGGTGGGGGTTGGGATTCACAAGTGATTGAAGATTAAAACGTAAGAAAGCAAAAAGAATGTAGTTCGAATTTTGGTTCGTTGAGAAGGAATGGTAATGGGCGTTCAGATCAACTGAGCTGCTTGATTTTTTCGAAAACAAGTTGGCGAGCAAGAGGAGGCTTTATAAGATGGTTTGCCCTTCACGACATCTGGGTAAGGTGTGCATGCTGATCTCGACACTCGTCATGTTCCTGAGCCGCCGAGTTCGGGAGGCCGAGTTCTGAGACGTTGACTGTTCGCGATAAATCATCAGGCTATTCTGGACACAGAGACCCCGAGAGTGGATCGATCATAACTGGCGTTGGACTCCACTGGAACTAATACTACCAAGATTGTAGCCTACTACTGTCGTGGCACTGGGTCAGTGCGGGAGAGTTTATTCCGTGGAGACAGGGCTGAGGTAGACCAGAGGTTGGCTCTGGCCCATCAGTCCTCGGTGATATTCCTAAAAGTTGACGCGGAATAGAGAAGGCATGATGAGTGAATGTGGCTGATCCCACGTGCTGTCCTGGCACACCCGCTGTTTCATCTTTGCTCTTTGCCTTCACTTTGTCCCTGTGGCTGGTTTCCCTCGCCAAAGCATTACCTACTCGACAAAAATACCATTTGTCCATGCATCGTGCTATGATCGAGCACATCACAGCATCCAAACCCACGATGCTCCGATGATTCAATGCTCTGGGGAAAGCCGGATCACTCGAGACGCACATCCCTCCCGGTGGTTTTGGGCTTAGATCGTCAGTGGAGGGGATCAACCGCACTCGATAATCTCTGTCCAGTTACCATGACGAAAGCCTGAACGATCAACCATTTGGTCCACGTACAGACCACGGCGGCTGTGAGTGTTCCGAGTCGGTGGATCAGTCTGCTGCTGTCGAACCCCCACTGGGTATGATGTCTCCAGCCTCAGCGGCAAGCTCCAACGCATCTACATATCTGTCTTAGCGCTGTACGGAGTAGACTGAGAACCCCACGTCCCCTGCAGCTTTCGATATTCCTGGAGTGGGTCAGCCTGAGAGCTTGTGCGGTGGTATCCACGTTACTGTTTCCAGCAAGGATCAATCCTCCGGGCCATTGACGTTTGCTAACAGCTTCGCTAAACGAGCCGTGGATCAACGGCGGGAAGCTGGTGCAGTGACATGGACATCAGGAAACCAGAGACTGACTGATGGCAGGGGCCACTGCGGCAAGGGGGTGACGCAGGCGAGATCAATGTGCGACTCCTTGGCAATGCCTTGGATCTCATGGGCCGTGTCAAAAGTCCCTTGCACCAGCAAGAATAGGCTTGCGCTGGAGGCTTGGGTTGAAGGAGCCATTACAGAAGACCCTTCAGGGCCTCCTTCATCGACTGTGTTCGGCGGCTAGTTGCAGCTGCCAAACTGGCCCTGGATTTCCACAAAAAAACAGACGGGACGGCACAGGGCCGGGAGAAGCGATGGAATAGGGGAAATGGCCATGGAGTGGTGGAGGTGTGGAAATGGAAGCGTGAAACGTGATTTGATGCATGGCGGGAGAAGCTGGCGTGGCCCTTTCGCTGATCTTAGGGTTGCGGAGCGCTGATTGGTGTGGGTGTGTGTCTACGCGGCCTCAGGCTACGGTCGGGATGTTTCACCTTATTTTTTCTTCTCTCATTCTCATCTTGCATGGATGAACGTTATAAGTTACCACAACATTCTTGAGCATGTCACACCTTCAGGGTAGAGCGGGAAAGGGGTCTGGCTGTGATCTAGAATTGTAGATCTCGGCCATTGACCCTGTGGCCACAAGATATTAACAATTTCGGCTTCCACACCTGATAAACTAACAGTAATTAGCAATAGCTTCAGGGGCCACACCCGCTGATCTCTGCTTCTAGCTTTTTCGCTTAGAGTTGTCTCTCCCACGGTGAGAGACTCAACTCCTACATCCAAGAAGATGCTAACCCTGCCCCTAAACACAATCAAGACAGACAATCAGCTTCCAGCTACTGAAGGAGTGATGTTCATCGTTCCACGTCGGCTTGGTTCACTCCTGATCCCTATGATATACATATATCACCACCCAAAAACCCATGATCACGTCTGTTGAATACATATCTCGCGTCACGTCGTCACATTTCCGTCGCTGTTGAAATGGCCAGAAAAAAATCATACTAACTCCCGCTCAGCCCCCGCCCAACCCTCAAGGTTGACCCCAGATCTCGTCCGCGATCTGACGGACCAAGGCCAGCTTCTTCGTCTCATCCTCCAGGCTCAACGGATAACCACTCTCGTGGGTACTGAAGCCACACTGCGGGCTGACGCAGATGCGCTGGAGGGCCTCCTCGCGGGACTCGCCAGTGCCAGCACGGACATACTCCGCGGCCTGGTAGACGCGCTCCTTCATAGCGTCCTTGTCCTCGAGCTCGCGCAGCTTGGTGCTGATGATGCCGACGACGACGTTCTTGTTCTTGGGCAAGAACTTGAGGGGCTCGAAGCCGCCCGCGCGCTCAGTGTCATACTCGAGGTAGAAGGTGTGGACGTTGAGGTTCTCGAAAAGCTTCTTGGCGATGATGTCGTAGGAGCCCTCGGCGAAGTGGCGGCCGCCGATGAAGTTGCCGCGGCACAGGTGGATGCCCGTGTGGAAGTCGGCGGGCAGGCCCTGGAGGCAGTCGTTGTACAGCTGGATGTACGCATCCAGCAGGTCCTCGACGCTGCCCACGTTGTCGGCATCCTCCGCCCAGCCTGTGCGGAAGGCCGTGGAGCAGAAGTAGGCCATGCCCGGGTCATCGAACTGCACGTTGCGCAGACCCGCCGCATACAAGGCGGCCAGCTCGGCCTGGTAGACCTTGGCCACGTCCGCGAAGTACTCCGCGTCGTTGGCGTAGGCGTCGGGGGCGTACGCCTTGCCCTGCTTGTAGCGCATGTGGAACCAGGCCGGCGTGATCATCGTCAGCTTGATCGTCCCCCATTCGCTCTCCGGCAGCGCCTGCTGCACCAGCTTCAGCTCGTGCAGGTTGGAGACTGACTTCTCCGCGCTCCACGACAGCTTCGAGCCCGCGATCACCGAGTCGCCCGGCATGACCTTGCGGTCCTTCTCGATCAGACTCACCACGTCCGGGTGGTAGAGTCGGAACATCGAGGCTTCTGCATCTTGAAGACGAACGGTTCCTGTGCGTTTGGTCAGCTATCATCTTCTCTGCTGGATCTCGAAGAGGAAAAAAAAAAAGAGGAGGGGAGGAAAGCTGCTCACCCTCAAACTCATCCCACATCTGCCCCCAGAACCGCGTCCGGTTGAATTCGCCCGAGGTCACGGCCTTGTAGCCCAACTCCCGCTGGAGCTGCACCACGTCATGAACCGCCTGTGTCTCGATGGCGGGCAGGCCGGCCTCTTCCTCCGAGATGCCGGTGTCGCGGATCTTTTCGCGCACTTCCAGCAGGTTCTGGGGCCGGAGCAGGGAGCCCATGTGTTCGGCCCGGAAGGGCGGGGCGCTGTGCAATTGGAAGGACATCGTGTACCTGAATGGCGACTGTGTGTTTCTGTCTGTAACAGCGAGTTGCAAGTTGAGCAATGAAAACAGCTGGAAAGAAATAAGAAAGTCCAGAGAGGGGGAGAGGCAAAAGGGGTGAGGGGCAAAAGATGAGCGACCGACTGGGGAATCCCGGTTCAGCCCCGCATTTTCTCTCGTCGCTTTTTGCCTTTGCGAGTGTGGGGACTGCCTGTGCCCGAACACCCGGACTACATCTCCTTCAATCGATTCTTCGTGTTTTCGGGTGGTTGAGGATTGGGCCACGGACTGGCGTATGGGAAATCTACTCTGGGGGAGCCTGTCTCGGGGTCCGTGTGCATATTGCGTTACATCTCATCTATTGACCGTGGCAGGTGGTCATGAACGCTGGATGAAGTACAGATGAATGCATGTGGAGGGAATGTGGGATCGAGATGTGGCATGTGGGGCTCAAATGTGGAGGAGGGGAAGGGGGATTCATTCGATTCATTCGATGGATTCGATTCATTCTGATATGACTCGGAGGCTGTCAGACTGCACTGGGCGCTGCATACTACCTTTCCCCAGATGCAAATACGAGATGACCAACCACCGCAATGAAAGTATACACCCCATCCCCGTAAAGATATGCCACAGTAAGCCACCACCCCCACCGATCGCAAAACCTTTCCCCAATTGATGCACGGTACCTCTTCGCAGAAATCGCACGCAAATGGATGAGTTTGGTCCTCTGAGGGCGCGATGGTTGGCACTTACGTTGCGTTGGCGGTGGGTGGTCCCCAGAAGGGCTCCAAGAAGCACAAGAATCCATCTTGATGGTTTGGTACAGTAGATGCGAGCTGTTATGGTTGTGCACGGTCTTTCGACTACCCATAGTCATTACCGTGCGAGACTACCACGGAAAGTATTATTTGGCCTTCCTATAGGCATCAATCAGAGTATGGTTGAGCTGATTAAGCTCAACGTACTGTGCATCGTAAACAGGTGGCAGCATGGATGCATCATTTTACGCGAGCACTTGGATCCAGGGATTCTCCAGGGATCTGTCCTCTAGACTTGTCATTCAATCAATCAAGCTCCAGTGACAATCATAAGTATTCACTGATACCAATACTATATTGCATACCAGTAATGTGGATTGATTCAGAATATAGTATCGTATGATACACGAATGCGGGGTACTAAACATTTCTCAAACCCCCACCGTCTCAAAATCAATCACACTTTAGCATCATCTGCCACCCCACACGACATCAACAACACCCCTCCAAAACGAAGATGTCCACCAAGACCATCTGTATCGTCGGCATCACCGGCAACCAAGGCAGCTCCGTCGCCCGCCGCTTCCTGCAGGACCCAAACTTCCAGGTCCGCGGCCTCACCCGCAACCCCAACACCCCCGCCGCTCAGAGCCTGGTCACCCAAGGCGTCCAACTCATCACCGCCGATCTCAACGACCCAAACACAATAATTCCCGCCTTTCAAGGCGCCAACATCATCTTTAGCGTCACCAACTACTGGGAACCATTTTTCCGCCCCGAGGACCGCCAGCGGGCCCTCACCGCCGGCATCTCATGTCGCGAACATGCGTACCGGGTCGAGCTGCAGCAGGGGAAGAACATTGCGGATGCGGCGGCGCAAACCGTCGACTCGCTCGATGAGAATGGGTTGATTGTCTCCACGCTGAGCCACGCGAAGCAGTGCAGCAGGGGACGGTTCCAGGAGTTGTATCATTTCGACGCCAAGGCCGAGGTGTTTCCGGGGTATGTGCGGGAAATGCACCCCCGGTTGGCGGAGAAGATGTCGTGCGTGCAGACGGGGTATTTCAATTCCAGCTATCGCCTGGTTCCAGAGGCGTATTTCCGGAAGGTCGGGATTCCTGCATTTCCTCCGCGTTTCGTGGTTGGAGCGGATGGAAGATGGACTGACTCACGCGGTAGTGCCACACGGAGAGCGGGGCGGAGATGTTCGAAATGACTTTCACCACGTCTCCCGACGCAGTGATACCTCATCTGGCGGTGCAGAGCGATTTGGGGGGCTTTGTATATGCCGTCTCGAAAATGCCCCCCGGAAGGAGCTATATGGCGTGTGGTACGAAGTCTAGCTGGACGGAGTATATGAGGATTTGGGGGGAGACGAACGCGGTCGCTGCCCGGTATCGACAGATCCCGCTCCACGAGTTTATTGACCAGGTGTCGGATCCGGAATTCGGGCGTGAGGTGGGAGATATGTTCTCCTACTCTAGCGATCCGGGGTATGACGGCGGGGATCACACTCTGTTGACGGCAGAGGATATGCGAAGGGTGAGCGTTGCTGATTGTCTGTTGCAGAAATTGTGCTAACTCATGCGCAGGCTGGGATCGAGTGTCCGATGACGAGTCTCGAGGAATGGATCCGGAAGGAAGATTGGTCTAGTGTTCTATGATGAATGTGTATAGGGGCTCTGGCTCAGGTATGCGAAGGTTTTGTAACAGTGTGTGGCCAGGTGAGCTGGAAAAGAGGCCGTGGGAGGAGAATTTGACGATGACTTTGTCGTCGAAGAAGGGGACTGGGGTTCGCGTAGGGAGGAGTCGCGGGCCGTACTGTGGACTTGCTTGCCTTCTCTACTTTTGTGCGAAGATGTTATCTCGTCTGTGGAGTCTCTTGCCTAGAGTGACATCAGGGAGACGCTTGCGTTGAATCCATCCGAACAAATCAATGGACCTGGCAAGCATATGCCACTACTCACTGAGCATCTCGCTGAGCATCTCTGAAGAATCTCGCGGATATGTACAGCTATCAGCTATAGACCGGGATGTACTCGTACAGATACTGGACTGAGCACCCGCGCCATCCCACCCCCCTTCAACCAGACCACCATCCCTCGATCTCATTTACCCCAATGATGAACTATTACATCGCTACGCACCACAATTCCGTGATGACGCCTCCATGACGCCTCCCCCGCTGGGAAAAGAGCCAAAAAGAATGCCGCGACTGGGACTCGAACCCAGAATCTGCACTCCACCCGCTCACGAAGTCGGGGGCTCTGCAATGTTAATACCACTACACCACCGCGGCGATTGTTGGGAGGAGGTGCTGGTATCTCGATGATAACCCCTGTGTTTTTCTGCCTGAGGCAGTGCTTCCGCTGGCTGCCTGACGATGCAGGGGGGTGGGATGGCTGATCAAATGGATGGGTTACGGGGTCTCCCTGACGATGACTGGTGTGTGGTATATGCAGAGATGAGGTTCTCAGCAGCTAGGACGTCTAGCTTCAACATAGCAGGCGGATGGATCCTGGTCTAGATTATGAAGAGAGACCTTTGAGAGAATAAAGTATCATATGGATCTACTATAAGTATGGACTACCGAGCTTGGTTGTACGATCTCAACGCCGTCGTCAATGCCATGCGCAAGCCTTCAAGCTTCCCAAGCCGAAAAAACCAAACGCCCGAACACCCAGCCATGCTTTAGGGACCGTGCGGTCCATACGCGAGCAGCATCTTCACCACCCCTTCATGACCGTGGACTGCCGCCTGAAATAGCGGGCTGCAGCCATGATCGTTCAGGGAGTCAAGATCGACTGCCCCGGTGTCCAACAGGAGCCGCACCACAGCCTCATGGCCGTATCTCGCTGCCAAGGACAAGGGGGTACAGCCTTCGTTGTCTCTCACATCGACCTCAACGCCGGCGGTCTGCAGCAACACCTGCGCCACCTCATCCGCCCCGTTTTGCGCCGCCCAGGACAATGGTGTTTTCCCCGTCCGGTCTCGCACGTTCACATCCACCCTAGGGCACTCCAGCAGCAGTCGTACCGTGGCCTCCGCGTCCGCGAGCACTGCGATCAGAAGCGGCGCCTCCTCGGTCTCCCTGACGCGCGCATTCACCGCCACCCGCTCATCCGCCATCAGCGTCCGCAGTATGCGATGGTCCCCCAGATCGACCGCGATGTGCAGTGCCGTTTCCCCGTCGTCGTCTAGGACGTTCACATCAATCTCCTCCTGCTGCAGCAACAGCTTCAACGCTCTGACGTTCTTCTGAATCACAGCCTGCGCGATGGGGGCGAGGTCATGGGCAGAATAGTTGGGGTCCACGCGGCCTGATTCCAGGAGCACCCGTACAATGTGGATATGGCGGTGCTCGATGGCTAAGGCCATCGGTGTCTCGCCCTTTCTGTTCGGCTTGTTGACGTCGATCTCGCTGCTCTGCAACAGGATCTGGGCGATTTCGACTCGATTCTTCATGGCTGCGATGCACAGCGGTGACGGGGTTCTTCCGTCTTGAACGTTCACATCGGCGCCGGCCTCGATGCAGCGGCGGGTGAGGGCGCTGTTCCCGCGTCGGACGGCCCAGACCAGGGCGGAGGATTTGTGGAATCGGATGTTCCGGCGGTAGAGATCGGGGTTGACGAGATGATAGAGGCGGCGGTTGACCCGCGCAAGGGAGTTGATGTCGGCCTGTGTGTCGAGACAGTTGACTACCATGAGGATGAGCTCGGGGGGAAGGTCGAGGGGCGGCATCGCGTGAACTCGTTGGAACTGGCCGGCTCCGGGATGATGAACGATGTATGATCTTGATCTCCGGATTTTCGCCGGTGGTGGATTGCCGGTGGGTGGAGGAGAAACTGTGGGGAGATACCAGGGAAGATGAGTTTGGCATCCCCATCTGTAGTTGGTAGATACTTGGTGATGGATTTCCATCTTGTGTGTGTGTGTGTGTGTGTGTGTGTGTTGATGTCTGAGATTCACTCAAAACACAATAGTGTTTTAATAACTAGTCTGCCTACGAGGTTGGCCTTGCTTTTTTCCTGTTCACCATGCCATCCATAGTGACTTCAGTAAGCATGAGGATATTCTATTCACCTGATTCTTAGCCTAAAGAGACATGCACATCCACCACTGGGGCCCAACACCGCATCACCGCTTCGATTCGGGCCAGGACGGATGCTGATTGGCGGGGGGGTAAGCAAATGTCGGTATGGGGACACAATGGCAGTGCATCCTGGATCTGGATCTGATGAATCCGACTAGCCCTATTCCAATGTCTTTCTAAGAGCTCCCACATGGAATACCATTGATTCAAGTCACTTGTCGGGCCTTTGCCTGTCTTCACCTTGGCATCTACCGGAGTACCACTTAGTGACGGATCCTCCTGCTCCAAGACCCAGACTTGACTGTTGCGGTCAGATCTTCATAGGAGGTAAAGCATCGCGAAAAACTGCCAGTAATTTCATGGCCAAGGCTGCTGCGTCTTCCTGATAGGGCCTTCTGCAGCACTGCCCTACCCCGAGTTGCGCCGAGAATGCCCCATACTGCATTTTCGAGGGGTTAGTAGTGATGATAGTTCAAGCACATAATGACAAACTTGGCTTCTGACATTCTTGCGTCTGCACATAATCGTAATAACCAATGTATCTTGTGTCGTTTGCATGAATACGATACTGATCAGGAAATGAACACATCTCCCCGACAGACCCAACCCCACTCTTCCTCACTCTACATCTTCCTATCACGGAAATATTCAATATTCGCCTCCTCCACCACCATCAGCACGAGATCTCCGTGCAACCACCTGTTCCCATGTTCGGCGGGGTAGTCGCATCCAACCCCTCCTTATACGCAATCAAGACCTGCAGAAATTCCGCGACCTCCTGGCCCCCACTCAGCGTGAGCTGTCGATCCCCGTCTCCGAACTGAAAGAACGGGACCCCCTGGATCCCCCCATCGCGAGCCCTCTGCGCCTCCTGCGTGATCTCCTCCACCCCGCGCCCCTCCTCCAACCATGAGCGAACCGATCGTGCATCCAACCCACTTCCCGCCTGCACAGCCAGTCTCACCAAAGTGTCAACATCAGTGATGTCTTCCTCCCGCTCAAAGTGCGCCTCGAAGAGCGCCTCGACCAGCGCTGCCGTGCCTGCACCCGCCTCTGCTGCTGCTGTCGCTGCGTCCCCGTTGAACCGTTCCGAATCGTGCAGCTCGCTCAGCATGATGACCTGATGCGCGCGAATGGTGCTTCCGATGCGGCCCCCGAATCGAAAGTGTATACCGTCCGGACGACCCAGACGCAGGACGTGGGCTTGCGCGCCGGCGACCTTGTCGGCCCCGAGCTTTTGGGTCATTCGGTCTGGAGATGGGGAGTCAGTCAGGTGGCAAATCCCGGGGGATTGGTCAGCAGGGCAACTGGTGGTCGGTGATCGTACCGATGTAGGGGATACTCTCCATCGAGGCATTCGGGTCGAGGATATAAGGCTTCCAGGTGATTCGGATCGTGTCCTGGCCCCCTCCGGGGTAGGTCTTGCGGTACAGGCGGATCGCTTGCGTGAGGCGGCGGTATCCGATGTAGCACTAGCCTGCAGTCTCAGTAGGGGTGACCTCAAGCAGAGACAACCGGAGAGGGAGACGAACCCATGGGCACACCGGGTCGGAGGCGATGGAAATGTGGATGAGGGCCATGATGGTCGGAATGGTCGGTGCAAGAGAGAACTTTGCGACCGGTGAGTTCGTGTGGAATATACTCCTTAGTCAGTGGTCCTGCTTGGGTCCAGGCTCGGGAGAGATTACGGTCCAGCGTTCACTGTTTTATTTGATCGGGTTTCTGAGATGGGAAATATGAATATGCGCCTGTTTTGCAAGTTCTGAGGTGTTGTCTTGCGGCGGTTGAGTCTTGCGGGCGCCTGGAACCAGGCAACCATGAATTCAGGAGGGCCACGAAAAGAAAGTAATGAAGGTTGGGCCTAAGATCTCACCACCAGCTGAGTTCTAAGGTTACTACCTTAGTGCGTTTAGTTAATAGCTGTCAGCTTACCAATCATGACTCAAGTCAATCAGCCAATCTCGTGCAGGTGAGGATTATCCGGGGTCATGCAGGGTTTGGACTCAAAACTGAGGACCTAACGAAGATTGCCACTCTATTTGCATAGAGATTGAACACAAGTCCTGGCAAGGTCAAATACGATCCCAATCCGAGGTTGTCCCCCCATCCTCACGGTTCCTTAGCAGTTGGCTGCGGTGCCGATCGCTAGCAGCTCCTCATGGCTTGCGCATGTACCTCGTCTCAAAGCCAAGCCTGCTCTCTTTGCTCGTTGAGATCCAACTTGGACATTGAGTAACGTTGAAAGACCAAGAACAATCCTACAAATGAGGTCAGGCCCGAAGCAAGAAGAATCCCATCCCTCAGATAGCCCTCAATGTATATACGACCTACCTACCTATCAGGTTATGCAACCATCGCCAATGATGATCCAGCACACTTCAGATCCACGCTTCAAATGTCTTTCTTGAGTGGTTCTAAGCTCGACCTGCAAACCTGGAGCTTTTCTTCTGTTGCTCGGTAGAATTGTCGTTCTGTCAATGATGGGTATATGATTAATGTGCCACAGTGTGTACCGTGTTCCCCAAATCCTCAATGCGACATGATCATTGGCCATGGCCTATCAGTTTCTGTTCTTTCGGCTAGCCAGACACAAGCAGCCGTGGAGCGTTTGGTCTCGACATACTAGCACGCCACCGTCTCTGGCAACAACATCTCCGTCGTTGAATGTTAAGATCCTGTTGATCGACCTGTTGAGAACTGCAGTGTATACTCGGACACTAATATACCTCAGCGAGATCACTACACTGAGTGGACAATGAAGCGAGCAATATGCCGCAGTGAGACTCAGGATGACACGGGTTCGATGCTCCATCATGCCATCCGTAAACTGTAACGTGAGATGCAACTTCCGCTGATTTCTCATCGATTGTTCTTGGCCAAGAGTTGCACAGTACGACGATCACGGGATCGCCTAACCCTCTCGAAAAGTCCCAATTTATATTGGTTGGTGACTTCACTGGGGGCGAGCATAAAAGTAACGAGCTCCCATCCCTGGGGAACTCAGACAGAGAATCCTCACTCTTGAGCAATTCAGCATTTTTGGCCTCTTGCCTTGCAAAAGTATGACGCCCCTTGCTCTCGCACTATGCGTATGGACCACTGTAGCACTCGCCGCAAAGAGAGCTTTGGTCTCGCCAGTAGGTGCCTGCCTGTCCGGAGGGGAGCCTGTAGTGGTCCTGACTCATACTCTTTCAGGACACCTTTGCCTCGTCCATCTGTCTCGCTAATCTCCTCGAAGGCACGCAGAAACTCCAAAACTTCGCCTACGCCTACCCGGAACGCAACCGCGTCTTCGGGGGCGCCGCCCACAATGACACGCTCAACTACATTTACAACGAACTCCAGGCGACAGGGGCCTACGAGCTCCAGCGCCAACCGCAAATCCATACTTGGACGACGAGCAACCAATCCCTCACCACTGCTGGGGATGGCAGGTCGATCCCCGCGCACAGCATGACCCACAGCCCCAACACGAACGTGACCGCCGACCTGGGCCTCGTGGCGCAGCTCGGCTGCAGCCCCGACGACTACGATGCCTCCAGCAGCAGCGGCAAGATTCTCCTCGCGCGACGAGGCGGGTGCTCCTTCGGCCAGAAGGCTCACCTGGCGGCGCGCGCCCACGCCGCCGGCCTGATCATCTACAACAACGTCGCCGGCCCGCTGCGCGGCACGCTGGGCAACAACCCTAACATCACAACAATTCCCACCCTCGGCATCAGCCTCCTCGATGGTCAACGCCTGCAGCGCGCCATCACCCCGAACGCCACCTCCTCCAACACCACCACTTCCATCCCCGCCCTCCGCCTGACCCTCTACATCCACACCGAATCCACCCCGCGCCTCACCTACAACCTCATCGCCCAGTCCCGAACCGGGAACCGCGCAAACACAATCGCCATCGGCAGCCACACCGACTCCGTCAACGCCGGGCCCGGCATCAACGACAACGGCTCCGGCACCATCGGCGCCCTCGCCATCGCCAAAGCCCTCGCCGCACAGATCCACGCCCAGCAACTCCCACTCCACCAGACCGTGCGCTTCCTCTTCTTCACCGCCGAGGAATTCGGCCGGCTGGGCAGTGAGGCCTACGTCCGCAGCCTCCCCGCCGCCAACCTCTCCCAGATCCGACTGTACTTGAATCTCGACATGATCGCCAGCCCGAACTACGCGTTCATGATCTACGACGGGGGTGGGACGCGGTTTAACGTCTCCGGGCCGCCGGGTTCGGGCCATATCCAGCGCACTTTTGAACAGTACTTTGAGAGGCAGAATGTCTCGTACGCGGCCGCCCCGTTGACGGGCCGCTCGGATTATCGGGCGTTTGTGCGCCATGGGGTTCCGGTGGGGGGGCTGTTTACCGGGGCGGAGGGAGTGAAGACGCAGCGCGAGGCGGAGGTGTTTGGCGGAAGGATGGGGGTGGCGTATGATCCGAATTATCATGGGGCGGGGGATACGGTGGGGAATCTGCATCACGGGGCGTTTTTGATGAATGTGAGGTCGGCGGCCGCTGTGGTGGCGAGATATGCGGGGGATTTGGAGGGGATTCCGGTGCGGGAGGTGGGGGGGAATGCCTCGGTGGTGCAGGAGGGGGTTTCTGGGGGGAAAATGGGAGATGTGGTGGTTGCGTAGGGAGTTTGATTCGCGGGGGGAAGTGTGAGTTTGGCGCTATTTCACACAGCTGATGATATATTGGCAGCTCCTGTCGGTCTGTCGGAGCGGAAGGCATGACATGACTGCATTCATCTCCTCTTTAAATAAGTCAGTAGCATACATCCCCTTCCTTTCAACAACAACAACCACCCATCGTCCCTATCACCAACCACAACGCCCACCCCGTACCCCACGACGAAACACGCCATTAAACAACCACACACCCAGGGAGTCACCTCTCCGCCTTCGGCGGGTAGGACTTGCCCTCACGCTCGACCTTGGGCGTGCAGGTGCACCGCTCACTCTCCGGGATGGCATCCATGACGGAGGGGATGTGCGCGCCGCAACCCCACCAGGAAGTTTTTTCTACTCCGGTTAGCTTCCGCTGGGTGACTGCATGCAGAAGATGGATATACGTACGACACGTAGAACAGGTAGCCTTCATACACATGGTGACGGTGAGGACCGGATTCTTAAAGGACAGGATGATTGTTTTTGTTTGGAGAAAGACGGTGGAAATGCGGTTGATGGAGGCGAGGGGGCGATAAGAATCGGAAAGAGTGGGGGGTTTTATGTCGCCGCTTAGTCATAGGTGGATGGTCGGCGATTCATCCGGGGTTCAGTTACGTCGGCGAGCGGGTGGGACAGACATCTTACAGTTCGGCCAGAGGCTACATTTGTTCACATTCAACGCAGCTCAACCAGTCTCTATCATATGGGCAGTCTTATCTATCTCAAACAAATGGCACCAAGCAGGGACTAGAATGGGAAATATTCCCAAAGCATACATACACTAAATCCAGCGGTTGGAGACATATATTTGCCTTTGCATCGAGAACCGTTGCTCGATTGGCTGGAGCGGCCGATTCGGTGCATCTTTTGCTGCAAAAGGACTAGCGTAGTTACGATTCATGCTTATGTCATTTCTTCAACATCCCAACTGGGTGGGCGGTGAGGGACCGTCGATAAGACATGCTGCCGGGGCTGTTCTTCATCCACATTGTGAGACAATCACTTAGTAACTACTACACAGTAATTAAGGAATTTCTCCTGCTACACTAGATGAGCATGCGAACATAGGACATATCACTGCTCTCACGACAAAGGTACCATCCGGTGCCCAGCATCAACGCGATCATACCCACCGTCAGGATCGCCGCGCCCACCTGGTCACCAGAGGTGATGGGTCTGAGCGCGGTGGGATCCCTGGCCGAATCCGAGGGCCAGGTGCCTGCAGCCCCATCCCCCTTGCTGGAGCCCCCCGTCTGCTCCGTGAGAGGACCCGTCACCCCCTCGACGAGCAACGTCTGGATCGCCTCGAGGGCCGACATCTGCTGACCAACCCCCTTGGTCCCATCATACCTCCCGATGGTCCATTGCATCCCGCAGTATGTCTTGGTGGTCCCGCCCACACACTGGGCCGCCGCCGCCTGCGCCGTTGATCGGAGACGCGCCATGATGAGGTCGTGCGTGAAGGGCGCCAGCTTGACCGTGTCGGCCATCCAGCGGAAGAGATAGGCCTTGAAGGAGAATTGATCCGTTTGACAGGTGTCCCAAGTCTCGCATGCGGACTCGTAGAACACGTTCTTCGACGACTCGTTGAGGGAGAGGAAGATACTCTGCGCCCCCAGCAACCCCTCGATCCGGCGTCGCCAGGTTTCATCGCCGTTGGTCTGTACCAGAGCAATCACCAAGTTAGTCAATTCATCGTGGTCTTGGCAATGGGCGGACAACGCAACCACCCAGGCAGGGAAGGAGTATAACGCACGTAGTTCCACATATGTGCCGCGCCAAGCAGGAAGACTCCATTGTTGTACGTCCATTCCACATGATTGAGGTCGGAGCAGTTGTTCGCTTCGCTAGTGCCATCATAAACCTGGAACTGGGGGCCGATCAGCCGGACCGCTGCCGCCCAGTCCCACGTTTTGTAGGCCCAGTGCGCATACGTGTTGTTCCCGGTATAGCGTGCCAATCGCGCAGCCATGTTGAAGAAACATCCATTGGAGATTGCGTTGCGATACGTGAAGCCGCTGTTGAAGGGATAGATCTGCCACTTCAAGCCTCCACCGCATTGCGCAGAGTCCCAGCGCGCGGCTTGCTGGTTGAAGACCGCCTGCGCCAGAGCCAGCCAGGAGGCGTGGTCGCTTGGCGGGTTGGGGTAGTTGTTCTCTGCCGCCTGGAGAGCCGTAAACGCCCAGAAGGCCTGGTCATCGTTCCCTTCGGTGCGGGTCTGGTTGGAGGGCATGAAGTCGTGCTTCTCTCCGGCCTGGTGCAGAATGGCTTGCGTGGTGATCTCGTTGTAGGTGGCGTCGCCGGTGTAGGCCCAGTAGTTGACCAACGCGCCAAAGAACGCCCCTGCTTCCCACCAGTAGTACGGGTTGGGGAGGTTGCCGGGCACGTCGCCCGTGTTGTTGCCGGTGTAGAAGCTCACGAGATCCCAGGCCAGCTGACGCGCGGCGTGCTTGATGCTGTCTAGAATGAGCAAAGAGTTAGTCGCCGATTAGCAGCAGGTCGCCGCTCCTTGATGCTGTCGAGAATTTACCAGGATCGTCAATGGTGAGATCAATCGCTTTCACCTGAAAGCAGGGGCGCGTCACGAACACGCATAGCACGACAACCCACGCGAAGTTGAGGGGGTTTGTTCCTCGCATCTTTATCTTGATGATGATTTTCCCTTGTCGATGATACTGGCTGAATTAATTGCTTAGCGCAAGCTGTCATCGCGGTGAACCAGAGGAGTTGGCAAGTTTTATCGTGTTGAAGAGGAGGTGAGTTTGTGAAGAGTCGTGGGTCCAGTCACTCTCTCATTCACTTCTTCTCCGGCTACTCTTGCGCGTGTTACCAGTCGTTTCAGGCATTGTCACCCTCTTAACTCTTTCATTGCTCGTACACAGTGTAGAATGGAAGTCCATACAAAAATGAAACTGCGATAGCAGGTTTCCGACGACTTCCTGGTCACTAGACTGTGAGCAACAATTTACTTGATAAATACATACTTGGTGTATACTCTGTACTGAATCTGGCATGGGAAGGTCAGGCACACATTTGGGAAATTACATCACCCTCAGCCACGCAGTCTCCCCGGCCCGGTGCCTTGACAAGTGTTAATTAAATATTACTAGTAGGCTGTAAGCACGAGGGCAGCCCTATGCAAAAATGGGAAGCATCTCCCACGAGCCGGAGACCTACGATTAAAAAAAGTCGTCATTGATGGTGAAGTGCACATTTAGGCTATGGGAAACGTCCCCTGAGCCATGGCAAGAATCTTTGTGTTGGCGCATCACTCCACTTTCAGCCCTACGTATGATGCACCCGCGCCTGATGTCATCGATTTTCTCTCGACCCGCAAATCTCCTTTAAAATCTTCCCCCCCTACCACCCTTGCGCCTCTCTTGTCTTTTCCCTCCTTATTTCAAAAACTCGCACACGACAAACACTTGCACTTGAGGTTATCTCCAATTCTAGCAAGAACAACGCATTTACTGCTCTACCTACACACCAACCACCGTCACAATGGCCAACGCTGTGTATGTTCCGTTCCCTCGCTCACCGTCCGCCCCGACTAACATGCCCCAGCGGATGCTGCGAAATCATCATCGCCTTCTTCCTCCCCTTCGTGGGTGTCTTCATGCGCACCGGCTGCAGCTGCGATCTCCTGATCAACATCTGTCTCTGCATTCTGGGATGGATCCCTGGCGTCATCCACGCCTAGTATGTTCACCAGCCCTTTGCTCTACAGATAACACCGTGACTGACCTAATCCGCAGCTACATCCTCGCCAACAAATAGATCAAGACTATTGACTCTTTTTCATGCGGTCGGTCGGATCCTTCTTCCAGCTTTGGGCACGGGCGCGCTCGGCGTTAAACGATTGGAATGCGTGACATTGCGATTTCTCTCTTGTATACTATACAGCAGTAATGATGCCGATAATATGATTCTGTGATTCGAGTTTTTGTGCTTGGGTTTTTCGTCCTGCGCCCGTGCGGTCACTAGGCAGCAGCTTTCCGTGCGCTGGGCAAAGCGGTGGTGAGGCGTGGTTGTGCCCATCGGAAGTTGACCGAGCTCATGAATTTCCGCATAGCCTTTCCAGTGGTGATATTGGAAGTCCGATCTCGCTGGATATCTAGTTAACCGCTGCGTGGTTGATTGAGGACTTATCGTCTCGGTCAGCCTCGAGGCAGAAAGTAAGTATGATGTCAGGATGCATGTAAAATTAGTCAGCCTGCATAGCGTTTCATATGTTGTGCATTAGTAGTGTCCTACCCAGTCTTTTTGGATACTGGATGGTGCTTCTTGGAATAACATGGTCAAAGCATGCTTTACTCCGACCAGGTAATTCTGGGAAAGCTACCCTCAACGGAGGTCTGAACAATGTGATCACTCGCAGGAGCACTCACTCGAGCTAGCTATGCCAGAATCAGCCGAGACCGCTTACTGCTATGGAGAATATATCTCGGAGCTGCCAAGGTACAGCACTGAAAAAGCCTTGCAGTATAGATCAGTGCAACGGAGGACCAGAGGGGGTGGGGTGGATATGCTTTGAACTTAGTATACATTTTCTAGACTTAGTTCGAGGTACGGAGAGAATTATCAAGGTACAGGTAGGTGTCGCGCCTACCACACAAAGCCTTTGCTTGTGCCGGCACTTGCCGCTTCATCCTCCCGTACAGTCAGATCTATAACTTGAGTGAATTGGAGGCCATCGAGGTCAAACCCGTTGGGAGGTCTCGGAAGGTGGCGCAACTTTAGATGCGAGAAAGTGCACAAATGGTTGCCTCGATCAAAGCGACTAAGAAGTGGCCCAGGAGTATTAGTATAAAAAGTACGAGCCCTGCCAGACTCGGTCTTTCTTTGTTGTTTTCCCAATGTTACTGTCCGTCGTGCTGAGACTATAGTAGTCGACTGCTCATTTCCAGGACCGGGATTTCATTTTTTGTTACGGTGGCCAACTACGATGAGGTGTATCTCGCGTACTGGAACAACAAGCCATCGCCCGCTTCATAGAACACCCCGTCTTTCTCGGTCTTGTCTTGTACCAATCCAACCCGTGGGGTACAACGAAAACTTCGGATGTACGATTGCAGGGACCTTTTGTCTTGATTGTGAGCCTCTGACTTGCAGGGGACTCACAAGTATGAAGGGCTGAGCCTTTCGAGGTCCTGGGCTTCTGGTAACGAGGATTCAACTGCGCTGCTTGCTGGATGGTTTCTTCGGGCAGCCTTACCGGCAACAAATCATGTGACTTATCTCTTTTCTGCCGTGATTAGTTCTTACCGCTTTAGCAGTCGCCTCCGTTCCTTGCTTGGACGAGGAGGGCTGGGATTCCCATGCGCTGTGCTAACTCCTAAGGATAAAAAATATACTATCTTCTTTTTTCTGGTGGATGTATTTCCAATTTGTTGGATGTTGAGCAAGCGTATCTGATATTCTGTGGTGATCTTCTGAACTGCTTTACTTCGTACACCGAGTCGGTAGGGATCGGTGGTCATGTGACCCCCCCCCCCTCCCAACAACACCATCAAGCATTATCGCCTTCATCTTTCCCGGCATAAGAATCAAGATAGTACGGTCTCAACACTTAGACATAAGATGCTTCTGGGTTCAGTATTACTCCGAGTCGAATGAGGGTTCCCATACTGTACTATAGACAACTCGAAGTACGGAGTAAAGCAGAGTGAGTTAGATGTGCTTGCTCAACATACAACACTACGAGGGATTACACCTCCCCAAGAAGAAAAGAGGCAAAGTACCAGACAGGTTCGGCCCTCCAGGAACCACACTCTTCGCCTCGGCCTACCTGCTTTGAGGATCTTGATTCCGCCGCTCGGAACGATGGGAGGAGGATACAGAGGCTGTGCAAGTCACATGACTCCGGGATTCACAGGGTTTTGAGACTCGGCGGGAGGCGGTAAAATTCTTCAACTTCGGTTAAACCCAGACAACAGTCACGTGCAGACCACTTCCAGGCGTTCATCGGTTTTAGGCAGAACCTGAACCCAAGATGATGGATGGCCACCAGGCAGGAAAAGGACTGAACCGAGCAGGAAATTTTCCTCGGGTGGCAAACGGTGTCGTAATGTGTGGAGGCACTGGATGAGGAGGGTCTAGAACCAGACCAAGCATACGCCAGTCTGTGCCTCTGTCGTCCCCGTTGCTTCTCCACTCCATTGCGGGGCAGATGCACTTTTGAACCTGAAGGTTTCAGGAACAGACGTGTCCACGATGAACCACTCCAATATCCCCTCGCCTTGATTCGCCGCTCAGTCGGACAACCCTGGTTGACATGATCTAGACTTTTGTACCTGTCAAAGTTTTGCATGTTTAACACGTTTTTTTCCTTGCCGCAGAAATGTCTGCGCGGCTGACGCAACCGCCCTGGTTCCTGACCCACTCCCTATGGGGTATATAAAGGTCCTGCTCGTTGCGATGTTTTCCCTTCTCATCAAACAATCCAGTCTTTTGGTGTTTCCAGATTCTATCTTTCGCTTTCACAGCTTGAGGTTGATCCTCTCACATTCTCTTTTTTTTGTTATCTGTTGATCAGAACGACTGTCTCTCTTCGTTGCTTTTGCTACGTCTACTCACGATCAACACCACAATTCTGAACACATCCATTTGCACAACACCAGTTCAATCCTTCAAAATGGCTTTCACCAAGATCGCTCTCACTGCCGCCTTTGCCCTTGCGGCCTCTGCCCTTCCCTCACCCATGCAGTCGAGCACCACCAGCTCCGCCGCAGCAAGCGCCACCAGCTCCTCCTCCTCCAGTGGCGGCAGCGTCTCCATCGTGAACAATCTCAACGCCACCGTCTACCTCTGGTCCACTGCCTCCACCACCGGCTCCAGCAGCATGCAGTCCCTGAGCTCTGGCGGCGGTAGCTACAGCGAGAGCTGGCAGACCACCTCCGACGGTAGCGGCATTTCCATCAAGCTGTCCACCACCCAGGACGAGAGCAGCGTGCTGCAGTTTGAGTACACCGACGACGGCAGCACCCTGTACTGGGACCTGTCCTCGATCAACTTGGACAAGGACTCGGAGTTCATCACCGCCGGTTTCTCCGCCACCCCGTCCGATTCGAGCTGCACCACCGTCTCCTGCTCCGCTGGAGACTCGGATTGCTCTGCCTCCTACCAGCAGCCCGATGATACCGACACCAACAGCTGTTCTTCTTCGTCGACCATCACTCTCACTTTGGGTTGAACCCAGAACTTCTCAGACGGGGCCCCTGGAATAGCGCCTTCGGTGCGCTTTGGGCCCCTGGTTCACGGGCTAGGTCCAGCCTCTGTATATGAGATTGGCCCGCCGGGCAGGCCTTGCTGCACATCACGTCCTTTTTATCTTATGAATAGACTATAGACTCCGATGCGACGAAATATATGAAAGACTTTGATTTTAGAACTTGTTTTTTCTTGTGTTCGTTCTCTTGACACGTAGGATTTGAGTAGAAATGAACCGGGCACTTGTGGTTGATCCCAGATTACTGAGTGTTCAGCGCAGGTGAGTGACAGACTGTGTAGTTAGTGCGGATACATGTGCTGAGCCCGACTATGAGTTCACTCGGGCTCAGTAGTTCTAATCAGCCAGTCCCCGCCAGTGTTGCTGCCCGGAGGTTTTGCGCGGAGTTGCGGCTTTCCAGGTCAAAAGCGTATGCCGAAGCGTTTTGTGCTGAATGAAGATCCTGGTGATGAGATAGACATTTCGTTGGCTGATTGGCAAGGGCATGCATGTTGTGAGGTGGAAAGCCTTCTTTGACATACCTCGCTGATCCCATCAAGTCCTTTGATATCGTGTCATCCACATCTTCTGTGCCATCTGAGGTTTCGAATCTTCAACTCAGATAACAGAAAGAGAAATCCTGGGACGAAGGCCCGGAGGCCAGGGGTCCCGTCGGCTGAGCCACCTTCACCACCTCCACCACTATCTTCTTAGCTAGTGTCGATAGCGTGAGTCTCACTACCATTAGCAGTTTGATCTCAAGGATCCATCATTGTGAACACACCTACCACTGATTGATGTTTGGAGCAAATGTTCTTTTGCTCAGTTTTGGGCAGAGTGAAGGGGTTTCCCCTGTCCAAAGTGATCAGGAGTGACTCGGCATGTAACGGCTCTTAATCGCGGCAAGGATACAAAGTGGGAAAATCAAGTGAGAACCCAAATCTATGCTGTGGCGTTGATAGCCAGCTTGGCGACAGGCTGAGGCGTTGTTGATTTGTTGGGACTTCTTCTAAGTTCTGTGGTACTCTTACAGGGTATGGGCACTTGCACAATGCTTATCCCTCATAAGACAGGAATTAAGTTATGTTCTATTGTGCCCTAGCTCTTGATTTTGAGCAAGCAATGAAGGATCGCCCTTGCATTTTCCAGTCCGGTGCAAACAATGTTCACGGATTATGCGAATTCATGTTTGCATACAGGATGTGTAGGGCCCACTAATGCGGGAAGCAGCCGCCTCTATCCACATATCTATACAATGTGCATCCATCCCAGTGCATAAAACAGCCGAATCATCCGGGGTCCGCAGCACATCTGAATACAATGCGAGAAATACTGATAGCCCTAGCACGAATGATCATCACAACTCACAGGGATGCATTCGTAAGTTTGGCCTGGATCATCGGGCAAGGCCTAATTCAGCCCGTTCACAACTGGAGCTGTTTAAAGCGGAAAAATATAAAACAGGAACATAAAGAGCTTGAAGATGCTCTAACCTGCAACTTCAATTTCATTCATCCCAGCATTTAACTTGAACCGAAGCGACGATCTAACTACCAATTTCATTCAGCGATCATGGTCAGCTTTATCGAGCCAGCACCTGGGACGTTTAGAGCCCTCCAAAGGCTTCTCGTGGCCCAAGTCGATAAGGTGGCAGAAGAAGCTCCCACCAGTCGGTTTGGCCTGATTCCCAATGGCATTGAAGTTGAGGAGGGCTTCCGTGAAATCACCTTTCAGGATCTATCTCGTGCGGTCGATGCTCTGTCGTGGTGGATCAAAGACACTCTGGGCGAGCCAGAAGAGGGACAAAGAATCGCTTACTTGGGGAACAACGATATCCGCTACATAATAGTCATGCTTGCATGCCATAAGACAGGCTACACGGTTCGTTCTCATCGCTGTTTGTGTGGTATCTCCAGACCTCATAAAGTATGGCTAATGTCCGTCCAGATATTTCTTCCCTCCACTCGTCTCTCTGATGAAGCCTATGACCATGTCTTCAAGGAAACCCGGTGTACTCATCTGCTTTTCAGCTCTGAAAAGTCTCAGATCGCTTCCAGGCTACAGTCACTGACTTGGAAGCTGCTGCTCCTAGAGGTGCCATCCGTGACCCATATCTTCAGTAAACCGTCCGGCGGCAACAAGCGATTCGAATTCTCCAAGACGTACGACGAGATGGTCGACAAGATAGCATTCATGATTCATAGCTCTGGCACGACTGGTATGTGGAGAGCGACTGAGCCAACTTAGACAACAATCTATGGTTATCCAATCGACTAATCCCCACGATAGGCATGCCGAAACCTGTTTCCCTTACCCACGGTTTCCTGGGGACCGTTGACAACGGCGCATTCATGCCTCGTCCGCAAGGCCGGTCTCCTGCTTTCTTCAACGACCTTGCCTCGGACGATCCCTACCCAAAAGCCCTGGTCCTTTCTGCGACGCCCTACTTCCATCTGATGGGCCTGGTTTCCTTCTTCGAGTCCATCTTTCACAATATCCCTTTCGTCGCCAGCCCGGAAAGGTTACTGTCTGTGGGGTTCTTGATCGATCTTATCAGTCACACGAAACCCACTGCCACCATCCTGCCACCTTCAATCCTCGAGGACATGAGTCATTCTGAGGAGGGCCTCAATTGTCTCCGTGCGATGAAGTTCGTTTGCTATGGTGGGGCTCCTCTGGCACCAGAAGTCGGCAAGAAGCTCAGTCGTTACACCCAATTACGATCGCCAATCGGGTCCAGTGAGATGGGAATTATCAGCTCCTTGGTGCCGGAAGGTGAAGGGAACTGGGGCTATTTTGAGTGGAATCCTGCTTATCATGTGGACATGCAACCGATTGGTGATGATCTGTTCGAGTTGGTCCTACCACGCGTGGAGAATTCGCTAGCTATCCACGGAATCTTCCATACTTTTCCTGAGCTGCAAGAATATCGATCCAAAGATCTGTTCACCCGCCATCCCTCCGAGCCGAAGCTGTGGAGATATCATGGCCGCTTGGATGACGTGATTGTGCTCAGTAACGGCGAGAAGCTCAACCCGGTCTCCTTGGAGAAGATAGTCGAAGGCCATCCCTCTGTCCATCGGGCTTTGCTGGTCGGCCAAGGACGGTTTGAGACGTGTCTGTTGGTTGAACCAGTGGTCCACCCCGACTCCAAGCGCGTCGATAAACAGGAGTTCATTGAAAACATCTGGCCCCTCGTGCAGACAGCCAATGAGACGGTCCCTCAGTATGGCCGGATTGTGAAGAGTATGATTCGTTTATCGTCACCTGGGAAGCCTTTCAAACTCACCGCCAAGGGCACCACGCAACGACATGCTGTAAACCGGGACTATGCAGCGGAGATTGAGGAGATTTATTCCGCTCAGGACAGCCAAACCGCAGTGGAGCTGCCGGCAACACTCACTGCTGACGGCATCCGGGGTTATCTCCAAGGGATCATCACTGCTCTCACTGGGAAGAAAGAGGTCGGAGCCAGTGATGATCTCTACAGCATGGGCCTTGATTCTTTTCAGGCAATCCAGCTGAACCGAATCTTGAGGAGCTCGGTTTCTTCCTACAACCCCGAGTGTGACATTGAACGGTTGACGGTCCAGAACATTTATGCCCATCCCACTGTAGACGGGCTGACTGAACTTCTGCTGGGAGTTCTCGATGGTTCATCGGCCAGTACTGCCGGAATATCACGCTCGGAGAAGATCTCGCAACTGATCTCCAAGTATACGAGTGACTTCCGAGCTCCGGCGTCGTATAGCCTTCCTCAATTGCCCGCGCGAGCCACAGTCATTCTCACCGGGTCTACCGGATCTCTGGGTACCTACATACTCAATGACTTGATTCACAATCCCCAAGTGGCCAAGGTCTACTGTTTCAATCGCAGCGCCGAGGCCCAAGCGCGCCAGAGGGAAGGATTCGAAGACAAGGGACTTTCAGTATCACCTCTAGATGACCCTGAAAAAGTCGAATTCCTGCACGTCGAATTCGGAAAAGCCCACTTTGGCATCGGTTCAAAGAAATACAACGAGCTTCTTGGGACTGTCACCTTGATCATCCACAACGCTTGGAAGGTCAACTTCAACCACCCAGTTTCCTCCTTCGAGGACCCCCATCTCAAAGGTGTGCGGGAGTTCGTGAATCTCAGCCTAGAGAGTCGCTACCGGGCGCACCTCGCATTTGTTTCCTCTGTTAGCACGATCGGCGCATGGCAGCCTACTGATACAGTCATGTCCGTGCCCGAAATCCCCATGGAGAGCGCGGACTCGGCCCTCGAGCAGGGGTACGGGGAGTCGAAGTACATCGGCGAGAGGATTTGTGTCGAGGCCTCGGAGAAGGCCGGTGTGCCGACGAGCATCCTTCGAGTTGGGCAGATTGCTGGGCCGGACACTCGCCAGGGAGTATGGAATCCGCACGAGTGGATTCCGACGTTGATCAAGACGTCTAAAGCGATTGGGATGGTGCCCTCCGATCTTGGCGCCTATCCCATCGATTGGGTTTCAGTGGTAGGCAAATTCCCATTGGCAGTACAAACTATCCTTACCGTGCTTTGTCGGTAGAGGTCATCATTTATCTTCCCGTTAGTTCTAACGCATGATCTGAAACAGGACACATTGGCCAAAATCGTCAACGAAATCCTTCTCGGCCGAAGCTCATCACTACTGCAAGAACGCAACGCCGTGTACCATCTGGTTAACCCCTCGAGGACTAGCTGGAGCTCCTTGATCCCCGCGATCCAAGATAGGTATCCTGTTCGCCCGGTCCCTCTCGTGGAATGGGTGGACGCGCTCGAGGCGATCCAGGATCCAACCGACGCGGAAGTGGATGAGAAGCCAGCGCTGAAGCTTCTTGCGTTCTTCCGTACCCTGGCTGACAATGCACATGTTTTGTCGGCTGATATCAATGTCGAGCGGACAACGGGCGCAAGTAGCACCATGGCAAGCCTTGGACCAGTTTCAGCGGATCAGATGGCGAATTGGTTGGCCCAGTGGGATTTCTGAGGACTTGAGACTTGAAATCGTATTGCAGAACCTCCTCGATAAGGGACATGGTAGGGCGGCAACATCAACTTGGTGTATATGGGTGGAAGCTTGGGACTTTCAATTTGACGCAAGCATGTCCTTTATGCAGATCCTTCTCTGTTGGCTCGGTATCGACGCCGAGGGTGTATATATCACAATTTGATTAGCTTGAATTGAGAAGTCCTCTAGTCGCGTGCTACTCCATGAACAAAGACCAAGGCATGGGTTCTGATCGCGACTCTGTGGGATGGCGGAATGTCCCCGAGAGTTGGGGTGATGAGGGGATGAGAGATATGTAATAGTAAGGGCTGGCTGGAATTGTGCTTTGTGATTGACTGGTCCTTTCCGTTATCGGACCCCGCCCGTTGCTCCCCCTCTCCCGCTGCCACTTCGGTCTGGTCCACATATATATGCGGCTTCTCATCCTGCCCTGCCCCATTTTCATCCAAAAATAGGCTCACGATAACCGCCAAAATGGGACAGGATGTCTTCATGAACTTCGGCTTCCCGAAGCAGGCCGACTACTCAATTTCCCACTGGCTTCAGTCAGTCAAGGATGATCCACTTTTGAATCATCGAACCACGCCAGAGTTGCCGCAGTCTGCTGACGTTGTGATCATCGGATCCGGGGTGAGTAGACGCAGACTCTGCAGAAGATTACTTTGAAGTGGAGACTAAAGCTGTATTCAGATGTCCGGGACGGTAACAGTCAAGCACATTATCGAGACGTGGCCGACCAAGAAAGTGCTGGTGATTGAGGCGCGACAATTCTGCTCCGGGGCTACAGGTCGAAACGCTGGCCACTGCAAACCGGATCAGTGGCGAGGATTTCTGGAGTATGAGCGAGCCTTTGGCACGGAGCAGGCTCTGAAGGTAGAGAACACGGCCTCTTTTTTATCTTCACAGGTGGTAATTGAGAAACGTTCTGTAGATCCTAGAAAACGAACAGCAGACATGGTCGGAAGTAGTACGATATATAACAGAGAACAATGTCGACTGCGAACACTGGACCGGAAACACATTGGACGTTCCCATCACCCCCGAGGCAGCGCATAAGGCCCATACCACTTTCGAACGCTACAGAGCGGCAGGTGGCAAGACTGATCACATTCAAGTGACCCATGATCCCAAAGAAGCAGCTGAGGTTTGTACCGGCTTCACCACTGGTTGCTGAAATGCCACTAACCGGAACTGAGATATCCCAAATCGAAAATGCTAGAGCATGTTACGCATGGGCCGCTTCCACGTTGCATCCGTGGAAGCTTGCGGCGCATATTATGCGAGAGAACCTCAAGCGAGGTGTGAATCTACAAACCACCACCAGGGCTATTGTCGTCGTCCCTTCCGAGAAGAAGTCGGGCCCCTGGGTTGTCAAGACCGACCGTGGCGACATCGAGTGCTCCGAAGTCGTTCATGCATCCAATGCCTACAGCTCCGCACTCGAGCCGTCTCTGCGCGGCTTGATCACCCCACGCCCGCAGATGTGCAACCGGGTCACGCTTCCCAAGGCGCCAGAAAACTTTGCGGGCTTCAGGAGCTCATATGGTATACTTCTTGGTCGTAACGACCTTATTAGCATCAATCCTCGCCTGAACGGAGACGGCGCCGTCCTGTTCGGCGGCAGCAACCCAGGTCAAGAAGAGTTCATGAGATGGCTTGCGGAAAATCCCGATCGATGCACTGATGATGGAATGACTGGATATGACTCCATCAGCAAGGCTGTCCAGGCTTTCGCAATAGGCGAAGTGAAAGGCTGGTCGGATGAGGCATTACAAGAAGCAGAGGCTTATACCCAGGCGTGGAGTGGTATCATGGGCATGGTAAGACTAAGCAAGTGCTTTAGATGATGTCTCTAGGAATGTGAGCTAATCTGGAGTAGAGTGCAGATGGACTGCCATTTGTCGGCGAGCTACCGGGTCTTCGGGGTCAATGGGTTTGTGCTGGACATAACGGCCAGTAAGTTCATGCGTCCCATCTCGGTATTGGACAATGCTAACAGCAATTCTCACAATTCATTAGCGGGATGGCACGGATCTTCACTGCTGCAGCCGGCTTGGTGAAATTGATGGGCGGGAGCGCTTGGGCAGAGACACAGCTCCCTGAGGCTTTCCAAATCACGTCAGAAAGAGCTGAGCAACTGAGAGAGCACTCACAAATATCGGCTGGAGTGGGCACGCGTCTCTGATCAAATGCGATTATTTGACTTAACCCAGAACATGTTTCAAATCTAGTCACATACAAGCACATACGACCACAGGGTGTGGAAAATAGGGCTTCCCGTCCGCTCAGCCGTACTCAAGCCACACGCCGGGAGGTTAGTAGTTGGGTGGGTGACCACCAGCGAATCCCTTCTGTTGTATGTTTTTTTTCCTTTTGAATATTATTGCCAATTATAAAACCTCTCTCCCCCACCGCGAGGATGCCGACTCTAGTATCATCACTTCTTGACTTGGTGGTGCTTGCTTTGCGGAAGAGCCTTGGTCTAGCCTGGGTTAACGATCCTCACTGGTCTTTGCATTGTGGCAGAATTCCGAGTGGTAATTAATGGGTTCATGACAACTGCTTAGCGCAATAATGCTTGCATTAGGGTTTCAGGGTTAAAAGATATCTAGGTTGTACAGCATAGTACCGCACTGAGTATCGGTTTGCAGGTCTAAAAGGTCCTAATAACCTCTGGATATTGGGTGGCGGCACCGCCACGACGGATATAGCGACCCGCGCATGGCATCATACAATATTTTCTGGATATCTTGGGCATATCACTGCCCGCCTTAGCGTAGGGCATAGTAAAGCATGCTTTTTTTCTGCATAGTCAATACTAGCATACAAACGTTCGTCTTGGCATTCTTGACACCAAAACAGAAGTGCTTTCGTAAGATGTCTGAGATGTTCATCCCATATCCTTCCTCTCATGTCAAGGACATATTCGCAAGAGACAATTCCCTCATTTTGTTTGTGCTTAGTGGTGTTATGCTCCCGATACGCGTCAGAAAAGGCTAGAATGATTGGACTGCATCCGCGATGCAATCATAGCCTGCCCGTGATTCATCCATCTTTCATAGTACTGACCGGGTCAACCTTTCATAGACTGTACATTCCCAAGAATACCACGGCCAGCTTATGTATCTCGAGTTGAGTTAATCTGCGGTGGGACTTTTGAAAGGCTGCGAACTAGTCATATGTGCGACGCGGCTATGATATAGTGTCCCTGAACCACCAACCATCGTAATACGTCAATGTAGGGCAAATGGAAATAAATGCCTAGCCTTATCAACGAAGTCCCTCGCGGGGAAGTAGCACGCCCCCATCTTTGAGCCAATCGTGCTCCCCCACCTTTGAGGCATTTGAATGGATATATATTGTCTCAGAGCAGCCATTCATCATGAGCGCGATCGAAATCGTGAATCCAGCAATATGTGGCGACTGTTCGGACGGTCTGCCGATGGACCAGCCAAGGAGTCTGCGCCGCGGGGCCTCCCAGCCTCGTGGTACCGCTCCGATGCCATGTACCAGCTAGAACGACGCGCCATCTTCTCCAAACGCTGGATGCTACTCACCCATTTCAGCCGATTCACCAAACCCGGGGACTTCCTCAGTTTCACCGTCGCCGATTTCTCCTTCTTTCTCACCAAGGATCGCGATGGCAAGATCAATGGCTTCCACAACGTCTGTCGCCACCGCGCATACCCCATCGTGCAGGCTCGCTCCGGGACCGCCTCGATCCTCAGCTGCAAGTACCACGGGTGGTCCTACGGGCTGAAGGGCAACCTGTCCAAAGCGCCCCGCTTCGAGACGGTCCCGGACTTCGACAAGAGTCAAAACGGACTGCTGCCCATCCACGTGCACGTCGACCGCGCCGGGTTTGTGTGGGTCAACCTGCAGGCGGGCGAGACCCTCGAGGTGCAATGGCAGGCTGACTTTCAGAGCATCGACGAGCAGCCACGCATGCAAGACTTCGACTTTGGGGGGGAATACACCTTCGACCACTACTGGGAGATGGAGCTGGAGGCGAACTGGAAGTTGCTAATCGAGAACTACAACGAGTGTTATCACTGTGCGACCTCGCACCCACTTATCAGTGGGGTTTCGGACCTGCCGCGATATCGGGTGGAGCCCACCGCCGCTTACATGGAGCATCATATCTTCAACAAGGAGAATAGCGATGCGCAGTTTCGCAGGGCTATTACGTACTTTTTTCCGACGAGCTCGGTGACGGTGACGTAAATTGCTGCTGGCTTTTGTGTCCTGAAGTCGGGAAGATATTGACGATGGGCTCCAGCGACAAATTCTTCTACATTCAGCGGATGATTCCCTTGAGCGCGACCTCGAGCAAGATCGAGAACGAAGTGTATCGACATCGAGACGCGACCGATGAAGAGTTTGACAACATCAATGCATTTTACCGGCAGGTTCTGGAGGAGGACAAAGAGCTCTGTGTTGGGGTGCAGACGAATCTAATTACCGGGGTGTTCATCAACGGCGAGCTGCACCCGAACAAGGAAAAGGTATCTAGCCAGCAGCTGTTACATATTTATTGATATACAGCTGACAGAGTCTCAGGGCCCGATCTACTTCCAACAGAGTCTCAAGGAGATGGTGATGGAACATCGTCAGAAAGAGGAGGCCCAAGGTGGGCGAGAGATCTGGCCCGCGCTTCCCCCCATGACCGGCGACATGAAAACGGATCGATTGGCAGAGGAGGAACGGTTTTGCTCGCAGCTGGAAGCGAGTTGCATGAGCCGACCGGAGCTAGCCTGGTAGAGCAGGATAATAATAATAGTTCAGTACTATAACTAGTGTACCAGTATTGTAGCACAATGATTCGAAAGTCAACTTCATGCCAAGAAAGATCGGCTTATCTTAGAGGCTTAGAGGGAAATTGGAAACAATCCTTGTTGGCTGATAAGCTGATAACATGCGGGGTAAACTGACTAAAATCGGGATTTCTCCGCGATAACCTGTCACCCCGTGCATTTTTGCCTCTTGATGACTGCTGGCGATGGCTCTTTTGTTTCTTCTTCTCTCCCACTGCACTGTCCAAGAGTGGTGATAAGCTGGAAGATTATGATAGATCCCTCCTCCTCCTCCTCCTCCTCCTCCTCCGCCGAATCCTATAGCATGAACCAATCCCAGCGTCCGAAACGGACCAGCAATGCGTATGTCCTCGTGACCTCCCAAGCAAGCAAACAGGCCAAACAGGCAAACGAGCAAGCCCTACAATCCTCCCAAACCCCGTTACTGACGATCAGTCCAGCTGTCAACGATGTCGGTCCAGGAAGGTCAAGTGCTCTGGGACACATCCTTGCGACAAATGTCGTCAACGTCGTCAGAATTGTGTCTTTGAGGAAGATCGGAAGATTGTTGTCTCAGAAGAGTATTTCTCAACTCAGACCCCCCCGCTACCAATCCATCTTTTGCTTCCGCTGACTGTGCTTTCTCCCGCACAGACTCTTTCTCTCCTTAAAACGCAGAGTTGAGGAACTCGAGGGATTACCCCCCTCTCCGACCAGCAAGCGACACCGTACCTTGAGGGAAGACATTCCCCCAGAGTTTGTCGATAGTATGTGGCTGCTTGGGGCTCAGTGAGAAAAAAAAAAAAACGGGTCTAACATCGAGACGTACAAGCAGAAACCAACCCCGAAGTAACAACACCAATTGCGACCGATGCCGACTCCCACGACGACCGATTCGCATCTAATCCTTTAGTCTCGCCTTCAACATATGTCAAGCATACCGGTCGACAACACCGAAAGTGGCGTACGTGGTGCCTGCAGCAACAACAGTTAACACGACTGATTTCAGACAGTATTCCTTGGCCCTACCTCAACATGGTCCTTCAGTCGACGAATTCTCAACATCGTCCAAGCCCGAATAAACCCCGACAGCCAGCGACCGATTCCGTTGGCGGTGGATGGCGATGCGTACCAAATACACTGGCGACATGCGAGCTCCGAGGAGGTCCCGGACACCAGTGGCCTGCCGTCGTTGGAGCACGCGCTTTACATGGTGAGCACGGTACAATTCCACTTTGGCAATATGTATCGACTCTTCGATGAGGACTCATTTCTCCGCCATCTCAATGAGTTTTACAAAAACGCCGCAGAGAAGGTGCAGGAATCGCGTCTCTGGTACGTGCAGTTTCTCGTGATCCTGGCCTTTGGGGAGGCTTTCTTGGCTCCAGTGCGCACGGCTTCCAATACGGCGTCGTGGACCAAATACTTTTCCAGAGCCATGTCGCTGCTGCCGGACATCACGGGGCTCTGGCAGGACCCAACGCTGGCAATTGAGACTCTGGCGCTCATTGCGGTGTACTTCTACTCCGTGGATATGAGAGATACTGCCTATTGTTATGTGGGGGATCCACTCCGACATCAGTTGGACTGCTGCTGATTGAAATAGATGGGACATTCCATGCGGATGGCGCTAGTTGAGGGGCTCCATCGTGCTCAGCCTGTGGAGCAACTAGGGCAGAAACTCGTCACGCGCTGGAGCAACATCTGGTGGACGGTATATATTCTGGACCGCAAATTCTCATCGTTCATGGGGTCGCCTTACTCGGTCAATGACGATGACGTCAATGCCGTTCTCTGGGACCCTCGAACATGCTCGCAGAATGAGGCAGTCTTGAGTCTGCATGTCCGGATCTCCCAGGTTGCTGCTCGTGTACTGAACAGTGAGCGTATGCGTTATCCGAATACCTGGACTGGGTGGCTAACCAACCATTGTGATAGCGGTTTACAGTCCCGACGGCACGCTAGGCGGGCTCTTTCTGCGCAAGGTTCGCTCTGTCTTGCAAGAAATGTCCGATCTGTCGCGCGAGCTCGATGAAGTGTTCTCCAACCGGTTTGCGAATTCAGTCGACGCCCTCTCGGGTGTCACCACACGCCTGACCCTATCATGCCATTCAGTATGTCTCCCCTCCACTATCTATGTGGCTACCTAAGCTCACAGTTACCAGTGCATCATCGTCACCACAAGACCTCTTGTCTTAAGCCTTTTATGGGAACGCCTCAGTTGCTACGAAGAAGGCGCCGAGTTTCGCACATTGTCGTCACCTGTACAAACCCTCCTCCAAGCATGTATCGACTCCGCCATAAAGTCTCTAAAAATCCTATCTGCTCTGCGAGACCAGAATCTGCTCGGTCCGCATCCCCTGCTTAGCCCTCACTCAGAACCGCGGATGCTGACCATGCCCCCTTCCCCACAGAAACATTCCTCCCCTTCGATCTCGAGAACCTCTTCTCCTCCTTCTTCGTCCTCTCCCTCATCGCCGCCATCCTACCCGACGCAGCGATCGACCCAACCTACCGTGAAACAGGCTTCGGCTTGCTGAATGAGATGATCGGACGGGGTAACCGTGTCGCCCAACTGCGCAAGTCCGAGATCGAGCTCCTCGAGGAACTCGTCCAGCCCTTGAGCCGCCGGCACAGCACCCCCTCAGTCAATGCAGAGTCAGCACATGGCCAGCTGGCCACTCCGGAAAGCCAACAACGACCGCTCGAACACCTTGCACAGATTTCTGGCACTACTACGTGTGGGGTGGATAGTATCCCGACGATCCCGCCCTCCGATGTGCCTCCCGATCCGGAGGATGAGCTATCGCTAGACTGGCGGGGTCTTGGGTTGTCGTTGGATTACATGCTCTCTGTGACGGATCAATTGAATGCCAATAACTTGGTGATGGATGCGGAGCGGGAGGGGCTGCAGACAGATCTGTGGTTGTGGGAGGATAGCTAAGATGTCTCAATCTGAGTAGACTCTACGACAATGATATCATGAGACCATGCAGGCCAGTCAACCTGACTGTCTCAATCTGTGACGTACTATGTACCTACCTAGTCATGTCGAGGACCATATGAACCACTGACGGAGACCCCGAGGCCTCGCTGGCTGGGCTGCCTGACCGCCTTCACCCGTGGATATCATCTTATATACCCTGGATAGCCTCAATCTCAGCACCAACAAGTCTCCGACGGCCAACTGATGTTGTTCCCAGTGATAAGGCAATTATTAAGATTAAAATATTCACTTGAGATGCTGTGAATGCTGTAGGATGACTTATACTCCCTCCCTGTTAGATCATGGAGTCGCCTTCTCGATTGGCACGCACAGGCAGAAGAGTAGCGGCAACATCGAAATGTTCCGTGTCAGTATTGAAAAAAACTGTAGTTCACCCCGTGAGAACATAAAGCCTCTTCACTTGTTTTTGCATGACCTCTTTCATCCTTTTTTCTTCCTACCGTCACCACCACTGTTCTCACCCCCATCATCATCACTCTCACCATTCAGGGGCAGACCCTTCATTGCTGGTACGTGATCCAATCTCCTTGTCCAACCGTTCAAATCCGCATATCCCTAGAGACTGACCGAGCTGCGTCAACCTTGGGCCATTATGGAACACCCTAAGCACCGGTTGTCTGGCGAGCCTAGTGAGACGCCAGACTCCCCGCTTAAACGTTTCCGAGTCGAGGGAGACGGAGGTTCCTTGCAAAACCTCCCCACCGAGCTCATCGTCAGGATTATGGGCTCTTTGCCCAGTTTCGAAGACATGGAATGACTTAGCTGGAAGTCCAGACGCATGCGCCTTATCTGGGCGAACTACCGCACATCTATTTTCGAAGAGGCCGACCCGAGAATTCTGGGATCCATCGCTGCTCCGATAGATCTTTGGAAGACCCAACGGGGGACCCCAAGTGAAACCGATTGGGGAGATCATCACAGCATGAAGGATCTCCTGGACGTGAGAGATAACGCGCGGTTGATTCCTGTTGAAGAAATACGACTGCAGGAACTTTGAGTCGAAGTACCTGCGGCTTCAGCAGCGACTCGTGCAACGTAAGCCACTCTACTTGGGGCTGTCAAGGAGGAGTTGACCCGGCTCGTGAGACATGTGCCTACTGTGACAATATGCTGATTGATACATATATTCAGTGTTTAGAGCTTCCGGGTCATTTGGTCCTGTGTTGGAATTAGTTCGCGACTTTACGGAAGTCGTCGCGCACCTCATACACCTATTGATCGAACAGTTAACTCGAGCTGAAGTCGAGCGTAGAATCAATACGATCCTGGGACAGAGAGGTTATGGACTTCACAACCGTCCCCAAGCCAGTCGTCGCCTTATGCTCGCGCTATATCAAGCCTAGAACTCGGCGTTACTGTCCACTCGCCGAGATTCTTGTGACGCCATGATTTTGAAAGATCTTTTCCTGGTGCGCGAGGTCTTTTTCATCTACCGAGAATCTCTGGCGCGGCTTCATGGAGCCAGGGCTTTTGCGAAACACACCTTTGTCGACTTACAGACCATCCGCTTTATTGCAACGGAAATTCGGGATGAGGGAAAGGAGCGATATAGAGCGATCCATCGGGAGACGTTCCGCCGGCTCGATCAGTCCGAGCCAGAAGGGGAGGCTGGTCTCCAGCAACAGCTAGAAAATCTGCGCACGCTGTGGAGCGATGAGAATCAGGACGCGTATTGGAACCGCCAGGGAATCGTTAGTCTCTGGCCCGAGGGGGATATGGACTGGCGATGCGGGAAAGTGTATCTGTAGGAGAGATTACATTATTGTGAGGATCTTGCCCCAAAGGTTGTGTGTTCTGCTGCGATCATGTTAGTTCTTCTTTTCTTTTGCTGTGTAAAGTCACGTGAGACTTTGACATGTCGTCCAGACTGTGCCTAGTACAGTGTACACAGTACCTACCTTACATGCACTCTTGTGCTTAGTTACCAGGTACCTGACAAGCTGTACATCAACCGCCGGGTACAACCAGCGGCAAAGAATAAGGTAATAATAGGAACCTTGGATTCGTCATCGTGAACCTTGGCCCAGCACTAGTTCTGGCGTATACGTAACTCCCGCCCCACTTGTTGGTTGTTTTGCCCTAAAGTGGCGGAGGGGGAAAAAAACAGAGAGGTCATGGTGTTGACAGGTCGCAAACCGAGGAAGTGAAGAGTACAGATGACCTGTAGAACAGTAATGATAAATCTGGCAATGCTGATTCCTACCATGAGTGTTTGACCATTAGGTGAATCACTATGGTCGATCCTACACGTGGTGTGGGATCGATCTCGAACGGAAGAGAAAGGAGTTGCCCGGCGACTAGTTCACGCTAACAAGGCTTAGCCCCCATCAACAAGAAATTTTATGTGTTCGCCTGGTGGACCTCCAACTTGTCAATTCAAGCAACAAATCAGCTTGCTTTTTTTAGAAGACGAAGACTTGCACGCACTCGAAACTTCTGCGAGCAACTGCTCGGGATTGACCCGCACCGAAGCCTGCGCTTGGCCCTTTGCCCTCGCGGCCCTCACCCCCGTCTAGACCCAGAATCATTCAGGAATGTCACCATTCGCCCGAGGCAACCAGCCCTGGCTGGTCCGTCACCACTCCTTAGCCCTCCTCGGGGCCAGCCACTCGGAAAACACATGGTGTGAAAAATGTCCGTGCCTCTTGTCAGACCAGTAGGAGGGCCTGGTTGACGACGCAAGGGGGGCCGGGGCTTACGTAGGGATGCATGGCATGCCAATGGCCAAGCCCTGTGTACCTGAATGTCAAGCGAAGGGGCAGTTTAGCAGTGCAGGTGGAGTCCCCAGTGACAACCAAAACACTGGCTGCAGGAATGCCAGCCAACAGAACTGATGGATGATAAAATCTGTGCGGCCCTCGGAGGGAACTGGGGGAGAGGGAGACAGCCTGGCGGCCCTCCGTTTCACTGCCCTAAACGGGACTATCGATTCGACAGCACCACCACCCACTCCTTAGTCGCCAGCTGGTTCTGGATCGCGCCATTCGACAACCGGCCTCACGCCTGCGACGCACAAGAGTCTGCCCTCTGGAGTCGACGACTGATTGGGTCCCGATGCTGACGATTCTTGAGTCTTGTCGCTTCCCCACTCGGCGCGGTCTTGCGTCGTCCAGCGTCGGCTGGTTATCCGTTTTGACGCCCGTGTGAACTGGGGCGAATTAATCTATTCATCTATAAACTGGGGGTGGGCCATGCTGCTGGTTCTGTTCTTCTTTTCCCTCCCAGCATCTATCCAGTCGTTCCTTTGATTGTGCCTTCCTGGTTGTAGACAGCCAGGTTCATAGCCGTCGTGTGCACAGCGTCTATCCAACACCCTCCTTCAGTCATTCGACCCAAAATCGACCCCCATTGATCCCACCGATCCAATCTTTGACTAGTCGATCGAACCCCACCATGCAGTGGAAGTCACTCCTTCTTTACGGCGCCATCGCCGAGTCGGCCCTGGCTCGTTCGCACGGCCACCAGCGCCGGCAGCATTCCCACGGCCACGCCGAACGTGCCCCGGAGGCACACCTGGCTGCCCGGGAAGTGGTCGTGGAGACTGTGGTGAACTACCACACGATCACCATGACCAGCACCATTACGGGTGTCGCCCCTACTGTCACTACCCATGAGGATGCAGCCACTACCACGTCCGACGCCGCTGCCACCACCACGTCCGACGCCGCTGCCACCACCTCTGCCACCGAGGCAGCCGCCTTCGTCGAACTCGACCTCGATGAAGATCTCGCCATCAGCGCCAGCCTGAGCCTCGGCCTCTCCATCGGCGGCTCTGAGGCCACCACCACCTCCAGCGCCAGCAGCAGCAGCACCAAGGCCCAGGCACACACCACCACGACCACCAGTGCTGCCGCCAGCAGCAGCAGCGCCGCCGGTGTCAGCTCCGCGTGGTACACCTACCCGACCAACGGTGTCTACTCGACCAGCGGCTTCGGGGCGCGCACCAACACCACCAGCAGCAGCGGCGACACCTACGTCGGCAACGTCGGCAACCCCTGGGGCAGCAACATCATTGAGGTCAGCGCCAGCGAGGCGTGGCAGTACAAGTACGTGGTGCAGTTCACCGGCCAGAACAGCGAGGACTGGTTCGTGAGCATCTGGAACAAGATCGGCCCCGACGGAGCCGACGACGGCTTCTTCGGCCACTCCGCCCTGAACTTCACCCTTGCCTCCGGCGAGACTCGCTATGTGGCCTTCGACGAGAACTCCCAGGGCGGCTGGGGTGCGGCCGAGGGCTCCAGCCTGCCCACCAACGACTACGGCGAGTACTCGTGCACCTGGGGCGAGTTCGACTTCGGCGACGAGGAGAACAGCAGCTGGTCCGGCTGGGATGTCAGCGCCATTGTCGCCGAGGAGGCTTCCCAGACCATCCAGGGCATGAAGCTCTGTCGCCACGGCACCAGCACCGGCTGCTCGTACATCACCTCGGGCGGTGACACCGTCGAGAACGCCTACACCCCCTCCGAGAGTTCGGTCGGTGGCATCGGTGGCTCGGTCAGTGCGGGTCCTCTGCGTCTGGCTGCTGTCATTGACTACTCTGGTTAGATGTGACGCGTTTTGAGACCCAGGATCTGGGTAGGGTACATATGCACTTTCGCCTCGTCTTCTCGTTATATACTGTACATCGAGGCTGTCGATATCCAGATCGTATATAACCCAGGCTGTCATGCTTGAACTGGTGGTGATTACCGTTATTTGTTGATATCTCTTCTTCTGCTGTCCGCTTCAATATACCATATTTGTCGTTGTATAGGTCTCAATTGAATACGTAGGCTTGGCTGCTGATCCTCGGCTGCGAGATCGGATCGAATCTTTGCCGGCTCCACCGCATGACTGCCCGCCCTTGTGGAATGGTCTTTCGTACGGTCGCATCGTAGAAATAAGCAGGCTCAGAGCTGCCACAACCGACTCAATGACTTGTAAGACACATTGCCTTCAGTGAGGTCGCATATTAGCCCTGCACTCGGTCAGGCACGCCTTTCGCTGCAGAACCGATGATTACGAGACGTTCTGCACGTGACCGTTCGGACGGTGATCGGAGTGGCTGAGTCAGCGGCCAGATGTCTCCACTGCATTTCCACCCAATCCACCACTGCTTCTCACGCCTCACTCATTCCACATCGATTTCTGGCTGTCGACTGGAGTCGCCCGGTCCAGAACATCTAGAACGCTACTACATTGTAACAATCCCGCCTGTTGATGCGAGACCAATGGACTCTGCAGCGCCTCCGCCGCGGTTCTGTCGCAACGGCGATCGCGGCTATCAGCCGAACAACACCAAGAACATGCCCACCATGGCACGCATCTAGAGCCACCATACCAGCAGCAACCATCCGCCGCCTCACCACTGCTCCCAGAGCTCATCATCATCACCGCTTCAAACACTTCACACACCCCCTACCCACAACGATTCCCCCTCAGAAACGCACCCTCCTCACCTCCACCCTCCCCCCCATCCTCATCCCCCCAACCATCTTCATTGGCCTCCTCCTCGCCCTCTGGACGTGGAAATGCATCTGGATTGTCCTCCTGCAAGACAAACTCCTCTACCTCTCGTGGCTGCCCCCCCTCTCCCGCTCCGAAACCATCGCCGCCTACGAACCCGACTGCCGTCCCGTGCAATGGACCACGCAGCAGATCCGCAGCTTGGACGGCACCAAGCTCACCGTCTGCGAGGGCCGTCTCCCTCCGCTACCAACCCACGAGTCTAACCAGAGGAGGGTAGTAGTCATCTGCTACTTCCAGGGCAACGGGGGCTCCACCCCGCTCCGCTTACCCTTACTCTCTCAGACCCTACGGACGCTGGCTCCCTCCTCCCGGCAGTCCCAACCTCCCGAGGAACAGGTCGACTACATCATCGTCGCCCTCTCCTACCGCGGCTACTGGACCTCCTCCGGCCGCGCCTCACAGAAGGGGATTGAGCGCGACGCCCAGGCGTTTCTGGGTTGGGTGATGCGCACCTATGCGGCGTCGGCGAGGGAGGTAAGCGTCGTCCTGTGGGGTCATAGTCTCGGCGCGGCGATTGCGAGTACCGCGCTGGCGACGCATCTGTGCGACGGGGGAGGCGAGGTAGTCCCGGTCGCTTCGCCGCATGCCGGTCGTGATCACGCTCCGGGAGTGGTAGTGGCTGCGGCTGCGGCTGCGGCGACGCCACTGCCGATTCGCGGGCTGGTCCTGGAGGCTCCCTCCGCCAGTGTCAAAGACATGTTGATCAGTCTGTATCCGCAGAAGTGGCTGCCCTACCGTTACCTGTGGCCGTTTCTGTGGAATCATTGGGATGGTGTGGCGGCTTTGCGGCGGATGGCGGCGTGGCGGGATCAGAGGCAGATGCCGATCCAGAAAAGTGGGGATGGGGCCAGCGCTGTGAGGAGGCTGCCGCCGATTCTGTTACTGACGGCGGAGAAGGATGAGGTGATTCCTCCCGAGGCGGCGGCGCAGTTGGAGGAGGAGGCGAGGAGGCTGCGGATCGAGATGGTGAGGACTGAGGTGGCCGGCGCGATGCATACGGAGGCCCCGGTGCGGCCGGTGGGGAGGAGGGCGTTGGTGGAGTTTATACTGAGGTGCTCGGGTGAGTCTTAGCTTGTTTGGGTTGGGGTAGTGTGCAATAGGCAGATATGATGAAGTGGTAAAAAAAAAAAAAAAAAAAAAAAAAAAAAAAGTCTTGGGAGTCATGTTGATAAACTCCTGGAATCGACACTGCAGCAGCGTCTTTCAGAGGAGCTGTATAGTATTCCAGGTGTACACTGCATCCAATTCGCAACCAGCAAACCATCAGCAAACACTCTTCTCGCAAGCGTTAACACAATGATGATTATGGTCGAGGACTATTGGTGGTTAGGATCGAGATGCAGGCCGAGACGCTACTAAACGAGACCGAGAATCCTTGTCTATGAGAACTGGGCGCAGAAATTGACGGACTGGAATGGGAGAAAGCAGTATGCGTTGGTGGACCTGCAACGTGGTGAGGAAGGTTTGGTCAATGAGCGGGTTCAGGAGGCTGAGGCAGTTGTCCAAGGTGTGCTGAGCATGTCATCGACCATGAAGCTATGACATGGCCTTGTTACAGCAGGCCGAGAGTAGTTAGCTGATATATGAAACAATCCGGAGAACCACGACGCGGCTATCAGACCAGCAACGTTTGCAGCGTACTTGCGAGAGGCCAGCGAATTGTTTGAGCAGACACAAAAGAGCTGGTGCCGCTGAAGATGCCTGCGATCGTGAAGGCGCTGCTTCGGCGGGGACAGCGACTTAAGTTTGCTGTGTGGCACAAGATATAATCATTTCCACTGGCCAGGACATTAAACGTTCCCAATGGGCAGGAAGGACTGGTTGCAGACCCGGACGTATTTGTGTGCAGCGTCTCCGATCCACCATAAGTCGCGTAACGGTGCCGACAAGGCGAGAAAGTAGGCTAGAACCACCAAAGCGCGAGGTCTCCTCTTCTCGAGTAAGTCAATGAACTCACTCGTCACGAACAAAGGAAAGACCGTGAGCCGGCGACAGCTCATTTGCGGATGCTCCTTTGCTTCGATGGCCAGCCAGGTGGCGTTGATAAGCGCGACGGCACGTCTCATCGTCCTCCTCGTCGGGCACAGTCGGAAGCAGGAAGGAGAATGAACCAGCATCATAATTCGTCCGCAAGGAGAGAGGAAAGGTGTCAATAATACACCAGATATTGGCGGGATGAGTATTATGCCTTATAATCTCCAAGGCCGCGTCAAAGACGGCTACTGAGCCGCGCACTAGCCGCATCCATTCATTTACCTGTTCATAAGAAATAACAGGACGGTTTTGGAAGGTTGCAAATACATCAATCTGTAATAGGATGCTCGTAAAGCATACCGCATGCGCAGTCTGCGTAGTTATACCGCTGATACAGGGTCGATGTTCGCGCAAAGCCTGCTCGAGAAAGTTGCCGTGGATACCCAGCAAGCCAGCGTCGTTTGGGTTAGCTTTGGACCGATGCAGGGCAGAGATTGCGGAGACGGCGTGCAGGAGCGGTTTGTAATTGGATGCGAGTCGGGACACGTCGATCGACCAACAGTCTTTGATACGCTTCAAGTGGGCCCCAGGCATAAGTAGCGCTGGTGAATAGAGTAAAGTGATGCAGCAGACGCAGTTCCATAGTATGTGCGTCATTACTGGGATCAGTTGGACTGGACTCGAGTGGGCGAGATTGAATCCAGGTCGAGAGGGGATCGCTTCTTCCTCCGCAGGCCTGTCATAAACACAGGGGACCCCATGACGATGGCAGTCACGACATACAGGTCGCATTTCATCGCACTTCATCTGTCAGGACAGATTTCCTCGCATTGGATTCTCCCTACCGTACCTTTACTCGTCGGGCGCGACATCGCTGACATCCCGTCCTGGACTTACGGTGGGCGAGACGGAGGCCTTTGCGCTTCTCGCGGTTTGGACGGCTTCCTTTCGCTTTGGCCGTGGCCTCGGGCAACGAGGACAAGTTACTGTCTGGGTTGGCCGAGGTCATCTTGCTTCGGTCCCAGGTGTCATGGCTATGGAGTTTCCCGGCAGTGACGAGATATCTTGGGGTCTTTTTGATTCAGTGGAGCCTGGAGAGGAGCGAAGCCTTCCTCAGTTTGTCTAGCGGGAACCACGATTACTGAATGATTTACCTGTGGCTGCTTAGCACAAATGATGGAAAGACGAGCCAGGAGAAGGTACTGGAAGTGGCAGGTAATTAAGTATAGGTTGCGAGTTATTGAATGTATATAACGAAAGTTCCCGATGGATGCCTCCCGGTCATCTTTAATGTAAGAATGCCATCTTGTACTACTAGTAGTGATGGACCGGTGGAAGGGCGTTTCGGGGTGTTCAGTTAACCTATTTGACCCTCAATAAAACGAGGACCAGTCAGGAGCGAAGCCGGTAAGGCAGCAGCAAATCTATTCAGGTTCGGCTTCCACTGCACCGAATTCTCTGGCGCTCAACAACTAAGGTACAATATAGTAAGTAGTAAATAGTACATATCTGCCAGTAGAGGCCAACATATCTTAATACACGTGTATTCGACAGAGCAGTTGAGAACATGTCTCGCAAATCGATATTGTATTTCTGCCTGGAAGCTGCCATGACCTTGATTTAGACCACCCTCAAATCCATACCATCACATGTGGTAAAGAAGTCTCCTTCCTAGTTGTGGCACAAATATGAGCAGTGAGAATGCGCAGATCCGATTTGCGGCTTGAATTAGGTTAAAGATATTTTTATATCTAACTATTGTCAGTACTAAAATCTATCAACAATGCATTTTTTATTCATAACATAGTTAAGATATAAGTAATATAGCTATTTATCAATTTATCTATCTTGATTATCAACTTGCAGATATATAAAGGAAGATTCTAGATAAAAGAAGTTGATCAAAAAAAAAAAAAAATTACAGAGACTTCATTACATTATTACTATTAAGAATCTTGCTCCCTAGCTCTTCATCGCCACGACTGGACACAAAAAAGCTGCCGGTTGTCACCCTGGACAGCCAAGTTTTCCTATTCTCGCTCTTTGGTGGTGTGGGAAGTCTCAATAGCATTCATGCAACTAAATTGCAGCCCTCTGCAGGCGCAAGCACGTGATGGAGAGCTGACGGTAATCACACTTCGCTAGTCGGAGAATCAGTACAAGGGCACTGGAGGAACTGACACTGGCAATCGCCTATTCAACACGATGCGTATGCCACAAGGAGCATGGAATGCCTGGCCTGCTCCTGGTAACTGATTAGATGAGTAGATGGTTTATTTTAGTACTTTTTGGTGGGGTCAAATAGGTCTTATGGGGGGTATTTTGGGGAGAGCAAAGTAGTTCGTATCAGTGATATTACGGGGTGGATTAAATATAGTACCTTAGTGGGTGTGACTGCCAGGGGACCCCTGGACGAGTCCTGACATGATAGGATAGGAAGAGCAACGCAATAATGCAACATTAGGCAAATTTAGACTCTGAATGTATGGACAGAAGTCTACAGAGCCAGAAGCAGCCCCACACCCGCAAGACCCGAGAGAAGACGCCCCGAGCTGCTCGTAGGGAGAGTGGCTGCACCACCCTCGGACGAAGTGCTTTGAGCAGACGCTGCAGTCCCTGTTGCGGTAGCCTGGCTTCCACTCCCCTTGGTGAGGGTCGTTCCCGAGACCAGGGCTGTGGGAATAGAGCCGGCAGCCGAGCCAGTGGGCTCCACACCGTTGCCAGTCGCAGAGGACACCGCAGACGGGACCAGCGTCGCTCCTGGCACGGCGGTGGTGCCCGTGCCAATCTCCAGAATATCGTCTGGACCCGGCGAAAAGTTCGTGTTCGCCAGCGAGATCTCATTGTTCGCCATATCATAAACCACATAGGCGCTGCGGAGGAAGGTGTCGCCCAAAAGGTTCAACCCCGTCTGGCTGGGGACAATGCCGAAGACACAGTCGCTTTCGTCATCGGCCGACGCGGCGTAAGGCAGCACCAGCTCACTGATCGGCACGGTGACGGTCGCGCCGGAGAAACTGTAAGTCACGTTGTAGTCTTTTTTCGCCGCGTCGCAGGAAATCGACGCGGTTTCGGTGTCGCTATCGTAGCTCGCATCGAGCTGTTTGTAGATCTCGTTGACCAGATCCTCCGGAAGCGCCGTCATGGTCGTTCCAGTGTCCAGGCTGCAAGACAGGGGAAGGCTCGTGGTGTACTTCTTGGAGCTGGCTCCCGACTTCTCCACGGACACTTCGGTCAGAGCAATAGCCAACGACACATACTGGCCATCGCGGGGCACGATCGGCAGGGTTTGCAGGTCGCCCAGGTACTTAGCCTGGTTGACGCCTCCAAACAGAATCGAACCCGTGCTGGAGTCCTCGCTGTCCAACCACAGACTATAGGCGAGGGAGTTGATGGCGCCACTGTCGACCAGCGCTTGGGGCAGAGTGGCGTACGACCTGCCATCGGCCTGGGCTTGGTACGTCGAAATGGGATATCCAACACCAGCGATTCCACCTAAGAGCGAGTCAGACATGATCAACCCTTAAATGCAGTCCAGCGAGAAGGTACACATACGGACAACGCTGGATTCCTCGGCGACCGCAAATTGCATCGACTTGATGGTCGTTCCGCCGACTGTGACATTATCGGTCGCGTAGTGACCATACGCGTTGCTTCCATCACCATAGGTGTCATTCATAAAAGTGCTGAGTTCCTTGTAGGATGAGGAGGCGCTAGAGTCATAAACCCCGTAAGGTTTGCAGGGACTGTTCTTTGCGGAACATTGGCTCGAGTTTGCAGAGTTCACCCAAGTATCACTGCTGCCGGTGTCCAGGGTGAGAACCACCTTTTGTGGCGGCGTTCCGATAGTGAGGTTGATACTATAGTAGACGTCGGCCTACATAGAGGTCAATCGGCGATCAGCTGATGTGTCAATGTCAAATCACGCGGCGAGGTGGAAATCACCTGGTTATTGATCGTCACGTCCACCGTTGAGTCTCGTTTCCGTAGGGGTTGAGTGACCTGTTTGCGCTCAAAGGGGATCTGAACGATGGCAGGAACATCACGCCTGTGGAGGTGGAGGGCCTCCACATATGGGGCAGCAGCAAGCCCTAGAACCGGGAAGAGAACAGCGCCGCGCATCGTGAATGAATGCCCGCGAAATGCGCAAAGAGGGCCTTCTGACGGAGGATCGAGGGAAATTGCAAAGAACGCTAAATCCTAGGCTGGGAACAGGCAGCCTTTATGGCCGTCATCCCACTTTCATTATCCCACTGTCATTGAGCTCCTTCAGGCTCGGAGTTCCGGATAGCCGGGGGTCAAGTAGCCAGCCAACTTGATCCTCCAGAGGCTCTGAGCCACCGGTCAGCTTTGTCGGGCATAGCCGGACCCTGGATGACTCCCAGGCTTATCGAAGCTTAGGCCCAAAGCAACTTTAGTACCAGGAAGGGGCAGCCCATCACTGGTCAGGTTTCTCGGGGTCATGGCCGAGTTGTAAGCGAAGCAGGGTAAGAACTAGCAAGCAGGGGGCTGTTCATCGCCGGTCCCAGCGCTATGTGGTCAGTAAGCTGGAGGTGTGGAGTGGGGAGGATGTTAGCGTCAGGGGACTAAAGGGTCCTGTCGCTTGTGTTTAGTCCAATCATTCAAAGTCTTTGGGCCTCACTGGATGGAAGAATTCATAAATTACCGCCAATTCAAATGGGCGGGTACCTTAGTCGGTGGGGCAGTGCCTGACGGATGAATGAACCCTTGGGTGACTGAGTGCCGCGGAGACCGAATGCTTATTGGCAGGGGAGGAGCGTGTGTTTTCATCTCGGATCAGGGGTCACAAGGAATGTTTGGGAACGGTGATTATCTCCGAGATGTGGTAAAATGCAATACATACAGGAACGGCATTCGGTATTCTGAGCAACACCAAAAGTCGTTCATCTGTGGATCGGCTGTTGGTCCGACGGACAGATCCGAGAGTTCGGCAACTGGTGAAGATATTTCAAATATTATTTTTATAATTTATGAAAAAAAATGGAGCTGCGGGGAATCGAACCCCGGACCTCTCCCATGCTAAGGGAATATTATACCACTAAACCACAGCCCCCGGTGATGAAAGATGGACGTTCTTATGCTTATAGCATGCTGTTCGACCATTGCTCTTCCTCTTCTTTCTCTCTCGCATATGCCTGACATTATCCCATTGTCTCGTCTTACTCCAAGGTTGATGTCAAAACTAGTGGATGGCTTTGCTAGTTCTCAAGTAAGAATCAGGATATACCACATGCGCTTATGGGTTGGCGGTGACTCATTGAGGTGATATATCCTGGTGGGAGTTCTTGATCCCTTACCAGTAACCTACCAGAGAGCATGAAGGAGAAGTGCTAAGCCTGCGTCTCAAACGGTCACTAAAAGATAATGGGGGATAAATATGCAGCAACGTGTATCCCGTTTACAGACGTGACACCCGAGCACCCACTGTCGTAGCATGGGGTATGCTCGGAATGCCCCAATGCGAATTAACCTACACATGACAGTCAGCCGATCAGCGCTTTGCATTCTAACGGGCACAGACTCACCTCTACTACATGATCCCAGCCAAATAGCTCCGGAGCAATAGCCGGGTCCCGCCACACCAGCGCTTCTCCGGGCGGCGTTGGGACCATCTGCATCTGTCTATCGCGCAGCTCTTGTTCCGGGCCATCCGCTAGGTGCTCAAGATCTTTTTGCTCGTTCGATCGCGTGACCACCATGAGCGTTCGTTGTTTGCGACACTTTTCAAAGACTGCCAATGCATGTCGCTTGGCGAGAAGGAAGTCGCGCGATGACTTGGTGGTGTGTGGATCATTGGGGAGGCGTGAGAGGCATTCTCCCAGAACGGCACCGTCTTCGAGGGCCATACCTGCGCTGCACAATATCAGCTCGGTGGCTAGGATGCTCGACTCGGGACACATACCCAGCGGCAAGATAAGGAAGGGTTGCGTGAACGCTGTCCCCGATCATCACGCCAGCTCCCGAAGGATGGGCCCAACCACCCGTGTTGAACCGGGTGCAGAGTCGCCACTTGTGAACAGATTTGCACAGCTTGAGAAGCTTCGATATCCTACCCGCCGTTCAGTCAAACGTGGGTCCGGGATACTTCCAGAATCGAACTCACCGAGGGTCCCAGTCTTTAAACAAGGAACGCATCTCCTCCACGTTGCCCGCCACGGTACTTGCCTTTGAGTCCTCGGGAATATCATCAGGAGTAAGCAGGACCATGTTGAAAAGCTCCTTACTCAGAGGATAAGCCACTGTTCAAGCGATCAGAGCCAAGGCTACAATTCCAGTCCTGGCGAAAACTCACCCACGTGCTTTTCCGGCCCATACCAGAAATTCATATTCGGCTTCGTCACAAAATCCGCCAGATCTGGATCCTTCACAATATCCGGCGACGCCAGCATCACTCGATACGCCAAGTCGCCTGTCTTGGTCGGTGGCGTCGGATGGTCCAGCACCAGGTCCGCCAGCTTTCCAAAGATACCGTCCGCCCCGATGAAGAGATCAGCTGTGAATTGTCGACCACTCGCTGTGGTGATAGTTGCCGTGGACCCATCGCCACCGAATGCAACATCCACAATCTTCGCGTTGCAGGTGAAATTGCCTCCCAGCTCGACAATCCGTTCTAGCAGAGTTCGTTGTAGATATGGTCGATAGAACGCGCGGAACCAAGTGCCTGGGTATGCGCCCGCTGTGTCCTGGACATTCATGCTTGTGATCTGGTTTCCCTTCCAGCCGAAGACGCGGTAGGCCTCCGCTTTGGCCCAGTGCATGCTGAGTTTCTCCTCCAGTCCCCAGTGTTTCAGGATCCGCGAGCCGTTGGGAAGAACCTGAATTCCCGCGCCGACATGTTTGATCTCGGAGGTCGCTTCGAGGATTTGAACGTTGTGTCCGGCCAGGAGGCAGCTGATGGCAGCGCCGAGTCCGGCTATACCGGCGCCAGCGATGATGATCTGCGATTTGTGGTCTCAGCGAATGTTTCGTGGGGGAAGATAGGCGACTTACATTCAGGGTACACGAGGGAACTCGTGTTTCTTTCTGTTTGATATGGTATGAGGCGGCCATTGTGATTTGTAATCTTGAGGAAGCTCTCTAGCTTCGATGACGCCGCAGATATTGTGGCAATCTGGGCATTGCCTCCATTTATGGAGAACTTGGTGTGCCGGCAGCTGCGGCAGTCGGAAGGTGCGTGGGAGAGCGACATGCGACAGACCTCGCCCAAACACCACTCACATCCTATGACGCAGAGCGAGTGTAGGAGGGTCTAAGAACTATGCTGTAGCCTATGATGAACAGTGTGGCTGTGACTTGGCAATCTGCACGGGGTAGCATACGCAGCAAGGGGTACGTTCGTACCCGACTTGATCGTGTGGAGAATTTACGAGATCTTCATATTCATTTGGCTACGCGAGGGACTTGCTTCACTCAATAGTTCTGCTAACTTGAGTCCTGCAAGTTGTCCAAGACTTCTAGAGTTGATGCGGTGAACGATTCACTAGAACACATCATGAGAGCCCACATATGAGGTTATCTGGGCTGCCCTGCAATGCCAAACCTACTACTACTTGAACAAGAACAATACATGTGAATCGACAATAAAACTGTCTCTTAAAATGGCGAATCAGTTCTTGCATCCTTGTCGAGATGGTGGCATCACCTGGAAGAGCTATTGCAAGAGAGTGCAGGGGCTGATGCATTCCGCTTCCGCCGCATGACCCTGGGGGATTCACTCTACTATAGATAGTCTTCGGGTGCGCTGGCCACACGCCCCCTTTCCTTGGACTCCTCACCACAACCCTTTCTTGAAGCTGACATTTGAATTGTGCAACCAGTAACTCTAGGGTCATGTCATTTTGGCCATTGATCAGTGAATGGCATTTTGCACCCACTCTCCAGTGGAGACTTAGAAATTACTCGAGAATTTAAACAACATAAAGGGTTCCAAGAGATCAGTGGAGACTTGGCTTGCTACATCAACAATACAAGACACTGTACAATGCAGATTAGGAGCTGGATACTGTAGACACCTTCCAATTCCGCAAGAACCGCCATCTCTCCTTCTCTTCCACCCATTCGCCGCGACAGGAACGGCCTCAATCAAATTTCTTCACGCTATTATCCTGAGCAAAAGCCACAATAAGGTCTGGCGAGTCATCTAACTTGGTCAAAGAGCTACACTCCGCTGCTTCTACTCCAGAGCTACTAACAGGCTGGTTCCGTCTGCATGCACCTTGATCTGATACATTGCACCAGTCGTGTACGGTACACGCCGGTAGCGATGCAACGGACAAGCCGGGTCCAATGGATAGCGAGATGAAGACGATAAGGTCGACCTTTTTACCAATCTCGAGTCTCGGGATCGGTGCAAATCTCCACTGACGCCATCAGCTGCTAAAGACTCTTTCAATTTGAACCTCAGCACAACACAACCCGCTCGGAGGCTCCGAAGAGCGAGTTGTTGACGGAGTTGGAGAGGGCGAATGAGAGAAATGATACTGTACTTTAAAAGTGCCAACTGGTGACCGCCACTTCCGACCGCCTTTGTTTGTGCTGTCGGTTCATCCCGTACCTTTCGATCCTCAGGCCAGACCCTTTTCGGCTGGACTTTTTCCTTGACGCGTCGGTGGCCGATCTTGTCAACTCAACTACATCCATCCATCTATCCATCCAGATCAATTTCTATCCCACTCTCTCATAGACTCCCTTGCTACAACTCCACCATGTCTTTCTCCCGCCTTGCACGAGTCCTTCCCTCCTCCTCCTCTGGGATTCCCCGCTATCTCGGCCTCCGCACCATGGCTACCGCCCCTCCCAAGAAGAGAGAATGGCTGTGCATTCTGCCTGATAAGCCCAATGTTCAAGACTTGCGCCTGAAAGTCCGCCCGTAAGATCCCCCACTTCTCGAATTCCAATATGACGTACGTTTAATCATTCGACATGATAGGACACACTTTGCCGAGCTCCCGCCCCTCATCGAGGCGGGAAAGATGGTCGTGGGTGGTGAGTTGCCCGTTTTAGTCGAATCACTTCGTAGATACTGTCCACTACCTGTTGATGATATTTCTGGGATTCAATCAAGGTGCCATACACTGACAGTGTCATAGGTGCTATGGTGGATGCGCACCCCGAGGAAGGCAAGCCCTTGTCCTTCAGGGGCAGTATGATTGTGGTGACGGGCGAGACGTTGGAGGAAGTGCATCAGCTGATCAGCAGTGATATCTATGCGAAGAGTGGAGTGTGGGACCTGGAGAAGGCGCAAGTCATTCCGGTAAGTGTCTCATCTCAGCCTTGCTTTTTTCCCTTGGGGGAATGAGGTTTGAATGTTTAGCTAACCCTGTGCCGGTAGTTTATTTCGGCTGTGCGGGAGCCTCTGAACAAGGACTAGGAGTGACGCCCAAGCAGATAAGGCTGAGAACGGATCTTGTAGAGATTGTATGAAACAAAAAAAATAGGTTCACTGGCGGAGTAATCTTGGGTCTTTTGCATCTCAAGCCCGTCGACAATCGAGCCTCCATCGGACGCAGCATTGTGGAGAAGTCAAAGCGGAGTAGTCTCATAGATAGATTGGAACAGCTATAGGAATCATATGTTCAGTGCGGTCTATCTCATGATCTGCATCGATCATTGTTTCTTCTGAAGATCATGCAAGTGCCGCGTGCCATTGATAATCGCCTCCGCAAACGCACTGCGCACCCCAGCCTTCTCCACGGTCAACAGGCTCTGAATCGTGCACCCCCGCGGCGAGGAGATACTCTCTCGCAGCACCGCAGGATGGACCCCACTCTTCAGCAGCTGCGCCAGACCCAGCAGACACTGCGCGGTCATCTCGGAGGCCTCCGACCGCCGCATCCCCTCCGCCACACACCCATCCAAGATCCCATCCACAGCGACCGAGAGCGGGGCCAGCGCGGCGACCAGCATCGAGCCCAGATCAAACAGCTCGGGCGCAAGCACCTTGACCTGCCCCAGCTGCGCGAACATCCACTCGACCCCCGCGCGATTCGCGGGCGTACACTCCGGCGGCAACTCGACCACGGTCATCGACTCGCGCACACTGGCAGCGACGTTGGGGATCGCCCGCGCCACAGCCGGCGTTTTGCGGGCGGAACTGGCATAGTCGCCGATGTACCCGGCCAGCACGGACGGGGTCTTGCCCGCGATCACGCTGATGATGAACTTCTCCGCAAGCGCATCGGCCATCCCGTCGGCGGCGATGACCGACTCGACGAGGTACGGCTTGCAGCCGAGCATGACGTATTCGGCTTCGCGCACAGTGGCGCGGTGGTTGTCTCCCGCGCGGAACTCCACGCGGGAGGAGTCCTTGGAGTATTGGCCGCGCAGTCTGGCGGCGGACTGCTCGGTCTTGGTGCAGGCGATGATGCGCCCGAATGGACTGTCGGTCGGGTCGTCGCGCGTGGCGTCGAGAATCCCGCTCAGGATGGCGGAGCCCATGTTTCCTGAGTCCTTTGGTCAGCTGTGGGGATATGACATGGGGAAAGGAAGTTCTCACCGCATCCGATGATGGCTAATGTTGGTTTGGAAGCCATTTTGTGAGTATCCACGGATTGATTGCTGTGTTGTGTGTTCGATGGATGCATGAATCATCGAGCAACAGAGGAGGAAATGGCGAGCTCGGATACCGCTCCGACCTCGGGGACTCCACTTGATAAGCCCTAGTCAACATTGCACATCGATGGAGATAAGCACAACGTGGCATGAGAAGTGATTTGATTTACGACATGTGTCTCTGTACCTATTCCTTGTTCGTACTTTTTTCACTGATCCCCATCCGTTGCGTACGGTGTCGATCCATGAAGGTCAAGTCCTCCTCCTCCTCCTCCATCATCCGACCCCGCGCCCTTCACGAAGAACTGAGAATAGGAGTACCTGGCCATCCATTCGACGGTCGGACTGGGGATGGAGCCGCGGGAGCTGATAGATCTGGCGGATCGGTTGGAGGGGGAATATTCTCTAGTATCATCAGAACCACGCTGTCTGTCACTCGCTAGCCTACAATCATCGCCGCAACAGCAACAACAACAACAACAACCACCATAATTCCTCTTTATTTTGCACCGCATGAGCCACTACCGCTACTCAACACGACCCTATGTACAGTTACCCCACTCCATGAAACAATTCAATCATACAATCATCTCCTCCAACCGCTTCAACCTCCTCCTCACCTCCCCAATCTCCCACTCAATCTCCCTCCGCGGCGCCACCACCTCCTTCAACTTCAGTATCGCCGCCGACACCACCAGAAACCCGATCGAGGCCAGCGGCGCCCACTGCCCAACCTGCTTCGGCGTCTCCTGAGCGGGCCCGTCCTCGTAAATGTAGTACTCGATCCACGCGACGAAGGCCAGCACCGTCAGCGGACTGATGATGATACTGAACACGACGGCGAAGAGGATGCACACGTCCAGCAGCAGCCGCATCAGGGAGCCGAGGGAGTGCAGGTGGATGAGCCAGGTGATCGAGCGGGGGTTCTCGCCTGCGGTGGAGAGCGTGGTGCGGGTTTTTTCGACGATGCTTGTGTTTCTATCCGTGGGATTGTCTGTGATGGTAGTGGTGGTGGTGGCTCGGTGGGGAGATGTGTTGCTGCTGCTGCTGCTGCTGCTGCTGCGATTACTACTGCGATGCGGCGCAGCAGCGTACACCGCCGCGTACCAATCCACTCGAAACCCCCTCAGAATCTCGCGGCGCTCACGCCAGATAATCCACAGACGGGAGGAGGGGATACGCGAGCGGTAAGGTAGGAGTTTGAACAACAACAGAATCACGTTCACAACCAGGGTCAGCGCGATGAGGCTGTAGATGTAGCGTGTCGAGTACAGCACACGCGACCAGAAGGCGTGGCGGGCGCGGTGGTATGCGGCGTTGTCGGCCACGGTGGCCTCGAGGTCGGTCTGCTGGCGCAGGGGCTGCGTGGTGTTGAAGCAGGGGTAGTAGCAGACGGTGGGCAGGGAGTTGAAGAGCGTGGCATTCGTGAACAGGGTCCACACGCTGGCGTTCCACGACGGGGTGGTGCGCTGCCAGCTCGGCCACCCGTCGCTGGAGACGGTGTCCTCGGGTGGGAAAAAGTCCGGGGCGCAGAAGGCGTACTGCGTCGGGGTGTTGCGCACGCGCGGCCAGTAGATGAGCGCGCTGATGGTGCCGGCGAGCATGAGGATGTGCCACAGCGAGAAGAGGATGTAGCGGGCGCGCGAGTGCGTGAAGGCGCGCGACCAGGTTTGCAGGGGCAAGAAGATCAGGTAGGCGGTTACAACGATGGCCAGCACGGCGTCGGCGTCGAGGTCGATGGTCGCGGGGGTCACGTAGAGCTCGCTGGTGTTGGTGATGAGGGCTGGGAAGGAGCTGCGGAGAGCGCTGAGGGTGGTGCTGTTGTTGGGGGAGATCTCGGGGAGGGTGACTGGGGATGAAGGGGCTTTTTGCGCCGGGCTGCCCACCAGAATGAACGCTTCAAGAGCGGCAGTGCCGGCGTAGGTTGCAGCAGCCCCGAGGAAGACGTCGGACAGCCACCCCGTCCACCGTGTCACGCAGGTGGCCAGCAGGAGCGCATAGAAGAGGTATCGCGGGCACGAGTCATAGAGAGTGCTTATGGGATAGGTGCACAGCACTTCCTCGGCCACGAAGATGGGCGTGCTCATTGGCTTAGATGGTGATCCTGTCACATTTTGGGAAGTGTGAGATTGAAGTTGGGGGAGGTGACAAGGAAAAATACGGGGTGAAGAAATGCAGGCAGACACTGGGGGGTGAAGATGCATGACGTCATGACCCGGATCAAAGTTTGAGCTTCGATGAAACGAAATATGGTTCAGGAACCATTGATTCCAGACAGTGAGCGAACATATACCTACCCCATGGTTGTCTCTGTTGTTCGAGAGATGCCTGTCCGTCACCTGACATGCACAGCCCTATCCAACTTGCATCCCCTCTCGTTAACATCTAGATCTTCACAGTAACTCCACCAACCCATTGGAGCCAGCCAACCTCATACCTCTTACAGCTTAGCCACCACCACCGTCTCCCTCTCATCTAGCGCGACGATCGCCTGCCGCACGGTCGAGTGGATGCCGTCGGCGCCGATGAGCATGTTCCCCGTGTACTGATAAATCGGTGGTGGTAACCTGCACGCCTTCTTCAGAGGGGGAGGAGGTGAGATAGTGGCTGCGACTAGCCTTGCTTTAGCCAGACATAAGCACGAAAATGGATCGCTGAATGTTGACTCCAATGGGGCTCTTCACCGGAGACCTAGGGAAAGGTCTCTGAGTAGTAGATGTACTTGGTGTTCAACGGTCTGGCAAATGGTACAAAAAGAAAGAAAGAAAGAAAGCGAGTCTAGACGATTGTAAGCTGTATGGCATTGCAGTAGCAAGAGATTAGGTCAGCTTTTCCTAGCTAAATAACATGTCGAGATTAGACAGTCTCATGATAAACACAATTAATAAACGAGTGACTATGAGCAAAAATTTCCTGATTCATCATCCTCCAAACCACTTCCCGGGAGTGAGTGTCATGCTAAAGAGGGATCACCAGCGCGGTGGGCGACCAATAGTCGGGTGGTTGTTGTTTGTCGCATCGACAGCTGTGGAATAAACTGTCTTCGAATTAGCTCAGGCTCGTCATTTCACATGTTCAGAAAGATAAGCTTACCTCAAGAGCTGGCCGAGGCGTTGGCAGAGGCGTTAGCGCTGGCGTTCCCAGAGCCAGAAGCCGACGCATTAGCGTTAGCAGTGGCAGAACCGCCACCAGAAGCGGTGGCGTCAGCATCAGCATTGGCAGAAGCATCTCCATCAGCCGAAGCGTTGGCAGAAGCACTGGCGTTGGCGTTGGCACTGGCATCGCCGCCAGCTCCTGCGTCAAGTCCAGCATCACCACCTGCGTCTGCCCCGGTGTCAGCACCCGCACCAGTATCAGCTCCGGTATCAGCACCTACGCCAGCATCGCCGCTGCCGCTGCCGCTGACGCTGCCCGTGCCCGAGACACCAGCCGTGAGACTACCGCCCGGCAGGGAAACGCTGGTGGTAGTGCTAAAGGAGATAGTAGTACCGCTGGGGCCAGAAACAGTAGTAGGGGTAGCACCGCCGGAAGCACCGCCAGAAACACCACCGCTGCCGCTGCCGGAAACATCGCCGGAGGCACCGCCAGAGACATCGCCGGAAGCACCACCAGAGACACCACCGCTGCCAGAGAGATCACCAGAGGCTCCGCCGGAGACATCACCGCTGCCACTGCCAGAGACACCACCGGAAGCACCACCGGAAACACCACCGGAAGCGCCGCCCGAGACACCGCCGCTACCACCAGCACCACCAGTTGCGACAGGGGAAACACCGACGTCAGTGGGAGTGGCACCAGCGCTGCCGCTGCCGCTACCGGAAACACCACCGGAGCCACCGAGACCCGCGCTACCACCGAGTCCAGCACTGCCACCGAGTCCAGCACTGCCACCGAGGCTGGCACCGGCACCGAGGCCAGCAGAGGGGGTAGCAGCAGCACCGGCACCCAGACCAGCACCAGCACCGAGATCAGCACCGGCACCAAGACTGGCGCTACCGCTGAGACCAGCACTACCACCGAG